GGGGCGAGGTGGAGACGGAGGGTGCAGCGACAGGGTGGGGAGGCGAAGGGGTTAACAGATTGTTACCATGCACGCACGGGGCTGTTACGAGCTGACATGCATGCATGTGGATGGAGAAGGGGTGGAGGCGTGAAGGTATAAGATTGGGTTTAGCTGACGCCCAGTTCTCTCCTTGATTTACTTTGCTTCAACGGCCTACCTGTACAGTATGTGTTTACTTATTAGCTGTATGATAAGATCCCTGAAACGTGATGGCTAGCCTACCTGAAATTGCTGTCACAAGGGATCGATGCTTGAACTAGTGAGCGAAGGTATTGCACTGGAGGGAGCATCAAAATGAGTGTGAAGATGCATTACTGGCGTTGCCATTCGCCTTTCCGCGTTTATTTGTGCCTGCGGAGAAGCAGCAGATGAGGCCGGAAGCCCCCCGACATACGGCAGGATTCGAGGAACTGCTGTGCCGTACGACAATCCGGTACAGCCCGTACGTACGTACGTTGCAGATGTGTACGGAGCGCATGGTTGCCGGTCCAGCTTTGCTTGTTAGTTGTGGTTACCAGTCCAGCCTTACTTCACAGTTGTTGTGGTTGCATGCATCGTCCTATCTATCTGTCTTTTTTACTAAGGACTTGTGCGATCGCAGGGCCTCCTTCCTGGCTTGTTTTGGTCTGTTTGGTCCCAAACAATTCCGTATTCCAAGAGGGTGTGCAAAAGCGCGGGGGACAGGTTGCGGTAGGAGGTTAGGGTTTCTTTGGTAGACACGGAGCACGCATGGCGGCTCGTGGGAGGGGAATACTTCGGTAGGTCAGGGGTATACTTAGCTCATCAGGGACGCTAGGGGCCGCGTACTGCTGTTCCCTTAATAGCACAAGTTCGAGTGTCTATAGAGCAGGGGTTCTTAATTGCCTTTGATGGCTTTGACCCTAGCTAGGCACTGACGATCTGTACATGCAGCGGTACAGTGTTAAGTGCAGTACGTACAGCACTATGTCCGGTTGTACGGCAAGACTGACGTTTCTTTATTTGCCTTGCTATGCTTGCGGAGTCTTCTGAAGGGTGACACAAATGAAATGGCGGACCGTAGGCTTTGAGAAAGAACGGGGGAGTTATCGTATACGGTGCGTGCCTCAAGCCAAGATTGCTTGAAATGGTTTTGTGGGTTTGCGGGTGAAGCCCGGACACCGCAGCTGAAATCCATGTGTTTTGAAAACCCATGCACGCGGCCACACGTAGCCACATCACACAATGACAGTACCAACACTACGGCGAACATTCCAGCGTCGGTAGTGACGGCCCGTCTGCCGTGTAATGCCTCTTCAAAATGAGCGCTTTTGTCTGCCACGACATGAGCGACCCATGGGTCAATCGCACGGCCACAGCAGCCCTGTCCTACTCTCGCTGCGGGTAAACACTACGGCGGAGTGACACTACACGTCAGTATATGGAGGAAAGCACAGACGGTACAGTACAGTATGCGGCAAGGCATGGAATTACGGATGTGGGTCAGCCGTGAGGGAGTAGTGCCTTGCACGGATGTATCAAGACGCTCAGAACGTTACTAGCTAAGACCCGTTCGGCGGGTTGCCGTAGCTGCCTGCTACGCGGATACCAGGCTGCCGTTGCCAGCTTTTCGCTGTTAATAGCAAAACAGACCTCTTGCCTTAGGAGAAAGGGTGGTACATTGTACTGCGGCGCCGCAGCACGCTCCCAGTTTCAATACATTTTTTGCACGCTGGCTTGTCCATTAAGAAACAAATTGATACCTTTACGAGTCCCACAGGGTCCGCATAGCGGGAGATTCTGATCATATGTACGTCTAAGCACGGCTTTGCTTGCCAGTGTCTACTGCTATGCGTAAGAGCTTGGCTTTCCAGGAAAAGCGTTAGTATCACCTTGTCATGTCGTACAGTTAAAACTGGAAAGAAGGCTCGAACGACTTGCCAGCGAAAGCGCTGAACTGCTGATTGCAAATTTATGAGCACCGAAACGAGACTTCCACCTTTTGGCGTTTGCGGGCTTGCTGTCAAACCATGTGGCGAAGCCAGGGAGACGCGCCTGGCTATCAGCAGCAGGCCGGCCCCGCTGCACCTCCGCAGCAGCGCTCGGTTCGCGCACGCTTGCACAACCCGTTCAATTATTCAGCAGCAGCAACTTCTGCGACTCCAAGCACTTCCGGACCGCCTGTAGACCAGCTTTTAGGCGGAAGCATCATCTCACGAAGGAGCAACCAAAGCAACCAAGGCAACCAAAGCAACCAAGGCAACAACCAACAGGCCAATTTTATCAATAACCACGCGCACGCGCAAACAGGATATGGAAGGTCCTCCAACAAGGAAAATGTTCAAGCTGTCAACGCTGCTGCTAATTTCGGCTTCCTAGCCGCACCATCTGCTCGAACAGCCTCCGCTGCTACCGCTCATCAACCCACGGCTTCTTTCTCTGGCGCCTTGGGTGCTTCTACTGGTGCTGCGGGACACCTTTTTGCCGGTCCCGCCCCTGCTGTCGGAGCTGCTTTTACCGGCGGAGCTCCTTTTGCTGCTGCTGGCGCAGTTCCGGCTGGTCCTGCCGTGGGCGCTGGTGCCGCGTCTGCTGCTCCCGCTGATGGTTTCGGGGCTTCCGCATTTGCTGCCAACCCTCCGCAAGTCATCATGGCAGCGGTGTATCAGGAAACCACGTTGGGGGTGGCAGTGTACGACGTCATTGCAAACGAGGTATGTACGGCGTACGGCGGGTTGGGAGCCCCGTCCCTTTTGAAGGTAGTGCTGCGGGCGCCCTTTAGAGCGGAATTCCCTTAAGATTAGCACTGTACGGTGCCGTACGTTCGTCTGATCTGGGTTATTGTGGATCATGTAGTACCACGCCCAACTGTTCCAACTGCCCAACTGTTCCCACCGCCTCTTCTTCCTTTCTGGTCTACTCATCATCCCGTCCTCACTGAGTTCCTCCCCCCGCCCTGCCTCCTCCCTCAGATCAGTGTACTGCAGTGTACGGACGAGGTCAAGGGGCCGCTTGCCTACCAGGTAACCAGGCACGGCGGTTGGGTTGGTTGGAACCGGAACCGCAGTCGAGTTGGTTCCATGTACGGCACCCTACTGACATGCAACTTCCTCCTTTCTCTTCTCCTTTTGCTGCCTCTCCCCTCTTGCTTTCTCCTTCACCTACAAGCCTTCCTCCATACGTAAGCCCCCATCCTCTCTCCGTGCCTCTGCACCCCGCCTCCCTATCAACCCACACCGCCCTCACCCCCATCCTTCACCCTCCCTTTCCCCCTTCCCTTTCCCCCTTCCCTTTTCCCCTCCCCCTTCCACCTCCTCAGATGCTGCACCTATCCAAGCTGCAGGTTCGCCCCCAGGTGCGTCCCCCCAGCACCCTGGCCTCTTGCTTCCCCATATCTACTATACACTACACTGCTGCCGTACTTGCTGCCCGGGCTTCATGCGGTTACACTAACCTCATCATCAGGAACGCACCCCACCGCCTCCTCTCCCGGCTGTAACCTCGCCGTGGCTTCATGCGGCTTCGGTTCCATTCAGTTCGGGGGTTCGGTTCCTCGGATCCTGACCCGCCGCCCCATGCAAGTGCTCCACGCATCTCGGGCTCCCCCTCTTGCTCGCTTACTTGCACTCCCCCCCCTTCAGGTGCTGCTGCTGCCGGGTCGGACCGAGCAAGCAGCACTGGAGGCGGCCCGAGAGCCGCTGATGGGATTGGGGGCGGAGGAGGCAGCAGGCGGGGAGGAGGAGGAGGAGGAAGAGGGCTGGGACGGAGAGGAGGAGGGGGGGGAGGAGGGGGGTGCGGGAGGGCGGGGTGTGTATGGTATGCGTGCAGCAGCAGCAGGAGCGAGAGCGGTGGGCACCGGAGGGGGGGAGCGGGAGGAGGAAGGGGGCAGCGGGGGCTGTCAGGTGCTAGTGGAGCCGTCCGCCATGTTCTCGTACGACCAGGTGCGACCAGGGGGGGGACTTGCGGGGGAAAATACCGGTAAATGAAAAGTCGAAGCAACAGAGTCCCAATGCGGGGGGGGGGGATGCGGATAGGTCTATCCTGCCTGCTGTGCCTGCCGCGGTGCTGGTCTCCCTGCTGCCTGCTGCGCTCCAGCAGCTGGTCGACCTGCCGCCACGTGCTCTCATGCGGCAGCTGCATGGCTCCACTCCAGCAACTGGTCGACCGACACACTCGACTCCCTGCTGGCGGCACATACACACTTTTTCCGGCGTTTACGATACGTTAGTTCAGACTCGCGGCCAACACACTTCCTTAACACACTTTGCACCCTCTGCCCCCTCCCTCCCTCCCTGTCCCCCCTCCCTCCCTCCCTGTCCCCCCCCCTCCCTCCCTCCCCCTCTAGGCCCTTCGGCGCCTGGACTGTCTGCACGTCCGCGGTCTGCGCCCCGGCCTGCCCCGCGCCCGTCACTGCATGCAGCTGGCGGGGCTGCTGGACCTGCGGCAGCAGCAGGCGGTGGGGGCGCTGGGGGCGCTGCTGGGCTGGCTGGTGCGGGTGAGAGGGGAGTGGGGGGGGCGGGTGAGAGGGATGAGGGGGGGCAGGGGACGGGTGAGAGGGAGGGGGGAGGGTAAAGAGGAAACAACTAACTACTGACCCGGGTGAGAGGGGGGATGGGCGGGGTGGGGCGGCGGGTGAGGGTGAGGCGGATTGGGGGGAGAGGCAGGGGTGGGGGGATTGTGGGACATAACTCTTTCATGGGAGTTGGGCAGGTAGAGCTCCACCGCTTGACCCGCTTGACTGACCGCTGGTGGCGTCGCGGCTGCTGTTACTGTTGTCTGCATGCCGGTAGGCCACAGGTAGTGTGCTTACGGAACATAGTAGGTGTCCGGCTTCATGCGTGTGTTCCGCCTAAGTACGCATTAATACTGTCTGCATGCCGTTAGGCAACCGTACTTGCTTACGGAATAACGATGTTCCACTCAGTAAGCCGCACCCTAGCTACCTGCTGCCTACGTACGTCCGCGCCTGCTGTCTTACCTTACCTTACCCTCTCCCCCTGCCTCCCGTGTCCCTCCTCCTCCTCCTCTTCCTCCTCCTCCTCCTCTTCCTCCTCCTCCTCCTCTTCCTTCTCCCCCTTCCGCTACCCCCCTAACCACCCGTCCTCCCAATCAGGAGGGTGTGGGTTCCCTGCAACGTCCTCTCCCTCAACAACAACAACAACAGCAGCCGCCGCACCAACGCCGCCGGCGGGGGCAGCGCCGAGTCATGCCCGACGACCCATTTGGAGACGGTGCCGGTTGCGGGCGCGGCTTCAGAGGTGGTGGAGGCGATGAGGGCGGTGTGGAGAAAGCTGCGGATGAGGAGGAGGAGGCCGTGTACGACAATGAGGGCGATGGTGGTACGGCAGGCGGGTGGGGTACGGCCCCCGAGGCGGTGCTGCATGTGGAGCGGTTGAGCCAGCTGAGCATGCAGGGGTGAGAAGGGGGGGGGGGGGGCGGGGGGGAGTAAGGGAAGGGGGCAGGGGTTTGGGGAAAGGGAAGAAGAATAACCGTATATAGAGCTTGGTGTGGGGGGTGGTGGTGGGGGCAGCGTCCGCTGCTTGTGCACTTGCTGCTTCAATGCAGTGCCTGCCTAAACCCTGACGCCCCTCTCTACATACATCCCCTCCCACCCTCCTGCCAGCAGCCGTTTGACCCGTTCTTACTTGTTGCGCCCCACCTCCCCACTGCTTCGTACTTCATCTATTTCCCCCCCCCCCACCTCCCCTCCCACCTCCCCTCCCCTCCCACCTCCCCCCCTCTCCCCCCTGTCACCAGCCTGCTGCACGTGGACCCCCCCTCGCTGTACGGCCTGCAGATCTTCGCCACGGAGCGGCACCCCTCGCGCATGGGCATCGGGACCGCCAAGGAGGGGTTCAGTTTGTTCGGGCTGGCCAACCGCTGCGTAACCAAAATGGTGAGGGGGAAAGGGGGGGAGGTGGACAGGGAGGTAAGCATAAGGAAACTGACGAGGGAGGGGAAGGTGGAAGGGGGACAGGGAGGGCCGGCAAACCCCCTGCATGCATGCATGCATGCGACCCCGCTAACCCTGCTAACCCCAGTCGTACATGCGGCATGCCCCCTGCCCCCTGCTGTCGCCCCCTGCCTCATTATAGCGGTAATTGATTGAGGCTGCTACGTACAATGGCAGCCTAACAGCCAAATGTCGCCATTGCCCCCCGCCCCTCCCCTCAGGGCAAGCGGATGCTGCGGCTGTGGTTCATGCGCCCAATCATAAACCTGGACGTCATCCGGGACCGACAGGTGGGGCAGACCGACTGACCCGGGGGTCATCCGGGACCGACAGGTGGGGCAGACCGACTGACCCGTGGGTCATTGGGGACCGACAGGTGGGGCAGACCGACTGACTCGTGGGTCATTGGGGGCCGACAGGTGGGGCAGACCGACTGACCCGTGGGTCATTATGCCCACCCATACCGGTTGGCCTGCCTATGCCGTGCCGTATGCCGTGCCGTATGCCGTGCCCCCGGCGGACCTCCACCCGTCTACCGTAGCTCCCTCACTCCGCATCCGGCTGCCCCACAACCCCCATCTGCCCCCCCTACCTCTTCTCCTTCCCTCTCCCTCGCCTCCCGCCCCCCCCTCCCTCTTCTCCTACCCTCTCCCTCCCCCCCCTCACCCCCCCTCCCAGGACACCATTGAGCTGCTGCTGCAGCCGGGCGGCCCGGGTGCGGCGGTGGCGGCAGCACTGGGGGGTGGAGGCGGGGGCGGACGGGGGGGCAGAGGAGGAGGAGGAGGCGGAGGCGGGGACCTTATTGGGGCGTTGAGGGGGGAGCTTAAGAAGGTGAGTGGGTGGGAGATTGGGGGGATTGGAGGGGAGTTGGGGGAGCGAGGGAGAGTTGCTTGAGGGCGGAGACGCTGGCACCCTTACCGCGGTTCGCCAAGAGTAGTGTCGTTTCTCGCTCTCTGCCGTGCGTGCGTGCGTGTGTGCGTGCGCTGCTGCTGCTTACTGCTGCTGCCTCCGCCGGTCCCCCCCCTCCCCGGGTCCCCCCCTTTCCCCCGCCCCCCCTGCTGCGGCTCAATCAGTTCCCTCAGTCAGTTAGCTGTTTCCTCTTTACCCCCTGCAGCTCCCCGACGTGCCCTCCCTGCTCCGCCGTCTGGCTCTCTCGCAGCAGCGACCCGACCTGCGGGCGCTGCAGATGCTGCAGGTGGGGAGTGGGGAGAGGGGGGTGGGGCTTGGGGGGAGGGAGGGAAGGGAGGGGAGGCAGGAAAACAGCAAACATCCTGGGGTCTACCCTCTACCGTACGTAGTGCTACCGCTTACTGATTGGAGGCTACCGGTATTGTTGGTACGGTGTCTAGGTATGCGCCTGGTGTTTTCATTCATTCCCCCGTGTGCTCCCGGGCGACGTGGTGGGTCGGGTGACATGGCGACGTGGTGACGTGGCGAGTCGGGCGGGTGGTTACCGGTGCATGGTTACCGGTAGTGATGAACTGAAAGAGCAACCCGTGTGAGCCCCAACCCCTCTTCCCCTGCCGCTCCCTCTCACCCCTCCTCCCCTCCTCTTCCGCCCTCCCCCTCCCCTCTCCCCCTCCCCTCTCCCCCTCCCCTCCCGCCCTCTCCCCATCCTCCCTCCTTCCCTCCCTCCCTCCCGCCCCTTGCTCCCCCCTGCCGCAGTCCTGTTTGGAGCGGCTGTTGCGGCTGAGGGCGCTGTTCGAACAGCACCTTGCACCTGGGCTCATGGCAGGGGGAGGCGGAGCAGGAGGGGGAATGGAAGGGGGCGGTGGTTGGAGCGATGCCGCACCCACTCCCTCCTCCTCCTCCTCATACTCGCGGCTCAACAGCAGAGGGAGGCCAGAAGGACCCATGGGTCAGCGGTCAGCAGCAACCGCAGCAGCAGCAGGCGGCGGGGGGCTGAGCTGGGAGGCTGTGTCCATCAGTGCCAAGGTGTTGACGCATGTGGGGGCTGAGCTGCAGGTTGGTGGGGGCGGGGGTTTAGGGCGGGGGTTTAGGGTGGGTTTAGGGCGGGGACTTGGGCGCCTACGAGAGGGACTGCTGGTGCACTTCGATCGGCCCTGCTGTCTGCCAACACTGCCCACCCCCCCCCCCAAACCCGCCTCTCCCCCCATCCCCCACCCAAACCCGCCTCTCCCCCCATCCCCCAGCCAAACCCGCCTCTCCCCCCAACCCCCACCCAACCCCACCCCCTGCCCAACCCCACCCCCAGGGCGCTCTGGACCTGCTGCTCAACATGATCGACACCGGCCAGGTGGGGGGGAGGGGGGGCAGGGAGGGAGGGAGGGGGAAGAAGAGGGGGAAGGCGAGCATGGAGGGAGGGATGAGGTCCCCTAGGAAGGGGGGTGCGGGGGGTCGGGTAGCGGGTAGCGGCGCAGAGCGGTGACCAGCTCCTCGGGTTGACCACAGCCGCCACTGCTGCCCATTCCTACAACCCCTTCCCTACCTCCTCGTCCCCCCCGACCTCAACCTCCTGCTACTCCCCTTCCTCCTGCCCCCACCCCCAACCATCCTACCATCCTACTAGGTCTTAGTCTTATCCTTCTCCCCTCCCTACCCTGTAACCTCCCACCCCAACCCCATTGGTTTGCCCTTTTTCCTGGCTTCCCATGGTCTCTTTTACCCCCTCAACCCCCCCTTTCCCCCTTCCTACCCCAAACACCCCCCCCCCAGTCCGAGGAGGGTCTGCTGGTCGCCCCCGGCGTGTGCCCCCCCCTGGACGCCCTCAAGGCCACCCACCGCGACCTGCCGCAGCAGCTCACGGCGGTGGTGCGGGCGGAGCTGGGGCGGGTGCCGAGGTGCCTGATCAGGCAACACGCGCAGCAGCTGTGGTCGGTGGTGTACTTGCCGCAGGTGGGGGGGGGAGGGGGAGCAAGGGGGGTTGGGTGAAAATGAGGAAACTGAAGAGGCAACTGACGAGCTGTTCGACAAGGGGAGAAAGGGGATTGGTGGGGGTGAGGGGTGGGGGGTGAAAAGGAGGAAGCTGACGGGGGGAGGTGGGAGTGGGGTGGATTGTGACCTGTCCTCATGCCCACCTCCAAACCCTCGTGCGCTTCAACGTAACCCCGCTCCCACATTGGAATTTCTTCTTCCTCCCCCGCCTTCCCGTGTGCCCTCGTGCCATTCGACGTGACTCCCTGTCTTTTTCCCTTCCCTCCAATCCACTCCCAGGTTGGCTTCGTGCTGCGAGTCCAGGGGGAGCAACTGACGGGTGGGTGGTGAGGTGGTGGGATGTGATGCGAGATGATGTGAGTGTGGTGTGATGTGATGTGGGATACGGGCACATGCAGGATGACACATCCTGACCCACCGTATGGGGACCGCTCCTGCAAGCAACATGATTTACCCTTACCAAAACCCTCGGTCCCAAACGCCGCTTACCTCCACCCCTCCCACTCCCCACCCCCACCCCCCGTGTGGGGGCTCACATGATGACGCCGTATCACCCGGTTCGTTTGTTGTTTCCTCTTTACCCCCCTCCCCACCCCACCCCACCCCACCCTCCCCTCCCCACCACCCCCTACCTAGCCGACGTGTTGGACGCCCTGCCCGACTACGAACTGGCCTTCGAGGGGGCCTCGGGACCCGAGGGGGAGGAGCAGCAGTTGGGGGGTTTCGGAGGGGAGGAGGAGGGTACGGCAGCAGGTGGGCGTGGGCTTGCTTGCTGCTTACTTGCGTGCTTGCTTGCTAACTTGCTAGCTTGAGGGCGGATTCCCTAAGAGCTCCGGAAGAGTACGGTATAGATACGGTATAGCCGAAGGCGGCAAGGTGTAGCAAGGCACCAGTATATAGGGGTCCTAAAGGGAAACCCCTGGAATCACGACATCTTGAGAAGTCTTTGGGTACTTATGTTCATACATCTAGTTCCATGCATGTACGGCAGGTACGGCAGCAGCTAGTTGGGCGACGTACTATCGTACACAATCCACGAGGGAGCTCAATGCGCGGTACGGAGATCTGCGGTACAAGATCCAGGACCTGGAGGTGTGAGCGAAAGGGGAGGGGAGGAGGAAGTGGCCATGTCCGCGGGGCAGTGTGACCCATGGGTCCGTTGCCCTTCATGATTGCAATGAAGCCTTTATTTATGCCCGTTATAATCATTCTACACGGCCCCAACATGCATCGCCTGCGTGTGTGTATACCGGCATCCAGACCGCCAAGTATGAGCATTAAGCAAAGTACCTCCATACACATTACCTCCCCCCGAAACCCCCCAAACCCCCAAACCCCTTAACCCCCTCCGAAATCCCCCCCAGACCGCCCTCATTGCGGAGCTGGTGTCCCGCCTGCTCTCCCTGCACGGCCCCCGCCTGCAGCGCGCAGCCGCAGTGGTGGCGGAACTGGACTGCCTGCTGTCACTAGCGGCACTGGCAGCGTACGGCGGCGGAGGGGGAGGAGGGGCGCCGTACAGCCGACCTGAGCTGACGAAGGATAATGTGCTTACCATTGTGGAAGGTGGGGGGACGGGGGGGGTGATGAGGCGAGGGTTACGTTGTCTGATGGTGGGGGGACACAGACCATACCAAACCCCCTTTGGAAACCACGGGGAGGGAGGAGCGAGGAAGGGGGAAGGGTTTGGCGTCCGGGCATTTGGCGTCCAGCCGGTATGAACGGTAGCTTGTTCCCTTGCCGAAGCGGAGGCGGAGGTGCAGAGTCGCTAGCCGGCAGTAGCGGCAGCAGCAGCAGCAGCAGCAGCATGCATGGCTGCGTTTCTACACGTCGGTACCAACCCCAACGCCCTCTCCTACCCCCCTCCCCACCCCCGATATGGGATCGGGACTCGTTGTTTCACATATTTAAGTTTTTACCCCCCACCCCACCACCCCCACCCCAGGTCGCCACCCGCTTGCTGAGACGGTGGTCGACACGTACGTGCCCTTCTCCATGAGCATGGGCGAGCGGGAGGGCAGGTTGCAGGTGGTGACAGGTGGGGAGGCAGGTTGCAGGTGGTGACAGGTGGGGGGGCAGGTTGCAGGTGGTGACAGGTGGGGGGCAGGTTGCAGGTGGTGACAGGTGGGGGGGCAGGTTGCAGGTGGTGACAGGTGGGGGGGCAGGTCGCAGGGGGTGACAGGTGGGGGGGCAGGTTGCAGGTGGTGACAGGTGGGGGGGCAGGTTGCAGGTGGTGACAGGTGGGGGGCAGGTTGCAGGTGGTGACAGGTGGGGGGGCAGGTTGCAGGTGGTGACAGGTGGGGGGGCAGGTCGCAGGGGGTGACAGGTGGGGGGGCAGGTTGCAGGTGGTGACAGGTGGAAGGGGCAGGTTGCAGGTGGTGAGCTGGCGACAGGTGGGTTGCTAGTGATGAGGCAGCCGCATGCAGGTGATGAGAGCAGGGAGCATGGTTCTTCTTCTCCCCCCATCTCCACACCCCCACCCCCACCCCCAGGCCCCAACTGCTCCGGCAAGAGCTGCTATGCTCGCGCAGTGGCGCTGATCGCCTTCCTGGCGCACCTGGGGTCATTCGTGCCCGCAGCGCCCGGCACTCGGGTGGGGCTGGTGGACAGGATAGCCACTCGGGCGGCGCTGCCGGCAGGAGGGGGAGGAGGGGGAGGGGTGCTGCGGCCTAGCACTTTCCTTGCGGATTTGACACAGGTGAGGAGGGGAGGAGGGGGAGGAGAGGCTGGGTATGGGGGCTGGGGGAAGGGGGGATGAGGAGGGGCGCTGAGGCCGAGTACGAGGAATCGGTAAGTGGGAAAAAAGAACAAGGAGGGACAGGGAAGGGTGCAGAAGTTGGAAATTCTTGGGCGAAAGGTGAGAGCTTCATGACGAGGGTTGGCTACCGGAGTCGGCTGTGGCTCCTCCCTTCTCCCTCTGGTGTTTCTGTTCCGAAACCCTGTCGTACGTTGCATGTCGTACCCGCTGCCCCCCCCAGGTTTCCTCCATGCTGCACAACGCCACCCCCCGCTCGCTGCTCATACTGGACGAGTTTGGAAAGGTACGGCAGCAGGGGGGGGAGGCGGTACGGCAGGGGGACCGGCAGCATAGGGCGGCAGAAAGGGGGGTAAGAGGCGGGGAGGGCTCTGCGAGGTGCAGGTGTATGTGTGACACGCACCCCAGGTGCCGCTGCAACCACTGGTACCGACACTGTCAACGTAACATGCAACCGCCGGCGGCGGCTGCCAGGTTCCGGTACTAGCATCCCTCACCTCCTCATCCCCACCTCCTACTGCCCCCCCCCTCACCTCCTCCCGCCCATCCTCCCCCCCCACCTCCCCCCCACCCACCACCAGGGCACGCTGGCCTCCGACGGTGTGGGTCTCACCGCCGCCCTGCTAAACCACTTTGCAAGGGGAGGGGGAGGCGGAGGTGGTGGTGGTGCCGAGTACTCCAACAATCCCGGACATGCACCTCATCCCAACCACCCCCAGCACCAAACCCCCCAGCTGCCCCCCCGTGTCATCCTGGCCACCCACTTCCACGAGCTCTTCCGCCCTGGGGTGCTGCTGGCGGGCAGCCCGCACCTGGCCTTCCTGCAGATGGAGGTTCTCACGCACAACCCACCGCCCCCACCGCCATTACCCCCCTCACTGCTGACCGGGCTGCAGCAGCAGCAGCAGCAGCACCAGCAGCAGCAGCAGCGGGGGCAGGCGGTCGGTAGTAGGGGTGGGGGGGTTGGTGCTGGAGGCAGTCGAGCAGGGGCAGGAGAAGGAGGAGCGCGTGATGAGGGGGAAGCGACAGCAGCAGCAGCAGCAGCAGCAGCAGCAGCAGCAGCAGCAGCAGGGGCAGCAGCAGGGGCAGCAGCAGGGGCAGCAGCAGCAGCAGCAGCAGCAGCAGCAGCAGCAGCAGCAGGGGCAGCCGGGGTGTACGACGGAGACGGGGACAATGTGTTTTTGTACCGGCTGGTTCCCGGGTGCTGTCCCGCGTCGTTCGGAGTGCACTGCATGCGGCTGGCGGGGGTGGGGGAGGAGGTGTGCGCGCGGGCGAGGGTGAGAGGGGGGAGGAGGGGGAGAGGAGGGAGGGAGAGATGAAGAGGAAAAGCTATGTGGGAGGGAGGAAAAGCTATGTGGGAGGGAGGAAGGAGAGGGAGGGAGATGCGATGGGGTCTGAGCAATGGGATCGGAAGCTATGGGGTGAGGCAATCGCTATGTTCTGGACACCTGCACCTGGTGTGCCTTGTCCTCTATCTTCACCACAAGAACCCCCATGCTTCTCTTGCTCTACCGCCCTTCCTGTTAACCGCGCTGCTTCCACTGCACAACCCTTGCGCGTTCCACCATACCCCACAAAACCCATCACCTCCTCCCCCGTCTTTCCCCTCCTTCTCCCAGGAGGTGATCTCGGCCTTGCAACGAGGCGAGCCGGTGCGGCGCAACCCGCGTGTGATGGCGAGCGAGGGCGCACAGCGAGTGAGGCGCCGCTTGCAGCAGCTGCAGGTGGGGTGGCGTGGGTGATGACTGGGTGATGACTGGGGGGCGTGTGTGTTTCTTTGGACTATGCAGGGGGAAGGAGGAGGTGTGGCGATCAGCGGGTCTGGGGGGCTATGTCGCCTTGGAAACGCTTTCTTTCGCTTTCTACACTTTCGCGTTCGCAGCCCAGTGCCCCAGACCCCCCATCTTGCTGCGTCCTGTTGCAACAACCTCACTCGCTGCTATCCTGTTCAGGCAACGGCGGAGGTGGCGGAGGGTCCGGAACGCGACGCGGCCCTGGTGGCGGTGCTGGAGGTGGACGTGCGGGAGGCGGAGGAGCGGGTGGGGGGGCGGGGGAGGTGATGGTGAGGGAAGGGAGTGTATAAAGGGAAGCAGCATTGATTGGTCAAAACGCTGTTGGTCAGGCGCTGTCAAGCGGTCATTGTCTTGGGCTTTTGCGTGCTTGCGGTGGATATGTTGCCTTGGGGTTTTGGTGCGTGCTTGTACGGCGTGCGCGTGAGACAGGTTAGCAGGAGTGTGGCAGGAGCGAGCAACATGCAGGAGGCTGCATGCTAGGAAGTAAGCGACGAGGAGGTCGCAGGAAGAAGAAGTGGACTGAAGTCCAGGTAGACGTGCAGGATGAGATGTTCCGCGGCAGGAAGGCGGGATGGCAGGCAGGATACTTTCCGTGTTTTTTCTTGAGATGGGGAAGAACCTGTACCAGCGAGAATAATGGTGGTGTGCATCGCACGTGCAAGGGGTTGTGGATGGTGTTTCAAAACTGTTAAGCTGCGCGTTGACGCGCACGTCTTATCGCCGACATATCTGGGACCGGAGGCTAGGTCCCCATAGATAATGTAAGCAGAGAAACATTACCATATGCGCATAAGTTTTCGATGCCATCTCATCCGGCCTAATGACATCGATAACACTAACAAGAAAACGGAAGCGTTGCACGATTCGGCATTGTCAAATATACAAGCCCCTCACCAATACAACATAATCCACCACGGTGCAGGGCGGTTGGAAGTGGAGGAGCCGTACGGCTTGCAACGTTGCGGTTGGCAACGATTGCTCAGGTCTCGTTGCGCCCACACGTGTGGGATAAAGCTTGCTGCTTGACATCAGTATACTGGATTAGCGACTAAAACAGCTCAGTTATTACTTGGATACGTTTAGAGCAATCCTTTTCACTTCTCAACGCGAAAGCAGCAACCTAAAGTTCTGTACTTGGTTGCCAATGGCAGCCACAGACGCTGGTCGAGCCCAGACGGGCTTCTATTGTAGCACGTCAGGCACCTACTTCGCAGATTTACAAAGCCTATCCGAACACTACAAGTCTGATTTCCATAGGTACAACCTCAAACGAAAAGTCGCCGGGCTACCTCCAGTCACAAAAGAATGGTTTGAGGCACGGAAGGCACAGCTGAGTAGCGCGGCCGCCGGGGCATCCGCCGCCGCGCCCGTTCAGCGGATTTGGATTGACCCATTGACCAAGAAGAAATTCAACACGGAGAATACGTACCAGGCCTTCGTGCGGTCAAAGAAGTACCTCGACTTGGTGCGGAAAAGTGGACAACCCGCGCCCGAGGCTGTTATCGTCACGCGACAGGCAACACAGGAGGCTGTGCAAGGTGTGCAGTCAATATCTTTCGTTGCAGCGTTTCTCTTGGAACACGCGCTGTTGGTCTTTGTCAGCCCCGCCATGAAGTGCGGAGTTTGCGTGGAGGACTACGAATTAGGCATTATCTCCTATTCCATGTCGTCTTTACTGCTCTAGCCTTGACGCTGGTGCCTGGTTTCACTTCCGCACTGCCCTAATCTGCAACAAGGGTTTCACCATTGTCGCTTCACCCCATTTCACTCGCCCTTCACACTTCCCATTCCCGCTGCTTGCCTGACCCACATCACATCCGCAGATGCAAACGCCGCCGCTGCTTCCACCGCTGCCGCCTCCAACGGCGCTGCACCTGCGACCAACGCTGCTCCCAAGCCGTCTGGCTTCCGCATCGTGGCCCCCTCCGGCGGCCTGCCGCAGCAGCGACAGCAAGACGTGAGTGTAGGCGGGTCTGAAGCTATAGGGATGCCCCAGGGGCCCGCTTGCTGCGTTGTAGTGCTTTGTGTTGGGGCGGCAACAGGGCTTGGGGTCATGAGGGCTTGCAACTGAATGTCTTGGGGTGAGGAGGCTTCAGGAGAAGAGAGAAAGCATTGCATCTCCTGCTTGGGGCTAGAGCGTGGGCATCGCAGCAGGCAAGGGTGGCCCCTCCGAGCCCTGTTTCGAGTCCTAAGTCACCTTTCTTTGCGCCCCTTTCCCCCCTCCAGGCTGCTGGCGACACGACCATGGCGGATGGGGGAGCAGACGAGGAGGAGGAGGAGGACGGTGACAGCAGCGGCTGGGAGACGGCCTCGGATGAGGAGGAGCTGGCGGAGCTGGCAGCGGCAGCGGAGGCGGGAGGGGAGGGAGCGGCGGCAGCTGATGCAGATGGGCAGGTGGGGAGAGAGAGGGGAAGAGGGAGGGGTAGAGGGAGGGGAAGGGGGAGGGGTAGAGGGAGGGGAAGAGGGAGGGGTAGAGGGAGGGAAAAGGGAGGGGTAGAGGGAGGGAAAAGGGAGGGGCAAAAAGGAAGCAGCAGAGGGGGCTTTGGGGAGGAGACTGCGTGCGCATGGGAGGGAGGGGCTGCGTTAGGCCTAACGGGGGTGTGCCTGCCTGCCAATGTGGCCATGCAAGCAGGCATGCAAGCGGACTGGAGGGCGCCTGGCTGGTGTAGGGAGGGGTTGGTGGTGTGTAGGCGGCGTGTTACCCCCGGTGTGCGTGGGTTGCTGTGCTGAAGGGGGGGGAGTGCATGGCGGCTTGCCGCCTTTGGATGAAAGACTGTTGCACACCCTGATGCCCCCTGATGTACTCCTCACCCTTACATGTGCCCTCACTCCTCCCCGCCCACCTCCCCACCCCCGCCCGCCCGCCCCCCCAGGAGTGGCCCGAGTGGGACGTATGCCGCAGCCTGTTTGACAACCACGTCAGCGCCTCCCTGCAGGCCAACCTGGAGTACATGTTCAAGCGGTTCGGCTTCTACCTGCCGGACAGCCAGTACCTGCGGGACCCCGAGGGGCTGCTCAAGTACCTGGTGGGTTGGAAGGAGGGGGGTGGGGGGGGGGTCAGATTGGACCATATGAAACCAACTGGGGCGGGGCTGGGGGTCAAAGGGGCTGGTGAAGTACCTGGTGGGGGGGGCTGGGTGGGGGAGTTGGGGGGGAGTATTAATACCGGTAAAGACACTGAAGGAGCAACTGACAAGCTGTATGACAAGGCTTCACCATGGGGTGCAAGTATGGTGGCAGGCCCAGTCCACTGTAGTCAAACCAAGGGGGGGAGGGGCTGGGTGAAACGAGATGGCCGTGGGAAGGGAAGGTGGGAGGGGAGTCTGGTGGGATAGGCGCAAGAGTGCGGAGGTCGAGTTTGCTTACCTATGTATTGGCCTTTAAAGCGTGGCAGGCAAGGCCATTACCCAGGCCTTGCCTATAGAGGCAATGGGCAGTCCCTTCAGCCCCAACCCAGTACTTGACCCTTCCCTCCACCCTCTTTCCCACCACCACCACCTCCATCATCCCACCCGTGCAGGGCGCCAAGCTGCAGGTGGGCCGTGTGCCCCTCTACACCCGAGGTGACGACGCGGCGGGTCGGCAGTTCCGCAGCTTGCATGCCGTACAGCGGCACATGGTGGACACCTGCCAGTGCAGGATGGCGTACGACGACAACGAAGATGAGTACGACGAGTTTTACGACTACGACATGGGAGAGGAGGTGCGGGGGGGGGTGGGGGGGGGAGGTAGGGGGAGGGTGTGGTGTGTGGGTTATGGAAGGGGGCTCTTGGATGTCGCACATGCAAAAGGAACCCTGCAACACAGCAGCGAGTGCCCCGCTGAAACACCAGCGAGTGCCCCGCTGCTTGCTTGCCTGCTCGTCCATACCCACTTCTCTCTTAACCCTCTGCGTCCGCTCGCCCCCTTTACGTACCCCTCTCCCCCTCCCTCTCTCTCCGCATCCTCTTCCATAACTTACCCCTCTCCCCACCTCCCTCTCTTCTCGCACCCTCCCTGCAGTCTGACGACGACGAGGGCGCGGGCGCAGTGGTGCTGGCAGGCACGGTGCCCGGCACCTCCTCCTCCGCCATCGCGGGCTACGAGCTGGTGGTGGGGGCGGGCGGCGAGGACGGCAGCGGCGGCGGCGGCAAGGTGCTGGGGCACCGGGAGTTCGCGCGGCTGTACCGGCAGCGGCACCGGCCGGAAGATGAGCGGCGCTCGGTGCTGGTCAACACAATGCTGGCCAGGTAGGGAAGGGGAGAGGAAGTTGGGGAGGGGGAGGATTAGGGGGGAGGAAGGGGCGTTGCGGAAAAGCGATGTGAGGTGGGGAGGGTTGGGCGAAAAGGGTGGAGAGGAAGGACGAGACATGTTCGGAGAAGGGAGTTTGGGGTTTTGTTGCCTTGCACGGGGGTGGAGGTTCGGGTTCAGGTCGGGTTAGGCAGGGCATGTTATTAGCTTCATTGGTTGGAAGTGACAGGGTGTTTCTCCACCACTTGCGCCTTCCCTCCCCTCCCTCGTGCGCGCCTCCTTGCCTTGCCCAAAACGTGGTCGTGCCGCGCCCCACTGTGTCGTCCACACTTCCTGCTCCTCGTTGTTTCACTTTTCATCTAATTGTCCCTCCTCCTCCTCCTCCGCAGATACCGCGCGCTGGGCGCCCCCACCAGCACCGACAGCGTGCGGGAGCGGAAGGTGAAGCAGGAGGCCACTGCCTCGAGGCGGCACCAGCAGGCCAGCCAACTCAAGATGAGCATGATAAAGAACGTGCTCAAGAAGCTGCCCAAGAACTGCGAGTATTGAGGGGAAGGAGGAGGAGGAGGAGGAGGAGGAGGAGGTTGGGGTGGCTGCGGGTGGTGGTGGGGGGTAAAGAGGAAACATCTAACTGACCGTGTGATAAGGCATCATCACGGTGGGGGTGGGGGTGGTACCACCACCGGTGGTGGGGGGGGTGGGGGGTGGTGGTGCTGGGGTGCCGGTGCTGCTGGGCTGGTGGTTGGTGGTGCTGGGAAGCGGTACCGGGCTGCGGCCAGTGGCCTGTGGTTGCGACTGGTGGCGGCTGTTGTTGTGTAGCTCTGATGGTTGCGGCGATGGTTTAGTGTGTGAAATTGCTCATGCAGAGTATGTTGTTTGTGGGTTGGTGTTTTGTGTGCATCTGTGATGTATTTTTAGGACATCGTGGCATGGTGGCAAAGGCATGGTGGTGGAGGTGCGGTGATGGGGCACCGGGGCGTGTTTGAAGCAAGTGGGGCGACAGGATGAGGTTATACCTTGGCTGTATCTATGGATCTGAATGAATTTTCTCATTGTACGACAGAAGGGTTGGGGATGGAGGAGGAGGAAACATCGGGCGCTCTGCAGGATGAGTGGGTTGTACGGAAAAGCTGACTTAGCGAAAACGGTTTACCCATGCACCATGAGTTTTCAAGGTAACCGCTACTCACGTGGTTGACGGAGGTTGATCCTCGCTGTAAGGCAATCTCGCTGACCGACTACGGTATGTCACAACCATGCAGATATGCGCTTGCACGAAAGGTATGCATCTTTGCTGGAGGTACACGAACGAGAGACACTCGTGGAATTCATCCCACATCTCCACTTGTAGACCGTGTTTCTATTGCAGGCACAGCCTTCCCCAGCGAACATGTACGACAAGTAACCCAGCAGGGTGCGTTGTACCCGTTATCCGCAATACGTGTACACGTCACAAGCATCTGCGCCTAATGAAAGATCAAATACTGAAGGTGAATGGAACTCGACAACCATACTAACGGCCATATCAGAGCGTGGAGAAGGCAATCTGCTCCGTGCTGCAAGCGTCCGTACGACGCCACGCGCAGCACGCATGACACGTAAGCCTATGCTCTCTGCTGATAGTTGCAGTAGCGGATACCGTGATAATTTCACAAGCACATCATACTCTCTACAAAAGACGTCAGTCCCGGTGCTCGGCCTCAACCTGCTCCTGTACAGTTAGGCTATCAGTTTGTTGCTTAAGCAAGCTGAGTCGGTATATGTGAAAGAAAACCAACATCGATAACCGTGTCGACTTTGTCCTACATTTGAATTGGCCGTTTGGCCCGGGCTTCCTTTTCAGGCGACTTTGCATGTGTACAAGTCCAGGCACCACCGAAGGAGCATACTGTAGGGGCACATAGCGAGTTATCCAAGCCTCCGTAGTCGCTCTGCTGTAAACGTTTCGCTTGAAACTTGGTAGTCAGCCCGAAGCGCTGTGACGATGGGCCTCGATGGTGGAACCGTTGTCACGCGCTCGGACGTGCTGCGAGGCCAGTCCTGGAGGGTTGCGCAGAACGACACCTCTCGCTCGACACGGGGTGGGAACGTCACGCGGGTTCCCACGGAAGCAGTGGACAAGAACATCGAACGGTGGGGCTGCCATGTGGATTGTATTCCCCTTTCCAGTCACAGAGGCGTTAGGTAGTATCCCCTTGGCAGCTTGTCCCCAGGGGGGCCTGAAACCCCCTCACGTAGGCTCTGGGTGTTGTCTGTGTCGAGGGGGATCGCACTGCTGGAACCTGATTTCACGTTGCGCTGCATTCTTGTGCACGGACTGCTCACGACGTGCACTCCTCGTCTCGCATCACCAGCTAGCCACCATGCGCGCAACCCCATCCCTCTCCTCCTCTTCTGGAATCCTCCCCTCTGGAATTTCCCCCTCTCTGCTGCTCTGTCTTGTCACACGGTTCGCTTCTTCTTCCTCCTTCCCCCGCTGCTCTCCCCCCACCTCAGAGCCACCGCCTGGTCCACCTGCTCACTCACCTCCCAGCCGCTGCAGCCGCCCATCGTCGCATGCGGCTTGGGTCGGCTGTACAACAAGGACGCCGTACTGCAGTTCCTGCTATGCAAGAAGGACAAGATCTCGGATCCAGAGGCACTGCTGCAGTACGCCAACCAACTCCGTGTGGCGGCCGGCAGTTTGGACCACATTACCTGCCTCAAAGACGTCTTGGAAGTGCAGTTGCAAGATTCCGCTGCGTCAGCGGCTGCGGACCTTCAAATCAACAGCACCACTACCGGCACTACCACAACCGCTGCTGCTGCTTTTACACTCGGCGCGTCTACGTCCGCAGCGGCGGCGGTCGCGGCAAGCGGGACTACTACTGCAGATGACTTCCTCGCAGCGGCAGCCTCACGTTTCGTGTGCCCCGTCACGCTGCTACCCTGCCACCGACATCCCTGTTCCGCACTGCGGCCATGCGGGCACGTCATCAGCGATCGGGCGCTCCGGAACCTGAGGGGCAGTGGCGACCCCTGTTGCCCCGTTTGCAGCCGTCCTTACACCTCAGAGTTGCCAATTAATGGCACCCCAGAGCAAGTGCAGCAACTGAGAGAGGGACTGCGGGCGGCAGCTGCTGCAGCCAAGGCAGCAAAGGAAGCTAAGAAGCAGCAACAGCAGGCAGAGGGTGGTGGGAGTGGGGGAAAGAAGCGGAAGGCTGACGGGTTTGAGGCGCCGGCGGCGGGTGAGGGCGGGAGCGTGGATAAGCGGGCGGCGAAGGGTGGGGGCTGAGTCGTGAGAGGGATGAGATGCTGTCAGGTGGAGCTGCATGGTTGGTTGCGGGGAAGCGCTGTTTTGCGATGTGTTGCTGGGAGACTGTTCGTACGAGGGCGTGCACCTGAGATAGCGGGGTCCGATGCTTTGAATGAAGCACTGCATGGTTTGTTTCACTGCGCGGAGCATGTTGCTTATTAGACATCCGTGCACAAAGCATTCCAGAAGCTCTTGAAGCCTCCTCGCCGAACGGCCCAAGCTTGAGCGGTCTCTATCTTCTTTGAGCCGTGCGTCTTGTTATTTAAGACGGGACACACAAACACGGCGGTACGGCAGTGTAATGCGAAATGTCGTCTACTGCTATCAAGCCTGTCATACTACCGGGTCCCACAACCTAGCTACACCCACCCATTCTCGAGGGCTCGAGACACACACCTATCTAACCCTCTGACCTGCGTGACATCATTCTTCCTTTTCCAGCCTTCCTTTTTGTCATGGGAGACGTTACCTGCAAGCATCTAGCGCACAAACACTCATGGTTGCCCCGCCTAATACGATGCGCCCAGCACAACGCGTTCCTCCCTGCAAGCTTCTACCCTCCTAGCACCCTTCCTAAGCCGCTAAGCCGCCTCACCCCTTGGGACTCTGCACGGACTGCTACTCTACCTCTTTCAATCCTGCGCCGGCACTGCTCACTACATATGTCAATACTACATAATCTCCCTGCTATACCCTAGCTAGCTCTCGCTGGAGGGGTGATGACCCCATCAACCAAGCTGGCAAGCTTGCGTTGCTGCACCCAGCCAAGCAAGGCGGAAGCTTCACTACGTACCGCTAGGGTTGGTGCTGCACCCGAGGAAAGTCTACGCGCCGCTGACTAGCCAGTACGGCACTACCTGTCTCCCTGCCTTGTACGACTCGACCTGTGGGAGGGCATGTGGACACCCAAATCAACACGCTGCTCCTGGAAACGTTCAAAGGGACGATGAGAGAGTCAGGACGGCAGGTAACGGACTTCGGCAGTCATATGCACGTATGACGTATCACCCATGCAGAGGCTTGGGTGCGGTTCTGAGCTATATACCGGTAGGAGATCCGGCACATGGCTCCGGCCGCTCTGGTGGCCGCCAAGCTCAGCATACAGCTGCACCACCCCCCTCTGTGCGACCCCCCCCTCGCGCCCACCACCCACCTGCACCACCCGCATTTCCTCCGGGCTCGCCATGGCCGCTGCCGGCTGCGCGTACATGCACTTGAACTGGCTCTCCGCGTCAACACACTCCGCGGTGTCCATGACATCCTCCTGGCCTCCCCCCGCCGCAGCAGCAGCAGCCGCAGCCGGCTGTGGTGTGGGCGGGAACAACGTGCGGACGGGCGTTGGGAACACCGGCGTCTGCGGCGCGGAAGTGCCGCTTGCTGCAAGCGCTGTTGCTGCTGCGAGTTGAGGCGCCGCGGGTTGAGGTTGTTGAGGCAGATTAGCAGGGAGTGCAGGGATGGCTGGCGCAGCAGAAGTACCGCCCTGTTGTTGCCGCAGGGTTTGGTAATCGCGCCAACGGAGTTCTTCAAGACTGGTCAAGGGGTCGGGGTGCTTCAAGGTCTCGCCGCTTGGAGAGCCAGCGCTGACCGCAGCAGGTGCCGAACCCGATGTTGCGGGGACATTGCCCGCAGCTGTCGCGGAGCTTCCGGATTCGACTACAGAGGGCGCGATTGGCGCCACAGGACGGGTTACCCAAGCGCTAGGTTGGTCTGATGGCTTTAGGGACTTCAAGTGAGAGACGACAGCCCAATGGTACTCATCGGACGATATGGGACCCTGGGCTGTAAAGTACGGATCCGCGGAAACGTGGCGTAACGTGCAATCGCGATCTCCACGTTGCACAGGTGCTGAGGAGCTCAAGGTCTTCTGAGGGACTTGCTGGGGGCCATACTGCTGGGATGGAAGCGCGGGAACCGTAAGCTGTGGCACGCCGCTGGCCTGTGAAGTAGTTTGGTTTCCAAATGGCCAAGAGCTACTACTTGGTGCAGGAGGTTGCATCTTGGCTGTTCCTGATGGCTCTGCTGGTTAAAGGCATTCGTGAACAAACTCCGCTAGCATGTAGTATGTCTACTGTACTACTGCATGTATAATTAATCGCAAAACCTATAGATCAACAGTTTATACTTGCAGAAATGGCTATGCTGGCAACGGCGAAGTTCCGCTTACCGTATTATGCACGTGTATGTACAGCGAAGTTCATGCGGTGTGCCCCAGTGCCTTCCAGATGCAGGATACGACTTCAGGGTAACCCTGTCTGCAGGGGGCTGCTGTAGCTTTTTAAGAACTGCCACTATTGAAGAAACCACCGTCCGGTATGCCACTCCTTCCCCGCATTCGTCCTCCCCCTTTGCGCTCGCTAAGGCAAACGTGTATACCGCATGTTTTCGCATTCCCTCATATGCTGCATCCTCACAGGTCTCGTGCACGAGTTCAGCACAACTTCCGCTGGCCAACCATCACATACGGTACATCCTCTCTTCAGCTGAAAGGCATCACCGCATGTGCCGCCGTCTGCACCCCTTATGCGTTTGGTCTGCAATATGGAAAACATCCTGCTTGATGCTCTTCAGAATGCTGCCCCCGCGCGCCTCCATCAACCAGACTGTTACATCTTACTGTAGTGGCATGCAATCCCCATTCCGCACGTCCGATGCGTGCCCGGAAACCCCAGCTATCTTTCGGCTTCATGCGGTGCACTTGAAGTCCTGCCCATATCGCATGCACGCCTCCGGGGCAGCTGCGCTGCCGTTTCGCAGTGCCCCGGACAGCATGCCGGCGGCTACGGAAGAGGCTATAGTCATGGCATGTGAGTGGCATCCATGCTAGAGCGGAGTATAAGCGCAGTATGGGCTGAGGAATGGTTTAACCAACAATTCGGACCAGCCCATGTGGGGTCAGGTAGGTTCAAACCTCTCAGGTTGAGTTTGTAGGGTAAGGATTCATGAGATTACTGTGAGGACAATACGCCATCAGGCTGGTGGTGTGCTTAAAGCTTTTACAAGCTCGCGGTCGGGCATGGAAAGGCTTGCGAGGCAAAGCAGAGCGTTGTACCGAAGGCCTTAAACACTTCCTTGTGACCACAATGCAGCCTGTTACTTGCTTTCTTATCCGATGGCAGTGTGGTGCCTCGCTGTGAACGTCGAAAGCCTACTTTGCAGAGCAACTGTATATCTACTATATACCGGTACAAGCAGATAACTCATAGTGAAGCGTAATACCTTTGACGTTAAACACGGCACAGGCAAGAGCGCTGAGCGCATGACGCTGTAGTACGTCCCTCGCGACAATCGTTGAAGTCGGTCGTCACAGGCATCGGTTAGAATTAACCTGGATATAAGCAAACACAGTCCATATGGGTCCACTTTTATGCAACTATGGAGCTATACAGCTTGGAAACAAAGCAAATCATAACATTGCTGCCAGGCGCATCCACGGTGATAGGAAGAGGCCCTGAAAGCGGAATTACATCTCGTTTTGTAAGCAGACATCACTGCACCATCACCGTCTCAAAGGGTGTCAACGACTACAGCCCCAGTCGAGATGGAAACGCCCATCGCAACCAACAGGCGTCCTCTGCTAAACCAACACAAGAACCTGACATTCAGCTAACAGTGTTACATCCATCTGGAGCTGCTGTCCTTCGAGGGGAGGTCGCTCGCGCTCACCTGCAGGGCGGCGAGCCCCATCTGCTGCTGCCTTCGGGACATAGCTGTCAGGTGTGCGCTTCTTCCTTCTAATAGTTGCCCCTCGTCGCTACGGACGCTAATCGCCTTGCTATTGCTCTATTCCTTACAGCTACTGTCGTAACCTAACGCTCGTTGCTTTCCCCTGCTGTTCCCTTCTCGCCCTTTCCACGCTGATGCCGACCTGCCTACCTCTCTCCCGGGCAGCTTTATCCAGGCGATCAGATCTTCCTAGAGCGTCAGGACGCGCGTCTCGTCAGCGGCTTTGAGCTCCGACATCCCCGTCACCAGCCTTGGGGCTCCTCCAGCCTTCCTCAAGTGCCTTCACCACCACCACCAGCAGCTGCTGCTCAACTGCCTGGGGCACTCGGAGGACCCCAGCAAACCACACCTGACCACCTTCCCCAACCGCAACAGCAGCAACAGCAACAGCAGCAACCGCAACAGCAGCAACCGCAACAGCAACCGCAACAGCAGCAACAGCAACCGCAACCGCAACCTCAACCGCAACAGCCACCCCAGCCTCCGGCCACCCCTAGTGGTGCTGCTCAGGCTTTGAAAAGGCAGGCAGCGGAGGCAGCTACAACTGACCATGTTCCTCCGCCGCCAGCAGCCCTGCGAGAAGCGACCGCAACTGCGACTACCGGTAATGGGTCTACCGTCCCATGGGTCGGCGCCCCACCACCACTGCATGCAACCGGAAGCCCAGCTGCTCCCAACCGTCCTAAGCTTGAGCCCGAGCGGACCGCAGGCGGTCAGGCAAAGGGAGGTCTTACCAGCCGGGGCGGCAGTAGTGGTCTTGGTAACGGCGCCGGAGAGGGCGGGCTGGCAGCAGAAGCAGCGGTTGCAGGCCGGCCGACGCACCCGCCGCCGCCGCCGCCGCAGCAGCAGCAGCAGCCGGGCTCACCACTGCAGCCGCTGATCCGCGGAAGCAGCAATAGCGGCCCCGCTGCTGCCAAGCGGCCCCGGTTGTCGCCACCTCAGCCAGAGCTCCATGGAGCAGCCTCACAACCGCACACCGGTAATCCCAGTTCGGACATCGCAGCTGCTGTCGAGGACGCAGGAGCGCTGCTGCTGCCGCCGCCCTTAGGACTGTTACCGTCACCATTACCGGTACCCTTACCGGCTGCCACGCCGCCGCGGTCAGCAGCCCCGCCGCCGGCATCCCGTCGGCGTCAGCTGCCATCACATCCGCCGGCTCAAGCCCGTGTTGGATCATTGCCATCAGCAGGTAATGGTGAGGAGGGACCCGCGGGTATGACGACGATGTCCGCTCCGTCAGTGGCGGCAGCGGCGGATGACAACACTGCTACTGCTACTGCTACTGCTACCCACACAACACCTCCAAGGACCGAACCAGCGGTTGCAGTGGCAACAGCAGCAGCAGCAGCAGTAGCGTCAGCTAGGAAGTCTCCGCTGCCGACATCGCAGCAGCCCCCGCCTCCTCCTGGCGCGCCCGCAGCCCCGCAGGACAGAACCTCACCATCATCACCGCCTGCACCCGCACCGCTGCCGCCGCCGCCTGCCACCACGTCGCCGCCGGATGCTGTAGCTAATGCTGACACTGTAACGGCCGCAACCGTTACCACAAGCCCTATGCATGCCGGACATCGGACAACGCCAGCGCCAACACCAGCCCCGACAACGGATGCAGCTACAGATGAAGCTACGACGCCGCCCAGTTGCCCTCCGGTGGCTGTTGTCCCCGCAGCCGCACGCAGCCTTGGCAGTGGCGATGGCGGTGGGGGCAGGGGTGGCAGGAGCAGCAGCAGCAGCCGCGGCATGTTCTCCGGCTGTCGGCTGGTGTTTTGGACTCGAGAGCTGCTGCCCTGGGAGGTTCGTTCTCGGGTGAGCGCAAGGAGCGGTAGGCAGAGATTGTGTGTGGGGCAGCTTTCCCACGTGCCATTGTTGCTGTCCTTCCGCGCCCTTCCTCACTATCTAGGGGTCTCTATCTGTCCTCGCGGCCCTTGCTGCTGCTTGGCATTCTCCTTTCAGAGGCTGGTCGCTGCAGACCAGCTGAGAGGTGACGAATAGGATATAACGCACGGCACTTCCATGCTTGTTCCTTTCTTCCTTACTTCCTGCAGGTAAAGCAGGCGGGCGGGGTGGAACAGTACAGCTTGGATCCAACCACCACTCACGTGATAGCCAGGTACGTCGTACGTCGAGGTCGAAATTAGCCGTACTTGCAACCGCACGCTCTGTTCTCCACGCATTGACATGATACGCCCTTAAACACGCGCCTCTCACACGTTTCCTGTCAGGCAGAAACGCACCCTTCGGACACGCAATACATAGTACTTTGATCGCTGTCTCGCTACCGTACAGGTACGATACCCCGGCGGCAGAGATCTCCCGTCGCTTGTACGAATCAGATCTGCAGTACGCCAGAAAGTACATCAGCGCCTCCCCTGCTGACACCACCTCCGTTGCCCCGCCTCCGCACGGACTTCCGCCTGGCGTCTGTTTCGTGACGCCGCAATACCTCCGAGACTGTCTGAGCAAGGTGGGCGAGCCCCATCTCTGTTGTTGTCTCAGGAAGCATGCATGTAGTCCTGTTGACCTGTTCGAAGCGTCCTAGGGTGCAGGCGTCTGCGGGGTGGCCGCGTATGATGGTCTGCAAGCTTGTCTATGTGTGGTATCAGCCCTAGCTGCATGCCTATCGTAATGAGACATGCACACCTGTACATACTTTTTGACTCTTTGCTCATCACCTCTCTTACCACTGCTTATGCTTGATAAAGCCCGCTGCTCTGCGACGGACCTTTTCTGCTGCCTTCACGCGCGAAGGGGCAGTTGCTGGACCCCGCTCCCTACCTCATAGCGGAGGCTGCCGCTGCACCCTTGCTACTGCAGCTACAGCAGCAGCAGCAACAACAACAACTGCCCCAGCAGCCGCTGCCACAACAACAACAGGAGCAGCCCCCGCAGCTGGGCAATCTGGGTAGCACCTTGCTGCCGCTGCCGCAGGAGCAGCAGCAGCAACAGCAGCAGCAACAGCAGGGGCAGCAGCAGCCAGCACGCTCACCCCCACATGCTACCAAGGCCCTGGCGGAAGGGGTTGCTGCCGCTGCCGAGGGATCGCCCGCGGTGGGGTTCGTGTCAACAGCACCATCCGCCACTCATCCGCCCACCTCCTGTTCGCCCCTCCGCGGTGCCGGTGGTGGTCGCATCCTGCCCCAACCCTCCGAGGTGTGCCAGCGAGCCGAGGACTGGGGCCGCGATGGCAGGTGCGTGAGGGCAGGGCAGGGCAGGCCAGGTTTGCACCGCACGCGACCTCCTTGGGCCTCCTCCTACCGTCTGCTGCGGTCATCAAGCTGGCTGCCTAGCTAACTGGCACCGTAGTAACCCCCTGCCGTCTTCCCGCCCCTGCCCCCCTTCCGCCTCCCGCAGGTGGATCGAGACCTGGGACGAGGCCGCCGCTCGGCGCACCTGCCACCTGCTGCTGTCGCACTGGGCCAAGTGAGGAGGCGGGGGGACAGGGGGGGCGGGAAGTGGGCGGCAGGAGGGGCAGGAGCGGTTCCTCAGCGCTTCCGCTCCCTGTAAGCCACTCACTGCTGCGCAGGTCATATGCGATGTATGTACGGTACGTCATACCTCGCCTGTCTCACGTGCGCTTCGCACACTTGGGCCCATACTGCTTGCAACCGAGGGGATGCGTCACCCTGCGTGTGCATTGTTCGCCCTCGTCAGCAGCATCACCCTGCGTGTGCATTGTACCTACCCCTGCCAGGCACTCCTTCCAGGCGGATCCCGAGGCCCCCGAGACCGTCACCGGGGACAGCGATGATGCGACAGACTGGCAAGATACTGGCAGCGGCAGCGGCGGCGGCAGGACCAGCGGCAGCGGTAGCGGGAGGGGCAGCAGCGGCAGTGATGGTGGCAGTGACGGCAGTGGCGGAGGCGGACGCGGCGGTGGCAGGGGCCGCCTCTCCGGCCGCGGCCGCCGTGGCGGCTGGTCGTACCGTCGTGCCATCGCTGCCGCTGACGTCACCGCGCCGGAGCCTGATGAGGGCGAGGGTGCGGTTGCTGGCAGGGTTAATGACGCGGCTAACCGGCAGCGCCGCCGGGGAAAGCGTACTTGCGGCGGCGACGAAGGAGGCACCCGTGGTGGCGAGGGAGGCACCCGTGGTGGCGAAGGAGACAACGAGGGCGAACACCGCAGCGGCAGCCGCAGTGAGGGTTCTGAGGCTGCCGACGCCGACGACCCACGGGTCACCATCAACCATGTGTGCCACCACATGTGCTGCAGCGCTCGGCCGTTTTGCATCCTGGCGGAGCTTCAACGGACCCGGGATGTGAGTTCGACAATACGTGTTACACCTCTTCCTCATCGCGTTGCCGCCCACAGGTGTACTTCCGATATCCCGTGGTGCACATCCGGGAGTTGTGCTTCATTGACTGCCTCTTCTCCTCCTCCTCGTCCTCCTACCCTCACCTCCCTTCCTCTGCATCCTCCCTCGGGATTCGGGATTGGGACTCCGTTGATGCACTTATCAATATTTTTCCCTCCCATCTCACGCAGCTCTACCTGGGCGGGAGAGAGGACCAGTTCCGCATCAAGGCAGCCGACCGGGCCATGGGGGTGTTGGCCCGGATGGACCGGCCGCTGGACTCCCCGCAGCAGCTGAGGGGGCTGCACCTGGGGAGGGGCTCGGAGGAAAAGGTGGGGAAAAGAAGGAGGTGGGGATGGGGGGTAACATTTCTCGGGTTGGGGGATTAGTAGGGGATGGAATTCGGCACTGCTGGGATAGAGTACCGTATTGGGAAAGCGTAACGTTGCAGGGTTAGCAGCAGCAATCAGTATACACATCGTGCTTTACTGCATTTGCTGGCGGCTGGAGTGGCCTCAACTCATGGGACGATTACCGATAGTTATTGGCTGGCTGGTGGCTGCCGCTGAACAGCTGAGCTCCCCTGCATGGCCGGGTGAGGTGAGGGGGGGTAAATGTAAGGAAACACTGAGGGGTGAGGGGGGGCGGTGCCGCTGCTGCTGCCGCCTCGCCCCCTTTTCCCCCTCTCCTCTCTACCTCCTGCTGCCCCTCTTTCGCGACGACATGTTGCTACTTGCAGGTTTTAAAGAACACAGAATCATGAGTGAATGGTTCCTACCTCCCCAACCCGCATGTGCCGGTGTGCAGATAGCTGAGATCCTGGCCTCTCCGCCCCCGCCCCCCTCCATGCCCCCAACTACCCCCCGACTGCATGCATGCATGCAACTCAGGTAGCTGAGATCCTGGCCACGGGGCGCTTCAGCCGCAATGATACCCTGCAGCAAGACAGCCGGAGGACCACCCTCAAGCTGTTCATGCAGGTGTGTGGGTGGGTGGGGGGAGGGGGCACAGACCACGTACCGAACCATAGGAAAACACAGGTGTTGGGGGGATGGGTCGCGATATTCGCGGGGCTGTTGGCTGGCTGGATGGGGAGGAAAAGAAGAAGACCCAGCGAGCGGATGGTTAGTGTTGGCTGGGCAGGTGGTGCGAGGCGCAGGCAGGGCGGCTGTGTGGATGGCAGGCAATTCAGAGTTGAAGTACTAGAGGCAGGAGGGCTGGGAGAGGTGGAGGTGGGAGGTGGGAGGACTGACAGCGGCTCTTGCGTTGCACCACTGAAGCCGCCTTGCGCCCGTCGTACGTGAAGGCCCAAGGACCCTCCCTCGCATGCACGCCTCTTTTCACCTCCACCAGCACCTCCTCTAACTGCCCCTTACCCTCCGTTAATTTGCCCCCACCCCCTGCTCCTCTCCCCTTCCACCCCTCGCCCTCCTCCTCCCCCCCAGGTGTGGGGTTGCGCGGAGACCACCGCGCGCCGCTGGTGGGCGGCCGGGTGTCGCAGTCTGGAGGACGTGCGGGGACGACCCGACCTCAGTGCGCAACAGCGGCTGGGGCTGCGGCACTTCCAGGATTTCCAGGTGTGGGGGTGGAGGAGGAAAAGGTTTGGGGGGGGAAGGGTGGTTGGATGGGGGCTAGAGGAGTGGTGGGCGGGTGGGTGCGTAGTCATTCCGGTAGTGGACCCTGAGGCACTTCTGCTGCGCCATCTGCTGTAGGTCCCCCTGCTGTAGTAACCTCTCTTCCGCCCGGCTCTTCCCCCACCCGCGCCCTGCTCCCACCCCCGCAGCGCCGGCTGAGTCGCGAGGAGGTGGGCGAGGTGGCGGGCGAGGTGCGGAGAGCCACCCTGGAGGTGTTGAGGGTAAGGTTGGGGTTCGTGGTGGTGGGGGAGCGTGGGTGGCCCGTGCAACTGCGTTTGTGCCCTGGCTCCCCCCACCCTGCTTCCCCCTCAAGCCCCCACCTCCACCCCCACCCCCTTCCCTGCATGGCACCCCTCCCCCCCCCTTCATGGCACCCAGCCAACTCCTACCCCCATTGTTTTGCCCTAACTTGTGGTCTCCTATGGTTTGATATGGTCTTTGACCCCCCTTCAAGTAGTCCCTCACTGGCCTGCCCGACCCCGCGCTGCTGGACCGGCTGCACGTGCGCCCCCTGGGCAGCTACTGCCGGGGGGCCACCTCCTCCTCGGATGTGGTGAGTGCAGGTGCAGGTGCAGGTGCAGGTGCAGCATGCAGCGTGGGAGGAGCGGCTGAGACTGCTGGGGCTGATGGGGTGGGGCTTCGGATGGGTACCATGCAAACATGTGTGTGTGTGATGCCATGAAAGCGTGTTAGATTAGCCCGGTAAGGTTAAACCGCAATAATTGGCTGCGTGCATGTATGCTCACCGGCGTAAGGTTCACACGTACGTCTGCGCCGTGCTTTCCTTCAACAGGCCCTTCTTGGTATCCCCTTATTCCCCTATCTTTCCATGGCTACTGTCGCTTCCTTCTCATGTCCTCCTCCTCTCATCCTCTTTTGCAGGACTTCATCATCTCGCCCAGTCCCCAGGCCGACCCACGGGTCGCTCCACTCGCGCTGCTGTCGGGCATCGTGGAGCGGCTCAGTGGGGGCGGCTTGGTGGACCCGGAGTCGGCGCGCATGATTGAAACGTGAGGGGGAAGGGGGGAGGAAGGAGGGCTGGATTCTTAAGGGCTGTTGTCAGGCAGCAGAGGATGCGATGCGGCTGCAGGGGCAGTCTTGCGTGAATCCCTTTAGGTTCAGGAGAGCGGCTCTCCATCAGCCGGGTTAGCCCTGTTAGCCCTCTGCCATTGGCCCCCTCGCTTCGCTCTGCCTCCGTCCCTGGTGTGATGCATTCTTCCTACAAGCCGCCAAGTCAGTATGTGCGTCTTTCCTTCCTTGCAGACGCTCGCACTTCCGCACCTCCGCGAACCGCCCCAAGCCACTCCGGATGCTGCAGCAACAGCCGCAGCAACAGCCGCAGCAGCAACAGCCGCAGCAACAGCCGCAGCAGCAGGACCCCTCAGGACACCCCTCTGATGGGCAGCAGGGAGGCGGCGGTCGCGATGCATCCGCGCATGACGACAGCAGCTGCACTTGGCTAGGTGGGTGGGCCGCTAGCTGTAAGAACCGTAGCAACCGTTTGTGGAGAATGCATGCATGTGCGCCCATGCTTGCCACTCCCTCAACCCTCCCTTGCCATTCCCTCGTCAATATTTATTACCCTCCCTTGCCCCTCTCCCCTCCCTCTCCCTACCTAGGCGTGTGGCGCTTCCCCTCCAGCGGCCGCTACTGCCGCATTGACATCAAGTGCTACCGCCGCCGCTGCCTGCCCTTCGCTGTCAACTACTTCAGCAGCGGTACCGACTTCAATCGGGCGCTGCGGTGAGAAGACGGGTGGTCGCACGTCGTGGCCTGTTGCTGCTGACGGGGCGAGGTGGTCAGACTGCTTGTATGGACTGCTTGAAGCGCAGGAGCGTATCCAGGGAAGGCGCGATTGGAAGGAGTGTTAACTAAGCTTCTTCGCCCTTCTTTACCCCCCCCCATCGTCTTCCATCCTCATTCTCCTCATGACGCCTCCCCTTCCTTCCCGCTACCCCTCCCCCGTCCCGCCGCCGCCCCCGCCCCCGCCCCGTCTGCGCAGCTACTGGGTGTCCACCCGTCAGCCGCTCATGCGCCAGCTGGCCTCCCGCCACCACCCCGCCGCATGCGCCTTCCGACTGAGCGACAAGGAGTTTGCAGTAGTGGGACGCAAGCCGGCAGGGACGGGGGCAGCAGCAGGTGGAGCTGCAGCAGCAGGGGCAGCAGCAGGGGCAGGTGGTGGAAGAGACGGGAGGGGGAGTAGTGGTGGCGCAGTGGCAGGAGCTGTGCGAAGTAGGGGGGGTGGTAACAAGGAGGCGGTTCAGGAGGTGGTGTTGGCGGTGGTGGAGTGCGGGTGCGAGAGCGACATCTTCCGGGCGGTGGGTCTGGACTACGTGCCGCCGCACATGCGGGACATCACACGAGTGCTGGAGTAGTGGGCAAGGTGGCTGGATTGACCTTGTGTTAAGAAAACTGGCCGCGAGTTGGCTTGTACTGTGATTGCCGGAAGATAAAGTCCCCACAGAACCGCCCTTTGCGTCTGCGGCATGCATGTAGGGCTACCGCAGCAGCTGGGTACCCCAGGGTATCCTCGCCCGGTTTCGTGCACTTGTCTTTGTGTTTGGGGCGGTCATGCATGCATACTTCTTATGATGTTATGAAGGACGGACAGGCTTCATGAGGCGGGAACATGTACCCTAGTGTCGCCTCATCACCTCAAAACATACACAAGATACCAACACCGAGCCGCGCACCGATCCGAGCCGAGCGGAGCAAGCATGCGGTGCGCTGCTCCACTATTACGGACGCAAGGCAGCATGATCCCGAATGGATGGGGACACAGACCTGACCTAGCAGTTCGGCCTTGACACTCACTCCCCACAAGTTTGAAGCCGCAAAGCAGTGTTTGGCAACAGAGCGTCAGGCATGGCTGATACAACGACAAAGGAGCCCCAAAAGCAAACGCCAAATGTTGTCAAATGAGGTAATTGGCAGAGGCAACCGGAACAACAGAAACAGCCCTGGCGACTGAACACGTATGATTGCTAGCAAAGCATGCTTTGGTGAACACTGGCACGCGCTACGGAAAACGTCATGTGTACAGCATTACCTAGCTCAGCTTTATTGTCAACTTGCCGCAAACGTCCTTACAAACCCAGAAACAATTGTCCGTAGAGAAACGATCCTTCTACTCCTCTCTGTCTTATGCTACGGCCAAACACCAGCAAACGACCTAAGCTAACTCGCAACCGAAGAACTGACCCGTGGGTCACAAACACGTTACTCCTACTGCTACTACCAGCCACGAAGGCCATTATTCCCTGCACGGTATCCAGCCCCACCAAATGCCCATGCGGCCCTCCCGCTGCCACACGTAGGCATGGGGCACATGAGCGAGGCACCGCAGCCTGCGCCAGCGACCGCACCTTCGCACCCGCCACCCGCCCGGCTACTGCCAGACGCGTGGTAGGATGGGGAGACGAGCGGGCGGGTACCTATCCTACCATGTTCCCTTGCAAGATGGCGATAAGGCATTCAAAGATGCACATGCAATTGCAGATGCCGCAAAAGACGGCGAGCTGCCCCCAAGAGGGGCATGACAGTGTCGTACCAGCTACACCGGTTGAACTCCTTCTGCGCACGAACGAGCCTTTGCCACCAACGTTTGTTCCTTCACCCTAAAAAGGTCAGCATTCGTAGCCCTTTCTCATCCTAAAGCACAATGCAACGTGGTTTCCTTCTCCGGCCCTACGTCGCGGCATGCATGTGGACAAGGAAGCTCGTCAGCACCAGCCCCTGCCCTAAGGCATGCATGTGACCTGCACCCTACCCCTCCATCCAAAAACAATCCTTCCTGTCCTGCTACCGCCCCCCAGCCGTACACCGCACGCTCACGTGGGCAGCAGCGTCAGGCTGCAGGTGATCTTGCCCTCGTGCAGGTACTCCTCCCAGGCTGCCAGCGCCTGCCGGTTACCGCCCGCCCCCAGACTACCACCGCCGCCGCCGCCGCGACCTGCTTCCGCGCCCCGCTTCGGCCGCCTTAGGGGGAGTACCAATCGATGTCCCCATCCTCTCTTCATGTGCACAGGTTCCTCCTTGCCACCACGCAGGACTATTGAGTCTGCCCGAGTGCCGTTGTGCCAACGGTTAATGGCCAGTCGACGGCCTATGCTGACCAGCACTGGCACAGCATGGTCACTGAAGCGGCGTGGGCTAAGGGTTATGTAAGCAGCAGGCTGGAAGCAGTACATCCATACATCAGCGGATAAGCCGCCGTGGCACCAGCCTATGGACACCACGCACATTAAGCCCTGCGCAAACATAAATTGCTGCTGCTCCATGGTCCAGAGGAGTAGTGCCATTCCTCCGGGCTGCAGGCCTGCCAGCTCCTCCTCTAACTCCCGCTGGGGAATGTGCGCAGCAAAGCCGATGCCGTCCTCGGGCACGCATTGCGTGCGGGGTGCTGTGCTGTAGGCCGCTGAGTGGATGTTGGATTTGGAGAGGAGCTCTGCGTCGTCTAGCAGACTGCGCTGTTCCTTTTCAGAGGCGCCAGCAAAACTGGCTATGAAGGCGGCTTCGGACACAGTTACGGGGAACCAGCCGGCCGGCGTATTCGGTGACACCTCATAATCGGCAGCGAGCAACGGCAGCACGTAGCTGAGGTAGGGCTTGCTCAGCTGCACCAGCCGCACCTGCCGGCCCAGCCGCTTGCGTGTCCCCGCGTCCGTCTTGCCGTAGTTGGCCTGCATCCAGGTCGCCAGCATCAGCAGCACGCTGGACTCACTGTCGGTGCCGAAGCTGTCCGACTCGAGCAGCGCCTCCACGGCCACTGCCGGCAGATCCAGCAGCTGCTGGCGGAGGGAGGGCGTGTTGAGCACACGCAGCGTGTTGCCAAAGTACGACACAACCTGTTGTTTAGCAGCCGCGATGACAGCAATAAAGCTGGGATGCTTGTCGACAGCGGGGTCAGGCCACAGGGCCCCATGCGTGTAGAACTCCAAAGCAGCCGGCCGCACGCCTGGCGGCGCCCCCGCACCGCCACCACCGTCCCCGTCGCCCTGTGACGCGGCTGCGGCCATCATGCCCCGGAGGACTTCATCGCACGCCTCAGCGCAGCCCTCGATCTGCAGGTATGCCGCCTGGCGCCGCACCTCCAGCACCTCCCGCACGCTGCCCGCCTGCACCTGCCCCGTGTAGGCGAAGCGGATGGCTGCACGCGCGCTGGGGACATCCACCTCGCTGGCCAGGGGGATGCGCAGCTCGGGGCGGCTGTTGCTGGGGGTGGAGGTGGAGGAGGGCGATGATGCCGCCGGTGGGGCCTGCTCGCCACCGCGGTCCCAGCGCTCAAGCTGCAGGTGGGGGCCAGATCAGCACCGGGCATCGGGTAACCAACTGTTAGCACAGCTGTTGCTGTTAAACATCCAATAACGTGTTGGAAGCAAGAAGCATGTTGTTAGCGGCCTGTTGTTACACATCAGCCTGCTGTCTGCTTTGAGGCGCTACAAGGACGGAAGGAGCGCTCAGGCAGCTGCATCCCCGTATTATGCACCTAGCAAGCAGCAGGTTGCTTGGACACAGCAGCCAGGTAGCCAGCGATATGTATGATGAGCCCATATTTAGGTATCGGTAGCATAGCAGCCTCATGCTTCTTACCTGCGCGGCGAAACGCTCGGAGCTGAAGCGCAGGACCAACTGGTGTGCGGGAAGCGGGCTTCCGAGGAAAGCGCCACCCTCCAAAAGTACCTAGCAGTACATTGTGCCCTGCTCTAGCTTAAATGTAATCCAGCAATGCATAGTCAGTACGGTCCACGCTAGTGCAAACGCAAAAGGGCCTTGAAATTCGTAACTTGGATTTACCATATGCAAGCTTTTGTTTTTGTTAAAGTGAAGGCAGAAAGAAAAGTATACAAAGTTTTATTTCATAAAATTAAATTTTGAAGCCTAAAGCAAGAGGCTACCCTTTGGAGGATAGAGTTAGAAACCTCGAACGAAAAGGTAATCTGTGCGAGTGTCCAGTGGGGAGGCACATGGGGCTCCCAAAAGGGGCCAAGGTTTACGGAACAGGGACAGGGCAGGGGAACACAGACCTTGTCACTGCTGGCCTCTCTGAATAATTTCAATCTTTACCACAACCGGCATGCAAGGTTGGCCGGTTCTAGCGTTCCTTTATGCAATTGTGCAGTGCGCGTCTTGAAGCAGTTCAAAGGAACCTTCCTACTCCGCAAGGGATTGATATCCAGATGCATGAAAGCACCTCTGCCCCTCACATCATACGGCCCCGTCCAATGTGTTTTTTTTCGACACGTCCTTTCTCAATACTGTCTACACAACTACCTAAAGTTTTGTCCCTGCAGCGGCCCTTGTTTTTGTCCCTCCTCCAGCACGGTACCACACCGCTAATGGCTTACGTACGAGCAAGTTCAAAACAATTATTACTCCGGATCGCACATATACAGCTGAACTCCATAAGCTCGCCCGCAATTGACCCACAGGTCGCCTTGCGTCGATAAACCTTGTTCACCCAGGGGCAGTGAATTATTCGGCCATTTCCACAGCTCACTCTGTCTCAACCAGCAAAATGCGACCTGTTGGGAACAAGCACTTTCTCGGCGCCGTTGCTGGCCTGTTTGGCAGCGAGAAGGCCTCTGACTGCGTGATCCGCTTCTGCTCAGAGGCAGACGCCTTCCTACGGAGAAGAAGAAGAAGCAGGACGGCCCGATTGATGCAGCCGACTCATCAGCTGCTGCTGCTACGGGTGCTGCTTCTGATGTCGCTGCTGCCGGCCTTTTGGAGGGTGGCGCTTTCCTCGGAAGCCCGCTTCCCGCACACCAGTTGGTCCTGCGCATCAGCTCCGAGCGTTTCGCCGCGCAGGTAAGAAGCATGAGGCTGCTATGCTACCGATACCTAAATATGGGCTCATCATACATATCGCTGGCTACCTGGCTGCTGTGTCCAAGCAACCTGCTGCTTGCTAGGTGCATAATACGGGGATGCAGCTGCCTGAGCGCTCCTTCCGTCCTTGTAGCGCCTCAAAGCAGACAGCAGGCTGATGTGTAACAACAGGCCGCTAACAACATGCTTCTTGCTTCCAACACGTTATTGGATGTTTAACAGCAACAGCTGTGCTAACAGTTGGTTACCCGATGCCCGGTGCTGATCTGGCCCCCACCTGCAGCTTGAGCGCTGGGACCGCGGTGGCGAGCAGGCCCCACCGGCGGCATCATCGCCCTCCTCCACCTCCACCTCCACCCCAAGCAACAGCCGCCCCGAGCTGCGCATCCCCCTGGCCAGCGAGGTGGATGTCCCCAGCGCGCGTGCAGCCATCCGCTTCGCCTACACGGGGCAGGTGCAGGCGGGCAGCGTGCGGGAGGTGCTGGAGGTGCGGCGCCAGGCGGCATACCTGCAGATCGAGGGCTGCGCTGAGGCGTGCGATGAAGTCCTCCGGGGCATGATGGCCGCAGCCGCGTCACAGGGCGACGGGGACGGTGGTGGCGGTGCGGGGGTGCCGCCAGGCGCGCGGCCGGCTGCTTTGGAGTTCTACGCGCATGGGGCTCTGTGGCCTGACCCCGCTGTGGAGAGGGATCCCAGCTTTGTTGCTGTCATCGCGGCTGCTAAACAACAGCTTTTGTCGTACTTTGGCAACACGCTGCGAGTGCTCAACACGCTCCCCCTCCGTGAGCAGCTGCTGGATCTGCCGGCAGTGGCGGTGGAGGCGCTGCTCGAGTCGGACAGCTTCGGCACGGACAGTGAGTCCAGCGTGCTGCTGATGCTTGCAACCTGGATGGAAGCCAACTACGACAAGACGGACGCGGAAACACGAAAGCGGCTGTGCCGGCTGGTGCGGCTGGTGCAGCTCAGCAAGCCCTACCTCAGCTACGTGCTGCCGTTGCTCGCTGCCGATTACGAGGTATCACCGGATACGCCGGCCGGCTGGTTCCCCGTAACTGTGTCCGAAGCCGCCTTCATAGCCAGTTTTGCTGGCGCCTCTGAAAAGGAACAGCGCAGTCTGCTAGACGACGCAGAGCTCCTCTCCAATTTCAACATCCACTCAGCGTCCTACAGAACAGCACCCCGCGCGCAGTGCCTGCCCGAGGACGGCCTCATCTTTGCTGCGCACATTCCCCAGCGGGAGTTAGAGGAGAAGCTGGCAGGCCTGCAGCCGGACGAGACAGCGGAGTTGTTCTGGAGCATGGAGCCGCAGCAGTCGGTCATCATTGCGCAGGGCTTCGAGTGGGGGGTGTCCATGAACTGGCGCCACGGTGCCCTCGCCGCTGGACTGTACTTGTACTACTGCCAGCCTGCTGCTTACATGGCCCTGAACCCCCGCCGCTTCAGTGCCCTTGTTGTTGTGCTCATGCGAGTCGGCATGCATCACCAACTGGCCGTTAACCGTTTGCACAACGGCAGTCAGGTAGACTCGGTCGTACTAGGCTCCAGCATGGAGGACTCCGCTGTGGCCCTACGGGGAGGATTGGTACATGCATCGGCACTGCCCCTTAGGCCGCAGCTGGAGCTGGGTGTGGAAGCAGGTCGTGGCGGCGACGGCGGTGCTGCTGCTGCAGCAGGAGGTGGTGGTCTGGGGGCGGGTGGGAACCAGCAGGCGCTGGCAGCTTGCTGGGAGGAGTACCTGCACGAGGGTAAGATCACCTGCAGCCTGACGCTGCTGCCCGCGTAAGCGTGCGGTGTACGGCTGGGGGGCGGTAGCAGTGAGGGAGGTAGGAGTGTTTGTGGATGGAGGGGCAGAGCGCAGGTCACATGCTTGCTTCAGGCCTGGGGCTGACATGCTCCCTTGTCCACATGCATGCCGCGACGTAGGTCGGAGAAGGATACCACGTTGAATTGTTCTTTTGGATGAATATGGGCTAGGGATGCTGACCTTTCCAGAGTGAAGGAACAAACGTTGGCAAAGGCTCATTTGTGGGTGGAGGGAGTCCAACCGATGTGGCTGATACGGTAGGGGCAGCTCGCCGTCGTTTTAGGCATCTGCCATTGCAGTAGAATCTTTAATGCCTTATCGGTAGCCGATCTGCCTGGGAATACGGTTTGGTTACCCGCCCGCCCACCTCCCCATGCTACCTCGCTTCTGGCAGTGTTAGCCGGGAGGGGAGCCGCGGAGGGTGCAGGCTGCGGTCGCTGGCGCAGGCTGCGGTGCCTCGCTCATGGGCCCCATGCGTACGTGTGGCAGCAGGAGGGCCGCATGGGCATTTGGTGGGGCTGGATACCGTGCAGGGAATAATGGCCTTCGTGGCTGGTAGTAGTAGTAGGAGTAACGTGTTTGTGACCCACGGGTCAGTTCTTCGGTTGCGAGTCAGCTTAGGTCGTTTGCTGGTGTTTGGTCGTAGCAAACGACACAAAAAAGAAGGAACGAAGGTGGAGGAGGATTAGGAGGAACGTTTCGGAGCTATCATATGAGGCCATCCCCAGACTGCTGCTGTTACGGGTTGCCCGTGCCGGCTGGGCCCGCCAGACAGAAATGCGTGTTCCTGTTTGCGAGGCATGCACTCGTTGGGCCGCCCAAAAGTGGCTCGTGCTACTAGGGTGAACATGGCTGGCCAGGGTAAGGTGCGTGCGGGTGTAGGATGCCTTGCCCTGCCCAAACCTGTCAGTACGTCCGCTGGAGGGAGAGTGGAATCCAGTGGATTCTTACCTGTACACCCCAGGACACCCCCCCTTTGCACCCTTCCCTGCACACCCCTTCCCAGTACACCCTTACGACCACCGCTGTACTTTACACATGCCGGTGGTGCCGTGCCGTGTATGGGACCATGTGACGGGACCGCACAGCGCCACCGCGGTACACCTGCTCGACCTCCTCCTGCTGCGTCATGCACCGCCCCGCCTCCTTGCTTCTGTCGTTGTAACTCCTCCGGCCTCCCCCTCCTTTCACATCTTCCTTGCTAGACTCAACTTAGCACGCCCTCACTTGCCCTCGGTCTCCACCGCCTTGCCCGCTTCCCCTGCCTCCTCCTTCGCCCCCGCCTCCTCCACCTTCCCCTCCTTTCCTTCCTTCGCCTCCTCCTCCTTCCCCTTGGCCTCCTTCGCCTCCTCCTCCTTCCCCTTGGCCTCCTTCGCCTCCTCCTTTCCTTCCTTCACCTCCGCCCCCGCCCCCCCGGCCAGCGGCACCCCCGTCATGCCCAGCGCCTTCAGCAGGAACGCATACTCCAGGGAGACCTGCGGAAGGGGGGAGAGTTGAAATTAGACCAAACCATATGAAACAGGAGACAGGAGGGAGACAGGAGGGAGTAAAGGCCGGTCATGCACACATATGCATACATACATACACCGGGGAAAAAAGACCAAGCCCTGCAACTTCGTTGCCTACCGTCGCCGGTTCCCGTATCCACGCCTCCCTCTCCTCCTCTTTCCTATTTAGCCACCCATGGCGAAGCATCGTCATACAGCTCGTCAGTTTCCACTTATTATATAATAGTTGTTTGCACTTATTATATAATCCCCCCCTCAGTCAGTTAGTTGTTCCCCCCCCCCTCCCTCCAACTCACCTCCTTGAGCCTCTCGAACCTGCCGGTCACACTAAAGTGCCCCGCACCCATGTCCGTCTTGAGCAGCAGCAGGTGGGGGCACACGGGGCTGCTGTTGTCCTTGCTGCTGTTGTCCTTGCTGCTGCTGCTTCCCCCGGTCTTGTCCTCTTTGTTGTTGGTAGCGGCCTCACGCAGTCGGGCAATCAGCTTGGCCGCCTCCCAGTAGCCAACCTGGCAGGTGGGAAAAGAAGAAGAGTACCCCATGTGTTGGAGGGGAGGGAGGGAAGACGGGCCGGAGGCAGGCGGTGAGATTGCAAAGGGGCTGGAGAAGGCACAGGAAGCGCAATCGTGTTCAGTGCAAGAGGCGTCGTTGTGAAAGTGGCGTCGTCGCTTTACATCCCCGGGTAAGCCCTCTTCCCCCAAGGTACTCTAAGGTCCCCCAAAAAACACCAAAGACACTGCCCCCCCCCACCGAGCACTGACCCGTGGGTCATGCAGCCCGGCGGTTGCCAGCACGTGCGGGTACTTCTGCGGCCGTACGTTGTCCACCGGAGAGTAGCTCTTCATGTAGGTGTACACGGCGGGGTCTGGGGGGGGGGGGGAGGGGGAGGGGGAGGGGGAGGGGGAGGGGGAGGGGGAGGGGGAGGGGGAGGGGGAGGGGGAGGGGGAGGGGGAGGGGGAGGGGGAGGGGGAGGGGGAGGGGGAGGGGGAGGGGGAGGGGGAGGGGGAGGGGGAGGGGGAGGGGGAGGGGGAGGGGGAGGGGGAGGGGGAGGGGGAGGGGGAGGGGGAGGGGGAGGGGGAGGGGGAGGGGGAGGGGGAGGGGGAGGGGGAGGGGGAGGGGGAGGGGGAGGGGGAGGGGGAGGGGGAGGGGGAGGGGGAGGGGGAGGGGGAGGGGGAGGGGGAGGGGGAGGGGGAGGGGGAGGGGGAGGGGGAGGGGGAGGGGGAGGGGGAGGGGGAGGGGGAGGGGGAGGGGGAGGGGGAGGGGGAGGGGGAGGGGAGGGGGAGGGGGAGGGGGAGGGGGAGGGGAGGGGAGGGGGAGGGGGAGGGGGAGGGGGAGGGGGAGGAAGAAGGGCGCAGGAAGGAGGGAGGGGGGCGGGAAGGAGGGAGAAGAGAATGGGAGGAGGGGAAGAAATACGAGATTTCACGGGGTCGTGACTACATGGGGTCATGGGGTCGTGACCAACATGGCTATTGTTGTGACCATGTTGCCGTCCCCTTCGAGCTCTGCGGCGCGTGGAGGGGCTCCCACGCGCTTGGAGGGGCTCCCACGCGCTTGGAGGGGCTCCCACGCGCTTGGAGGGGCTCCCACGCGCTTGGAGGGGCTCCCACGCGCTTGGAGGGGCCCCCACGCGCTTGGAGGGGCCCCCACGCGCGTGGAGGGGCCCCCACGCGCTTGGAGGGGCCCCCACGCGCTTGGAGGGGCCCCCACGCGCGTCCCACACCGTGATAATCCTCACCCTCCTCACCCTTGAGTGCAGGGATCGCCGCACGCCTGCCTACTGGTAATTAGTTCCGATTTGGTTCCCACGGACATGCCTTACTGCCTGATCCCCCGCCCTCGTGCAGGTGCCTCCCCCCCCCGCCCCTCACCGCTGCAGGGGTCGCCCCACTCCTCCCGCTCGATGATGGTGAGCGGGATGGTGTCGTCCATCATGGTGGTCAGCGAGTCCACGAAACCCACACCTGCATTTGGGAGAGGGGGGGATGGGGGCACACGAGGGGCGGGGGGGGAGATGCATGCAGGTGTCGGAAAAACACACACGCATGCGGGTGCCAACACACGCACGCCAAACACACACGCATGGGGGTGTCAGAAAACACATCCCACCCCCTCTTCTCTTCCCTCCCCTCGCATGGACATCGGACTGTGCTTTACTTCTCACTTCCTTCTTCTCCTCTACCCACCAATGATCGCTGCATGGAAGAGGTCGGGCCGCATGTTGACCACCGCCCCCATCAGCAGCCCCCCCGCAGACCGCCCCTGGATCACCAGCCTCTGTGGGGTCACCAGCCGCGCCTCCCCAACCAGGTGCCCCGCTGCGGCGATGAAGTCGGTGAAGGTGTTGGCCTTGCGCAGCAGCTTGCCGTCCTCGTACCAATAGCTGGGAAGGGGGGGGGGGGAGAGGAGGGTGGGTGAGGGGAAGGAGGCGAAGAAATTAACCGTTCTACAAGGCTTCACCACGGTGGGAGGGAGGGAGGCGAGTGGGCTTGCCCTCCTCGTACCAGGACCTTGGGTTAACGGGGGGAGGGAACAGCTGGACACCTCCGCTGTGGTAAGCAACCTAAAGGCAGACCTTACCCGTAGCTAGTAGGTTCCTGACCCATGGGTCACCCACAAGTCCACAGCCCCACCCCCACCCTCCCTCCTCTCCCCCTCCCTACCGGCCCATCTCGCCGCCTCCCCGCACGTGTGCAATGGCGAAGATGAAACCCCGGTCCAGCAGCGACAGGCGGGAGCTGGAGAAGTAGGGGTCGTTGGGGATCTCGTAGGAACCGTAACTGCATGGGGGGGGGGAGGGAGGATGGAAGGAAGGATGGGGAGGGCATCTTCAGCTTGGCTGCTCCCTACGTTTTACATCCGTACTCTACTTCCCCGCTCCCTCTCCCCGCCCCCCTCTCCCCGCCCCCTCTCCCCGCTCCCTCTCCCCGCCCCCCTCTCCCCGCCCCCTCTCCCCGCCCCCTCTCCCCGCCCCCTCTCCCCGCCCCCTCTCCCCGCCCCCTCTCCCCGCCCCCTCTCCCCGCCCCCTCTCCCCGCCCCCTCTCCCCGCTCCCTCTCCCCGCTCCCTCTCCCCGCTCCCTCTCCCCGCTCCCTCTCCCCGCTCCCTCTCCCCGCTCCTTTCTACTACCGTAGTCCAGTCTATTGCGGTTCACCCCATACACATCTCCGCTCCCCCTTCCCCTCCCCCCCCTCCCCCCCCTCCCCCCCCCTCCTCCCCCCTTCCCTCTCCCCCCACCCGTCCAGCAGCAGGGGGTCGCTTCCATCCAGCTTGGCCAGGCCCTTGCGGTAGACCAGGCTGATGGGGACCTGGGGGGGGGGGGAGGGGGAGAAGGGACAGGGTGCGTTGGGGGCAGGTGTGTTACGCCTTGTCACAACGCCTCGTCCCCACCTTCCACCATCCCTGATCCCCTACCCCTTCAAGATGCTAGAGCCCGCAGCTAGTAACCTTTTTACCATTACCTCCCCCAGAGGCCCCTTCCCCCACACCTTCTTCTCCCCCCACCACCACCCTATGGTTTGGTATGGTCTTTGACCCCCCTCCACCTCCCCCCACCTTGACCCCATCCGCCGCGGTGGCCCAGCGCCGCTCCGTGACATATCGGCTGCGGTCGAATCCGCCCAACACCGGGGCCACCTTCTTGACACAGCGCTTGCCTGGTCAGGAGCGGCGGGGAATAAAGAATACCCCACGTGCAGCGGAGGGGAGGGGAGGGGGGGAAATCATCAGAAACGTGGAGAGAAGACCCCTGTGAAGGGAAGGGGGAAGGCGAGGGAAGGGGGGCAGAAGCCCTCCTTCCAACTTCCAACACAGCCTGGTTTCAAGCCGCCCCTTTCTCACCGGCTGCATCCCGCCTGCACACCCCACCTCCTGCAGTGCTTAGCCCTCCCCCCTCTCGGTTACACCTCGCCCGCACCCACACCATACCCCCTCCCTGTCGGGCTGGCTCACATGTTGCAAACCATGTTGATGCCTTATCACACGGTCAGTTAGTTGTTTCCTCTGTACCCCTCCCTATTACCCTCCTTCCCCCCATATACCCCCTGTTCGCCTAGTCTTACAGCTCGTTAGCTGCATCGTCAGCGTCTCATTTTTTACCCCCCCCCTACTCCCCTCTTCCCCTCCTCTCCTCCTCACCCGTGCCCATGTGCAGGTCGATGACGGTGGAGGGGGTGGTGAGGCTGGTGTACGACATGCGCAGGAGCGGCGAGTCGAAGTCACCCGTCAGGTCTGGCAGGGGGAAGGGGGAAACGGGAAGGTGAGAGGGGGGGAGGGAGGGGGGAGGGGAAAACGGGAAGGTGAGAGCGGGGACTGGGCAGGGCAATGGGTAGCTCAATAGGGCTGGTTGAGGAGCCTTCATATATGTATTCATAAAAGCGAGCCGAATGCGACTGCATGCATTAGCCGTAGCAACCCCTAGCAAGCCCGCATGCGCGCATCCAAGAAAGAAACCTCTCGCCATCTGCTCCCCCTCCCTCCCTCCCTCCCTCCCTCCCTCCCTATACCATATCACAATTTCATTGGGTCTTCTTCTTTTCCCTCCCTCCCTCCCTCGCACCACTCACACGCCGAGAGGCTGTACGCCGGCTCGTCAAACGTGATCTCCTCGCCGGCGCCCAGCTGACCCACGGGTCGCTCCTCCACCCCGCCAGGCAGGCGGTACACCCTCGCTCGCTCCAGCCCGCCGCTGCGCTCCGAAACCACCATGAAGTCCCGACCCACTGCGGCGCCGCAGAGCTTCACGTCGCGACGGTGGGGGATGAGGACCTGGGGGGTGGGGAGGGGTGGGGGAAGAGCACCCAATGGCTTATGGGACAGTGGTAGGCTAGGTGACAAGCCCTGGGCGGAAACAGTCCGTGAGGGGCGGAGGGGGGTGGAAGGAGGGTCAAGTTAGGGGTGTTATCGCATCGGGCTTTAGACCTCGTCAGTACATAGCGCCTAAAAGTAGCTACCGCTACCCATTCCCCTCTAACCTCCTCTTCCCCCCCAATCCCCCCCCCACACACACACCTCCGCCTGCTCGGGGTGCTCAATGGGCGCCACCAGCAGCTCGCTGTTGGGTCGCTGCGAGTCGCGGAGGGTGAGATAGAGCCAGGGACCGCGGTCCGACACACTGTACTCCGTGTCCTAGGGGGGCGGTAAGGAAGTGGAAGAAGGGAAGTGCTTGAAATCCAAAATCATCTGAAATGGGCAGCAGCAGCTTGGCGCAGGAAGGGAACTGCATCCTGGGGGCAATACGGTATCATTGGGGTGTGTTTTGGCAGCCCCTCCCGCCCCTCTCCCCCCCCTTCCCCCCCTTACCTGCACCCTCGGTAGCACCACCCGCCACTCCCCCTCCGGCTGGTCGGCGGGCAGGTAGCGCGTCTCGCTGGTGACCGCGGAGCCTTGGAGGGGGAGGGGGGGAGGGGAAGGTAATGAGTACAGTGCTACGGTACTCAAAACCCGATATAAACCTGGGGTATGTAGCCCTTCCGCACGTTTTGCGCCCTCCCTGCGGCTGCGCCACCCCTGGCCCTCTCCGCCTCGCCTCCTCCCAGCCCCCTCCGCCTCACAACCCCCTCTCCCCCCCAGTTTGTCAGTTTTCTATTCCTCCCCCCTCACACCCCCCCTACCCGAGTGAATGTAGATCAGGCGCTCCGACCTCCCCTTGCTCAGCCCCACGTAGAAGGCCTCGTCGCTCTCCTCGAACACCACCACATCGGGGGAGGGGCAGCCCAGCCGGTGGCGGAGGACCTACCCGGGGGGGGAAGGGGGGAGGGAGGGGATGGGAGGGGGGGAGGGAAGAGGGGGAACTTAAATGAAAAGTGAAGCAACGGAGTCCCAATCCCAAATCCCGACTCATGCAGTGAGCGCATACAGAGAGACACTACACGGGGAACGAAGCGAACCAGTTGTGGATTGATGGATGGTGGGAGTGGAGGGGGACGGGTTAGGGAAGGATGGGATGAGAAGGGGGGTCAAAGACCATACCGAACCATAGGAAGCCACAGGTTGGGGCAAGACAATGGGGATAGGAGCGGCAGGGTGCCACAAAAACAAGTATCGGTTAGGGGGGGGAGAGAGAGAGAAACGAAGGGAGAAATAATTGGTAGGTGCGGTGAGGGCTGCCCTCCCCTCCTCCCCATACACACACACGCACGCATCGCTCCTACCTTGTACGGCCCTATCCTCCCCCCACGGCCCTCCCTCCCCCACCCCCCACCCCGCCCACCTTGTACGGGCGGTCCAGGTGATCCTTCACCACGTAGAAGAGGGTGGCGTTGTCCGCAGCCCACTCGAAGTCGCCGCTGGTGCCGGGGATGGGGCGGGACACGGAGGCGCCGGTGGACAGGTCCTGAGGGGGGGGAGGGGGCAGGGAGAAGGGAGAAGGGGAGCAATGGGGGGAAGGGGGGGACGGGGAGGGGCAGGGTAAGGAAGGGGGCAAGGTAGGCAGCGGTACTGCCTTAAAGAGACAGTGCAACAGGTGTCGGGGAGGTGGAGACGGGCATGCATGCAGCAGGGTGCGGTTGCAGCCTCCTACCCCCCAAGGGCCCCTCCCCCCCTACGCTGACGTGTATGGTTTACTCGGCGGGTGCTAGGTCGGCGGGTGCTAGGTCGGCGGGTGCTAGGTCGGTGGGTGCTAGGTCGGCGGGTGCTAGGTCGATGGGTGCTAGGTCGGCGGGTGCTAGGTCGGTGAGTGCCAGGTCGGCGGGTGCCAGGTCGGTGGGTGCTAGGTCGGCGGGTGCCAGGTCGGCGGGTGCTAGGTCGGTGGGTGCTAGGTCGGTGGGTGCTGGGTCGGCGGGTGCTGGGTCGGCGGGTGCTAGGTCGGCGGGTGCTAGGTCGGCGGGTGCCAGGTCGGTGGGTGCTAGGTCGGTGGGTGCTAGGTCAGCGGGTGCTGGGTCGGCGGGTGCTGGGTCGGCGGGTGCTAGGTCGGCGGGTGCTAGGTCGATGGGTGCTAGGTCGGCGGGTGCTAGGTCGGCGGGTGCTGGGTCGGCGGGTGCTAGGTCGGCGGGTGCTAGGTCGATGGGTGCTAGGTCGGCGGGTGCCAGGTCGGCGGGTGCTAGGTCGGCGGGTGCCAGGTCGGCGGGTGCCAGGTCGGTGGGTGCTAGGTCGGCGGGTGCTAGGTCGATGGGTGCTAGGTCGGCGGGTGCTAGGTCGGTGAGTGCTAGGTCGGCGGGTGCCAGGTCGGTGGGTGCTAGGTCGGCGGGTGCTAGGTCGGCGGGTGCTAGGTCGGCGGGTGCCAGGTCGGCGGGTGCTAGGTCGGTGGGTGCTAGGTCGGCGGGTGCTAGGTCGGCGGGTGCTAGGTCGGTGGGTGCTAGGTCGGTGGGTGCCAGGTCGGCGGGTGCTAGGTCGGCGGGTGCCAGGTCGGCGGGTGCGAAGGAAGGCCACATCCGCCCGCGCGGCCCGTTTGTGTCGATATCCCACCACGATAACAGGACGTGAGGTACTAGCTAATACACCAGTGTATTGTGACAGTAGGAGCAGTAGTGAAGTAGGCGTACGCAGGCACAATGCGAGCTCTGCTACGCCGCTGCTGATGTACGGCAACGAGGCATGAGGCAGCTTATCATGCCCGCTTCCTCCAAAACCCGTAAAGAACTTGTTACTGCTATGCGTGTTTGAGTGAGTTTGTGTGCGATTAATAAGTGCAATTCCCGGGCTGCGCACTGCTGGGTGTTGCCTCCAACTGCTGCGTGCTCATAAATGCTCAGGCCCGACAAGTACCCCCTTCCCACGCGGCCAATCCGGGATTCCGCGCCTTGCCTGACGTGGGTGCCAATATTAGGCATGGCTCATAGGATAATATCAATCACAGTCGTCGCATGGTGCTCCTGTGAGTGGATGTGTGGTGAAGAGGCCCCATGCTCACTCCCCCACACACATCCACTCCCAGGAGCACCATGCGACGACTGTGATTGATATTATCCTATGAGCCATGCCTAATATTGGCACCCACGTCAGGCAAGGCGCGGAATCCCGGATTGGCCGCGTGGGAAGGGGGTACTTGTCGGGCCTGAGCATTTTTGAGCACGCAGCAGTTGGATGTGTATGGTACATTTCTTGCCCCCCATCTCCCCCCCAACCCCAACCCCATCCTACCTTGACGTGTATTGTGTACTTCTCGCCCCCCACCGTGTCCTCGCTCCACGCATACAGTCGCTGGTCGGGCGAGGTGTCGCAGTTGCCAACAGAGTAGTAGTCGGCGGCCAATGAGGACTTGCGCGCGTTCTCGTCGAGCAGGATCTGCAATGAGAGCGGGAGGGAGGTGGGAGGTGGGGATGTGCGGCGGGGTGCAGGTTTGAGGGGTGGTGGGTGCTGTGATGGGAGGGTAAGAGGATGAGAGGATGAGAGGGGGCGGCAACGGGCGTAAGGACATGAGAGATGGGTGTGACCTAGCCCCGACACCCCTGAACCATTTTTGACCGCCGCCCCCCACCCACCCACCCACCCCTAACCTGAACCTGTGGTTTCGGTATATCTCTGACCCCGCCCCACCTCCCCACCTCCCGCCCCACCCCGCCCCCTAACCTCACCTCCTCCGGCTCACTCTCATCCAGCTCATCCGCCTCCCCCGGCCCCGCCTCCCGCATGCCCGCAGGCACTCTCCTCCTGCAGTGGATGCCGTACTGCTGCCCGGCCGCCTGGCGCGTGTAGTAGAAGTAGCCGTGGATCCTGGTAGGGGGGGGAGGGGGAGGGGGGATTAACAGGAATACATATCCCGCATTCGGCTGGATTTTAGGATTTTAGCGAGGGGGTAGGGGTGGCAGGTAAAGAGGAAACAACTAACTGCGGGGAAAAAAAGAAGAAATTCCAACTAACTGCGGGGAGGGGGGAGGGGAGGGAGGGAAGGGGCGGTGGTGGCGGTGGTGCATGCATGCGCTTCAATTACATAACCCAGGTTGGTGATGGCGGATAAGCTGTTGGGGTCAGGAGGAGGTATACCATAATACCCTTCCGGTGGTGATGATGGGGTAGTAACCAGGTGACGTACGGCACCCCACCCCCCAACCTGCCGCCCCCCCAACCCCCTCCCCCCCCCTCACCCTCGTACCTTGCCGGCACCTGCGTGTCATCCTCCTGAATCCGCCCCCGCATCTCCTCGTACAGCGCCCCCTGCAGCGCCTCCGTGTCCGCGAGCACCGCCCGGGTGTACTCGTTCTCAGCAGCCAGGTGGGACAGCACGGCGGGGGCGGAGCGGGAGTCGTCACGCAGCCTGAGGCAGGAGGGGGGAGAGGGGGGGTAAAGAGGAAACAACTAACTGACTGAGGGATAGGAGGGGTGAGCGGAGGGGGGAAAAAGAAGAACCATGCATCGAGGGGGGAGAGGGGGTGGCGGGTAAGCATGATGCTGCATCATTGATGCATGCAGGCAGGCAGGCAGCAACGCAGCGGGGGAGGAGCGGGAGTCGTCACGCAGCCTGCAATCGCACGGGGAGGGCGAGAGGGGAGAAGAGGCAAACGGATGAGCCCCCCTAACTATACCGGTACCCCAGCGCCCGTTACCGCCCACCCCCACCACGCCACCATGATGCAAACCATGATGATGCCTTATCACACGGTCAGTTCGATGTTTCCTCTTTACCCACCACGCCACCAGTGGTGCTTGTCCGCCCCCCTCGCGCGCCTCTTGGCGCATGTCGTTGCAACACATGATCCATTCACCGTACTAACAAACTGCAGGCCCCTTCCTCCTCCTTCCTCCCCCCCCTCAGCAGCCCCACCAGTAGTACGTGTCCTCGCGCGTGTCCCCGTGCGCCTCCAGCAGCTTGGGCCGGGGGGCGGCCACTGGGGGGGACAGCACGGCTGGGGGGAGGGGCGGGAGGGGAGAGGGATGGGCCCGGGAGAGGGGTTAGGGGCTTAGGACAGGAAGGATAAAGAGGAAACAACAGGAGGGCGGGGGGGAGGGGGGGACATGCAAGGGGTTGGAGGGCCCATCCCACTCCTGCCCTCACCTGACAACCGATATCTCCCTCCCTCTGCTTCCTCCCACCTCCTCCGCCAGCCGCCCCAACAGTTCAGTGCCCACCCAGTCACTCCGCCTCCAACCCCCTCCCGCCTCCAACCCCCAACCCCCGCCCTCACCCATGACGACGCCTTCTTACACGGCTCGTTAGTCCGTTTACCCGCCCTCACCCCGACCCACCCAGTCGCTCCGCCTCCACTGCGCTCGCCGCCTGCCCCAGCGCCGCCGCAGCAGCCGCCAGCAGCCGCCGCTTCTCCGCGTCACGAACACCTGGAGGGGTGGGTGGGGTTGAGGGGAGCGGGATTGGGGTCATTGGTTGGTCGCCATAACCTACGGGTGTGGGTCGCAGGAGGGGGTAAGGACCTCCCTGCCCTCGTCTTCTCCTCCTCCTCCTCCTCCTCATCGTCATCGTCATCTTACCCGGAGGCGGCCAGCTGCGGAAGAGGTGCCCCTGGCCCGCCTGGATGAGGGCGGTGACCAGCTGACGCTCCTGAGGGGAGGGCAGCAACGAAACCTGGATCCGGGCTCTTTGGTGAAATCAGTTTGAAGTCCTTGGGGTAGCTGTCCCTGCTGTCCCTGGGGGATGTTGTACACATGGTGGTGGTAATGTCGCAAGGCGGTAGCAGCGTAACAGAGGCAGAAAATGGGTAACCAGCTGAAGCTAAATAGCCAAAAAGATGTTGGATTGACAACGGCGGCAGCCGCTTGGTAGCGGAGGCTGCATGTCGTCAAAATCCCGCAAGCAAACAGCCATGTCACCTGTCGCGACAGCCATGTATGGTTTCCGTTGAGGTAGCGACGAACGTTGACACCTGATGTCTTCCTGTATACGGTTCGTGAGAAACGGGAACGCAGATAACGCACCCACTCAAGCGGATCGAGCACAGTGCGACGCAGACCGCAAGCAGATGGCCCCCATGCCAAATATAAGCTAAAACATACAAATTATTTATCGTGTTTACACTTTCGGTACAGATCGTTGATGCGCTAAGCTAATGGACCTGGCTGACAAACCGCCTCGCCTTCCCAACACTAAGCCCACGACGGCTGAAGCCGCTGCTGCCGCAGTTATGGGCAGCAAATTGCGCGATGCCCTCATCTTCGCCGCCTGCTATTCCGCAGCCTAGCCCGTGCAGGCTAGATGTGCGGGACGTCAGTGCTTATTTAGTTATCGCTGCTTAAACTTTACGCTACAATGATTTGCAGACAAGATCACGGTTTACTATATTTCGTCCCCCAGTGTTCAGGCCTGGTCACCTGAGTCATCATTCCAACTATTTGTACGGCATGTATGTTCCATGCGTCCCATTCAAAGCCCTGGCGAGTCTTGGGTTCCTCCTGGATCCTTTCAGCCTTACCAGCCAGATCTGATAGGGCCAGTCTGTTCCAGTTTCGGTTAGCGATATACTCTTGCACGGCACGGATGCGGCGTGCCACAACCAAGGGCTTATCTCCGGCGAGCCTGGTATTGCATGCTTCTAAACTTGTGCCGTCTTACCTTGCAGCTGTCTCGCTGCAAGGCTACGGGCTAATGCCAAGGCTAACCGCAGGATAAGCAACAGAGGGTGCTACAACTAGCGCCAACAATGCTCATCACTTACATGTCGTAATCGAGCAGCACCGAACACAAGAAGAAAAACAACTGCACCATTACACATTCTTCGTGAGCAATTGAGTCACACATACACACGTGTCCCAAAAAACCGTGTTCGTGTGTCTTTTAACACATATGTTCCGTACCCGGCAACCCCGCATCAACCCCGCATCAACCCCGCAACCAACCCCCCGCAACCAACTGACACGCCAAACAAACAGCGCCAATGCAAGAAAGCAACGCTGCTCGACCCATCAACCCGCAGCTCCCAGGCAGCCCCCACTCCCTCACTTTTGCACCTCTGGAACCTTTGCCCCCCCCCCCCTCTCCCCAACCCCTCTCCCCCATATGGTCTTTGTCCCCCCCCACTCCCCCCCCTTCCTTAGATAGCACACGTTTCGTTAGTTGTTTCCTCCCCCCCTCCACAGCCACCTCAGGGGCTACCGTCTGCGACGCCTGGAGGAGGGTGGTGGCGGCGGGGGCAGCCCCTCCTGACCTATCCGGTCAAAGTCCGCTGCACTCATCGCCCCCAGGAGGCCCATGTCAGCCGCTCGGCTGCTGTTGCCACTGCCGCCCCCGCTGCTGCTACCCGCATCACCATTGCTTCTGCTGCCAATGCTCCGATTCCCGCGATCGCCGGCGTTACTGCCTGTGTTGGTGTTACTGTTGCTGCTGCCGCTGCCCTTGCCAGGCATGCCAGATGTCTTAGCAGCCCCACCCCCCGCCCCAGCAGCCCTAGCCTCGGAAGCAGCACGCATGGCACCACCACCCTGCCCCTCAGCCTCGTCCGCCCCACCGCTCCCGCCTGCCCCTGCACCGCGCTTCTGCTCCCGCTGCCGTTGTTCTGCTGCTTTGCTTGTGGCCGCTGCAGCCGTCAGCCCCTGCTCCTCGCCTTCGCTTTTAAGCTTCCGCTGCTGCTGCTGCGGCTGCTGTGGCGGCTGCTGCTGCCCCTGCCCCTGAGGTCCTGCTGCTGCCCGCGCCGTTTGGCCTCCCGGCTGACCTCCCGCGCCTAACACAGAAGGCGACAGCTTTTGCCCTTGCTGCCGCTGCTGCGGCTGCAGCCCCTGCTGCTCTTTCGCTGTCTCCACCTCCTCCTCCGCTCCTGCCCGCAGCAGCAGGGAGGGATCTGCTAGCACCACCTCTCGCGCGTCGGAGCTAAATGCGCCGAAGGAGGCGGCAAGGGCGCGGAACTTGCGTTCCAGATCCGCCTCTGAAACGGCCAGGAGACCTGGCACGGGGGGGGGGTGAGGAGAATAGATGGGGAGAGGGTGTGCGAGCCGGTGCGGGGTTGCGTACAGCATCCCGCCGCCCAAAGTATGTGTGACGTTTAGGCAACGGATGTGAGGGGCGGATGGTAAAGAGGGAGAAACCAACTACCGGTACACGCGACCACGGACCAGGCTCCACTGGGGTCAAGGGATCAGGAGCATGAAACAGCTTGAACGGGCATGTGCGTTCTCCCTGCCCCTGACCCCGCCCCGTACCCCCTCACCCGGCTCCCGCAGCACCAGCTCCCGAGTCAGCTGCTCCGGCAGCTCCAACAGACCCCGCAGCAGCGCCAGCCGCCCCGCCAGCCGGCCAGGGGGACAGGCCAGCAGCCCGGGCTGGCGGGCCAGCAGCGACAGCAGCCGGGGGGATAGCGGGGGCGGGGGCGGGGAGGAGGCTGGGGCCGCTGCTGTTGTGGTGGCTGGGTTAAGGGGTGGGATTGGAGATGCGGGTGATGGAGGTGGAGGGGTGCCCAGCAGAAGGGAGCTCAGGGCGGCCAGGCGGGATTGCAGGTCGGTGGGGTCCTGTGGGCGGGAGCGGTGGGGGGAGGAATGGGCGGTTCAGTTCCCGGTGGGGGGAGTTAGTGTGCTTGAAAGGGAATCAGTTAGTGTGCATGCATGCAGGGGGGGGACTGGATGGTGTAAGTACACCGAGGTAACCCCCGCGGCGGCCTTCACATTCCCTCCAGTCATGCAGCAGAGCACCAACCACCCGCCCACCCACCCAATCGGGCTACCATGTTTGCATCCCCTGGTGAAGCCCTGTCGTACATTTCTCCGTCAATGTCTTCAGCTCTGTCAGTGTCTTAAATTTTACCCAATCACGCTCACCTGCAGCAGCAGCTCCGGATGAGCTCGAAGCAGCGCTGCCGCCATCCCCGCGGCTGCCCCCTGTTCCGCCGCCGTCGCTCCACCTTTCCTGACCTCCCCTGCCCGCTGGGAGTCCCCTGTCGGCTGCAGCAACCGCCCAAGCACCGCCGCCCTTTCCCGCAGCTGCCCAGGCGACAGCGACAACAACCCAGGCTGCTCCGCTAGGCTCTGCCGTGCATCCACCTCCGTAACAAGCCCCTGCCGTACATCAGCAGGTTCCGTACGGCTCCCCAGTACGGCAGCTAGTGCCGCTAGCCGATCCGAGATTTGCGTGCTACTGAGCCCGCAGACGGAGGGATCTCGTACGACAAGCCTCAGGGTGGCGGCTACTGGGATGCCGCTGGTTTCGGAGAGTTGCAGGATTCGATCCAACACGGGAGCAGCAGCGACAGCAGCAGCAGCAGCTGCAGCGGAGGCAGCGCCCCCAGTAGCACTGTCAGCAGCAGCGTTACTGACGTCATTTTGAGCGTCGTAGCCAAAACTGTTCTCTTCGCCTTCATCATCACACTCGTTGCTGTCTAGGCGAGCATCAGCAACTGTTAAACCTTCCGTCCCCGAACGCACCGGAAGTGCTGCCGACTGCCCGCCCGACGCTACCGCTACCCCAGGAGCAGCAGCAGCAGCTGATGCCGAAGAAGGTGCCTGCTGCCCCTGCCCCTGCTGCTTCCCCTGCTGGTTCCCCTGCTGGTTCCCCTGCTGTGACAACCGCACCATCGTTGCCCCCAGCGGAGGAGGAGGAGGCGAAGGAGGAGCAGACGGCGGAGGCGTCACCGGTGCATTCAGCAGCACCCCCGGGTCCACCAAAATCACATCCGCCACGTCATCCTGGAACCTGCCGTACCTGTTGTACAGGCTCCGGAACTTCCCCGCCAGACTGGCGGCCCCCAGCGCCAACACACGCGGCTCCTGGGCGGCTAGCTCGGCCACGAAAGCAGGCGGCAGGGGACCGAGCAGGGAGGCTAGGAGCTGGTAGCGACGGGAGACCTGAGCGGGGGATCTGCGGAGAAGGAGGAAGGGATGCGAAGAGAGGAGGAGGAGGAGGAGGAGGTAAGTAATGCCAAGCCCAGTTGACCAGGAGGACAAGGATGGCAAAGGTAAACAGCATCCAGCTGTCATCTCCACATCATTTGCCGTCACCTCCGCACAGCACACCATGCGGTCCAACCGATTGGGTCCTACCTCCTGAGCAGGTCGGGGGCGGTTTGAATGAGGTGTCGTACTCGAGCATGCGGCAGCCCCAGCAGCCGCGGCAGCAGGTCCATCTTGGCGGCCAGGCGGGCGGGTGATTGGGACAGCAGGTCGGGGCGTAGACGCAGCAGCGGCAGCAGCTGGGGGGGCAGGGGCGACACGGGTTGGACAGGCGACAACGCGACATGTGGGTTGGGCGGAAGGGTCAAGGCGGAAGGCTTGGAGGCCTTAGGGAGAGGGGGCGCATCGGTGGGTTCCTGTTTTCGATAACACCTGCGCCCGTGCACCGGTGGCCCCCCACCCCCCCACCTCCCTCGTTAATGTCCGCTCAACCACCTGACAACAACGATAACGCGCATTCAGAACCCGACCTGCACACACGCAGCGTGTAAGCACCCACGCACCCACCCACCTGCACAGGTCGTTAGTCCCTTAACGCACAGGTCCGTTTCTTTATTTTTACCCACCCACCCACGCACCCACCCACCCACGCACCCACCCACCCACGCACCCACCCACCCACGCACCCACCCACCTGCATGCACTTATTATTTATTTATTACCCACCTGCATGCCCCGCGCCTTGCACACCGCCCCCAGCTCCAGACCGCTCCGCACCAGCCGCTCAGGAGCCATCAGCAGCAGCTCGGGGGCAGCAGCCAGCATCCTCCGAGCGAGGCTGGCAGCCTCAGCCTGCAGCTCCTCCCCGGCATCCCAAGCTGCTGTTGCCCCTGCTGCTGCTGCTGCCGCCCCGATTGCTACAGATCCAGATCCAGATCTCGGCATTCCTCCACCGCCACGCGTCCCTATCCCCGGCTCCTGTTGCCGCTGTCCGCTACCGCCGCTGCTCCCCACCATGCCCCTCGTAGCAGCGCTAGCCCCCGATGCCGATGTCGCTGTCAGCTGCTGCTGCAGGCACTGCTCGAGCGCTTGCAGAGCTGCCTGGAGCTGCTCGGGTCGGTGGGTCACCAGCAGGCGGGGGCAGCGGCGGGCCATGAGCAGGAGCTGGGCGGGGGGCAGGGCCAGCAGCGAAGAGAGGCGCAGCAGCCGCCTGGCGACTGCAGGAGGGGTGGGATGAGGATGAGGGAGTAGGGGTTAAATGGGCTGTGGGTTGTGGTTGGGAAAAGGTGTATCCCCCGGTTTTCATGCTGCAAGTATACGTCCGGGAGAAGGGCCAGGGTGACGTTGTCACGTGATGTGGTTGAAGGGCATTCGGCAATGGAACCGTGCTGTTGTCCCCCGCTGTTCTGTCCATCATACCTGACGCGGGGTTCCGCACATCGAGCTCCTCAAGCAGCGCGCGCTTGGCATTCACACCTCGTAACATCGCCATCAGTACCTCTGGACTTGGAGGAACTAACCTCGATAACCGCTGGTGCGAGCGACTGGAGTTTAAGTCTCCGCTGGTGCTGCTGCTTGCAAGAGCGTTGCTGCAGAGCCGTGCATTGCAACCTTCATCGTCGAGGTCCAGCATTTTGTCCAGTAAGCGTTCCTCGGCCCATTCTAGACCCTTAAGCTGCTTTTGTTGCTTTCTGGCACGGCGCTGTATCCAGGCAGTTTTCCGTCGCCGCTCGCTGGGCTTCGTCTCCAACACCGATGCCGACAAATTTGCGTTTGCACGTGTCCGCCATAATCGAGATCGGCAGTTCGATAGAGCTAATGAAGGCATCCCTAAATCCGGTGTTGCGCTTCTGAGTGGGCATCCTTGTGTGAACCTGGTATTGCATGCTTGCGCAAAGGCCTGCATCCTTGTTTGCAGGAATCGGCTACGCTGAACCCTACTTACAAGTTGCGCCTATACATGTGGTTTCGGATCTCCGCATAAACTGGTTGAAAGGCTCTGCAAGTATAGTTGCGTTAGTTTCTTGCTGTAAGGGATGCAATAGTACGAGAAGATGTGGATGACTCTCAGAGCAACCTGTAAACAGCAAAGTACATTTGGTCGGTGGAGGTCTCCAGCTCCTGATGGCAGGAAGGCATGTCATTTGCAGTTGGTACGGCCTTGCTGTACAGCCACAATACTACAGATTTGCTGACGTACGGCTTGACTACTATCGCCATGGTCCTGGCAATCTGCCGTCAAGTGTCAAGAGTGTTAGTGTCTTACGTGGTTGGGGAGGGGCAAGTGGACAACAGGTCTTGGCGGAAAGATTGCTGCTGGAAACCGATTTTGCTTGCTTGCACTCGTGCAAGGGAAGTTAAGACGAGGCTATCGCAGAATACCACAATCAACGGCGCCCCCCTAGTTTGCTTGCTGAACTTCAGGCCGTACAGTACCACAGCTTTCCTGGCCTATCGAGAGCAGTGTGGGCCTGTGTGTGCGGCAGTCTGATGGGGTCCTAAGATCAACACACCCGAAGCAGGAAGGGTCACCCCATGCGCATCTGGGCCGTGCATCTGGGTTATTACCAGGATTCAGCTCATGCGCATTATGGAAATTTGAACGAAGTGGCAGACAGCAGAGCTTCCAACGCAGCATCAGATGGCTGTGACTTCCATCACCCGCCTTGCTTTCAGCGCCACCCACAACCGAGGCAACCGAGGCTTGCATGCATGTCACGTGCTACAGCCTCACCTCCATCACCCACCACGCACCCCCTACCGTCCCACCCACAGCCCTAAGGGTCTTACCCCCAGCCTGTTGAAGGTTTGTACCCACAGCCTAAGATAGGTAAGATTCCTGCCCAAAGCCTATTAAAGATTCCTACCCATGCCCATGACCTGCACAGTCGCCTTAGCGGTCCTACCCACAGCCACAGCAGGCCCCACCCAGCAAGCGGCATGTACGGCGGCGACTGCTCCCTTCCCTAGCATGCATGTACTGCTTGCTCACCTCCCCGCCCGCCTGCCTAGGTGCCCGATTGCCCGCTCCCTGTATTGCCGCGGTCATGTGTCCCCCACCCACCCAGCAACACATTGCAGCATCATGAGACACCGGATATACCCACCTATTCCCCCTCCCAAACGAAGCTGCTTCCTGACCCCCATTTCCGCACCGCAGTAACCAAACACACAAACAAGCACAACAAGGAGGAAGCCATAACGACATAAGAGTTTGCTGAGTTGACAGTCGTTGCTTACGGGCTATACACCCCTATCATTCACATCCCTAAAACCATCCCTCGGTTTCAAGCCCTCTGGGCCACCACAAGCTCACTACCGGTATCAACTACCCGTCTGCCTGCCTGGCTATTTCCTTACAACCGCATACACAGCACACAAAGTACGTTCCGCCTCGCGGCCAGTTATCTTAACACAGCTACCTACGAAGTGATATCGGGTCCTGTCATCGGCCCACTGAGAGCTTCCAGCAACAACACAGGTGCGTAGTGTTATGTTACCCACTTGCGCCCAACCGATACTACCAAATCTAACCAAAAGGTGCCCCTTTACTACCCGTATTACGCTGGAATGGGGCCGTGGAACAGCGAGTGAAGGGATTGTTAGGTAAATCAATCAAAGCGACGGACATAGATTAGAAGTTCTTGGAAGTACCGTACAGCACCACATGCGGTCCAAGCAACAGCGTACGACACAGTTTCCTTTTCACACAGTCCGAAAACCTGTGTATGTCAGCACGTGTATGTGTCGGGGCGTTCTCGGGTACGAAAAGCATCTGAGTGATGGCAGTAAGTTGCGCTTCCTCGAAGCACATGCAGGGGCACACAGACGCACACACACACATGCACCACGCGTAATGCAACCAGCAACATGGACCAACGTCTCACATCAACTATGCAGTCCTTGTAAAATATCATGAACTTTGCAACCTGGGGATTACCCAACTTCCTAAGACGCTTCCTTCTGCGATACGGTAACAGGTACGGAACTATTCCAATCCCAAACGTATCAACCAAAAGTACCGGAGAAACCTGTCAGCTGCCTAGTGTACTACGCATGGAAGAGTGAGGAGAGTTGTCGTACGACAGATGTCTACTCACTTCGTTCTGGGACGTCTACAGGAGGGTTGAATGCCCTCACTTCTGGAGCGTCAACAGGAGAGTTGTACGACAGATGCCCTCCCTTCTGCAACCTCTACAGGAATTTGCGGCACTTCTTGGAGCCGCACTGGCACAGGAACAGCTCCACTCCGATCTGCCGCGCCGCCTTCTCAACGTACTCCTCCGGCATGCCCTGCATGCAGGGGCCAGGAAAGGCAGCACATGCGGAACAAATTACTCGACAAAGCTGTGTGCGGTAGCGCAGCAAATGCCGCAAGCAGTTCAAGAAGACTGCGCATCGTTGGTGGGGAGGGCCCAAATGTACCGTACTCCCTTCCTCTCCATCTCCACCTGCCAGGCCCTCTTAAACTCTCCCCGCCAACAAGCCCCAACACCCTTCCCCACCCGCCCTTCACCAGTTCCCCGTCCTTTTCAACCCCCTCCTATCCCCTCTGCTTTTCCCTATCCTGCGGCTCCCTATGGTATGGTATGGTCTCTGACCCCCCAGGACCCCCCTCTCCAGCCCAACCCCCCCCCCGCCCCACCTTGAACAGATCCATGCACAGGTCGGTGCTCAGGTTGTAGTCGTAGGTCAGCTCGGTGCCGGGCGGCAAGTGGGTGAGGGACCACAGGAAGATGCGGCGCTGACCCTCCACCACCACCGTACGGGTCACGCAGTTGGGGCTGTTGTTGGTTGAAGGTGGGAAAGGGAAACAGAAGGTGGGAAAGGGAAACAGAAACAAACAAACAAAACACAGGGGGAGGGGGAGGGGAGGTGATGGCGCACCTTCTTAAGAAACCTGTGACCAAAATGGCCTAAACATCTCAATGGCACTCGACCCGGATTTACCCTAATTAAGACAACATGGTTAATGCGAGAAAGGAACCCGCGACTTTATCCCCTTGTCAGTCACGCATGAAAGGGAAGATCCGCATAAGCCCTCTTACCCGCAGGAGTGGTTGACGAAGCGCATCATGTTGCCCCGGTGTGTGGCGTCCAGCACCTCATCCGGAGCCCCCGCAGGACTGAACAGGTAACAACCCAGACCGGCAGCGCCGTACCTGCGAGTGTTGGGGGGTTGGGAGGTGTTGGGGTAAAGATGACGAATCAACCAACTGACTGTGTGATAAGGCGTCATCATGGTTTGCTTCATGTGAGCCAGGGGTTGGGGGGTGCCCGCCTGGGAATACAGGGTCAGCGACAATAAAAAACATGCACGACCAGCCTACTCTTCTCCTCCCGTGACGTCCTCTCATGGGACTTCGCCTTCCGGAAACGTCACACAGCACCCTCTTCCCGGCGGCCAGTTTTCTAAAGACATGCACGACAGGCGGTTGCGTTGACGCCCTATTGAGCTGCGCCACTAGCCCTCTACCACCCCCCTCCTCTCCCTCACCTCTTCTCCCGCACATCTCCCACTGCGTCTTGCCCCCCCTCTACCACCCTCTCCTCCCTCACCTCTTTTCCCGCAGGTCGGCCACCGTCTTCCGCACCCCCTCCCCGTAGTACTCCATTAGTAGCGTGTCCGCGGGAATGGCGGTGGAGGTGAAGACACCCAGCTGCGCGATGCGGGAGCGGCGGACCACGAACCTAGACAGGAAGCAAGGAGGAATTGCTTACGGTAAGATACATTCGGTAAAGGGGGGGACCCGTGAACCGGAGCTCCTGACCTACCGGTAGCCGCTGGCCAGCACCTTCATATCAACAAACCCACCCACATGCATTCCGGGACCCACCTCTGGTTTATCAGCAACAAACCCACACATGCATTCCACCTGCCCCACCTCTGGTTAATCAGCGCGTTCGCCTCCCTCAAGGCATTCAGCAGCTGCTTGCCGCCCGCAGCTGCGCCCGCGCCCTCCCCACGACCGCCCGCGCCGCCGCGCTTCAGTCGTACGCCACTCGCCGTCGACCCCACTGTCGTGCCCACGGGCGGAATCAACTCCGCCGGAACCAGGCCCCGCTTCACACCTCGACGACGCGGCACCTCACCACCACCAGCAGTTGCTGCGTCTTCCGCGGCAATAGCTGCGGCCGTGGCAGACGACGGCCCCGTTGCGGCGGCGCCGCCAGCGGCAGCCAACAGCCCCGCATTTGCCGCCGCCTGCGCCAACCTCAGCCCCGGTCGGAGAGGGTGAATGACCGGCGGCGGCTTGAGCCTGTGTTTGCCCAGCTTGGAAAAGTCGATGGCGCATGCGCGCGCGCATCCGCTATCCCTACGTGCCGCTGCCGCTGCCTGTTCCTCTTCCTCCTCGACCTGTTGTCGTATGTCCGTACAGTAAGCATCCATGGACAGCTCGGGGGTGCGCTGACGGCTCCCGGGACCTGAGGAGGTCACCGCCGCCGTAGCCGCAGCCGGCGCTGCTGACGTGGTTGTCACGGCGGCTGACGGCACCCCGGATCCCGGATGAGATGCGCGCTTGACGCCTGCTGCCTGCTGCTGCTGCTTCCGTTGCCGCTGCTGGTGGGGCTGTGGGTAATGCTGCTGCATGGACGAAAGAGGCGGCTGTGTCGCGGCCATTGGGGCTGTGGCTGCTCCGAAACTCCTGCTGGCGGCGAATGCAAACGCCACCGCGTCCATGCCGGACTCAGATGCAGATCCGGATTCGTACTCCGTACCCGCCGTACCCGCAGCACCGCTTTGCCGCGGTAGAACTGTTGACGGCGGGCACCCCCAGGCGTCCTGCCGCTGCTGCTGCCTTTGCGTTGCTGGAGGCGGCTGAAGGGGCAGCAGCTGCGGTGATGCTGGCGAGGACTGCCGGCGCAGGGGAGCAAGCAGCCGGTCAACGGCGCGAATGGCGGCCACCGCAGCGGAGTTACCCCCGTCTGTTATAACCGCATGAGGGGTGGTCGTTGCTGGAGGGGTGCCGAGGCCCGTTGGAAGCGGCGCGGCGCAGGGAAGGGGGCCCTCGGACCTCCTGGGGCGTTTGTGCGGCGGCGGCTGCACAATCGGGATGCCCTCGTGGCTACTGGAAACCACACCGGCAGTCATGGCATGGCCTCCTGCTGCTGTGACGGCTGCTCCGGCGGCTCCGGTGGCTGTCGTGGCCGCCGTTCCGTACGCGACCGGAGGGCTGAGCTGTGGCGGGGAATGCATGTGGGGCGGCATGGCCGGCGGAGAGGGCCGAAGAGAGCTTGGCGGGGGGTTGACCCCCATGACAGCTGAGCTGTTACTGCTTCGGCCCTGATTCTGGTTGCTTGTTCGGGCAACGGCGGCAGGACTGCATGATGAATGGTGTGGCCCGATTGGGGCGTGATGAGGGTGAGCCGCTGGGCCCAGGTTGTTGCAGCTGTCGATGCATGGGTTGGTTGGGATAACCGATAATGCGTAGTCATGCGTGGAAGGTCGGTCAAATGCCGTGCCTGAAGGTCCGGGAGGAAGTGCAGCAACCGCAGCAGCAGCCTGTTGCTGTTGAGGCTGCTGAGACAGCGAATGCTGCTGCTGCTGCTGTTGTTGCAAGCATTGCTGCTGCTGCTGTTGTTGCAAGCATTGCTGCTGCTGCTGTTGTTGCAAGCATTGCTGCTGCTGCTGCTGCTTTTGCCACTGCTGGAGGATCAGGTTTGGATGCTGCTGCAGCTGCTGCTGCATCCCCAGCGGCTGCTGGTGCCCCTGTTGCTGCTGCGACTGCAGCTTGCCTTGTTGCTGTTTCTGCAGCAAGTGCTTCCAGATTTCCATGCCGGGCCCAAACACCTCGGTGCTAACCTGCTGCAGGGAAAGCTGTCGCACGGTGTTCAAGACTGCGCTCTCCGCCCCACGTTGAGGCATCGAGGCTGTCGCTACGGTCAGTTGCGGCTGAGATTGCCGCGAATGCCAGTTCACAGCAGCACCGGCCTGCGATCCAGAAGCCGCAGCAGGCAGCGTGCGTTGCCCTTGTTGTTGCTGCGGCGGTTTCTCTTGTTGCTGCTGCTGCAGCGTGCGTTGCCCTTGTTGTTGCTGCGGCGGTTTCTCTTGTTGCTGCTGCGGCAGTTGCCCTTGTTGTTGCTGCGGCAGTTGCCCTTGTTGTTGCTGCTGCTGCAATGTCTGAGTGAACCAGTTGGCCTGCTGCTGCTGCTGCCGTTCTTGATGCTGTTGCTGCAGCTGCAGCTGCCGCTCTTGCTGCTGCCGTTGTTGCAGCTGCTGCCGTTCTTGCTGTTGCTGTTGTTGTTGTTGCTGCTGCTGCAGCTGCCGCTCACGTTCTTGTTGTTGTTGCAGCCTCTGCAAATCAGCCTGCACAGGAGGAAAGAGGCGAAACACCTCAACCGGGAATAAGTCCCCAGCTGCTACCATTCTCATTCCAGCACACCCAAGAAAGTTCAGATGCCACTGGGTGCCCCGCCTGGACGTCGCTTGTGCCAATGACAAAGCCAACCTGGGGCTTTTGCAGCAGCCACCTGAACAAACAGAGCGCCCAAGGGCGGCCCACCCACCCACCTGGAAGGCCTGAAGCGCCAGAGCCGAGGGGTGCAGCTGTGCATGCAGCCGTTCCGCGCCGCCGGTTGCGTTGCTGGTCGCACCGCCCAACGCCCAGCCAGAGGCGGGAGTCCTCCCCGTAACTGATGCTGGCGGTTGTGCTGCTGCTGATGATGATGATGTAGCTTCTGTTGCTCCCGAGTGCTGCATGCTGCCTGAGAGCAGTTGCGGCTGCTGCTGCGGTTGCACTTGTTGCTGCTGCAGGTATTGCGGGTGCTGCTGCTGTGGTGGAGCTGGCGGGTCGCGTTGGGTCTTAAACAGCGGCAGCAGCGGGCGCTGCAGCAGCAAGTGTGTTGGGTCCAGTCCCGATGAGCCAGCAGCAGCAGCACCACGGCCGCTACCACCCCCCGCTGCCTCCTGCTGCGCCCTCAGCTGCTTCTGATACTCCAGGAGAACCAGCTGCTGGTAGGTGTTCGCGTCCAAGTCCTCATAGCTCTGGGAAACAGCATGCGACACCCGCCCAGCCGGATAGCACTGCTGCTGTTGCTGCTGCTGTTGTTGCTGCTGCTGTTGCTGCTGCTGTTGTTGCAGCTGCTGCTGTTGCAGCTGCTGTTGATTCAACTGTTGCAGCTGCTGTTGTTGCTGCTGCTGTTGATTCGACTGCGGCTGCAACCGCGTTGCTGGGGGCAGCGATGGCTGACTGGCTGCAGGCGCAGCTCCAAAGCGTGGCACCTGTTGCGGCCCATGTTGAGGAGGCTCCTGCACCACACGTTGCGGCCCCGGACCGCCGGGCTTGCATGTGACTGTGCACGTGCCGCCTCCCCCTCCTAGCACCGCACCTCCCTCAACCTCCTCCTGCGCAGCACCGTCAGGCGTGGCGCAGCTGTCTTGCCCCGACAGCTGGTTCTGCTGCTGTTCAGCGTACGGCAGGTGGTGATGATGATGAGGGTGAGGAGGGCGGTGAGGAGGATGAGCTGCCCGGCTGTCGTAGTGCGGTGGCTGCGGCTGCAGGAAAGGCTCAGCTGCGGTCCGCGAATGGTGCTGCTCTTGGTGCCTGTGCGGCTGCAGTTGCTGCTGTTGGTGACTTGGTTGCTGCTGCTGCTGCGACAGCTGTCCCAGCTGCTCATGTGCACCTTGCGTGCTGGCAATGGCGGAGAGGCCGTTACAATGCCTGTGAGCGTAGTCAGCTTGTTGGGTCGTTGGCTGTGACGGCGCTGTTGGATGCGGTCCGAAAGACGCCTGCTGCCGCTGCTGCTGCTGCTCGTGCTGGGAGACCGCACTTGCTACCCCATGCGAGGCTCCAGGAGCGTGAGCTGGGGCTGTCGGTTGGCTGCTAGCAAGATGCCCGGAGCTTGCGGGAAAGGCGGAGGCGAGGCTCTGCGCTGGTTGCTGTGCCTGCTGATAGGGCTGAGACGACACAACACGGGCAGTCGCAACCACCAGCTGCTGTCCGCCGCCATCCGGAACTGTTTGGCAGCTCGGCAAGCCCACCCGCTGTTGCTGATACTGCTGCTGTTGCTGCTGCCCTAAAGACCATGCACCTGCGTTTGAGTCGTAGCATGGCTGTGCTGGTTGCTGTGCATGGTCGCGCGTCTGAGGTAAGTGCCGCTGGGGGAGCTCCGCTGCTTGCCACATCTGCGCTAGCTGTTGTGGATGGCACGTCTGTGGTTCCTGCCGTGAACCCGCCAGGCGTTGCTGCGACTGAGCCGACTGACCCTGCAGGGGCGCCTGCTGCCGTGCCTGCGAGCCATGGGCCATGGAGTGCTGCCACGAGGCGGCCTGTGGCTGCTGCGATTGCCGGACATGCGGAGCAAGGACGGGGGGTTGTGATGGCTGCTGCTGCGGAGGGGCCTCTCTACCCACGGTTGGATGGCTGCCAGAGGGCCCAGGTGCCAATGAAAGGGGATGCGACGGGCCGCCGCCGCTGCCTGCAGAAGGGCCCCGTTGCGAGGTATCCGTTGGCGCCAGTCCAAACGTTTGCTGCTGCTGGGGTTGCTGCTGGTGGTGGTGTGGGTGCTGCTGCGGCGGGCGATGTGGAGTAGCTCCCCGGAAGTCAAGTGAACCCAAGCCCGGGTTCCGATCAGGCGCCTTGCCTACAGACCACACCTGCTGCTGTTGCTGTTGCTGCTGCTGCAGCAGCTGCTGTCGTGGCTGCTGCTGCATTTGCTGGGGCGTGGGCGGCTTGTGCTTGTACCAGTCCACGGGAGCCTGACTCGCGGCCGCTAGCTGGCCCAGTTGAGACGCAAGGAAGGGCACTATGGACGAGCGGACCGGACTGAACTGGGAATGCAGCGTGGAGGCTCCTGCGCCGTTGCCACCCATGCAGCCCTTGGTAGGGCTAACGGCCCGGTGCTGCTGCTGCTGATGTTGTTGCTGCTGCTGAGGGTCGCAGATGGCACTCCCTGGCATGGGCTGTGAGGTGTGCCGCAGAAGCGCCCGCTCCTGCTGCTGGTGCTGCTGCTGTGCTTGCCGCGGCCGCAGCTCGCATAACGCCTCCCGCAGCGTGTGAGGCGGGCAGGCCTGCGGCTGCAGCCCGTAAGCCGAACAGCGGGCGTCCATGCCGCTCTGCTGCTGCCTCGCAGCCGCGACGCCGGGGCCTGCTGACGCAGCAGGAGCTACGCTGCATGAAGGCTCGACCATGTTGGCGTGGGGCTGAAACCCCCGTGGACTCGGCCTAAGGAGTGCTCCGCCTCCAGAGGCGATGCACCAGCCAGCAGAGGCTGCAGGCGCACCTACCGAAGATTCCGCCGGTGTTCCGGCTTCAGATGTGAAGCCGTAAAAGCCAGTGTCGGCTGGCGCTGGTGCCATGAGCGGCGGCGAGCGCAGGGTTCCTGCAAATTGGGATGAGTCAGCGAGTACGTTTCGGCGTAACCCTGAGAAGCTAGAGGCTCAACTCTGATACGTCAACGTACGGGCCTGTACAGAATTACGACCGTAACGTTTATGACGCAACCATAACTTATTTAGTCCGGCGCAGCAAATACCGCAATGCAAGCACAAAACAGGCGACGCAACGGACGCGGTCATTGAAAGTAGGAATATGATGCCAGCCAATCGTGGCTCTTAATACCTCTTATGGCAAGGAATCCCGCACACACGGACTGTATGAACCGTGTGGGCTTTTGGGTTAGTTAGTGCGACAAGGTTTCAAATGCAAGCCCTATGCACGATGAACGAACGGACGAGACCACCGCGTAACAAATGATATCCGCAATGCACCCTGCCCTTACTTTGCGCGGGACTCGGTTGTGCCGGTTCCCCTCCGCAATGAGGGTAACTGGCAGGGGCTGAACTCCCCGCGCGGGTATATATAGCCTCTAACATTGCGAAGCAATTCTGCGCTGATCCATCCTGTTGCCATCGTCCTGAGGCATCGGGCGCTGCCCGCATTCCAACGCCAAGGTCTCCAAGAGCCAAAGGGCCTCTCTGTCTCCTAAGCGCTCAAAGGCTTCGATCTTTTGAGCAGCTAACACGCAGGGGTCCTAGGCTGCCAAGCTAACGTAATCCTCGGTTCTGTCCAAGGGGAGACCTACACTGAGGTGCTATAAAAGTAAGCAGAACGATGTCAAGCACATATAAAATCCTTATATACATAACCAGTAGGCGTAAGACAAGTCCATTTCAAAGGGCTCTTGTGAAGTCACACCATAACGGGACGAGAAGTTGGTCCTCAGCAAACTCTAAAGCGTATAGAATCCGGTTTCCAGCTAAGACATTAGCATCAATGCCCTAGCTGGGCGTGGGGTCCCATCAATCAACTTCCCTCTTGTTGTACTGTCCGTGCAGCTGGCCGATGAAGGCCCCCAAAAGCCTCTTCGCTTTTACCCGTTCTTATTTGGAGTAGTAATCTCCCTTGTGGCCTTTCCTGGTAGCTGCAGCCCTCTGCGGTGGCCAAATAAATACGGGGGTTTGCCAAAGACTGCAACATGCCTAACCCGAATTCCGTAATAATAGCTCTGTATGTCTTGCTTATGTGTAGCTGTCTTCTTAATCGGTCATACGCCTCGGCATCGGGCCCCAGCGCAGTCGTCACGCAAGAAAATCAGGACAGGGTCTCAAGCGACCTCGCCCTATACATAAACCTTCTTTCTGAACTGCTGCACTCTACCGGTAATTCTGCTATCTATTAACTCTCGGTCAGTACGACATGGTCTCTAACCACCCTACTCGTTCCGTACTTGCAGCCAAGCACGGAATTGGCTTATGGGCGCAAGTCCGGCCTGTGCTACAGCCCGCTGGCATAAGCGTTGCTTTGGGCTACGTCTGCGGAGTGTTTATCAAGGTGGGCCAGTAATACATTGATGGCGCAACGAACTGCCGCTCTCCAAGGAGCCGAAAGCCGGTTCGAGGAGTCCATACATCCCCGTTTGTCCGCCGCCGTGCAGAAAACCGTCCGGATTTTGATGCTCCTGTCAGCCGTTCTTCTCACAGGCGTTCAGGTATCTGTTTGCGGCACCATCGGGTTTGTTGATTGCCGTCGGCCCAAGCCCTGTTCACCTATTCGCAAAATGTGCTGCTAAGCCATTGTATTCGCTCCTAACCCCTTGGCCACCGCATGCCATAATTGTCCACCAATTGCAGCCTAATGCATGCACATAACCGTCACTCGTTCATCCGCACAACACACCACACGCCACCTGTTGCCCTGCCTCTCCTCCTCTCCTGCTGCATGCACCCGGATGCATGGCGACCCCTTCTGCCCCCGGCCTCCGCTGCTGCTTCACCACCCCTGCACCCGGCCTCCGCTGCTGCTTCACCACCCCTGCACCCGGCCTCCGCTGCTGCTTCACCACCCCTGCACCCGGCCTCCCCTGCTGCTTCACCACCCCTGCACCCGGCCTCCGCTGCTGCTTCACCACCCCTGCACCCGGCCTCCCCTGCTGCTTCACCACCCCTGCACCCGGCCAACCGCAGCTGCTGTCGTACGTGCAGTGGGTGACAGTGCACTGGGACCGCATCCATGCAGACCTCTGGAAGCTGCTCGCGGGAAACAGCAGGTGTGTCGTACAGAAACGTAGAGCACACGTGAGGGCAGCTCAAAGGGACCCCGGAGCGGCCGAGTAGGCAACCCAGCACGCTGACCCCGGGCTCCTGGGCTGTGCACCACGCGCGCCTCTGGTCGGGCGCATTAGGGACACGCACGGCTCCCTGCTTCCGCTACCGCTACCGCTGCTGCTGCTGCCGCCTTTCTTACCTGACCTGACCTGACCTGCAGCCAGGAGCAGGGCGACGGCGTGGATTCCTCCAGGCTGCTGCTCGTGGCGCTAGAGCGGCTGACTGACCTCTCAGCGCAGGTGGGGTGCCGGCTGGCGGGGGGCCACAGCGGGGTGACCCCACGGAGGGGCGAGTCAGCTGTAAGGGAGGTGGCAAGGGAGGCCGGGACGTGTATGAAGTAACGGTTACCTGCATGTCATGAATCTCATGATCCTGATGTGATTGCGCATGCAGTTACATACTGGATTATTGGAGCGTTAACCTGCGCTTCCTTACCTGCTTGCTTGCCTACCCTGCTCGCAGGGCCTGCCCGCTACGGCGGGCTTCACTGCCGGCGTGGCGCTGGCCTTCATGCCGAGCATCTAGTAGTAGCGGTAGATATATCGGCATGTAGTAGCGGTAGTGGCGGTAGGTATATCGGCATCTAGTGGAGGCATTTAGGCATGGCGGCTTGGTGTGGTTTCGTGACGCTGTGGTGCAGTTTATGAGGGCGAGCGTTGGCATCAGCGGCTGCCATACAACTGTGGGGTTGAAGAGTCTAAGGAAGGCCGGTTCAACATGCTGGTGTGTGTCGGAGGTGATTCGTACACAGGAATGTGGCGGCGCATGGCGCTAGGCGGGTTCTTCGCTTGGGAGACCCATCCACGTGCTGGCTCCCGCATGTGGACTGCATTCGCAGTTTCAATCGGTTAATGAGGAATATGCGGTTGAGGATCTGTCGAAATGTTTTTTGGCAGTAACGCATTTCGGCGTGCACTTCGACGATGCGTTTCACCGTGTGCATGGGACACCGTCGCCTGGGACGCCGTTGCGTGCATGCGTGGTATAGTACGTTCCATTGTGCGATCATGCAAATTAAGCGGATCGAGTGGCATAGGTTGTACAGGTTGCGTGCGCATTGTGCGCAGCGGAGTGGCGTGCTGCAGCGGTTTAGGCCGCAGGTGACGCCTTGTATAGTGTGGGGCTTCGCATGAGGGTGGTATGCGCCTGCAAAGGCCATTTATAAAGGGAATGCGAAGGTTACAAGGGGGACAGAGAGCTGTCCATACAGGTTGTACCATTGTATAGTGGAGCATTCGTGTACGATAGTTGCAATGACAGACCCCCGGGTCGCCTTGGTACTTGTCCATTTTATTCTATGGTCATGTCGTATGTTGACGTGCGAGGAGTCTTCCCGCCGGAGATTGTGTATGGCCTAAACGGTTTATAACGGCGGTTTTGTAGAATGTTCGCTCAAAACATATTGCGTGATGCTTGTGGGCAAAGCAATGTTTGGGCAACACGGCCATCTTCCCGCGCAACAGCAGGCATCTGGTAAAAATCATCAGTCCATTAGGAGGCAGCTGAGGACGTGAGGAGGCTTATGGAACGCACGACAAAAAGAAACACATGTCTTTATGTTAAGACATACAAAACTCACAATAAAGCCATAATCGAACAGCAAAGAGTAAGAAGCAGTGGTTATCTTATGGACTAAGTCTCAAGCCTATCATGGCCTCAAAGCTCAAACGGCTCAAAGTTGAATCCCCGCTATGTACGGCGTACATGCTAGTGTCACCAGTGCACAGGATACTCCTCATTCGCACATAGACACAAGCCTACACCAGTAATTGTTGCGCATAGCGCCACAGTGGCTATCTAAATATTGAACAATGTTCGTCGCCTACCTAGCCTTTTCTTGCACACTTCGGGAAGCAGAATGGGACGTCTCCAGCGTCATTTAGGCTGAGTGATATCCAAAGATAGTCGTTAGTACCGAGGATTGCTGAGCTTTGCGGGTCCTTGCAAAGTCTTAACTTGCCGGGAGGAAAGCGGAGACGGGGACAAGCAGGCCAGAACAATGTCAGAACTAAGAACGTCAACTGCCCGCAAGGCTGCCACGCTCAATTCAGCTTTGACGGCGGCCAAGTCCAATGTGGTTCAGCAAGCCAAGCTGATGGACTCGGCGGGCACTGCCTGGCACGCTGTGAAATATGGGAACCTTGAGGTGAGGGTATAAAACAATATTTCTAGGTCATGGCGCGGCTAGAGCTCCTATTGTCTTAAAAGGAGTCACCTTCAAGTCCATTACTGCACTCTCTACGAACTGAATATGCGCCGTTAAGCGGAGGCGGATTAGCTTGCTTTGGTGAGGAGTTAACGGGGTCGCCTGCGCTTCCCTGTCGTGCAGATGATAACACGGCTCTTCCCGAGCCAGTGCAATGTCTACAGCAAGGGGCCGGTGGGGGAGAACGTGTTTCACATCGCGATGCTCCTCAACACGCCATCCACGCTGGCAATTGCAAAATACCTGGTTAAGCTGTACGGGAAAACCCTTGTGAACACGCCGTACCAAGAGCGGAAATCAGAGGCGGACCCGCCAGGCCAGTACGAGGGCGAAACCGCGCTGCACATCGCCATCGTCAACCACGACTTCGACATGGTACGCGGATGTTACGGGAGGCTGCATACAAAGGGCGAAAAGGGCAGAGGAACGCCTCAGAAAGCCCTTGAATGTTGAAAGGAGCTGGGCCTAAAGGAGGGCCATTCCCTCGTCGTCACCTACTGGTTGGCCCACAGTCACATGCATCACCCACCACCTCTCAGACCCTCTACGTCCCGGTTAAAACGCATCGCATCCCACCTCATTCAGGTCAAGTTCCTGGTGCAAAACGGCGCGGATGTACGAGCCCGTGCGTACGGCTCCTTCTTCCAGCCGGGCAGTGCCGTGTACTACGGCGAGTATCCGCTGAGCTTCGCGGCCTGTACGGGACAAAAAGACATTGTGTCGTACCTTAAACGCCACGGCGCGCGGGTTAACCACGACAGGGACCAGTGGTAAGTGGCCGCTCCCCAGCTGCTCCGGGTTTGGCGCTTTGGTTACCGTATGCCGTACCGTATCCCCTTGCTTGTGGGAGCTATAACGGGGAACCGGGGACCTACTGACTCACCTCTTTCCCCTCCTCCCTCCCTCCTCCCTCCCTCCCCCCTCTCCCCCCAGGGGCAACACCGCGCTGCACATGTGTGTCACGCACGACCAGCCCGACATGTACGACCACCTGGTGGAGTACTGCGGGGCCTCGGAGCACGTGCAGAACAACAGGTCGCAGGTGGGGGGGGCGGGGAGGGGCAGGAGCAGGGTGGGTAAAGAGGAAACGACTAACGAACAGCCGGGGTTTGGGTCCGGCGGGAGCTAGCAGCAATAGCCACTGACAGAACGTGTTTCGGTAAGGGAGAGGTGGGAGCGAAGCAAGCAGCAGTAGCCAGTGACATCTTAACCCCTCGTCCCTCCTTTCCGTCTCCTTTTCTCCACTTCCCTTTCCCCCCCTCCCTCCAGACCCCCCTCCTGCTGGCCGCCTCCCTGGGCAAAGTGGAGATGCTGCAGCACATCTACAACAAGCGCCGCCGGGTGGCCTGGGCGTACGGCCCCGTCACGTCGTACAGCCTCAGCCTGCGGGAGATCGACACGACACAAAACCCGGGGGAGTACGTGCCCTCCGCCATCGAAACCCTGGTGCGGAAGGGGCATCTGGAGGTGCTGGGGGACCCGCTGGTGCAGACGCTGCTGCAGACCAAGTGGCAGCGCTTCGGGCAGACCATATTCCTGGTGCAGGTGAGGAGGGGGGGGCGGGAAATGAGGAGGGGGGAAATGAGGAGGGGAGGGGGCGAGGTGGGCTCATAGGAAGCGGGGATGGGTTGTATGGGAGGTGGCGGTCGCTGCTGCCGGGATGGGAGCTGCATTTGCGTGGGGATAGGGAGCCGTTGGCTCTTCCCGAAATGGACTTGACCCCTGAGTCCTAACTACGTACCTCTCCTGCTGTCTCCTCCCCCCGACCCCGCACAGGTGACTGCCTACCTGGTGTGGGTGGTGTCGCAGACCTTCCTCGTGTGGCTGCACGCGGATGAGGTGAGCGGGGGGGAGGGTGGCAGGTCGGAGGGGGCCTCGTGCACACGGCGGGGAAACCTTTGCTGTACACAAGCAGACACACACACCAAACGGGGCGCAAACGGGGTGCCAAGTACGCGCGGCCAATCCCGCCTGGCGTCTCTTGAGGCTCCTGACCCTAATGACCCCGGCTACCGCAACCCTGGCTAACCCCTGTCCTCCTGACCCTAACCTCCTTCCCTTCTCCCGTACCTCTCCTCCCGTACCTGTAGTTCTGGTATACCTCTGACCCCCTCCCCTCCCCCCTAAGTGCAATGCTAAAATCCAGCCTCATGCGGAATCTTCATCCCTATTAATCACCTTCCCCCCACTCCTTCCCGCATGCGCAGCGGCTGTGGAACGGCAGCGCGCGTTTCGCCATGGAGGTGATTGGCGTGGTACTGGGCGGCGGCTTCTTCCTCATGGAGCTCCTGGACTTTGCGCAGTGGAGCGTGGGGGTGTACCGCCGGCGGAAGCTCATGAAGGCGGCGTCAAAGTACCGACCGCCGCTGTACCCCATACCGGGTGGGTGAGGGGGGGGTTGCTGCATTTACGCGCGGGGGTGGGGGGGCGTTTATGCTTGCATGCAGGCAGGCGTGTACGAATGCGTGCGTGTGCCTCTATGTGCAACAATAGCTTCAAAAGCCAACAGGGCCTGCAAGTAACCCCTTCCCTGGCCCGCTACCGTGACGCCCGGGGGCGCCGTTGTCCCTCTGACTCCTCGCAGGCGAGAGGCTGGAGGCGGTAAACACGCAGAAGTCCAACTTCCTGTCGCGCCTCATCGCCAGCAACCGCAACCCCCAGGCGGTTGCAGAGGCATGGGAGCACTCGGGGCGGGCCATGCACCAGGCCGCCAGCAGCAGCGGGGGCGGTAGCAGCGGCTGCGGAGGCGGGGGCGGTAGCAGCGGCGGCGGAGGCGGGAGGGATGAGGAGGTTGCGGCTGGAGCAAGCGGGGGCTGCGGAGGCGATAACGCCATTGCCGCCGCTGCAGCCGGACCTGAGTCTGTTCCAGTAACGGCAGCAGCAGCGGCAGCTGCAGCCCTTCCGTTGGCGCACATAGCCGAGGGCGGCGAGGAAGGTACCTTCACAGGTACCGGTGACGGCGGCGACGGCTGCAGCGGGGATGGGGACAGGAACGGGGGTTGTTGGCATCAGCCCGCTGCCACATGCCGTGGCAGCAGCGGCAGCAACGCGGGGCCGGTCGCGGAGGGCATGGAGACGCCCCCCCTAGGCGGTGCCGCTGCCGCCGCCAGCTCTCCGTACGCCTCTGGATCCAATGCCGTACAGCCTACAGCCGGCAGCAGCAGCGACCCAGGGGTCGGCGGCGCCGGCATGAACGCCATGCAACACCTCTACCAGCAACTCGCGCAGGGCAGTGCCGCCGCAAACGGCGGCACCACCGTCGCTGCCAGCCTGGCCGCCCTCCAACAACAAGTCGCCGCGTTGCAGCAAATGCGTATCGCAGCCACTGCAGCCGCCGCCGCAGGCGGCGCAGGACCTTACTCGGCCACCTCCGCGCCCCTTACTTCCGGCGTGCCTGTTTCCCTGGGTTCTCATGGGGGCATGCTGCCCCCGGGTGTTTCGGGCGGGGGTATGGGCATGTCAACAGTGCCGGGCATGAGCTCGTTGTCAGCTGTGGTGGGGCTACCGGAGCCCGTGGATTTCGTGTCTGTGGGCTTGGGGCCCGGACCCGTGGGTCTGCCGGGGGGACTTGTTGGCGGCAGCAAGCGGACCTTCCCTGGAGCCTCGCAAGGACAGTCCAAGGTGAGCTTGCAAGGAGAGGGGGGGCAAATGGCGTGGGGTGGTTCTTAACGAAGGGACGTCTTTTTGGGAGGGAGGTAACGTGTAGCGTGTAGGTATGGGTGCGAAATGAACATGCTGGAGGCCGCATTTGAGAATTGTAGTGCCTGGTACGGTGTTGCCACACGACATGCGTCCTGTTGTCCTCCTGGTCATTAGCTCAATACCAATCCCGCCATTCTGCTGCTCTGACCCCCCCCCTCCGCCCTGTCATCTCTTTAGTTGCCTCGTCAGTTTTCCTCATTGTACCCCCCGTCCTGTTCCGCACCCCACCCCGTCCCACCAAGGTAACCTCCATGCTACGCGCTCCGGACGCGACTCCCATGCCGGGGCACGAGGGGCGCGACGGCCCGCCAGCCCGCATGTCCAACCCCTCCGTGACCACCCTAACCCGCGTGCCCTCGCTGGGGGGATCCGTGGGTGAAGGTAAGAGCTGCCACTGCACGGTCCTTTGTCCTTGTCCACATGTATCATCCGGGTTTCGGAGCTTGCAAAACGCACGGGCCCTACCCTGTATTGCGGCTCAGTTTACCTAGGATTCGTGGGCGAAGGTAGGGGATGGCGGTGTCCTTGAGCTACTCGTCGGCCCTGTTTCCTCTACTGAAAATAATAATAATAATAATCACCCGAGGGTGCAAGACCCGTCTGCCACCCTTCCCTAGGATCCTGTCTTCCCCCGCCTTCACCCTCAACTCTCTTGTAACGTTTCAAGCACGCCCAACCCCATTACGCGCTGCAACCCACCCACCCACCCACCCATCAGTTTTCCTTATGTTTACCCACCCAACCACCCACCCAACCACCCACCCAACCACCCACCACCCCCAGGCGGTGAGATCCGCAACCGCATGCGGGGTGGCGGCGGCGACAACGTGGGCGGCTCCTCCATGCCGCGTGCTGCCACCCGCCGTCAGTCCACCGGCGCGGGACCCGGCAGCGGCGGAGAGCTGGAGCATGCGGACACCACAGTGCAGGGGGGCGCGGAGGAGGAGGCGCAGCCGGACCGAACACCGCTGGTGGTGCGGCACGTGAGGTGCGTGGGGCGGCTGGGGGGAGGTGTCAGTTGGGTTGGTGGCCGGGTGACGGGCCGCATGGGGGGGGGGAGGTGTGCCTTTGCAGGCCAGGCGCCATGAGAAGAGAGCTTGGATGTGGCTAGCTGCCCCCTAAACTTAGCATGCTTGCGTCAGGGGCTTGTGCAGAGCCTTTCATGGGGGGTCCGTGTGCAGTTTTCACCACCACCACCTGATTAGCATTCGTTTGATTTCAGCTCCGTAATCAACGCAAATCCTCTCTCTCGCGCGCGCGTTCCCCTCTCCCGGCTCCTGTCCCTGCCCCAACCCTGCCCCTAACCCTGCCCCTTCCCCTGTCCCCCCCTACAGGACGCTGCTTCACGCCTACCGCGGCTACCTGAAGCGCATGATGCGCGACCCCATCCAGTTCGTTCACGTGTTCCACAACACCGCAACCATGGTGCACTTCGTCATCTGGGCCGCGCGGTACGGCGGGCAGGGCGGCTCCGGAACCACCAACCTGCGGCTGCTGGAGTTTGATGATGTGGTGGTGTCGCTCATGGTGCTGAGCGGCTGGATGAGCGTGCTGTACTACTCGCGAGGATACCAGGTGGGGTCACTCGGGGAGGTTGGGTTGGGTTAGGGTTGGGTTAGGGTTGGGTTAGGTGGGTGGGTTACTAGGCTGGTTACGGTTTGTAAGTGACCAGCAGTTGTCCCATGGGTCGGGGTGCACCTCCTCTGTAGCGAGGAGGGGGCGTTGCATGGTCCTCCTCCGATCCCGCTACCTGCAGCGGCTTTCTCATCTCCTAACCTGTCTTCTCGCCGCCGTTTCTTCCCGGCATACCGGACAGCCCGTTGCCCCTGAATGTTACCCCCCCAGCATGTCGCCTTGCCCTTACTTGCGATTTCACTTGGGTTTTGGTGTCTCTCTGACCCTCGCCAGTGCGCCACTTATTCCTTTCCTTCCCCCCTTTCCCCCTCCCCCCCGGCAGGCCGTGGGTCAGCTGATGGTTCTGGTGGAGTTGTGTAGCTGGGAGGTGGTCAAGTTCGTGTGCCTCTACTTCATCCTCAACATCGGTTTCACGCTCGCATTCTACACCTGCTCCAAGGGGGCGACCTCGGTGCTCCTGGGCTCCGAACCCAAGGTGGGTGACCCAACGGTTTTCCGTTTGTGTACGGTTTGGGTGACCCAACGGTTATTCTAACGAACAATTTGTACGGTAAGTAACAGCCCTCTGGTCGTACACGGCTAGGACTAGGCGGGTGAAGCGGGTGGGGTCTGAGGAAACCTCGCTACTGGAATACGAGGACATGTAGGGGGTAGTGACGTATTGGGTGTGAGCCCAAGGTGGGGCCGGCAGGCGGGGATGTGGAGGGGAGAGGTAAAGGTGGGTGAGCGCGAGTGAAACACACGCACGGCAGGTGTCGGAAGGAGCTGGGATGCGGTCAGTGTTGCAGTGTTGGATTGAGAAGGAGTCGCGTTGGGAAAGGTGGGACACGCACGGAGTGAAGGTCCTTGGGGTCCCCTTCTCCTTCACTCCCCGTCATCTCGGTTATGCCGTACTTGATCCATGATGGGCTCTTGCCCTTTGTCCCAACCTCCCTCCCACCTACGCGCATTTGTCCTCCCTCTCCTCACCATCCCCACAGCACCGTCCCACCCCCCTTCCAATAAACTCCCAACAGATAACCTCCCTCGGTACGGCGCTCTTCGACCCCATGTCCAACATCGGCTACGGCATGATGCAGCTCGTACGGTTCCTGTACGGCGAGGCGGATTACGACGCGCTGGCAATCAGCCCCAAACACCGTGTCAAAACCGCCTTTGCCACCATCTACTTTTTGCTGTACGTTGTGGTGGTGCTGCTGCTGCTGGGGAATGTGATGGTCGCCATGATTATGAACGTCTTCTGGAATGGCTGGGCGGGCGCGGAGAAGCAGTGGCGCCTTCGCTGGGCGCAATACGTACTCAGGTGGGGCTGCTGCTGTTGCTATTGTTACTTTGTTAGTGCCTTACAGTTAAGGGGGGGGAGGGTAACGGGGGAGGAACAACTAACTGACCGTGGGATGAGGCGTGCTCAGGTGGGGGGCTGTTGTTGCCTTGCTGCTGGTCCTGCTGTTCACGCCTTGCTGCGGAGCTCCCAACTCCTCCTCTCCGTCGCTTTCCTCATCTCTTTGTTTCTCATCTCCTTGTCCCCTACCTTGCGCCATGCTGCTTTCCTTTACATGATTTACTCGTTACTCCTGACGTTCATCTCCGCCGTCCTCCTCCTCAGGGCCGAGGCGCGCATGCCCCTCGCCGTACAACAGCACCTCCGGCTGGGGGAAGTGTCGTACGACCCCGTACTGCAGACACGTGTGTACAACCACGTGTTTGAAGTGATGGAGGAGCGCGAGAAGGAGGAGGAGCGCGAGGCGCAGATAAAGGCGCTGGAGGCGGCCATTGACAAGATCCGATCTGGGTCCAAGCGTGAGAACAAGCGAGCGTGAGGGATAAGGGGTGAACGAGGGGGGAGCGGGGCGGCGGGAGTGCATGAGCGTAAGGTGATGGGTTGAGGGTGCGGAGGGCTTTGGTTGCGGTTGTGCGTCGGCGGGGTTTGCGGATGTGCATGTTGGAGCGAGCGTGAGAAGGGGAGGATTGCTGCCGGTGTGATACTGTCTTCTGTAAATCGTCCAACCGTGGAGCAAGTGGAAGGGTGGGTAACGCGTTAAGCGGCGTACGAACGGGGCCAGGGCTCGCATTGGGTTGAATGAAAGGGTCGGGGGGGGACCCTCCCCCGCCTCACTCGTTGTGGCCGAGTGGGAGGTTCCTTGGGAGGGCCCAGGGTGCAAACACTTACTACAGATTTCATGGTGTCAAGGAGTACGTTTCGAAATTGTGCTTTGGGTTTGGTTTCTCGCAAGGTCTGTTTCCTGGTTCAATTGCTCGAGCCAAGTGCTGCTGGGGTCAAGTGTGAAGCGTGCGGGGCATTTGATGCGTGCGGGGCACCGTAGCGCATGGAACACATGGACGAGGTCGGGAAGGTTCAATTGGCCGTACACGTTGCTTTCCGTGTCTGCATGACGCTCGCCACAAGGCCCTCACCTGCCGTAGTATATAGGGGGAAGGGCTCTGTGAGCTGTTTGCATGGTGCTTTAATACGTAACTTATGACCTAACCTGACCTGAAACGAACCCCTAGTGTACAGTGAGCACGGGGTATGCGCCCGATTTACTAAGTATGCAGAGCATGCCAGAGTATCGTTGGTGCTCAGTGGGGCTTGTCGTGCCGTTCAGGCAACTCATGGACTGGTTGAGTGGCCTAGGGCCTTTGACGCGCCACGAGCGGCTTTTGAGCGTCGTGCTCCTCATGCGGGTATGTATAAAAAAGGGGTACCTGATTGCATGGAAAACGACGACGTGTCCTTTATGCACGTGTTTCGGCCTCGGTCACCGCCATACAGGCACACGTACACAACACAAGCCTTCCTTCCAGTGCTGCCCAGGATATCGGTAGACTCCCTAGCTTCCGCTCGTACTCCCGCTGCAGCTGCCCTGCCGGTGCAACTCTCGCAGTTGCTTAATTCGGTGCCCCGCACATGCCACCACACCGCCCTCCGACTCCCACTCCTGCTCCCGCACCCTCACACCCCCACCATCCTCCCTCGCGGCTCCTGTCCCCAAGCCGAAAGCACCCGCGCTGTCCCGCCGTGACGCTGTTCCTCCATGGCCCATGTCCAGCCCACCACCGCTAGTTCCCGACACGCCTTCTATTGCTGTCCCTCCTGTCCCTAGCCCAGCCGTTCCCGCCAGTCCAGACGTGTGTGCCAGCGGCTCCAAGCGGATACGAGAGCTGCTAGGCCTTGGAAGCGACGACGACGGCAGCGCAGAATTAGACTCTGAAGCCCGCGGCCCTGTTCCTACGCCTGCCCCTTCGGCTCCTCGCTCTTCCTCCCGCGTCTCCGTCCCTGCCGCCGATTGATTCACCGCCGTCCTCGCTGGCCGCGTCCCGGCCACTCCTGCTGTCGCTGCTGCCCCTGCTGTCATCGCTCCTACTGCCTGGTACCCAGTCTGCAGCGCGTCCATCCTGGCTAGCACCCCCTGCAGCTGCACCGACCAGTCCAGAAGCGGATCCAGCAACGGCGCTTCCCCGTCCGCACCCCCATCCCCACCCAAGTCCAAACCGTCGTCCGCACTCCCTGCTGCTTCCACAGCTGCTGCTGCTCCTTTCCCAGCGATTCTAAGGCCGGCACGGCTGAATCCGCCGACAAGCGCCGATTCCCCACGTCCCTTCCTCCAGCTGACACTGCCGCTCAGGCCGCGGCCGCCCATGCTGCCGGCTCCCGTGCCGCTCCCCAAGCCAGCCTGCCCTCCTCTTCCAACCGCCGCCCCCGCCCCGGCTGGCCCCGACCCTCCCTCCTCCAGTTCCCGCAGTTCCGCCTCCAGTTCAGCAAGCAGCTGCTGACCTCGCAACAGCGCCGCGGTGGCAGCAGCCTCCGCCTGCCTGAGGGGAGGTACGAAGGGCCGGATGGGTGCGGGCGGGGAGGTGAAAGGCGTAAACGGGGCATCAGGCATGCAATGGGATGGAAGAGCGATGCCGGTTGGACCCGAGCGCCTGTTCCTGAATGCTTACTTGCGGGCTGCGGTGGAGGGGCGCTTGGCTGATGGCGGGGCGCCTGAACGGGGAAGTGGATCAGGGTGGGGTGCTCGTCCTAGCGAGGAAGAACCTGCAGGAGGGCCAGGTGCTACGTCAGGGAGATGCTACGTTGCATAACTACCACCACCACGCGAAGGTTATGAAGTTACAATCGTTATGAAGTTACATGTGCTCTGCAGCATGCCCTGCCAAAAAAGCTTTACCTTTACCTAATCCAGCCTGCCACCGTTTCTCCTAACGCTCAAAGCCCACCTCGCAGCATGGACGCCGGTGGCGGCGGGGCCAGACAGGCGCTGAGCTCCTTGACGCTCCCGCCGCCCTCGCCCGCGGCTGCACTGCTGGGCACACAGCTGAGCCCTTGGCCGTACCCTTGCCCTCGACCTTCTAGCCCTTCTGGCCCCTCTCCAATTCGCAACCGGAGGTCTTGCTGCCCCTGCGTCTGCTCGCCCGCCTGCTGCTGCCGTTGCGGCTGCGGATGCCACGGCTGCCTGTGCGCAGAAAGGATCCGCTGCTGCCGTTCCCGCCGCTCCCTCAGCAACTCCCGGAGGTCCTCATCCTCTTCCTCCTCCAACCCCAACTCTGCAGGCGGGGACAGCAGCTGCAAGGGCTCCTCGGGAGCAGCAGCAGCAGCAGCAGCAGCGGGAGCCGCAGCTGCCCCACCATGGGCACGCTTGCCAGGACAGGAAGCAGAGCCGGAGCCAGGCCGCAGCAGGGGGCCAGCAGCACCATCGTCTGTGTGCGACTGGGCTGACTTAGCTGGGAGCTCTGGGTTGGTGTCCGCCTCCGCAAGCGCCTGCTCGCTGCGCTGCCGCATCTCCAGCTGTGTGAGGGATTGGGTAAGGGTAGGTGTTGAGCCTACAACACAAGGCAAAACGTAGCTGTCCGCCAACAGCTTGGCAGTCGTATGGCAAGTTTCCGTCCCGATACCAGTCAACTTAAGTGCCGACTGCATAATCCGGTTCTTGCACCATAGCCAGCAAGCAGGGCTTACCATCTCGCGCTCATGCTTCTGTTTCCACGCGCGGATGTTGCTGAGCACGGCATCCATCTCACCCAGGGTGGCAGTCGTGCCATGAGCGCCTAACAATCCGGAGCCCCGGTCCACCCGCACACCCATCGGCGTGATGGAGCCCGGCCTACGGGATAGGTTAAACCGCAATTTGTCCGAGTTCAAGAAAGCCACTGTAAATAAATCAGCTGTAGCTGACAGCGAAGTAATATTGACTGTTAGGACAAGTCTAAGTGATTTGAAGTGACAGCGGCTTCAGACTTGCCTTGCTCGAGCGGCTGGGGCCACATCGACGTCCTCATCGCCACTGTCCCCTCCGCCCTCCTCATCCAGAAACCGTGATATTTCATTATGGAGCTTCTGAATCTCCTCCTATAACCAAAAGGCGCTCGCGCTTAGTCAAAAATGTTGTATCAATGGCGTCTCCTTTAGTTCGCTTCCTCGCACCTCTACGTCCGACATTCCTTCGTGTATGCATCCAGATCATGAAGCAAGCTTACAAGATGGCCGAACGAAAAACTTGTTACAAACTGTTGCAAGCACAGGCGACCGTGGAACTTCGTTGGAACTTCTTGGTAAAAAGATTATACCTAAGGGACTGGTAAAAGCAAACCTATGTCCTTAACGGTAAGAAGGAACTATACAGCTAAGTTGTGGCAAAAGGCTAAAGCCAAAACGGCAGTAGCACGGCAGATGGTACGGACGCACTTCTCCCGGTGCGCATGATCTTGGCAACAATGCACCACCTCCATCACTCTACACTACCTAGGACGTGGATTCTCACCATACTTGCAGATGAATCGCTCGTCATGCAGTAATAAATTGGAGTATACACAGGAAACATGCCGTACAGCCTAGACACGTCAACAGCTACCAGGGCACTCGTAACAGATATAAACAATATACCAGCACGCCTGCATTCCCTTGTCCAGCCAAGGCCTTGCGGCCGCTCTGTTAACACTCCCCCAGAGTCTATTCACTGTCTCAAACTTTTAAAAGCTGCGGATTGCGTACATGAATCCTGCAAGGAAGCCCCCAGCGCTCGGAACGCCTTGCGAGAGTGCAGCAAGGCCCTGGCTGACCAGCGGCTTAAAGTCTTCGGCATCCACCTTCCTGCATAGTGCAATGGAGGGGCAACCCGGCCGTTTTGAGTATGTAAGTTGCATGTGCTTGGCGATTATGGACACCGGCAAAGCAAAGCCTACAGAGGGGCCCAGGTGAACGCTTTAGCGGATGCCTGGCAGCGCTTGAGCATGGCAGGGATAAACAGGAGGCAGGGATAACTAGGAACCGCCTTAAAAGGAATGACCCGCCACCCACCCGTCCTTGTTGACGTCAAGCACGTTCAAAACGGTCCGGTGCACGTGCGCCCAGTTGACGGTGATGAAGCCCGTGTAGGCAAGGCCTTGCACCAGCAGGAACGTAAGGCCCACACACAGCGCCACAAACTGACCCACTTTCTGAGGCCAGGAAGGGAAGTAGGGCGATGAGGGAGCGCAGCACTTGGGTTCAAAGAGCTTGCGCGCTGTCAATAGTTGCTTTAGGGAAGCCACAGTAATAACCATCAAAGCTTCCCTTCTGAGACCCTGCCGCCACAATCGTTCAGCACGTACCTTGAGCGCATACCCCGCCACAGCTCCGACGCAGCCGCTGAAGCCCAGGTTGGTCAGGATGGGCGCCGCCAGCTTCATGAACAGCTCCGTCACCTAGGGGGGCGGGGCAGGGGGTATTAAGTAGCCGTTACTACCGTTCTTGCGATTGATGAGGCGGGGACGGTTGACGGCAGTGGTACATGACTGGGTGGGTGCAAAAGGGGACATCCCCTCGTGACCCAGATCACTGGTACCGAGCTTCAAACACTTATGAGCCAGTCTTGTCTTCCTAACCGGACCACACATGACCCCGACCCAGATCGGCACTTCGCAAAGCCAACCTGCTCCATGCCTGACCCACATCGCCCGACCCACATCGTAAGGACGCCGCCAAACCTACGACATGCGCTCCACAACATATAAGCAACCCGCCAACAATAAGCAACCTCACCTTCTCAACCGTGATCTCGTTATCAGCAGCTGCAGGTTCCGGCGGGGCCACCGGTTCTGCCACCGCCGCCTTACCGCGAGCGGCCCATGCGGCTCCCTCCCCGCACAGAAGCACACCGCCTGCGAGAGCAAGCGCCGCGACACGACCCCAGCTGCCGCCACTGCTGCCACTGTTGCCGCCGGAGGGGCCGTGTTGGTTGCCACCTGGAGGAGACCAAGGGAGGGAGAGAGGACGGGGAAAAAAGGAGAGCAGCGGGTAAGATAGGGCTTGGAGCGGCCGTGAAGTATGACTGGACCGGAGTCCTCAAGCTGTCCGAGCAACAAGCTGAAGACGCTGCGTTCAATCTTGACACCGTTGACAGAGACCCTGATCAAGCCAGTGGGTTATCGTCGGTAGTGTTAGCGCCGGACTCAGTACCCATTTGCGCTGTAACAACCCGGGACTGATGCACCGGTGTGTTTTACAGTCTGGCTCTGCTATCCCCGTCTTGCGCTAAGCATTCCCGTCATGCAATTGGGATGATTCCACGTAAGAGGATAATGCACGCACCGTTGCCGCCGGTGTTACCGCCTCGCCCGTTGCCGTTCGAGCCCGGGCCGCCGTTGCCTCCTAGGACGGCAGCAAGCGACGATGTTGCCCTGCAGGTACGAGGCCGGACCGGAAAGGGCCCAGATGGGCCTGTTATTATATACAAATGCAACAGGATTGTGTATGGGTCTTACGGCTGCGCTGTTGTGCTAGTCGCATACTTGCGGAGTCGCATACTTGAGGATGTGCCCGTTGCACATCGACAGCTTAGGGTCGTTAATCTGGCTTGCGCACCTGGAGCGTTGCCCCATCGAACCCGCTGAAATGCCCACCATCCACGAGCCCTGTGCAGATGCATGTAGGACAGAAAAGAGGCGGACAAGCGGGGCAACCGCCGTTGGAAGGGCCGTTCATGCGCAATCTAAGTCAGGCCTATCAACGGAAGGCAAGCAGGCCAAGACTCCTACCTGAAAGCGGTGCGAGGAAATCCCACGTTGAAGCGATGGGGCAACCCGCGACATCATGCAAGCTCCTAGCTGAGCGAAAGGCATAGATGATGAGCTTTGTATAGAATAATCTAGATCAGATGGATCAATTGGTTATAACTTAATAACTTTGAGATACATCCTGTCTTCCATCTTCAGCTTTTACTCTCGACCGGACTCGTACGGGAACCCTCGTTTTCATCAGCTCGACTACTGTAGTGCATTTTACAATGCTACATACTCCTTGTTGCACCCTTTGAAGCATAACCTGCTTCCAGGACCCCCTTTGCCGTCTTTGCTTGTCCCATTCAAACCGATCTCTCGCTTAGGACACGTTGCGACCTTGACCGAAAGAGTTTTCCACAACATCTTTGTTTTATCTTTAGCTATATTAAAACAGTATGTATCAGCCAGGACAGGGCGGAGGAGGGGAACAGCACTTGCAGCATGGCTACTACCAGCAAGGACCCCAGCCACCTGCAACCCAGCAACAGCCCATGCCAGGCATTCCCAACGCCATGCCTCCAGCACCTATGAGTGGTCAGATGCCACCACCTCACACCTTTAGCATGCCCCCGCCGGGTCCTCCCCCACCGGGACCGGGGCCCTTCGTTGCCCCAGGTCCGCCCCACGGCGGCCCCTTCATTCCGCCGCAGCAAGCATACGCACAGCCATACAACCCAGCGGCGTACCACCACCATCCGCAGCAACCGCAACCTCAGCAGCACCACACAGCTTACATGCCGCAACAGGTACTCGTAAGCCCCGTGTGTGCACCGGTACTGCTCCTTCCGCGTTCTTGCGTCCTGGACACAGAACTCTCGTTCCCTCGTTGGTCCATGCGTCTCAAAGAGCCACTTAGGGCTTCTGCGTACAGCACCTCATGCTTGCTGTTTCAAGCGAAGGCACGGGCCAAGCCTCCTTGGGCGTGGTTTGCTGTGCTTTCATCCCTGGGGGGCTGTAGTGAGGTCCCTCGTCTTCCTACGGCTCCGCCCATAGCCACCGGCGCCCCCCCTTGCCTGCTGACTCGCTCCTCCTTCCCTCCTTTTGCCCCATGGCCTCCGTCCACCCGACCCGCAGCCGCCTCAGGCCCCTCAAGCTGCCTCAGCTGCAGGACCCTCCTTCGGTGTGCCCCTGAACCCGCTGGGCCTTATGGCGGCAGGTGAGAGCTGCCGGTGCAATGCCGCATGCAAGAATGGACGCCGGGAGTCCGGGAGACAGGAGCCTGTTGTAACCCAAGCGCATAACGGCATAAGGACCGGTGGCTGCTGGGATGAAGCGCGTTCGCACCGAGTGATCGACGCGGCGTGGCTAAGGCATACATGCATTGCTCAGACACAAAATCGTGTTCGTAATCCACACATGTACTGTTTCCCTGTCCTGCTCCTATATCCTATCCAGGCAACTTGTTCAGCGGCGGTCAGAGCTGGGGGCAGCAGTACGTGGAGCGCATGCAGCAGCGAGTGGGGTACTTCACCGGGGGGGCGCTGCACTTCCACTTCGCCATCAACAAGCAGTACGGTAAGAGGCGGTGTCGTGAACAGCCGGCTGCACAGAAGTCAGAACACAGAACACTGACCTTGTAGATAGGAGGAGGATTGGCAGGCACGGCCCTCCGCTAACTCCCATCCTGCGTTCCTGCCTCACCTCCCACCTTCAACCCCTGCCTCACCCCCTACCCTCACCTCCCACCTCGCCTCCTGCCCTCCCAGTCCTCACCAAGCTGCTCATGCTGGTCGCCCCCTTCCTCAAGCAATGGACCTATACCCGCCAGCCCGAGCAAATGCAGGGCGGCGCCGCCTTCAAGCCACCGCGCGAGGACGTCAACTCGCCCGACCTGTACCTCCCCCTGGTGGGCCTCTGGACGTACACGCTACTGGTCAGCGCCGTACAGGCGGCTCACGGCAAGTTCAAGCCGGACAACATGTACCCCTTGGTGAGTCCAGGCGGAGAGGAGGAGGGGTATTGATGGAGCCAAAGTTACGGATTTCGGTTTGTTTTGCGATTTCCTTATAACCGGTTTGGCTTCTCTTTCTGCAATTGCGGCTTCGGTGCTGGGATAGCAGTGCTGCGCTGCTTCTCCTTCTTCCCATCCGGGTAATCATTTTCATTCACACGGCCAATCATGGCATGGTGCGCTTTTGTTCCTTTCTCCCCGTCTAGGTTTGGAGCGCCGGCATGGCTTGGTTCGTGCACCTCCTGGTCGCCAAGGCCGTGCTCCGTGCCATGGCCCTGCCCGCCTCCGTTCCCTGGCTCGAGCTGGCAGCCTACACCGGCTACCCCTTCGTGCCCATCTGCCTTGCTATCGCGGCGGGGCAGCTGGCGGGGTGGTGGGCGTACGTGGGGGTGTGGCTGTACGGGAGCACCTGCATGGCGGTGTTCCTGGTGCGGACGATGAAGAGGGTGATCTTCCAGGAGACGCGGGGTTACGGTAAGTGGGGCAGATGGGGCGGAGGTAAAGAGGAAACAACTAACTGATCGTGTGGTAAGGCGTCATCGTGGTTTACAACATGTGAGGGCGGAGGGGGTTGGTAGCTGCGCTGTCTGGGCCGCGACAAATACTGACCCTGGCCGTAGCAGACCGCTAGATGATAACGCCTCAGGGAGGGGAACGGAAGGATGAGATATTTGCCCAAAATTCCATTCTGACCCACCGTGCGGCCCACGCCGCCGCCCTTCCAACTCCCATCCGTGTCCCTGGGACTCCAGTTGCTTCACTTTTCATTCTTGTTTTCCTCCCTCTGCCACGCGTTAATAACCCCTCCTCAACTGCGCCCACCCCGTTCCGGCCCCCTAACTCCCCACAACCCTCCCAATTTCCCCTCCCCCAGGTCGCGACCTCACGTTGGTCAACTACCTGCTGTTGGGCCTGGCGCTGTTTCAGTTCCCGTACGCCTTTTACCTGGGAGTGAGGCCGTGAGGGGCTGTGAGGGGCTTCTCAGTGGGCCGCGAAGGAGGTGTGGAGGAAAGAGGATAGGGATGTTAAGGGCTTCGTTGGAAGAGGGCTAGCGCCCCAACACGCGGGCTGTGTTAGGGGGGCTGCATGGTGACTGTTGAGCAACACGTGGAGCCTTCATTTGCTTGTCTAGGTGGGGCGTGAGTTGGGCCGACGAAGAATGCTGCCCTGTGGGGGGGAAGCTGCTGTTCAGTAGTACGGCGGGTGCGCGCATGCATGCTGGTGGTAGGTAGATACCGGTAAGGCAATTGTGTCCCTGTGGGGCTCCCTGGGGGCAAGGAGGGGAACTGGTTGCTCCCCTTCCGGTTGTTGGTAGGGAAAAGCGGTTGGAAAGCGGTTGTAGGGATGAGGGAAGGGAAGGCGGTTGGAAAGCGCCGTCTGTCTGAAGGTGCAGGGACGGTTGTACCGGCAATATGGGGTTCTATTTGGGTGGACGTCACAGGCGTGATTGGGGGCAACAAGGACGATCGCAACAGAGGAGACGAATGCAAGGTGTCTGGGTGGAACTTGGTGACAAAATGCCAGATGACAAGTAACCGTGTGAAAGATTTGTAGCTTAATGCTCCGTTGTAGCTCTAGGTGCATGTGAGACTGCACTCTATGCCTTCGCATGTTTTGTAGCATTGATCCGACCCGCACCTGGGTGGCATATGGGTGCTTTCGCTATGATTTAATCGAGTAAATACTTTAGCAATAAGCCTGTTTGTTGGAAATTCGAAAAGGCACAGCCGGATCTGACTTGATGTCTAGGTAGATCTGTGTAGAATGGTCTTCAGATGCGACTCGCATTGGAATGAGATGGCCAACTGATGAGAAGATTTGATACCAGTCTGATACAGAAATAAGTTACAACGTGCGATCGCCAATATCAGCGACAACGCACAACACGGGCAGCTGATGCGGTGCATGTGTCCTTCCAGAGCGACAGCCGTGCGCAAATCTGGCACACATGAAAAACCATCAGATACAAACGCAGTGCTAAGGGCGTCAAAGTCGAAATAGGGAAAACTATGCACATCATCCTGCCTAAGGGAGACACGAAAAGTCCAAAACTTTGGTAACAAGTCATGCAGCGACCATCGCCCTAATCACACGCGCTGGATCTGCCCATTACATTTTTGCTTGCAAGAGTCTTTGCAAGATCCCGATACCCTCCCCGCAATTGCAACGTCATCCCAAAGAATGCAACTCCAACTTTACACGGCTCCATCAACAACCTAAGCTAAGCGATCCACCACAGCCGCCTACGGCCAACACATCCGACCCCACGCAGCCACCTGCGCGAGTCTGACGATGCATGTCGCCGGTCGACAGCTGTAACGCTTTATCGCGCTGAACTAGCACTTAGTTCTTGGCGTACTCGGTGTGCACGCGCTCCTCCTGGTGGGTGAGGATGGTGCAGTCGGAGCGAGGGTACGAAGAGCACAGGAGCACGAAGCCGGCCTTGACCTGGTCCTCGTCAAGGATGGTCGGTCCCATCTGGGTGACCTGGCCTGACTGGACGCGGCCAGCGCAGGTGCCGCAGGTGCCTGGTAAAAAAGGGAAGTTAACAATAGGTAAGTCGATAGTGGGAATCGCCAATGGAGCAAGGGCAGCGCTCGGCATCACATGCCCGAAATGACTCGGTTATTACAACAAACGAAGGCAAAGGCATTTTTATTGAAGCCCAGGGGACACTTTCTCTGACTCCATAATTGTAACTTACCGCTGCGGCACAGGTAGGGCAGGTCCAGGTCCGCCGCACGGTCGATGGCATCAAAGATAGCCTCATCCTCAGACACCTCCAGGGTGCGAGTCTTGCCGGATGGCATCCGCAGGGTGACCTGGTGGGCCTGGACCTGCGCAGTCATCGCCCCCAACGTAAGCTTGCGAAATTACATGCCGTTCCGTTTCAACAACACCGTCCCGCACAGCTAGGAACTCATGCAAGGCATATAGAGCAGGTACAGTTCAGTCAAAGGGCAACAACAGAAAGGAAATGCCGCTCTGTTCTCCGGCCCAGCGCATGCTCGCTAGAGACACGTCGCATACAGTTCGTAACAATTGCTTACACCGCACCTTCACGGTCGACCGGCTAACAGCGCGAGCCTTGCAGGGGCGCTGGGTGAGCAGAGCTCCAGAGCGGGCAGACAGCATCGCCGACATGGTTTGTTGAGGAGGCTAGCAAGCAAGAAGGCAGGTATTCAGGTGCTTGGGACCTGTAATTGAATTGCTTCAATTGAACTCTTACAAGACTATGCTCTCAATGGCTTTAAATTACCTGCATCTCACATTGCATCTAGATCCTGTCAGGAACGGAACCGGCATGCCCGTACGGTGGTACCAGCGTACCTCCAGGACCTCGGGATCGCACCACAGGTACAACGTACCTCCATACAGCGCATCTCTAAACTTGCTAATCCTACCTATTATCAATTATTCTCAGCGCTCGCCTGCCCTTCGCACTGTCAGTTCCAAGCAAACCGTTGAAAAGTCGCGCTGATCTAGGTTATGCCGAAGTCTGCGTCCAATGAAATAGGGTCAAAATGTCTATTCATGACGAGCATTGGCACCCTCGTTGCAGCTAAGAAGTCTCCGTCTATTCGGACACACGTATCCGATCTATTTAACAAGCCCTATGCAGCTATGGCATTGTTCTGTGACCCGCATTGTCTTCCTGAGTAAATAGTCGCTGTCAAACCTCCGTTCGCATTCGTCGCGCTACAAACCGTCAAAACATTAAAGGGCGATGCGTTCCCGCAACATCCAAACCCCAATCCAAACCAAACCCCAAAGCCTCCTCCGCTCAGTCAACTAGTCGGTGTGGCTCCCCAAGAAAGGCAGCAGCTTCATATGCTTGTTCCGCCTACGCATGCTAGACCCCAACGTCTCCACGACCTTCTTCAGCGCCACAGCTACCGGCGTAGGCGGTGGAAAAAGCGTCCGCGGCACCTGCGCGCTTTGCTGCTGCTGTTGCCCTGCTTTCGCACCCGCAATCCCGCCCGCCACCGCAGCCTCCAAATCCTCCTGGAAACCAGGCGCCTGGCTAAATTCCAGCGCCGCCGCCAACGCATCCATCCCCTGCGCGCCCAACGGCCCCGCCACAAGCCCCACCACAGGCTGCAGCAACGAGCCCTCCGCCACGAGTGCCGCCGCGGCCGGCCCCAGCCTCAGCCCCTCCACTCGGAACAGGCACTTGAGCATCAGCAGCGCGGCGCGGACCTGCCGCGGCGCGTGCGGCGCAGCGCCATTGTTGCCGCCGTTCGCGCCGGCCGCTGCTGCAGCCCCCGCGACCGAGGACAAGCCACCCGACCCTGCAGCGGCGGGGGCTGAACCCGCTCCGAGACCTGCCCCCCGCGAGGCGCCGCTGAGCAGCAGGTCGGCTATGTGGTGCAGGAACCAACGGGCGTAGCGCGGGAAGAGCGCTCGAGCGAGCTGGGAAAGGAGCTGGGTGGTGACGGTCTCGAGCAGCTCGGGGTCGTGGGCGATCTGCGTGGGGGTGGGGGGGGGCGATGTGTGGGTAAGAGGAAACAACTACGGTCACTGACCGCGAGGTGTGTGGGGGTGCGTGCGTGCATCCGGACAAGTCAGCAGCAACGCAGAGTAGGGAATAACGTAGCGTGGAACTAAAGCAGTGAATCGTTAAGGAGCAACGGCGGAAGGGTGGAAGCGTGTCAGCATTGTGGAGATAAACGTGAAAAGCACCCAACCCTTTCACTCACAAGTCACAAACACTTCCGTCGCCGCTGGCGAGCTAAAGGCGCTTCTACGACCGCCCGCCCACCCGCCCGTGTTCTGCCCCCTTTTGCCCCACCACTATAGTACTGTACTGTCTCAAACCCACACCAGCCCACACCAGCCCTCAATCCCCCCACCCACCTGCGGCGAGCTGAGCACCTGCAGCTGCGGCCCCACCTCCGGCATCCCCAGTGCCCCCGCCGCCTTCCCCAACGCCGCCACCGCCACCGCAATCGCCGCCTCCAGCTCCTCCGCATCCGCAGCACACCCCTCGCCCCGCCCATCCCCCAGCAGCCCAGAAGCCGCTCCTCCGACACCCCCGCGCCCTGCCGCCGCGCCGCGGTTTCCCCCATGATGATGCGCATGATGCAACGCGTCGTCGGGGCTGAACAGCCCACTACCGCTGCCGCTGCCGCCGCTAGCGCCTCCGGAACCGTGTAGCGACAGCAGCAGCGGCAGCACTCCCATGATTGAGACGAACAGCTGGCTGCGGCAGCTGCCCAGCAGGGTCTGGAAGGAGTCCAGTTTGAGGGCGCGGTGCTTGCGCAGGGAGTCGCTGTGGGGGACAACGGCTGCGCCGCCACTGCCGCTGGTCTGTCCCGCGCCGCTGCCGCCGGTGTTGTAGGAGGAGGAGTCGTTGTTGGGGGCGGTGGCAGTGGGAATGCCGCCGGATGCAAAGGGGTACAGCTGCAGGAGGAGGTTGTGGGAAAAGGCGGGGTTTAGGTGTAAGTAGACACTCGCCGTTTATCTGTATCAGTACACTGTCAGCGCGAATCAGAGCATGCCCTGCAAAGCAACTGCCAGATAGAATTACACATCCACAACCAGCCCCAGCCCCAGCCCCAGCCCCCTCCATAAGACAGTGATGTGGTCTGCTGGATGATTGTCACTGTCACCGTTTCCTCGCGGCTCTATCTATCTTTATCCACAACCCGCAAGGAGCCCCCCCCCCACACAACTACTCAACTACACAACCCACCTGCCCTCCATGCAGCCCCCCGGCGCCTCCTCGCCCCGAGGCTGCCGCTGCCGCCCCCGCCACCGCGGCTGCAGCGGGTGTCCCCCGGGCCAGCAGCATGCCCGCTTGGTGTGCCAGCGCCTCCCCCAGCGCCGCCAGCAGGTGCAGTGTGGGGACCACCGTGAGGGGGTGCATGAGGCCGCGCAGGAGCAGCTGGGGAGGTGGGAAAGCGGGAAGGAAAGGGGTGATGGAAAGGAGTGATGGAAAGGGGCGGGTGAGGGAGGTGAGTTAGGTAGAGTGAGGGTAGGGGATAAGGTAGCGCGTTTGGTGGTGGGTATGCATGGAAGGAAGCGCAGGCGCAGGCGAGAAGAGGCAGGCGAGAGCGGTAGCCAGCAGCAGCAGCAGTCAAGGGTAGCAGCCAGCATTAGCAGCAGTAAGAGTAGCAGCAGCAGCAGCAGCAGCCACTCACCTGCTGCACCGCGATGCTACCGTGGGTGGCGGGTGCTCCGCCCTCCCGCACGTTGAGCACGTGTTGACCCAGCACCCAGGGATCTGCAGCAAGCCGTTGCAGAGGAACAGGGATTAACAGGTTAACAACTTAATAAAGGAGCCCCTGTTCCAGGCCTTTCAGCTAGTCGAATGGCATCGGGCATCCAAAGAGGACTTCTCGTCGACCCAAAAAGCAAACCAAACCGCCCTTCCCCCACCACCACCACCACCAGCCTTACCTGCATCATCCGCTCCCTCCTGCACAGCCGCCACGTGGCTCACAGCCAGCAGCTGCCCCGCCGCCAGCCCCGGCGCCGCCGCCAGCAGCACCGCCTGCACCTTGGCGGCCGCCAGCCTCAGCTGCCCGCCTCCCAAACACACCGCCAGCAGACCCAACGCGCCCCTGTACACCGCCACATGTGGGCTGTGCAGCAACGCAAGCGCGCTCCACCATATCTGAGGGTACAGCACCAACCGGCCCGGCGGCAGCGCCTGCACCAACACCCGCGTGGTGGTGATGATCTCCACCGCCACCTCACAGCCCGACGTGTAACCGCACTGAAACGCGGCTTCCAAGCTGAGTACCAGCGCAGCTGCGAGCTCGGCTTTGAGAGGCGGTCGCAGCGCTCGCAGCACCTGCCAGGAGCGACAGGCGGCATGCCGGCTGCGAGCATGCTGCGCCCAGTCCAGCGCACGTTGCGCCCATTCCTCCGCCAGGTCGGGCTCGTACGACAGCGCCTCCGTCACGGCTACCGTCAGCGCTCCGAGTGCAGCGGAGCTGGGTAGCAGGTGGCCGTCGGCGGAGGCGGCCGCCAGCACCGCCGCTGCCCCCGTGAGACTGTACTCCTCCCAGGGCCACAGCCGCCGCCCGCGCATGGATTGCAGGTGGCGGATGAGCGACGTCACAGCCGTGAGGTCGGAAGCCGTGGCGAGGGCGGCGGAGGCGCCGCCGCTGGAGGGGCCGCCGGGGATGCCGGCGGCGCCTCCGGCTCCGCCGCCGCCTCCGGCGGCGGCGCCCGGCGTGGCTGCTGCCATGGCTGCTTCCCCTCCCGCCGCTTCTAGGAATCGCGCGGACAGGCTGTACAGCAGGTTTATCATGAGCTGCTGGCAGTGCGCCGCGAGGACGGGCTCCTCATGGTCCCCGCATGTGACCGCGACGTGCAGCAGCAGCGGCAGGTGCTGCGGGTCCACTGCGTGTTCGTACACCACCTCCGCCAGGCAGCACAGCACCAGCTCGGGACTGCAGGGGAGAGAGGGGGTGGGGAAGGAGAGGTGGCGAGGATGAGGGGCAGGTAAAGGGGGGTGGTTAAGGAAGGGAGGTGGGGTACCACTTAGTCGGCAAGTGCCCGGGCTGGGCACGGAGATAGAGTGGAAGGAGGGCAGCAGTTGGGGGGCACCTTGTAGCTTTCCCTACACGGGATTTGGATCAGCGGTACCGTAGGAGTACGGCAGCCCATACATTTGTCACACATGTTGTCGTACACACTGCACCCATGCATCCGGCTGCCGCCCCTCCTCGACATTTCCCCGCATCCCTACCTACCGTGTTAGCAGTGCCCGGTTGCCGGACGACAGCGGCGCAGCTCCGGACAGCGCACGGGAGTGCTGCGGCGAGCCGCGCATGTCGGCCCCGGCGCCGCCCGGCCCGCCGACCCCCCCGGTGCTGCTGTCGTCCGCGGGCCGCAGCTTCGCGTCGGCACTGCAGTGCACAGGGGAGGGAAAACATGGGTTAGATGGGTACTTGTGGGTAAAGACGAGATTAAGACACATGGGTAAAAATGAGGTTAATATGTTAGGAGAGCATGGGTAAAAGCGCACATGCGTGGCGCTAAGCCAGTGGAAGAACACGGTTGCAATACTGAAGTTACAACGACTCAAGCCGACATCCAGTATCCACGCTTGAGTATTAAAACCTGAACAAGAACCGCATCACCACCTCCTCAACCCCCCCTCCCCCAACCGCCCCACACTCTCACCCTCCCCCGCCGCCCCGCTGCGGCTGCGTGGTAGCGCTATCCGCCACCGAGGGCGGACCCACCGAGCCGCCGTTCACATCACTCCGACTGCTGCCGCTGGCCTCACTGCGCGCCGCCGCGTCGTTGTGGCTGCGGTTGCGGTGGAGGACCGCCCCGGAGGCGCCGCTGCCGCCCAAACCGCCTGCACCTGCTGCTGCTGCGCCTCCTCCGGCGGCGGCGGTAGCGGAGTCGGAAGCGCCTCCGCTTCCGCCAGCGCCGCCAACGGACCGTGAGGAGGCGGAGGCGAGGGACTCATGTGAGGCGTGGAGCTTGCGTTCGCCTGTGTGGGGAAGGAAGGAGAGGACCGGGGGTTCATACAGAGGTTTCAAGGTTTGGAAGCTCGCAATACAAAAGGTTAAGGTTACCTACCAGCCCTTAGCCGGTAACCGCGGCTGCTACGTTACCTGAGCACCAGCAGCCCCGGCGTTGCTTCGCTTACCAACCCCTAACGCAAGCACCTACCAGCACCCCCACCCCGAAGTGCACGCCCCCCCCGTCACCTCTCACCTCCAGAAACCAAGCAATCCAACGGACCTCCAAACACCATCACTCCCTGCTGCTGTGCCTGCTGCAGCTGCCCGGCAGCCCGGCCCCCGCCCTGCTGCCCCGCTCCTCCTCCTCCTCCTCCTCCCCCCTGATGATGCCCCCGCCCCTGCGACGCCTGCCCCCCCGCTGCCGCTCCCGCCGCCGCTGCTACGCCCTCCGCCGGCTCCTCCTCCAGCTGCTGCTTGGCGAGCTCAATGGCCAGGTATCCAATGGTCTCCGCGGGGCTGACGCGGGCCAGATAGAGCACGATGCGCTTGCACACCGCCAGGAACTCCAGCAGCTTGTGCAGGTCGGTCTGGGGAGGTAAGGGGGTGGTGGGGGGTGGTGGGGGTGGTGTTATGCATGACGCAAAGAATGGCCAAGGAGATAGCATAAACGGGCTGTAGCTTTGTGTGTTTTACACTTTACGGCATACCGTCGTTGAATTGCAACAGTGAGAAGTGGTCGCCCATTCCATTCCCCCGGAGCTTTTGTCGTTTGCATCTGTTTGCATCCTCATGCAGCAGATTGGGAATCCTTCCTCCTCCTCCCCCCCCCCCAGCAGCCACCCACCTGCAGTGCGATCTCCATGCCCAGGTGCAGCAGGAAGTCGAGCACGGGGTTGATGTTGCGGGTGCGCTTGGCCAGCTGCGTCCACAGCCGCCCGATCTCAAAGGGGAACTGAGTGCCGTGACGCAGCGTCACGTAGTACATGCTCTTCAGCAGCCGCTCACTCCTGGGGCGCGACAGACAGACAGCACATACGGACAGCACAGCAGGGGCAGGGGCAGCAGTAAAGGTCAGTGGCCCATTACCGGCAAGATAAAAGACCTATTTGGTCTCTAGTAAGAAGAAAGGGCGGCGTAAACGCCAACCCTGTTCAAACACCAACCATGTTCGCCATGCCTCGCATGCATGTTTGCCCCCCACCCCCCTCCGCATGCATGTTTGCCCCCCACCCCCCCTCCGCACATTGGAATTTCTTTTCCCCCTCCTCCGCTCACCAGTTGCCCCTCCACGGGAAGGAGATCACCAGGTTCTCCATCCAGGGCGCCAGGCTGGTGAGCACGGGGTGCTGGATGAGGCCGTCGTCGCACTCCAGCTGCCGGGTCATCACCTCCTCGCACAGCGCCTCGGACAGCTCGGGGTGGTCCCTGGGGGGGGGGGGGTTGGGAGGTGGGGGGAGAGGAGGAGGGAGGCAGGCAGGGTGGGGGCGGGCAGGGCGGGGTTGAAGAGGCGGGAGGTGGGGAGAGGAGGAGAGAGGGAGGGAGGGCTGTGGGAACGGGGAACTGTGCCAGTGTGTGAAGAAAACTGGCCGCGAGTAGGAACGCACTGGGTGGTGGGTGTAGCAATTGTATGCGCCTAGTCGGAACTAAAGCGGAGTCAAAAGTCATGAGCATACCGTGACTACGCAGACACTGGGAGTGGTGAATAAGGTAGGCAGGTAGGTGGAACATTAGGGAGGGAGTGGCTATGTGCATATGCCATGTATGTGTCTCTAGCTGCGCACTGCCGTATTACGGACCTGGCGAGGCGGCAAGCCAGCTCATACTGGAACTGCTGGTAGGAGTCTTGCAGCGCCCCCAGCACAATCACCGCCTCATCACCACCCCCGCCACCGCCGCCACCCGGGCCGTCAGACTCTGCAGCAGCACCTGAGGAGGACGCGGATAACAAGGAGGATAAAAACAGACAAGATGTGGAACACGGGTCGGGGAAGGGTCAGGGTTTTTATGGAGGGAATCAGCAGAGGGAAAGGCAGCCGCAAGCGGAGGGAAAGGCGCATGGGTCCCCCTAAGCAGATTGGGTCCGTTATTTTTGTGTGGGGAGGCAGCGTGTTAAGCATGGCGTGGGACGAAGCAACTACTACCGCAACAGTATAGCAGCAGTATAGCAGTAAATCAGGGGTGAGGCACGTGAGGGGCTGGCTGGCTTACCTCCTCGCGCCGCCTCGGCCCCCGCCGCCTGTCCCTCTCCGCCCGCCTGCCACTCGCGCTGACTCAGCACGTGCAGCATGTGCATGGCGTCCTCGCGAACCTGGTGAAGGTGTATGGCAACATGGGCAGGAGGAGCGGGAGGAGGGACGGGGGTAGGGGCAGGAGGAGGCGTTAAGGCATGCGCTGCTTGAGGCCTAACCCCTTTATCCAACCTACCCAGCCCCTACCCAATCTGCGCCTAAAGCCTCAAGCACCTCCCCCCCCCCAAAGCGCCACGACCCCCCTCATAACGTGACGACGCCCCCCATGGCCCCACCTCCTGGCAGGGGTCGACCAGCTTGACCAGCACCAGCGCCAGCACGATGTGCGGCGGGCAGCGCACCGGCTGCGTGGCGAACACCTCGCACATCACCTGCGGGGGGGGGGACGAGGGGGATGTGGGGGGGAGGATGAGGGAGATGCGAGGGGAGAGGTGTCGGGGAGATGTGAGGGAGGTGAGTGAGGAAAATGTGAGGTAAGGAGAAGGGGAAAAAGAAGATCCCGGCGATTCTGTCCTTTGCCCCCTTTGCGCAAACCCCATGCTTTGACCCTCTTTTCAACCAACCAACACGACCACCGCTCCGCCTCCACTGTGCACTGCCCATGCTAGTTTAACCGCTTGCCGCCTTACCGCCTCGACCCAAACAGCAACTCCTCCAGCCTCCACAATTGTTTTCTAAAACCCCCCTTCCCTTTCACCACCCTGCCCCAGCCCTGCCTGGAAGTAGCCACTCGCGATGGAGGAGTTGGAATCGTAGCACTTGTCCAGACACGCGTCGAACAGGTCGGGGTTGTGTGTGAGCAGCCCCCGCAGCGCCCGGTGGCCCACGTCCCGCCGCTGCGGCCCCACCACCACCTGCTGCACCCCCTCGCAGGGAACCGCAAGCAGCTTGTCGATCCAGGTGAACACGGCGCCGCTGGGCCGGCGGGCGTCGTTGTCGAAGGCAGGACCCTGGAGGGAGGGAGAGGAAAGGGGGAGGGAGAGGGGGGAAGTTAAAAAGAAGTTGGGTGTACTTCTTTTCCCCTCCAAGCGTCCCACCCACCCAGCCAAACCCCCTTCAACCCCCTCCTCGCCTTATCACACGGTCAGTTAGTCGTTTCCTCTTTACCCTCCCATTCCCCTCCCCCCCCCACCTCCACCAGCGCCGCCAGCGCCATCCTGGCCGAGTGGTTGATACAGTGCGCCGCCAGGTGCAGCTCCTCGCGCATGCCCTCGGGGGACTCCTTGTACCTGGGCGGGGGGGGGCAGGGGGGCCGCAGGGGGAGAGGCGCGTGAGGGGTTGGTCAGCTCCAGCTCTTCGCACTGAAGGGGGGGCAGGGGGGGGGGTGTCACAGACCACATACCAAACCAGGGGAAACCACAAGTTAGGGCAAAGCAGTAGGGAATAGTGGGGGGCAAATGGCGGTCGCAGAAAAGTAAGGGCAAAGCCTGCCCCCTTACCTTGCCAGCACCGAGTTGATTCCCATGGTCACCGCGCGGTTGTAGTTGCTGTCCTTGCTCTGGCGGATGGCGGCAGCGGCGTCCGCACCAGGGGCCAGACCCGCCACAAGCGCCTGAAGGGGGGGGAGGTGGTGAGGGGGGCAATACCGGTACCCAATGTGTTGAGTGCGGGGAACAGCGAGGGGCGGAAAGGCGGGAGAGCGAGGGGGTGGGAAGAAGAACATTGCGGACGGGGGAGCGAGAGGCGGAGGAGGGAACAGGGCCACGGCGCCACTACTGCGGGGCAGCAAAAACCCCACCCCATGCACTACCGGTATGCAGGCAGGCCCATGCAGGCAGAGACCCCTGCATCCCTCCCCACCTTGATATCCCTCAGCAGTATGTACGCCTCCTCGCTCCACACCAGGATAAGCTCCCACAGCAGCTTCCGCAGGGAGGAGGAACCACCGCCACCACCACCACCCCCAGCACCCCCACCAGCACCTGCACCCCCCGATGCGGAGCCGTCCCCCCTGCCCTGCGAGTCACGCCCCAGCTGCTGCCCGCCTGCTGCCGCCACTGCCCCGCCGCCCAGGGGCTGTGAGAGCAGGGGTCGGAGGGGCACTGCGCAGCTGCGGACCACACTGGTGAGGCAGTAGGCCACCTGGGGGGAGGGGAGGTGGAGTGGGGGGGGGAGGTAAGGAGGAAACGTGGGGAAGGGATGCAAGAGTATTGCCGGTAGGAGGGTGCGACAGTGGATTTCTTGGCCGCGCAGAGTTTCAATGTGCAGGAGTGTGTGGAGTGGTTGGCGAGGGTGACGTGGGCGCCACATGTACGCAGGCATACACGCATTTAACCCCAAACACGCACCACAGCCGCAGCCCCGCGCATTCCCACAACCTCGCCGCCCCCCCACCTGCACCGCGTCCCAGAACGCATCCGAGCTGAGGTGGTTGGGTCGCAGGAATGCGAAGGTGTCGCGAATGAACTCCATCAGGCGGGAGCGCAGCTGCGGGTTGGAGGCCAGCACCTCGGGGGGCACCCGCTCGGCCAGGATCCTGAAGAAGAGGAGGTGGCGGGAGGAGGAGTGGGGGGTGGGGGGGAGGAGGAGGGCGTGAGGAGAAGGAAAAGGTGGGAGGTGCGGGCACATAGTGTTGACAACTTGACGTGGTAATGAGGAGAAACAGAGCGAGGACAAAGGAAAGGAAACAAATGCTGCCATGCCTAAAAGACACAGCACACTGCTGCATCCCAATTCCCCGCTCACTGCGCGCACCGCACACACCTGAACACATGTGATATGCTGCGCCGCATCTCGTCCCGCCCCTTGCTCTTGCTCTTGGAGCTGCTGCTGCTGCCGCCGCCCACCCCCCGGCTGCCCATGAACTCCTCCAGGTAGGGCTGCAGCTCCTCCAGCAGGGCGCCGTACAGGTCGGGGGAGAGGTGGCCCAGAGACAGCACACTGCGGGGAGGGGGGGGCGAAGGGGTTGGGGGGTTCATGAAGAGCACTGGGGAAGCCGGGGGAGCGGGATGCAAGGTGGCAGGAGCGGGGAGCGGCGAGAGTGAAGAAGCAAGAGCAGGAGGAATGATGGGAGGAGAAGAGGAGGTAGAGGGGTGGATGTATTAATCGACTTGTATGATACGGTAGTCAAGGTGCCCCCCTCCCCTCCCTCCCGACACCCACCCCCCCACGCACAGTACGTTCCTACTCGCGGCCAGTGTTCTACACACACACACACCCACGCACCCACCTGCATAGCTGTATGGTTGGCGGCGCCCCCGACTGCGAGGCTGCCGGCGATGTGAGCAGCGCCAGGTGCACCCGGATGAGGTCGCGGGAGCTGACGGGCAGGGAGCGGCGGCCTGTGCAGGGTGGGGGGGGGAGGGAAATTTTGAAGGGAAGGGTGGTGGTGGGTGGGGGAAAAATATAGATAAATGCATCAACGGAGTGCCCCTCTCCCACCCCCCAGCCATCCATCCGGCGGGGTCTGGGTTGACTTCACCCCCACCCCTTCACCCCCACCCCCGAGGTTTTTCCTCCCCCCCTAGACACCCACCCAGCCTCTCCAGCAGCTTGTCCCGCAGCCCCCCCGGCACCGCACACACCGCCGCACTGCAGTTGCGCCAGGCGTCGCGCTTGGGGGTGTCTGCAGGGGGGGTCATATTAGACGAAACCAGGGGGGCGGGGGGAGGGGGAGGAGGTCAGGTTAGGAAGGAGGCAACGGGGGAAGAAAGGGCTTGACTTTAAACCCCTCACGCACCCTCTCCCATCCCCCCCACCTCCGTTGACGCCTTATCCCTCAGTCAGTTAGTTGTTTCCTCTTTACCCCCCCACCTCCCCTCACCCACCCATGTACTCCGACAGCACCACCAGCCGCCCATCCGGGTTGCGCCCCAGCATGCGCGCCAGCCTCGCCATCAGCTCGCACCCCGCCACTCCCGCAGACAGCGGGCACAGCCGCACCGCCAGCGCCAGCAGCTCAAGCAGGGAGCGGGCCAGACGCACGCGGGATACGTCGTCGCCGGCGCGGGCGGGGGCAGCCAGCACGTCCTGGGGGAGGGCCGCGGGGGAGGGAGGGGGGGAATAGGGATACTTAGTCCGCATTGGGATACATATTCCCCATACATATCCCGCATTAGGCTGGATAGTTGGGTTAGCGTTGGTTGGGGGAGAAGTTGTGAACAAACCCTTGAGTGACCTCTTTCCCTCCCCACCCCCTCCCCACCTCGAACGCCACCTCCGCCGGCACGGGTCGGTACTGCCGCCATAGGTCGGACACGTCCGAGAAGTCCCAGTAGGTGGCGCGCAGCATGGCCGGCCCCGCCTCCTCAACCAGGTCCGCAACGTAGGTCAGGTCGGGGTCCACGGAGTCGGACAGGCCTGCGGGGGGGGGGAGTAGAGGAAAGGAGGCGGAAAGGAGGAGGGAAGGAGGCGGAAGAGGATAAGCCACGGCACTATAGGAGGCGGAGAGGAGGGTAGGAAAGAAGAAGTCGTCTTTAACTTCGCTGCTACCCCACCACCACCAGCCTCCCTGGATCCCGAAATGCCGTCTAGCGCCCCGTTGCGCCTCTGCCATCATGCGTGCAACGCATGCAACCACACAGAAACACACCCCATGCCGCAGCCATTCCCAGACCCCAGCCCCCACCCAGCCCTCTCAACCCACCATGCGCGGCGCTAGACCTCGGCCCCCCCGCCGACCCCTCCACCACCGCCGCCCCAGCCAGATCCAGGCTCTCCCGACTGGCACTGGGCGCGTGGTGGCTGCCACGTCCCGCAGGCCCAGGCGTCGCGCCTCCGCCGCCTCCGGCCAGGGGCAGCCCGCCGTTGCTGGGGTGGCGGGACACCCCCCCGGGAGCGGGGGTGCCCGCTGCGGCTGCTGCCGAGGCGGGGTTGCGGCTCATGGGGGAGGGGGGCGGGTCGTAGGGCTCCGAGGAGAGGACGGCGCGGTGGAGGGAGCGGATGAGGGCAAGGGCCTGCAGGAGGAGAAGAGCCAAGGGAGGCGGTCACGCATCATCGTATGAGGCAGATTGAGCAAACAGACTGACCCATGGGTCATGGGTCACCAGCCACACCACCTCACACGCACCTGCAGCGCCTCCCGCCGCACGCTGTCGTCATGGCTGGTCAGGCACACCAGCGCATAGCCCTCCAGCCGATGTACGTCTAGCGAGAGCGCCTCGACTGACCCGTGGGTCAGTTCCAGCGCGTCCCCCGCTGCCCGCTCCGCCAGCATTGCGCCCCAGAGCTCCATCAGGGTGCGCCACAGCACCTGGGACTCGCGCTGAGCCTACAAGGGGAGCAGATCAGGACCCGAACCCGGGATGGCGACTAAGGAAGACGACTCGGGTAAATGCCTATTGAAATATTAGTCTATTACGCAATGCTGCTTTATGACAGCAGGGTAGGTTTACGGTACGGTATATTGCTGCTGCTGGTAACAACCCAACCATCCATCCGACCCCTTTCCTTCCTTTCTCTCCCTCCTCTCTCTCCCGCTTTTCTTCCCTTTCTCACAGCTCGTTACCATTCTCGTCATGTCTTGCAGACTACTACAGTCCCATAATCACCGGTACCGTAGTCGCCCAATACCCAGCCCAATGACTTGCCCTTCCCCTTCCATTCCGCTGTGCGGACTTTCCACCATTCCACCTGGTAACAACCCCCGCGCCCCTCTCCCCCGCACCCCCCCACCTGCACCGCCTCGTCCGGCAGCCCCGCCGTGAAGCCCGCAAAGGCGCACAGCAGCTGGTTGCGCAGGTGGGGGCTGCCGCGCATGATGGCCTGCAGCGCCTCCACCGCGACCGACCGCATGGCGCCCTCCACGTGACACGTGTAGCTGAGGGGGGGGGGGTACAAGAGGGGGTCAAGGAAGGAAAGGGGGGGGCAGGGAGGTACCAGAACCACAGGTTAGGGCAAAGCAATGGGGAGGTGAGGGGAGGGGCTGAGAGAGGGGTCAAAGAGAGAAGGGGAAGGGGAGAGGCATGGCAATGGGGAGTTGGGGAAGACCATGATGGGGTAAAGAGAACTGGCAACTGCAGTCAAGCTGCTTCGCCACACCCAACTGCCTACCTGGGTAGCAGGTCCAGCGGTCGCACCCCCGACCAAGTCTCCGGCTTGAGGTACGGCAGCAGTCGTACCAGCGTCAGCAGCAGCGACATGCCTGCGGACGCGATGAAGCAACGGGCGCGTCGGGTCAATGGGAGGAAGGGTAAACAAGGATGCGGACAATATACTCTTAAAATGCATACCGGTAACGTGGAGGAGGCGTACAATTACCTGTAACAACTCACCAACCCATGCACCCAATTTTCCATGCCATTCCAAAGTTTTCAAGTTCTTAACCACCACCACCACCACCACCACCTCGTTCATCCACATGCATACCTGGCGCCTTCTCCTTCCAGTTCGGATCCACGGGTCCGTACATGAGCGCGCAGCCGTACAGCGGGTGCCAGGAGGCGAGCAGCTTGGACAGCGCCGCACTGATCCTGTGTGCGTTTTGCAGCACATGATGACATGAGCAGAATACAAAACGTTGTGCGTGCATTGTGCGTGCATTGTGCGTTATATACGTCCCAAGCGCCCAGCTCCATGCATGTAAGCCTTATCACATGGCTCGCCGTCTCCTTCGTACCCTCCCCCCCCCGGCTCAGTTCACCTAAATCCCCCAGCCCCAGCCCCACCTGGGAAGCAGGTTCGCCACCCCCAGCACCTCCAGCGGGTGCAGTCCCCGCCGCAGGAGGTCCGTCACAGCGGCAAAGGCGGCGGCAGTGGCAGCTGCGGAGGTGGCCGAGGTGGAGGCGGAGGCGCCGCCTGCTGACGTGGCGCCCACCAGAGCGCTGCTGCCGCCGCCGTACAGCACCCCGCCTAGGGAGGCGGTCTGCGTGCGGCGGAGGAGCGCCTGGGGGAGGGTGCGGGGTGCGGGAAAGGGAGGGAAAAGGAAAGGAAAGCGCGGGAGAGAGTATTATGTTCAGAAGGAATGACGATAGCGGACACGTGAGATGCCGGTATGGTACGGTGCGTATGAGGTGTAATCCCGTACACTGCACGTATGGTACGGTGCGTATGAGGTGTAATCCCGTACACTGCATTTGCCTTGCAACTAAAGCCAGCCATTCAGCGCCAGCCCGACCCAGTCCAACCCTCTTAGCCCTATCAGTTAGTTGTTTCCTCCTTACCCCCCTAGCCCACCCCGCCTGCCCTCAGCCCACCCACCTAGCCCAGCCTACCCCGCCTCCCCCCCCCCACCTGCAGTCCCGAGTAGCTGGCGCTGGAGGGCACGCCCGCGCCGCCCGCACCCCCACCACTGCCGTACGGGGTGCCCGGGAAGCCGCCGCTGCCCGCCGCACCCTGGCCCATGCCGGGAACTGGCGGGTGGGAGGGGAGGGAAGGAAGAACATCCAATGTGTTGGGGAGAGAAGGAAGAACGGGAGCTGGCGGGTAAGACGTGAAAAGCGATGCACATCTTATATGTTTTATTGTATGGTCTTTGACCATACAATAAAAATAGGGAGAGGAGGAGTAACGAAAGAGTCGTAATACCGGTATGAAAAGAGAGAGGTGGTGATGGAAGGGATAGGGAAGGGGGGGGTCAGTTAACCCAACCTCCCTAGCAACCCTCCGGGTCACTCGTGCCAGAAGTGTACATGGTGATCATGCAACGCCCAACCGGAGCCCCCTCCTCACCTCCAGAAGAGCTGCGTTGGTGGTGGTGCTGCGGCGGTCCGGGCGACCCCACGGGGATGCCGGCTGCTGCCGCTGAAGCCGCCACGGCCGGAGCTGTCAGGATCAGAGCCTGGACAGAACGGGTGACAGAATAGGTTACAGAGGGTGACAGAACGGGTGACTGGGGGTGTTCGACAGAACGGGTCAGGGTGGCGTGCTTTTGGCCACACAAGCCAGTCAGCAGACACGACCCACATGAGCTAAGGCTGCGTGCACGCAAGACCTCCTCCTCCTCCCCTTCCTTGCTCCTCCTCCCCTTCCCTCCCGTCCTCCCTCCCCTACCCCCCACCTGCAGCGCCCGCAGCCCCGCCTGCAGGCAGTCCGGTGTGTCCGACGTCAGCAGCTCCAGCACCAGGTACTGCACCGCGAACTCGGGGGACAGCTCAGCAATGGGCGCGATCACGTCCTGCGGGGTGGTGAGCGACGTGCGTTGGAAGACAAGAGAGGGGTAGCAGCATCAGAGCGGTAGCAGCGGCGTAAGGAAGGCAGCAGGCATTAGGCGGCAGTAAAACATGAGGAGCAGCGGCGGCGCTGAAACCGTGCTTCCACCAACTAAAAGGCCCTCGCCGAAAGACCCACACACTTCCCTTCCCTTCCCGCTACCCCCCCCCCACCGCATGAGTCGGGATTTGGTATTGGGATCCCGTCGCTGCACTTTCATTCATTACTTATACCCTCCCCCCCGCCTCCGCCGCCCTACCAGCTGCTCCGCAATGGTGAGCCCGCCCTTCTTGGCCAGCGCCGTCACCGGCTTGAGCACCCGGTCCAACCACTTGTGCAGCTCGTGCTTGATGATGTGCGCGCCGTAGCGCACCAGGTAGGAGCAGGCGAGCACCACCAGGCACCGCACGCACACGCAGCGGTTCTCCTTCACCTGCGGGGAGGGTGGGGGGGTGGGGGGCAGGGCGGGGGCAAGAATACCCAATGTGTTGAATGAAGGTGGCAAACAAGCCGAGCTGGGGGGGGGTAAAGAGATCATACCAAACCATGGGAAGCCACGGGTTAGGGCAAAGCAGGAGGGACAGGAGGGACGGGACGAGGGGTACAGGTACTCGGGTAAATTTCGCAACCCAGTCGGTGCGGGGTGAGGGAAACACATAAGAACCACACTTTCAGCCCACAGATAACCCTGCCCGCCTTGTTCCTCTCTGGCACTCCCCCCCTGCTTCCCTGCTCAGCCACCCCAGCGCCCCCCCCGCCCCAGCTGCCCCCACCTTGAGCCCCTTGTGCAGGAAGTCCGCGGTGAGGTCGATGTGCGCCGAGTAGTCCCGGTCGCTAGCCAGGCAGATGAGGGTGGTGGCCAGCGGGTAGCCGTCCTGGGGGGAGTGGGGGAAGGGAGGGGGGAAAAGAAGAACACCCAATGTGTTGAGGGGATTGCATGATCTTGAGCCAAGGAACACACTGAACCTGACCGTAGTATACCGGGGGGTGATGGCGTCCCAGGTGAGGGAGCAGAGAACGGGGCGGGGCGGGGCGCGGGCGCAGAACTGTAGGTGCTGGATGGTGTCTTTTATAGAGGACGCGGATGAGATATGGAAACGAACGCTATGGCAGTCCACATCGGCTTCGGCTTACCAAAACGCCCCAAGGCGCCTAGCCCAGCCGGTTCCTCCCCAAGCACTTTCATCCTCCTGCTCCCGCTCCCGCCCTCCCTGCCCCCTGCCTCCTGCCCTCCCTTCCTCCGCCTCACATTGACATGCTTCTGGTGCTTGTTCATCCATGACGTGATGTCGTTGCGGGTGGACAGCACGATGCCGTACCACTGCTCCAGCGCCGCGGGACCCAGGCTGGCTGCGGCCCGCTGCGGCGCGTCTGAGCGCACCAGCGGCAGCAGGATGTTGGTCAGCATGTCGGCTAGGGCGTGGTGGATCTGCAGGGGGGCGGGGGGGGGTCAAAATAGCCATATACCAGGCCATAGGTTAGGGCGCAGGTTAGGGCAAAGCAGAGGAGATAGGAGACGGCAGGGGGCGGGGGGCGGGCGAGTGGGGGATCCAGGGAGAGGGGGTGCAGGAGGTAGGAGGGAGGGTCGTTACTGCTTGTTGGGAGTTGCGCTGAGAGCTGCTAGGGGGGAGGGCTCATGAAAGGCACGGCGTCCTCCCGACCCCCCCGCACCACCGCCCCCACCTGGATTGGGACCCCAGTTGCATCACTTTTTCCTTCCTCCCCCACCCACGCCTTTTTCATTCCCCTTCCAGCCTTTCTCCCCCCACCTGGCTCTTCTTGACAGGTGCCGTGTGCGCCAGCGGGTGCGCCCTGCGCAGGAAGTCCACCGCCTCCCGCACCGCCTCCTCGCTGTCGAAGCTGAGCACCACGTGGCGCATGCCGTTGGCCAGACGCACAATCTGGAGGGGTGAGGCGGGACAGGGGCGAGGTGGGGGTAACAGGCAACACAAGGTGCGGGTAATGCAAGGGATGAAGTCGTGATGGAGGAACACTGGCTGCACTCATTACAAAGGTAGTGAAGAACAAATGGATAACGCGCTCATGGATGGGCACGAATCCGTGCCTTCGTGCATGACACGTGGACACCTCCATGCGTGCACGCACTCCACCGCCCCCCAGGTCCTCTCACCTGCGCCCTGAGAGCATCATAGTTGGGTTTACCGCCCGAGGGATCCTTCCGCGGGTTAATCCGCTCCGCCAGGGCCCTACACACGCACGCAGCCAAACGAGGGGGGCGATGGGGGATGGGCGCCAAGTCAAGCAACGAAGTGGCTAGCTCCAGCAGCAAGGAGGCTCAGCCATTGACGAGGCGGAAGCATTGAGGAGGCTCAAGCATGAGGGAGGAGGAAGGACACCATCATAAGACGGTTGCAAGGAACCCGCTGACTGACTTGAAGGGGCAAGCGGAGCCACATGTGCTCACCCCAGCCAGCCCTCGAGGCCAAAGCTCAGCACCACCGAGTGTGTATCACTACGTACTTGCCCCTCTTTCCCTTACCCCAGCCCCCACTCCTCTACCCCTCCCCAGTCCCCACTCCTCCATCCCTAGCCCCCATGGTGAAGCCGTGTCATACAGCTTATCAGTTTCCTCCCTAGCCCCCAGCCCCCACTCCTGATTCGTTGTTTCACTTATTTAGTTTTTTCACCCCTCCCCAGCCAGCCCCCCCTCCAGCCAGCCCCACTTTAGGAAGGGCTCCACGACGTGGCTGAGCGATATCTTGCGGCTGACCGCCCCCAGCACCCGCGCCACCACCCCCACCACCAGCCGGTACAGCGAGGCCAGCTCGGGCGGGAACTGCTCGTCGCTGATCAGCAGCAGGCTCACAGCGGTCCTGAGGGGCGGGAGATGGGGAGGGGGAGAGGAATGCAGTGGAGTGAGTTCAGCAGTTCAGTAGCAACACGTGGTGGGGCACATCCATTTCGCATCCCAGTTCCCAGACCTACGGCACCTCCCGATTCGCCACCCAGCCACAACCAGCCCTTACGAGTCCCATCCTCCGCCCGCTGACCCGCACTCGTCCACCCTCCCTCCCCTAGTCCCCCCCCATCACTCACTGCTGCAGGCCGTCATAGTACGACACGAACTCGGGGCTCTTCAGGAAGTCGTCGCTGTACTCATCCAGCAGCTGCAGCGCCGCCTCAAAGTAAACCACCTCCATGGCAGCCTGGGGGAAAGGAGAGTGCCATGGGGACAGGAAGGGCCTCCATCAGCTCATTAACATCAAACCCTGCCGTGTATCGCACACACGCCATGTCACGCAGAGCGCCTCGTCCAAGACTACTCGGACCGTCTCCTCCTCCACTCCGCGCAGGCGACCAGCACGGCACCTGCCCCTCCCCACTGCCCCTCCTGGCCTGCTGTCATGTCTACTGCAGCTGGGCGTTGCCGACCCACATCGCCTCTCGGGTGCTACACGCGCTCAACGCACTGCAGGTGCTCCTCCAGCTGCCGCTGCTGCTGTCTTGCCGCCCAGTTTCCGCGGCAGCTGCCTCTAGCCACCCTTACCTGCTGCTGGCGCCGTCTCACTTTGGGCGGCAAAGGGGCGCCCGATGTATCCAACTCCCCTAGTATAACCCCCAGACCCCAGCCAGTTGCCTACCCGCTTGCTAAACACAACCATGCGCTCCCGCTCCGTCCGCTCCGGCATCCGCGCCAGCGCTGCATGGCTGGACTTGCGCCATGCCTCCAGCTGCCGTACAAGCAGCGGCAGGTGGTGCCGTACAAGCAACCGCAAGCTGGCAAGCGCTCGCCCGAACCGCGAGTCAGAGACCAGGGTAACGAAGCTATCCTGTAGTTGTGTGGAGCGGAAAGGATGCACCCCGTGGGGTTGGGGGCAAGAGGGAGAGCGGTTTGGGTTGGTGGTTACAACACCGGTGAAGCATTGGACGTGGACAACCGTACTCCAGGAAGGAGGAAGGAATGCTTGACTCAGGTGCAGAGGTGGGCCAAGCAGGGTTGTTACCGAATCGGACTGCGGGGACCCAAAAGGTTGCGCTAGCCAGCCACTTTCAGACGGCAGTAGCGTCCAGGGGGGGGGCACTAATGTCGGGCACAGCCTGGGCTGGACTACAGGGCTAACTATATGGTCAACGGCTAGGGGAATGCCTGGATGCCGTGTGCTTTCCAACATGCAAAACAGTGACGTTTGGCTAAGACTAGGGGCCAGGACTACCCCAAGTTGGCTTTGGGAAAACCCAAAGGCGCAAACGCAGTAGTCAAGGCCTGCGGGTTACAGCCATCAAGGTACCCGAAACTAGTTGGGATATGCCTAACGTTTATAGGCATAGCCTGCCGGGGAAGTTATCGAGCTTCGTTGGAGTAGCTGGTGCTCAACTGCCTAGGAGCTGCTGGCGATTGTGTGACTTTCCTAGAAAACAAAGGACGGCCCCTTGTATCCATTACACACCTGGGGTGAAGTTTTTGAGATTATCTCATCTCCGGCCTTCAGGAACTGCTTTAGCAGCAGCTCTGCAGCTTGCAGGTGCATCGTTTTCTCCTCTTGCAGCCAAGTCATGTAGGCTGCTAGGCAAATGACAAGACGGTCATAGTCTGGTAATTGAATTTAGCACAGCCCAGCGATGCAGGCACTAAACCAACCCCTGGATTATCCAGTCATTGAGTCTTCCACTTGATCACCTAGCATCTACATATGCGGCTAGGTTTTTTCATGTATCGCACATCCACAAGGTCTATGCATGTTTTGGCACAACCGGAGACAAGCGGTCGTAAGGGCCCCTTTAGTACGGCATTTCGGTTCGCGCGCGGTGGAGCCATGTTAAGCTGGCATGTCCCTATAAGTGTGCGTGCATGCGGTAGAGTAGCCTTTGTGTGATACGTAGACACATCTTTTCGTGAACCGTTACTGTGTCACCATGCTGTCCGCCGCTGCCCGCCTGCTGGCCAAGGATGCCGGGCCAGGCAGCCTGGCTGCTCTGTCGCAGTGCCAGCAGCTCCGCTTCTTCAACGTGCATGAGTACCAGGTCCGTAACCTCGGAATGCTTCCCCTCCGGTGTCGGGTGTCGGAAATCGGGACGTCCGTCGACTTTTCCGCTCGCTCCGCGAACAAGCCTGTGCTTTAAACGTGCCTCGATATCTTTCTGTAACAAGCTTTGGCAATATGATGCTTTCTCAGCGGCAGCCGGTGTCATTGCTTCCGCCGCAGGGTGCTCAACTTATGAGCAAGTTTGGCGTCAACGTGCCGCCTGGCATTCCGGCCAAGACCGTGGAGGAGGCTGCTGCTGCTGCTGAGAAGATGGCCGACGAGAACGGCGAGGTGAGCGGAAAAGCTGAGAAGTCTTACACACGCGGTCCCGGACCATGCGACTACCGAAATCCTGTCTTGTCATGAAACGCCCGCGAAGTCATAGTTGATATAACAAGTTATTTTTAGATATCGACTTTTTTGAGCGATATCACAGTGTCGCAGATTAGTAACGGACCCTGAGCGTTTCCCGTCTCTTCCGAACACGGCTTTTCCGCTCGCTGCATACGCATCCGCCATCCTCACCCCTGTCTGCTTTCCAGGTGACGAATGCCTCTTGCAGCCTTTGTGGATTGCCCTTTCAACACTCTGCTGCACACGCCCGTTTCCCGAAGCGCATGGCCCCCCTCTCCCCGTTTGCCGGCCTTCTCCAACATTTCCGTGATCACTCCTTCCCTCCTCTCACCTCCCCTCTCTTCCCACGCCCCCCTCAAAACACATCCCCCTTAACCCCACCGAGTATCACCATCTCCCCTTCTTCTGCCTCTCCCTTCTTCCCTCCTCTCCTTCCCTCTCCTTCCTCTCCCTTCTCACCCCGTCCCTCCCTCCTTATCCCTCCCCTCCCCCTCCCTCCCACCAGGTCGTCATCAAGTCCCAGATCCTTGCCGGCGGCCGCGGTCTCGGCCGCTTCACCAACGGCCTGCAGGGCGGCGTGCACATCGTGCCCAAGGAGCGCGCCACCGAGCTGGCCCGTCAGATGCTGGGCGGCACCCTCGTCACCAAGCAGACCGGCCCCGCCGGCAAGCCAGTCAACACGCTGCTGCTGGCCAAGAAGATGAAGCTCAAGCGCGAGATGTACTTTGCCATCCTGCTGGACCGCAAGACCGCCGGCCCCATGATGATTGGCTGCAGCGAGGGTGGCACCAGCATTGAGGACCTGGCTGAGAAGTTCCCCGAGAAGATCATCAAGGTCGGCATTGACCCGCGGGTCGGCATCACCGACGCGCAGGCGATGACCATGGTGGAGGGTCTCCAGGTGACCGGCGACAAGGCCGCCGCGGCCCAGCAGATCAAGGGCCTGTACGAGCTGTTCGTCAAGTGCGACTGCACCATGGTGGAGGTGAGGAGGCGCGGGCAGGGGGGGGGAAGGCGGCACTGCTGGGGTGGAGGGGGGGAAGCGTGGGAAGCTAGGAGTGCTGTGCAAGGAGATCGATATTGTTATTTGGCCTGCAGAGGTTCGTGAGATTACTACCGTTATCTGGCTCCTGACACACGTCTTGTCCCTCCCCCTCCCCTGCCCCCCAGGTGAACCCCCTGGCTGAGAGCCTGGACGGCCAGCTGATCGCCGCGGACGCCAAGCTGGGCTTCGACGACAACGCCGGCTACCGCCAGAAGGAGATCGTGGCGCAGGTGGACGAGAGCCAGATCGACTCCCGGTAGGTGCTGGGGTGGGGTTGGTGATGGGGGTTGGCTGCGGCTGCGACCGCACGCGTGCTGAACTGCTGATGCATGACACCTTGGGCTGCGCTCGCTTTCGGCTAAGCTCAAGATCTCCCCCATCCTGGCTCCTTTTAAGCTATTGGTAGCGTGTGATTTATTCTTTCGTTCCGCGCTCGCCCACCTACCTGTTCCTCACCCTTCTTTCTTTCTTCCCCCCACTCCCCCCCCCTCCTCAGTGAGGTGGCTGCCTCCAAGCACGACCTGAACTACATCGGTCTGGACGGCAACATCGGCTGCATGGTCAACGGCGCGGGTCTGGCCATGGCCACCATGGACATCATCAAGATGCACGGCGGCGCGCCCGCCAACTTCCTGGACGTGGGCGGCAGCGCCAGCGAGGGACAGGTAAGGGGGGGGAGGAAATACATAAAGACCAATCCATAGGAAGTTACAGGTTGGGACAAGGCAGGGGAGATAGGAAGCGAGGGAAGGATGGGGAGGAGGAGAGCTAGGGGGGCTGGGGCGGGCGGGCGGGGTTCTCGAGGTTGAGCGTGGGCGGCTGGATGGAGGAAGAAGGGTGGGCTGGGTGGATGGAGGGTGAAGACAACCAGGGGCTGGAAATGCATGTCGTAGGCGTGAAGCAGCATGCGTTTCTCCTATTACAACACTTCCCTTCTAACTGGATTCGTATTTGCCCCCCCCCCCGCTTCTCTCGCATCCAGGTCGTTGAGGCGTTCAAGATTCTGACCGGCGACCCGCAGGTCAAGGCCATCCTGGTCAACATCTTCGGTAGGTGTGGGGGCGCGTTTGGGGGAGCTTTAAAGTAGTCTAGTGCTTCTGATTTGATGGTGTTATTTTAACTTCCAAATAAAGCCATAATATTTACTGGTACGTAACCGCCTCAAAATTCATCCATCAAACCCAACCATCATAAGCACTCGCATCATCCTACTACCTGCGCACGCACTCTCTCACCCACCACACTCCCCCACCCTTCCGCCCCATGCAGGTGGCATCATGAAGTGCGACGTCATTGCCGCCGGCATCGTCAACGCCGCCAAGCAGGTGGGCATGAAGGTGCCGCTGGTGGTCCGGTTAGAGGGCACCAACGTAACCCGCGGCAAGGAGATCCTGCGCACCAGCGGCATGGCCATCATTGCCGCCGATGACCTGGATGATGCCGCCAAGAAGGCCGTCAGCGCCATCAAGGCGTAAGCAAGCTGAGTCTGCTGAGCTGGCTCATCGCAGCAGCAGCGGCCCCTGTTCGTACGGCAGGGGCGTAAAGATCATCGGGCTTAATACCTGCGAGGCGAAAAAATCACGCGTGGAAATCACGTCGTGGTTTTTGAGCTGAGCGTTAAAGATGATGGAACAAAGAGCTTGTTTGTTTGGGGCTCGTCGTGTTTGGTTCGCGTTCGGACGTATTTTGATGGTGGAGGTCGAGGAAGTGTGGGTTTGTGTGGTGGTATTAGGTGGCGGAGGCATGCGGTGATGTGTTGTGACCCATGTGCGTGCTGCTTAGTATGTTATGCGTCGTGGTGTGATGTAACTCGGAGAAAGCTTAAACCCGGAGCAGGGGTCCTGTAGATGCTTCTGCATGATGGGGCTGTGACGGCTCATCCCTCATGCGGGCATGGCCCTCACTCTCATGAGAGGGAGCCTCTGCAGGCTGGCTGTAACGATACGCGTCTCGACCGGAACACACACCACTCGCCTTTCCCTTTCCTCGGATGTCCTACCTTTCCTTGCTTCCCTTATCTTCCCTGGTTTCTTTGTGGATATCATCCCAGTCGGCGGCACATCGTAACCCTGAACAGCCAGAGGAGTCATTCCGCGAATTGTTCCCGTTCAAGGCCAAGGACGGCCACACCTCAGCAGGTTCCTCGCAGCTCGGCTACTGCTACAAACCTACAAGAGCATGTCGTGCCCCAACACTGGTTTGGCTACAAGAGCGCGCGCACGAACAGCGGCACTTGTTATCATGGAGGACTTACACCGCCTTGAAGGTGCCCTCCTTGCCCTTCCGTACCACCACCGCCTGAGCCATCACCCCCAGCATCTCCACCGCCGCCACCACTCTCCTGCCTTGCTCCTCCCTCTGCACCCTTTCCTGCCCCGCCTGCCTCTTCACTACCCTCCCTGCCACTACCGCTACCTCCTGACACACCTGCCCCCTCCATCCCGCCACCACCACTATCACCACCACCAGCCTCTCCACCTCCTTCCCCATCCACGTCTCCCTCGCCCTCCTCCCGCCCCTCCGCCGCATCCCTCAGCCTCTCCCCGTACAACACATACTGCAGCTGCACATGCTGCGCGCTGATGCCATGCCGCAGCATCGCCTCATGTCCCCAGCGCTGCACCAGCAGGTCGTGGATCAGCCGAGGCCCCCGCCGCCATCCGTCCTCGTGGGCTACACGAACCAGGGTGCGAAGGTTGGCGGTCAGACGGCTGGCAGGCGGGTCGGCCAGGAATTCAGTGATGTCGGAGATGTCGGCAACCTGCACGAGGGATATGGAGGTTGCGGGCTTACCGGTATTATGTTAAGTTAGGTAAGGTATGTGTTGCGGTTTGTGCTGGGGATATTACCGAAGCCTCTCCGCATATGTGCGTCTGTGTGGCCTTAGAAGATCGTTGCCAGACGCATCCTGCCATTGTAAGCTCTTGGCCAAGTAATCAGGTATTGTACAGATTTAGGCTGCTGTAGCAGCAGCCCATGCCTTACGTTATTCCTCCAGCGCTGCTGCAAAGGCAGCGTCACTCGGTTTGGCGACACGATGTCATCGGGACCGTACGGCCCCAGCCGCTGCCCTACTCGCATCCCCTGCAGCAGCACACGGTAACAGTACCAGGGGGGCGCTGCCACATCGCAGTTGGAGAAGCTCTCGCCGTCGACTGAATGGATGTAGCAGTCGCTGGCTGGCTTGCCGTACAACAGCTTTAGCTCCCGAGACACCTGTGATGTGTACGGCATACGACAGGCAAGCGTTGGTGACATTGTGACATTATGACTTTCCCTCTGGCTGCAGTAACCAAGGAGTGGACCGAGGCTGGCTGGAAGGGTGGCAACAAAAGAGCAGTACAAGCAGCCGGCCCTAGAGAGCTTGGCTTAGGGTGTTGGAAAGAACCAGGAATTCGGAAGCCTTGCCAGAGGTGAGTTGCGCAGACCGGCTGGATGGATGGAGGCGAAAGCAACACCCAACCATTAAAAGCATTCTGCAAGAGGACTCCTTACCCGTGTCTTGTATACATCTGCATCAATAGGGATGTCGTATTCATATAGATAAGCAGTGCGGCGTGGCTGCGGTTGGTACAAACAGAACCATGTCTCGCGAGTTGGCGCCTGTGGTGGTATGCGTAAAAGAGTTGCAACACTCGTGCTGATGTAGCTCTGTTGTGAGCTAGGAAAAGGTGTCGTCCAAAGATGCAAGCGTAACAGGGTCGCGCGTTGGAAGACTTTGAAGCACATTCCTGACAAGCGAGGCAGAGTGAGGAGTGATAAATGCTTTTATTCTACGATATCTGCAGATGTTAGTGAGTTTACAACAATCTGCCTGTACCGGGAAGCGCAAGTCGGTAACTGTACGGTCATTACTCCGACCGGCGGTATCTTGTCTGAAGTGACGACATTCGCAGACTTGCAACGCACAGAGATGTTGTTCATACAAACTTGAGCCAATGCGTCTACTCGTTCAACAGGGTTGCCTGCCCGCTCAGACAACCCTGAGTTTAAGGAGCAGACCTTGGCCGACTTCTTTGCTCTTAAGTCGCACGTCAACATCGCGAGACATTAGAGTGCAAAGCACCCTGCAGCAGGCGAAACGACGGCGAAGTAAAAAGCAACCGGAGCTTGGACACGACGTTGAAGATGGCTCCACAGCGACCTCGTCGTCGCTAGGACCAGCAGCTGATGCTCCGGGTAGCCAGCAGAAGGCACAGCGCGTAGACAGCTCCTACAGCGATGTGACCTCAACCGCCTCGGATGTCAATCCCCTCCATCCACCCTTGGATGTTCCTTCCGCGAACCCTAAGTTCCCCAACGCATCGAGCCGTTCTTCCCCAGCCGCACATACGGAGCTGCTGCCCTCATCGCTCCCTCCGCACGCGGGGATTCTTCACCCTCCGGTTACGATGATCACGCCCGACCCTCTCATCGGTGTCGATGCTCTCCAAGGCGGTAACAGCAACCTCGAGCCAGAGGGCTACAAAGTCTCACGTGGACCAGAATACGAGCTGCAACAGCAGCCGCAACGGCTGTTCGAGCAGCAACAGCATTCTAGAAAGCGGCATGACAGGCCGCTGCAACCGCTGCTGGTAGTTGTAGAGCCGCAACGCCATGCGTCCCAAGCGGCACCATCGGCAGCAGCTGCTGCTGCTGCTGCTGGTGATACTGGAGACGGCTCTGGTTCTCCTGACTCCTGCTTTCCGTCACTGCAGCACCAGCCGCTGCTGCAAGGGGATCTGCAGCTGGACACTTGGAACGAAATGTACGACACGCTGTCACATCATCAACATCATCAACTGCAGCCGTTGGCAGCCCCGGCTCGGGATTTTCCGCAGGAGCAGGTGCAGCAGCAGGGCGAGGAGTACCCTTCTCAGGGGCGGCCGTGCCGGCAGCGGCTCAACAACGCAGGTTTCCTGAACCAGTGGGCTGAGGCGATATCACATGCAGCAGCGAAGCAGCTGCCTGTGCGGCGGCCGAGGTCTAGACGCAAACGCAACACCGATGGCGGCGACGGTGGCGGTGGCCCCAGCGCCAACAACAGCGGTAGTGTTAGCAGCAGCAGCAGCAGCGCTAGCAGTCTAATAGGTAGTAGTCTATCAGGTAGCACCGTCACTAGTGGGCCGGGTGGAGGGGCTTTTGCGGTCGAGCCCCTTGCTTTGGATACGCCGCCTGGTGGCAACGGCGTGGTCTCGGAGGAGGTGCAGCAGCAACACGAGGAGGAGGTGCTACTATTAGGCCTGGAGCACCAGCAGCAGGGGCACGAGCATTCGACGGGTGACGGGCCACTGCGTGCTCTGAGCGGTGAAGCGGAGTTGGGCACAGCGGCCGACATGGGAACCGCAGTACCACGAGCAATAACGGCAACTGGCGGGACGGCAGTAGCAGGGGCGGACGGCGGGGAGTCCATATCAGCTGCTTCGCATGGGAGCGACGGCGGCAGCAGCAGTCACGGCGATAGTGGCGGTAGTAGCCTCGGCACCAGCAGCGGAAGCAGTGTCAGCGGAAGCGGCGGCGGTGTCAGCAGCCATGGGGGCAGTCGGAAGTCCGGAGGAGGCGGCAGGAGCCGCAGCGGCAGCCACAGCAGTAGCAGTAGCAGTCCTCGCTTGATGCTGTTTGGCGAGTACCAAATGTCGCAAACGGGGGTGTTAGACGGTGACTTGCCGCGTAACCGAATCAGCAGCGGGCACAGCAGGCTGAAGGCGACAGGAGGGCCCGATAGCGGGAACGGTGACGAAGGCGCGGAACAGGCGTTACCCGACGCCGAAGCGTGCATGACGGCGGAGGATAAGGCGGAGTTTTGGGAGCACCTCCTAAGCAGCCCAACGGGCAGCTCGGCTGGGTACCAGAACTACAACGGCCTGCCCGTACTCATCTGTGTACGACAACGGGTGCCGTACGGCGAAGCCGAGGTGTACGAATTACCAGATCTTGGCCTAGGGCCCATAGATGAAGCCACATGGCAGGCTTGGGGTAGCATGCCCAACACCACCCGTCCCAAACAGCCCCTCCACGTCATCCCTGCAACCGCGCGTGCGGGTTTTACGCTCGATTCCCCGTACGGCAGCCCCCGGGGGGGAGACGGTTGGCGTACGTTTGAGCTCCGGGTGTTGGGGGAGTACGACCATAACCCCGCATACACACGCCACCCGCTTCAGCTGGCGTGTGAGGGGCGGGTTTACTTCAACGCACGGCACATCTGGGACCTCATCGGCTTCCTGGCTGACCCCACACGTGACGCCGTGGAGGAGCACTTGTCGTCCATTGCGCTGCTGCGGGAGGGGCGCTTCTCGCCCGCCCTGTGTCACTGGATTCTGAGGCGGCGGTGGGGAGACTGGGGGCTGGCGCATGTGGGGTGGGGGCCGCGGGACACGTTGGGGCATGTGTTGGAGGTCCGGAGGAACCCCAACAGGGCGTTCAGTAGCCTGAAGGCGCCTTGGTGGTTGGCGTTGGCGGGGAGAGGCGGGGTTGAGGAGCAGGAAGGGAAGGAAGATGAATCGGGGGTTGAGATGGCTGAGGAGGCGGTGGCGGTTGAAGTGGAGGAGTGGCCCGATCAGGTTGACGGATGTGAGCGGGTGGTGCGGGAGCAGCAGCAGCAGGGGGTGGAGGTGGTGGCTGGGGTGCCGGAGTGGGCGGATTAGGGAGGGTGCAGGGTGGGGTGGGGTAGACTGGGGCATGGGGACATGCGGGCGCTGCTGGTGTGTGCAAGGCTGGAAGGGGTGCTGGAGAGATGTGGGTGCTGAGGGAGGAGTTGGCGAGGCAGGGGACCATGTATGCAGTGCTCTGCAGTGGATGTATGCGCGGTTGTACAGCGTTTACCGTATGGCGGGAAGGGGGTTGGGGGAGATAAGAACTAGGATAGGCTAGGAGATAGAAAGTGGTAGGCTAGGAAGAGCTAAGAGAGCTACATGCTAGTATGGGCGCATTAAATCTTATAGCGTTATAGGCACAAGTGTTGAGTTTATTTTTATAAGTAGGCTAGCTGTAGTTTGTTGCTGCTGCTTTTATTGTTGTTGCCGTTCCATGCATGCTGGCAAGGCGAGGTTGTTTGTCTCCCAACCGTCGACATGTACCATCACGTCTATTTGCTGTCGTATTGGCGACGACGCTTCGCCCATTCAGGAATTCCATGTCGGGTGTGCCTGCGCTGCTATCCAGGTGAACGCAGGTGCGGCGCACGTTGTTGTCTCATTTTGCTTTTGTAGGTTTGTGCGCGGATGTCCCAGCCACATTTGACAACGGTTTGTGGTTGGTGCTTATGGTTGACTGTGGAGAGGTCTCGTTAGGCTGCGCCGTGTTTGGTGGCTGTCAAGTTTTCATGAACGCCTGATGCCGCATGTCGGGTCATGTGCTGACAGGCTAGGAGCGCCACAGGGTTAACTGCTATGCCGGCGTAAGCCCCCCGTCCTCGTGCATTTTGTCTCCACATCGCGCCAGCGGGACATGGGGCGGGGGTACGAACAATGTCGTATCCAGGAAACATGGGGCAGCGATGTCAGGAACCATAGAGCACTACAGTCATGATAACCTTAGTCCCCAAATGGTAACAGACACCCATTCCTGCAGCGATTGTGGAAAGGTGCCTGTGCCCCGTCTACTGCCCACTGTTTGTAAACAGCACTTAGCCTCGAAAGCCAGCCCACAGTCCTTAAATGCCGCAAGTAACTGATATGCCCCTCAACCATAGCCTGTACTGTACGGGACACGGTTCTTGGGCGATTAGGGGGGCCATGCCATTCCCCATGTGGCCATGCCACGGGCCCGTAAAACTAGATAGCCAACCATATTTAAGGCGTCCACCACTTAAAACACCACCACAACTCCTCACATTGAAGCTGTGAATGCGAGGTGACGCGGCTAAGTATGAAGCCCCCTTCCTCCGCGCCAAAAGCTTACAAACCAAAAGTACCTATACTACATATGTGGGTGTGCGTTGCGGTTTTCGGGAACACAAACGCCGCCATCCTTTGCCGTATGGACGTCAAAACGAAGCGAACAGACTAACAAGCCGACCCCGCCTCAGACCCATGCTACGCAAGGCGCTTCCGCAAGCCGTTTCAACCGGTAAGTGCACACGTATTCCCCTGTCCTGCTCGCGTCTCCCGTATCTCTCAACAGGAGCGCCCGCATGTAGAGCACCTGCATCATACAAATCCCAGCCACCATTACCACCATTAATGCCACCCAATTGTTTCACCACACCACATAGGACCAACGCCAAGCTCAAGTCCTCCGCTCTTCTCCATGCCGCCACCGCCACCCGATGCACTGCCCAACACCTCACATCCGCCACGTTATCACCACCCCAGAGCAGAACGATGTAGTTGCAGCAGCGGCACCGAACCCCAGCAATGTACGTGTGTACAGAGGAAGCTATAGGGCGGCGACATTACGACTACCCTCCACAGCTGTTTGTGGCTCCTGACTCCCAAGCAGAGCAGCTGATCTGTCCCTCGCTAGCAGCTATTCTGTGGGAAGAGAGCCGCCTTAAGCACCTTGAGAGCGCGCTTATGCGTCCGCCTTGTACCCTGAAGCCGCGCTGACAAGTACGTCTGCTCCTTATACCTTGATGGCACGCTGCTGGTTTGCGAGGCGCTGGCTCATCTTGAGCGCCCGCAGCTTGATGTAGTCCCGATCCACCACCCCGTCGTCCTTGTTGGCGTCCTCCTCCGTCTCCTCCTCGCTCTCCATCTGGGGGGCAAGAGCGGCGGGCAGAGAGGAAAGAACGTGAGCGCGCGAGGAAGGAAGAAGGGGATTGAGGCGACCGCGGTGTACCTGAATCGATACATGCATGCCTCCCGCTGCTCTGCATCCACTCTTGCTGCATGTACGCCGATAACTGCCTCCACCTAAACAATCCTAAACATCCCAACCCGGCCCAACCCAACACCCATCCAGACGGCCAAGTTCCATTTTACCGGAATCCCACCCCTCTTACCTCCTCCTCCTCCACATCGCTGCCAGTGTAGCCCAGGATGCGGTTCAGGTCGGGCTGCACCTGCTGCTCCTTCTTCTTGCCCTTCTTCCGCTTGATGTTGGTCGGGGGCGCCGCCTCAGCCGCGCTGGCGGCAATGGTCTCCAGCAGCGGGGCGCCCGTCCAGGTGCGGCGGTTCATGCCCTTCACCAGCGTGCGCTCGCTCTCGCTGAGGCCGTCCGCGGGCACACGCGAGGGCGAGGCGGGTGGGGGCTCAGCGGGCTCACCGCTGGTGACGGGCGCCGGGGTGGGGACCGGCAGGCCGTCCTCCTCTGCGGGTGGGGAGATGAGGGGGAGGTGTTGACGTGCAAGTAGGGGTTGTTTGCATGCATGCGCAGCGGGTCTCTCACGCCCGGCGTTTCCAACGCATTCCATCCTTTTAGCACCCAAGCTCCCTCCTCCCTTCCCCATCCCTCTCACCCGCCGCATGCTCCTCGTCCATCTCCGCCCCCAGCAGCGCCACCCGGTTCAACCGCTCCGTCACGCTGTTCAGCAGCTCGGGCAGCTCCGGGAAAAAGTGCTCGTCGTCAATGGTGTTGCCCTCCGCGCCAATGGGCGACGCCAGCTCCGTGTCTCCCAGCTCCTCCACCGCCCCCTCCGGAATACCGCCGGTGTCCCCCGGCGGCACCACATGGAGCGGCGAGGAGGGCTTCACCAGGTCTCCAGGCGGCAACGGCGGTGACTGCGCCCGTGAGCCCGGCCCGCCGCGTGTCTTCCGCTCCGGGGTGTGTACATGGGCGGATGGCCGGCGGCCGCCGGCGGCGCCTGCGGCGCCGCCTGCCGCTCCGCGGCCACCGCCGCGGTAGTGCCCCTTGCCGTCGTGCCCTCCCTTGAGCTGTGAGGCACGCAGCTGGTCGGGGTGGATCTCCTCGAGCGCAATCATCAGCCGTTCCAGCAGGCTACGCAGGCCTTGCTCCGCGCCGATACACACGGAACGCAGCTTGTTGAATTTTGCCTTGGCGGTTTCCATGTTGCGCTCGACCTCGGTAATGAGGTTGGCGCGTTCCGCGCTGCCAGCGCCCACGTCGGGACTGCCCGCGTTCTCCTTCTCGTACATGCCAGAGCGGTTGCTCAGCAGCGAGCCGATCTCCGCCTTGGCGGCCGCCTCGCGCTGCTCCGCGAGCGCCACCAGCCGCCGCATCTGCTCCTCCTTGGCTTTGAGGCCTGGGGACGTGGGGAGTGGTGATGGTGGTGGGGTGGGAGTAACGGTGAGGGTCAGCGAGAAAGCAACCCGTTCCTAAGAAAAGGACGAGCAGCCGTGGTGATGTGGGTGCAGGATGGTTGGGAGGAAATGTAAGCAGGAACGTGCTCAAGGAGCTGTTGTGGGCGGCTCACGTCTAGAAAGCGCCCGCGCGTGTGCGTGCAGCGTGGAGCAGCGTCTGCTAGTGGCTAGTTATTGTGTTTCAGCCTTTTACGGGCGCCATGGCACATGCCGTTATGATAGCCTTTTAGAGATTTTAGAGTGATGGTCACCAGCGCAATACGGAAGCCCCTCACACCCTAACCAGCACCCCCCTCCTTCCTGCGTTCGCCATCCTCCTTTGCCCCTCTACCTCAACCCCATCCCGTCCAGTCCAACCCCGCAACGCTCACTCACCATCCCAGTACGCCAGCACCTCCTCCGGCGTGTCGGCGCCGCTGATGGTGCGGATGCGGTTCCAGCTGTGCTCCATGGCCTCTACCTTGGGTGCGAGCGCCGCCACGCGCATCTCGTATGCGTCCTGCTCCATCTTGAGCTTCGCCTGCAGCTCCCGCTCCTGGCGCTCCCGCTCCAGCTGCTTCTCACGCATCTTGCGTTCGCGCTCGAGCTGCTTCTGCTGCCGCTTCTTGAGCTCACGGACCTGCGCGGGGTTGGGGATGGCGGGGTTACGAATGGGGTTGTGATAGCGCATGGCGCGTCAGAACCCAGATGAGACGGGCCTGGCAGGTATGTATCGTAAATAGAGTCCGCATGGCTATTTCAACGTCCCATACTTACATGGCCCCTTGCTTTGTTATGTCCTGTTCCCCTCTGCCCACATGCTCCACTGCCCGCATGCTCCACTGCCCGCATGCTCCACTGCCCGCATGCTCCACTGCCCGCATGCTCCCTCGTTAGGCATTCCCAAGCATGCAACTCTAAGAGTCGTGTTCTCTTATCCAGTGCGCCACCCAATCCCAGAACCTTGCCTCCCTGCTGCATTCCACCCATCCAGCTTTCACCCTGGGTTGACACTTTCGTGTTCACAACAAGGTATTTCCTCCTCCCTTCCACCCACCTCGCGCCGGCGCTCCCGCAGCTTCTTCTGCCAGTCCATGCGCGTCTCCTCCAGCATGCGCTTCATGCGTGCCAGCTCCCGCTCCGCTAGCTCCTTCGCGGCGCGCGTTTCGTTGAAGTGCGCCGTCAGCGTGTACAGGTCGTCCGCCGAGTCCTTCTTTAGCTGCTGCGCCGCCCGGACCTTCATGTCCATGGCCAGGTGCTCGCGACTGGGGGGGATTGGGGGTGTGGGTGGGGAGCGGAGGACGTGGGAGGGGGGGTTGTTGCAGGTTGGGGAGGTTCGAGAGGGGAGTGCATGGTAAGATGGGATGTGGGTTGCGGCGAGTGGAGGATGGGATGGACGGGGAAGAAGACGATGGGTCGGCATGCTCATGTGCATGCAGGTTTAGGAACATGGTGAGGGCTTGAGCATAGCAACGCGTGATTAGTACACGCTTGGGGCTTGCTGGCTCAAAACACATGAGGAGCGGTTGCTCCGACGCTGCATTCCCCACCTCCCATGTCCTGCAAACCCAGTCCCGAGCTCATTCCCCCTTGGCTCCTGCTTCTGCCGTCCCCAGGAGCAGACCACCCGCACCCTCACCGCGTGCGCTCTCCAAGCAGATAGTACAAGCGGTTTTTGGCCTCCGCCTCCACCAGCTCTTCATCAATGTGCTTCATTTCATCTTGCAGCTGCTGGATGTACGCCTGCTCCTCGCTGAGCTCCCCAGGTGTGAGGCGGGTGGCATCCGTGTTGTCGTCACGCCCTCTGTTCAGGCCGGACTCCTTCCGGCGTACCTCCTCGCGCAACTCGTTAAGTTTCGCCTTTTTAAGCTCCAGCTCGCGCCTTAGAGTTTTAATGTCCGTTTGCTGCGCCTCACCACCAGCCGTTCCTGCAGGTAGGCTTGCAGGGTGAGCGCTTAGCGCGGAGTTACGGATTTCGCTGAGGCATGCGACCCACCTGCTTGCGCCTTGACAAGCTTTATCGAGTCCAGCAGCACTTGCCGCTCGTTCTTAATCTTTTCTAACTCCAATCGAAGGAGCTCCTCCTCCGTAAGCTCCTCCTCGCCAAGCCCCCGTGGTGTGTCCATACCCGGTGTCTTTGTCGTCTTTGTCGCAACGGCAGGCAGGCCGCGTGACGGAGGCTTCGTGGGTTGGCCAGCCGGTGGCGGAGCCGTAAACGGGGACATGCTGCGACCATCGTCGCTATCTTCGCCCAAGAGTTTACATAGCTCTGGGGACGTCTGTACAGGCGCATCGAGGAAAGTGCCACTCCTTGGCGCCAGCCGTGAAGACTATGCCAGACTATGCCAGTGCAAAGAACAAAAGCTTACCTTGAGCAACTCCTCTTTTGTCCGCAAGCGAGGCAACTTCAGTGTCGACTTGGTAGCCATGGCTTGGACGCCGGGCACCAAAGGGCCGCCCCCCTATTCACAGTAATAACTTTTCCTTAGCAATAGGTTTCAATCAATCAATAAGCTTTGTTAGCATCTGCGGTTGGGACTGGTTTGGGCTAGTGTCTATGGGCACGTTATGCTAACCCAGATAACATATTCATGTTGTGCGCCTAGTTATAACCAGATATCGAGAACATGGAGTATGCTGCTTCGACGTGGGCTTGCGACTCCTGTTCGATGGACCTGCTGAAAGGGTACGACAAGTCGCTAGGTCTGTACCCAGCGCCACAAAGTGTTTCCAGCGTTTTAGGCGTGGAAATAAGCTAACGTTCCTCTATATTTAGCTCACTAACCAATTGAGGGCCAGCTGCTCGCTTCTGCTGGCGTTCGCGCCCCATGACCTGCTGCCTAGCCTAGAAGTATAGATTGCAACCATGCAGCTCCGTTACCTAAAGCCTGTTTTGCCTCCGGCTGATACATACCAAAAGATCACCTCTTTGACCTGGGCGCCCAACAAGTACGTTCCGCTCGTTTCCCGCGGCTTGGATAATAGGAGCAACCAGTTAATTTTACATGAATTGTATTATGGTGCAGTTCACGTCTTGCTGCGGTTTCCACCGATAAGGTGGTGTACCTTTTCGACGAGAATGGGGAGAAGCGTGACAAGTTTAAGACCAAGCCAGCGGAGTCGAACAATCCCAACACATACATTGTGCGGGCGATGGCGTTTTCTCCAGACTCAACGAAGCTGGCGATCGCTCAGAGCGATAACATAGTGTTTGTTTACAGGTGACCGCTCAATGGAAAGCTTGGTTACAGCTGTTACATGCGCTGCAGTGTTGTGTTATGCGCCGCATCAATGGAATGGTCCTAGCACGCGTAGAATGGTGGCTTGTACTCCAGCTTACGCTGGCCCAGGGGCCACATGCATCGGTAGATATGTCATCAGCTCACCAAATGTGTACCCCGGATGCAGGCTTGTGGATCCAGACACTGGCGCAGACAAAAAAAGCATTTGCAACAAGTTCCCGCAGGCATGCGCGGTGACCAGCTTGGTATGGCCCAAGGACCGGCCCAATGAGGTGGTCTTCGGGCTGGCGGACGGCAAGGTCAGGCTGGGCATGCTCAAAAACAACAAGTCGTACACATGCTACACTCACCCGGAGAACTCATACGTGGTGGCCCTGGCGTCCAGCCTGAACGGCCAGAACGTCATCTCTGGGCACATGGATGGGGCCATCTGGAAGTTCAACTTCCCCGCAGAGGAGGGTGGTACGCCCACCAGCTCGCAGCTCGTGGTCCACTCGTGCGTGCCGTACTCGCTGGGGTGGGGCAACTGCATTGCCGCAGCCGGCAACGACAACCGGGTGGTCTTTTATGACCTGAACGGCCGGGAGTTCCGGTCGTTCGATTACAGCAACGATGACAACGTGCGGGAGTTCACCACCTGCGCGTTCAACCCCAGCGGCGACACGGTGGTGTTTGGCACGTACAACCGCTTCTACGTGTACACCTTCAACATCCAGCGGAACGACTGGGAGGAGGCGGGCCATCGGCATGTGAGTAGATTTTGCATGGTGGAGTGGTGTCGTGGGGTGGGGCTGATGCATGATGGGGCTGGGCTATAGGCAGGAGAGGGGCGATGGTCCCGTCAACATGGACTGCATGCTGCGCGTGCGTGTTGACGTTTACCACCTGTCTGCACCAACATGGAGGGGGCTGGCAGGGAGGGCTGGTAGGGAAAGCATATCCAACGATGGCAAAAGAGAGTTTAAGCTGCACGATAGCCGTCCCAAAGGCTGGTTCTGACGACCCAATTGCCTCCTTGTATCACATTTGCCGCAAGCTAGAGCAGCCTAACTCCGTGCGGTGCGCTCGACCGTTACGCCATCGTGCAATATGCACCCCCATGTTTCTCGTGCATCCTATTCCGTTCCCTACTAACGGCTAGATTCCCAACTCTTCCTGAGGGCACCCTCCCTCTGCCCCACACCCGTTGTGCTTCATACCCCTTACTACCGAGTCCTACCGGCCCCAACCCATGCTCCCCTACAGATCGAGAACTTCTACGCCGTCAGCTCCATCTCCTGGAAGCCCGACGGCTCCAAGGTGACGGTGGGCTCCATGACGGGTGCGGTGGACATGTACGACGCCTGCGTGAAGCGCCACATGTACAAGGGCAAGTTCGAGTTCACGTACGTGAGCAAGAGCGCCGTCATCGTGAAGACGCTCAAGACGAACGCACGCATCGTGCTCAAATCGGTGTACGGCTACGAGATTGAGAAAATTAACATCTACCATGACAGGTGCGGGAAGGTTGCTGCCCTCGGGCGTCGGGCTTTAGCGACCAATGGTATTCCGAGCCAATCCGGCATTTAACTCCAGGTGTTATCAGCTTATCACCTGTAAGCTACCGTTGTGCCCTTCAACACGTGCTATAAACCTGGCATGCATGCGCGTCCGTCCTCGCAGGTACCTGATCGCCCGCACGACCTACACCCTGCTCATGGGCGATCTGGAGACCTGCAAGCTGTCGGAGATTCCCTGGGACAGCGACGGCAGCGAGAAATTCCACTTTGAGAACGAGCGCGTGTGCATGGTGCACTACGCGGGCGAGCTGCACATCGTGGAGTACGGCAAGAACGACGTACTGGGCACCTGCCGTACCGAGCACATGAACCCCTACCTCATCTCGGCGGTGGTGCAGGAGGCGCGCGGCATCGCGCCCGAGTCCAAGAAGCTGGCGTACCTGATTGACCTGCAGACGGTGCGCATCCAGGACCTCATGGGGGCGGTGGGCTCCACGCTGGCCACCGTCAACCATGACACCAAGGTGAGGAGAGTAACCGCATGCGCTCAATCCCCTCGTGCCCTGAGGCCTCCATACACACTGCTGACCCTCCCCCCTCCCGCCCGCGCAACCACCACCACCACCGCTCGCTTGCAGGTGGACTGGTTGGAGCTGAACCAGCGCGGCACGCACCTGCTGTTCCGCGACAAGAAGCGCCACCTGCACCTCTTCAACATCGCCTCCCAGGAGCGCACCACGCTGCTCAACTACTGCCAGTACGTGCAGTGGGTGCCGGGGTCGGACGTGATCGTGGCGCAGTCGCGCAACAACCTGTGCGTCTGGTACTCGGTCAACAAGCCGGACAACGTGGTCATGTTCCCCATCAAGGGCGAGGTCGTCGACATTGAGCGACACAACCACCGCACAGGTGTGGACAGCGGGGATTTAAAACGTCCTTTCGTAGTTTGTTACACTGTTATTAGTACGACAAAGCCCTGCCGCATGCAAGGGCCCCGCCAGGCAGCAGATGTTTGAAGGTAAAGGGGAATGCCAGTGGTTTCCAGAGAACGTAACTCGGTCCCGGCCCTCTTCCGTTCCGCAATGCAGAGGTGCTTGTGGACGAGGGCATCAACACCATGTCGTACGCTCTGGACGAGGCCCTCATCTACTTTGGGGCAGCCATGGAGGATCAGGATTACCAGCGTGCCGTACAGATCCTGGAGCCGCTGGATCTCAACCCCGAAACCGAGGCCCAGTGGATGCAGCTGGCGGACCAGGCGCTCGCTACCAACAACCTCATCATTGCCGAGCGGTGTTTCGCCGCGCTGGGGGACATTGCGCGCACGCGCTTCCTGCACAGGGTAAGCACCATGTGCCGCGCCCTGCATGTGTCTCCAAGTCCCAAGTCTCCTGCCAAGGTGGCCTGCACGACGGCGCAAAGCTGAGCAGGCAGCATGGGTCATCGCGTCTACCGTACATCTGAGCACCTCCCATAAAGTGTACTCCCGTGTGCTCCCGCGCCTCCCTTGCAGGTGGTTAAGAAGGCCATGGCTGCCTCGAAGGAGTTTGGCGGTGACGGCACGGACAGCTGGTCGGTGCGCGCCATGATGGCCACGCTGAACAAGCAGTGGCCCGTCACCGAGTCGCTGCTGCTGGCGCAGGGCAAGGTACGAGTCGGGACCAGGGGGTTCCATGGGTTGCATGGGGGCTGTCGGACGCTATCGGCCATGTAGCTAAGCGCTTACAGAAGCTGAAAAGACAGGTTCTTGTAGACCCGTGTGTTAAGATGCCCTTTTCCTACTGCCTGCGTGCCGTTCTGCTTGACTGGACCTAGTTCTACTCGTAATGAACAATTTTATAACAATGTCAAGATTCCAAAGAATCAAAATGGACCCTGTTTTTGTTGGGTGGGTGTGGCTTGCAGGTGGACGAGGCCATCAGCCTGTACCAGGACCACCACCGCTGGGAGGACGCCATCCGCGTGGCGGAGAGCGCACACCACCCCAACGCCAACACCCTCAAGCAGCAGTTCCTGTCGTGGCTGATGGAGACGGGCCAGGAGGAGCAGGCGGGCGCGGTGAAGGAGCGCGAGGGAGACTACCTGGCAGCCATCGGACTGTACCTGAAGGGCGGCCTGCCCGGTCGCGCGGCGCAGGTGGGTGCAGCTGGGCTGGGCTGAAAGAAACACCATAGCGTGCACAACTGATAAGACCCGCCGTCTTTTTACTAAAGTATCAGAGTATACCTGTAGATGGGCGCAAATGAGCCCAGATAAGGAGGGGGATTTGCGACGCAACGAGTACTTGGTCCTCAATCTTCGTGCCTTGCATTCCGCTCACCTGTACTGCAGGTGGTGATGAGCATCCACAACGTGAACTGGGACCCTGCGCTGCTGGACTCCATCCTGGCGTCGCTGGCCAAGGCGGGGCTGTACGAGCGCGCCGGCGAGCTGTACGAGCACATGTCCCGCAACGCGGAGGCCATGCAGAGCTACCGCCGAGGCCATGCCTACCGCCGGGCTATCGACCTGGCCCGCCGGGAGTACCCCGCAGAGGTACGTCCTCTACCCAGGGCTGGTTACCGTGTATTTCGCCTTGAAACGAGTGCAGCATGTTGCTATGCGGGTTTGCCACGCCGTGGGAAGTGCAACCGCTTACGTGAGGGCTTAAGGCTACTTGGGCTTGGGCGTGGTTGCATGGCTTGAGTTGTGTGTCTCACCGCGTCAACGTGTGCCCTGCCATGCAGGTCATCACCATTGAGGAGGAGTGGGGTGACTGGCTGGTCACCCAGAAGCAGATGGACGCCGCCATCAACCACTTCATCGAGAGCGGCGCCACGCTCAAGGCAATCAAGGCAGCCATCGAGTGCCGGCAGTTCGCAAAGGCGGCGGGCATCATTGAAATCCTGGTGAGTGTGACATCGTGGTAGCGACTAGACGTGCTTCCTAGCATTGCCAGCGCCAGGACAGTCCTTAGCATTATGTACTGCGTGCATCAGCCTCCCTCCAGACCCTTAACGCGGCGGTACGTGTCCAGGCCGTGTCCGGCGTGTTCATGCTAACTCGCTAGAAACTAACCATGTGCCTGCTGCAGGATCCCCGGGAGGCGATGCCGTACTACCGCCGCATTGCCCAGCACTACGAGACCACGGGCGCGCTGGAGGAGGCGGAGCGCTACTACATCCGCGCCGACATGGCTCGCGACGCGGTGGAGATGTACAGCCGTGCCGGCAAGTGGGAGGCGGCGCAGCGCGTGGCTCGCGGCTACCTCACGGAGGCCGAGATGCGCGCCTTCTACCGCAACAAGGTCCGTGCTGCGCCTGAGTTGTTGCAGACATCTTTACACCAAAAAGCCTGCAGCGTGTTAAGAAAACTGGCCGGAGCCGAAACGTACTGTGATTGCTGGAAGATGAAGCCTCCACAGAAGCGCTCACGGCATTGGTAGCTCTTCTGGTCCTCCTGTGCGATCGATATACGCCCTGGTTGGATTGCTGACTAGTAGTTTTGTCATCACATTCACCACAATTTGCTGCCGCGGGTGCAGGCTGCCGAGTTCGAGGCGGCTCACAAGCTCAAGGAGGCCGAGAAGGCTTACCTGGCGGCGGGCGGCGACGACGTGGACAAGGCCATTGCCATGTACAAGCGCGCCAAGATGTACGACCAGATGATCCGCCTGGTCACGCAGTACCGCAAGGAGAAGGTGCCAGAGGTGAGCCACAAACATGCAGAGCTGCCATGGACCGATTACTCATGCCATAAAGGATGGGAGCGGTAAGGTCAATCTTGGACCGTGGTTAGACGTTCGGCCCCTTGTTTGCAAACTTACTGAATCCCGGTCCTCGGACTTGTCCTCGCAGGCACACACCCTCATTGCGCAGCAGCTGGAGGTAGAGGGCAACCTGCGGGAGGCAGAGAAGCACTTTGTGGAAGCAAAGGTACGTGCTAAGAGCGAACTTGGACCGCGCCGCTTCCTGGGCGGATAAGGCATGGGTGCATGATATGTCTGGTCCTGGGGCCTTGCTGGGTCCAGGGCAAAGCTCATAGTGTATACCATCCGTTGCTAACTGTATCCCACATGCGCTTTTCCTTGTTCTGCAGGACTGGAAGAGCGCCGTACAGATGTACCGCCAGGCCAACCAATGGGAGGATGCGCTGCGCGTTGCCAAGGCCTTTGGCGGCGTCAACGCCTCCAAGCAGGTCGCCTACGCCTGGGCACTCACACTGGGTAAGCATACTGGGGATGATAGGGAAAACACACTCATTCCAAGCTTGCATGCGTGTTTCTTTCCTCGTCGAACCTTAAGCCATGTCAGGCGTTTCATAACGCCAGGCATGTTAGGCGTTCCATAGTGCCAGGCATGCCAGGCGTTCCATAGTGCCGCATTTTAACGTGCTTTGGCTCTTCCTCACATGCGCCATTGGCTATTCCCCTTCCTCCAGGTGGCGAGGAGGGCGCACAGCTGCTCAAGAAGATGGGTCTGCTGGAGCACGCCATCGAGTATGCGGTGGAGAGCGGAGCCTTCGCACAGGTGCGCTGTTGCTGTCCATAGTAGCAATCTACCCAGCCGCAAGCCTATCACTTCCCATGCATGCATCCTTGTCACACCTAAACCTTCACCCAGCACGGCATTTGTTGCTCTCCCTCCCGTGAGCATGTCCTCAACCTTACCGTAACCACTTCAATCCCGCATTCCTTAACCTTTCCCTTTCCGTGGAACCTTCGCCTTTCGTCCGTCCTCCCGTCCGCCCGTCCAGGCCTTCGAGATGACGCGTGCGGGCGCCAAGCACAAGCTGCCCGAGGTGCACCTCAAGTACGCCATGTTCCTGGAAGACGAGGGGCGCTTTGCGGAGGCGGAAGCGGAGTTCATCTCGGCCGGCAAGCCCAAGGAGGCGTGCGATATGTACATGCACAATCAGGACTGGGACGCCGCCATGCGCATAGCAGAGCGCTACGACCCCACCATGATCTCCGAGATCCTGGTGTCGCAGGCGCGTGCGGCCATGGAGCGCAAGCAGTGGCTGCCGGCAGAGGTAAGAAGAAGCAGGCTGTGAAGACGATGTGACATGGGCATTTTTTGCGCGCATGTGCACTGTTACTGGCTACGCCCATCACCATGGGTGTTGAGTCACCTCCATGCCCCACATCGCAGCTGCCATGCCCTCACCGCCTGTCGCCTACCGTAACCTCGCAGGGTCTGTTCATCAAGGCCAAGCGGCCCGAGGCGGCGCTCAAGATGTACCGCGACGCGCGCATGTGGAACGACGCGCTGCGTGTGGCGGAGCAGTACCTGCCCACCAAGGTTGCCGAGGTGCAGATGGAGCTGCTCAGCGGGCACGGCGGCGGAGGCTCGGCGGCGCCGTCTGCGGACGTGGTGATCAACAAGGCGCGCGCATTCGAGCGCAACAATGACTATGCTCGGGCTATTGAGGCTTACCTGTCGCTCACCAGCCAGGTGAGGGCTGAGGGGACTACGGTCATCGCTATTACAGAACGCTGAACGCGCAGTGCATGACACGGTGAACGCATTCCGTAGTAGTGGCGCTAGTAGGATATTGCCGTGGTTGGGAGTCCGGGAGGCCGGTGCTAACGAGGGTCTAAATTCGGTGTATTCACCTCTCCGTCGCTCGTTGCAGGACACCACCAACCATGACCAGCTGGAGCACTGCTGGGAGCAAGCTGCCCAGCTGGCCATCAACTACCAGCGCCACCGCATGAAGGACGTGGTCAACACGGTTTCGGAGCGGCTGCAGGAGATTGGGCGCCACCAGGCGGCGGGCGAGCTGCACGAGGGCATCGACGACCCGCAGGTGGGTGGCTGGGGGGGCTTTGCAACGCAGCTACCTGTACCGAGATGCGGGAGCCAGCCTTACACATCCGCATGGACTATCATCTGCCTGGTGCCATTTTAAAGCGTTGGTAGCCTCCAGTGTTTGCTGCTGATCTGGTATTTCTTCTTGTCAAGGGTTTGCGACCCCGTATTGACTCCTCACAACCGCCTTGCATTGCATGTGGGTTCGCAGGGCGCCATCCGGGCCTACTGCTCGGGTCGCTTGTGGGACAAGGCGCGCTCGCTGGCCGGCACCAACCCCACCTTCAGCCGCTACATCGAGGACCAGTACAACAACTACCTGCTGCAAAACCAGCAGGCAGACGAGCTGGCCATGCGCGGAGGCGCCCACGCCCAACAGGTATGGCCCTGCCATGCTGCTGCAATCCATGGGATGCGACCAGGCCCGGTATGGTTTGCATGCCTTTATACTATGCCGGGCCGGGCCCGAGCATGCTTGCCGCATGCCTCCGAACCACTTCCATCTCCATCTTATCTCCCTCGATATATCACCACCACCGCCCTCACACCTCCGCCAGGCCATCGAGATGTACGTTGCGCGCGACGAGTGGCACAAGGTCCACGAGCTGGCAGCGCTGCAGGGCCCCGAGGTGGCCACCACCTACGCCCTCAAGCACGCCGAGCGGCGCTTCAAGCAGGGCGACTATGCGCAGGCCGCCGCCGTGTTTGCGCAGCACGGCATCACCGCCTCGCCGCAGTGCTTTGAGCTGTACCGCTCCATCGCGCAGGGCGTGCTGCACGCTTCCCAGACGGACCGCAACGTGGTTGCGGAGCGCAGCCTGCGGGACATGATGTACCGGCTGGTCAACTTGCTGCGTTCCGGCGGCGGCGCCACCAAGTACAAGGGCGACACGGAGGCCTTCCAGAACTACTACCTGGCGGCGCACTACCTGTCGTGCGCGGCGTCGGCTAAGGAGCACGGGCTGAGGGAGGTTGCGGCCATGTGCCTCACGAGCGCGCTGCGATATGTGGGCACCGCCATCCCTGCAGACCGGGTACGTTGTGCGTGCATGCGGGGTTCCCCCCTGCGGGGCTGCGGCTCCCGGGGTTGGAGGTTGTGCTGGGTGAAGCCGCGAAGGCCACACATGTGGGCAGCGTCATTATGCTTGAGCATGCAGTCTCCTGCTCGACGGGGACTTCCTGTATATACTGTACATGTTTCTGTCTTCCTCTCAACGTCGTGTTTTGTCCGCCTCATCAACACGCAGGCCTTCTACGAGGCGGGTCTTGCATGGTACGAGGCGGGCCGCAAAAACATGGCCTTTGTCATGCTCAACCGCTTCCTGGACCTCAGCGACGCCATGGACGAGCCCGACTCCTCCGCGGCGGTCATTGAGAACGCCGACTTCTCTGACACCGACATCCCCTACGACTTCACCATCCCCGAACGACCCTTCTGCAACGAGGCGCAACGCGAGGAGGTAGGCAGGGTCTGATGGCCTGGAGGGCAGAAACTGATTTGACAGCTGCCGTACTGCACCGTGCGCATCTTGCCGGAATGCGGTAAAAGCGTAAAGCACAATACATCATCCATCATATGCTGTTACCTGCTTCCTGTCCTGTCTCGCTGGCTGTTGTCCCCTTGGCCTTACCCCTATGTTATATTCCTTACCTCCCTTGCACACCCTCCTTGCACCTTCCCGCCACAGGTCCGCAACCTGGTACTGGAGATCTCCATGGACCGCACCACGGAGCAGGTGCTGTCGCTCAAGGCCTGCGAGCACTGCGGCAAGGCCACGTACGAGGCCAACCTGACGTGCCACTTCTGCAAGAAGAAGTACGACCCATGCGTGGTGACGGGCTACCCCATCCACTCGTATGACCGGGTGATCTTCAAGGCCAACGGGCCCGAGCTGAGCGCCATTCGGGAGCACTGGAACAAGTGGGTTGAGGCGTTTGGCACGGACCCGGTTACGGGCATGCAGGCGGCGCCTATGTACTAGAGCAGCGGGGTTGCGTTGAGGAGTCAGAGGGGGCGGGAAGGCTGGGTGGACGGGGCGCCGTTAGCGGGAGCGCATGGTGATTGATAGCAACGCGTGCGAGATATTGCTGGATATATGATTAGCGAGGCTTCATGCCGAAATGGCTGGCTTGGTCTCGCGGCCCCTTATGGTCGTCTGCGATGTATCATGCGAAGGGCGTTTGGCCTATACATATATACTGACTGTATTAGATGACTGCATTGCAACATGCAGGACCCTTGTGCGGTCTTAGTGCAACGTAGAATGGCAGGCTGCGGGGACTGCCTATGTAGATACAGAGGTCAAGGGCGGATGCCCTACTCCTAGATGCCATGCCTTCGCTGAACGGAGGCATGGCAGAGCGCGTGGCAGAATGGAAATCTTGTAACGGCAGGTGATGGAGAGCTTCCTAATCAACCATGGATCGACCACGATTCAAATGGGACACGTAACTGCAACCACGCAACCTTACAAGGGGCGGATCAAGACACACCTTACCCGGAACTCGTCGCTGGGGGGGCAGGCCTGATGGAATATGGCAGACAGAGGTTTGTAACAGGGCAGGAAAACGCTAAGGGGGATCCTACAGTTAATGAGGTTGCTACCGTTGGTGGTGACGTACCCAGTTTCTGTATTTCGCGCTCTTATCGGGGTTTGATGGCCCTTAGCCCATCGTAAGCGAGGTGAGGGTGCTAACCAGCCCATCAATCCGTGTCGCATGGACTAAAATGCTGCACACTGCCTCACTGCAAAATAAGGGGCGCGACCTGGGAGAGGAAGCTAGTATGAAGTACTTCACTCAGGTCAAGCTAAGCCTGCGGTCAACGTTGACTGCTTTGAGCCTTTGACCCGCGGGCCAGCGGCGCTGCTTTCTTTGTAATACGTGCCCTGGAACGCTCACAACTTACCTGAAGGCAAAAGAATATAAGGAGCGGCGTGTACTGGGTGTTAATACTGAATGGCTGCACCAGAAGATAGTTGCGCGACGGTATTGGTATAAATAATGCCGGTTACATAGTGATCAGCTTACTAGATGACTTATACGTTTGCCCAGTTTGGTTTCTATTAGCTTATAAGCCATGGGTGCGCCTAACCGTTTTCATCTGTCGATCAACCTACGCAAGAAGTTCTCTGCAAAGCATATCTACTTTCCAGCTTGATAACATTGTAACAAAGACACAACGCAACAATACACATTAGAAGGCTGCTTAAGCAGCCATGCATTGCGTTCTATCCTGCGCTTTACGCTGTCGACTACGTAGAAGTAACGGACAGTAGAAGACATAGATGGAGCTTACAAATGTTCTTAGGATTCTATTATTGTTAATCGCGACGACCGTGACGGCAGTAACTTCACAGACGGTCAGCCGAGACATCAACCATGCTCTCCTGGCGCGGTTGCGGCTGGATGAGCCGCTACTCCATAACGTGATAGACTCCAGTACAAGTATCTCACTTGAGCCGCACTACAATGAAACCCTGCAAACGCTTGCCCAGCTGCTGAATACGACAGCATCCATCAAGACGAATGCGACCGAGGCTATAGCCAGCGCAGCCTACAGCCTAGCCCACGATAGAAGTTTGTCCGGAGACGTTGTGGCTGAAAAGCTAAAAGCGCTAAATGTCTTGGTGGATTCCCTGCCCCAGAAGGTGGCAAGTTTGCCAGCCGTACGGCGCAGCCTAGTCGCCAGCCTCGTTCTCCGGCGGCTGAACGACGGCCCGTTCGAGCCCGGGGAACAGCTGCAGAGCGCAGAGCGCCTCTTGCTGCAGGTGTGGCATGTTGCCAACGCGTTAAACGCCACACGTGCAACATGCTTATACGGCCTTATGTTTGGCAAGCTGCTGATGCTCCTGCTGTGGATGTCCGCAGCTCTTCCACTTGCACAAAGCAGCCGCCTTGCGTAAGAAGGCAGTCGAGTTTACGCATGTCAGCAAATCTGGCGGCACCAGCTTCTGTCAGCTGGGCAGGAGTAACGGCTGTGCCACGGAGAGCTTTCACCCCTTTCACAATTGCTTGGTCGAAGGGTTCGATGACGACGTAAGTCCAAGCTTGTAGTTGCTGGCTTCTCTGGCAGCTTCTCAACAGAAACAGTAAACCAAGCTGTAGGACCCCGGCTTTACAGCCACGTTGCCCATTGCCTGCTGCTTGACGCCATCACGTATAACCCCGGACTCACCCCTTGTGAAAGTGCCCTGTCCATCATGCCCGGACCCTGTTCGCTCCTCCCTCTGCTGCATCAGCACCCGACCCCTTTACAAAACATGGACATGGCACATGAACATCCCCTCCTAGCGTGTCCCATTGTTGTTGCCATCCCCGTACGCCCCCCCCCTTCCCTCCACCCAGCCCCGCTACATCAACGGCTCGGTGCACGCCGCCCTGCGGGGCCGCAGCCGCACCCGCTGCTACAAGCCCTTCAAGGCCATGAAGCTCCGCCGTACGGAGCTCAGCTGCCAGGACCGCCGCCGCCGGCTGACGTCACGAGGCTACACCTTTTACGCCAACGAGTACACCGCGTTTGGCGGGCGGCAGGACCCGCGTCTGGCGCACCCCTGCACCAACATGATGACCGTGCTGCAGGTGGGGCGGAGGCGGAGAAGAGTGGGGTGGCGGGGGCGGTGGCGTCGTGTGTTGTGCGATTGCGAGGGTGGGTAGCAAGGGCAGGGCGTTCCAGGTGCACCGCCACCTTTGTTGTCTCAGCAAAGTTGTTGTCTCAGCTCCAAGTTTCCTGGTCTTACCCTGCTGCTTGCAGCAGTCCCCGTTCGTGTCCAAGCCAAGTCGTTAGAGGGCCACATACCTGCAATCGGACATGAATAAGAGGATAACACACTCACTACCTTCTGCCCATCCCATCCCCCCTGCCGTCCCCCAGCTGCGGCATCCCTACACCCGAGTCATCTCGCACATCAAGCACATGTGGGCCGCCTACCGGTCGCATTGCAAGGAGGACCGCGCGGTTTTCTTCGCCCAAGGCCACGACACGCCCGTTTGGACGCAGCTCGCACCCGCCCCAACCAACAACTACCTCATCCGCTCGCTGCTGGGGGAGGCCGTGTTCAACCTACCTGCCGGACACATCACCCCAGACCACCTTGAACTCGCCAAGGCCTTCCTTACGCAGCAGTATGACGTCTTGCTTGTCCTCGAAGACGCCGACTTGTCAGCGCAAGCCATGCGCTTTGGGCTGGGTTGGGAGGAGCATGCCCGGCATGCGAACGAGGAGCACAAGGATCCCGAGAGCGGTCTGCCCACCAATTTGGACATGCTTCGGAGGCTGAACCGACTGGACTTGGAGGCTTATAAGCATGGCGTGGTGATGGCTCGGCTGGATGCCGTGCTATACGACATGGCACTGGCAGCTCGTGAGGCGGAGGCGGCGGCAGCGGTGGCGGTGGCAGCGGCAGAGGCGGGAGAGGCAGCGGCGGGAGGGGCAGAGGCGAGAGAGGCAGCAGCGGAAGCGGTGCCTACGGAGGCTGAGGCGGCGGTGGTGGAGGCGGAGACTGCTGAGAGCGTGAGCGGTGCTGAGGGCGAGGTGAAGCAGCTCGTTGAGGCGACGGTGGCGCAGGAGCAGGTTGGAGACGGGGGCGGGAGTGGGAGTGGGAGTGGGGGTGGGGAGCTCCTACATGATGACTGGTGGGAGGGAGAGGTGAAGGAGGAGGTCATGGAGGTGGAGGAGGGAGATGTGGAGGAGGAGGAACAAGAGCAGGTAGTAGAGGAAGAGGAGGGGGAGCAGGAGGACGAAGGTGAAGGGGTTGATGTTGAGGACAGCGAGGAGGGCACGCAAGAGGGCCATGTGGGTACAGCATTGCGTCGTCTTTGGCGGTGGTGGGGATCTGTAAGCGGGTCTAGTGGCAGCGGAGAGGAACAGCTAGAGGAGGAGGAGGAGGGCCGCTTGCACAGCCGGCGCGCGCTTCATTGGTGGTGGCCACTACCGTGGGCACAGGATGGAGGAGGAGGAGGAGGGAGATGGGGCAGGGTTTTGGCTGAGACGGCTAGCGTGAATGAGTCCCAGTCCCGCATAGCTTGTGGGTGGGTTGCACCGTCTAGGCATGTCCTGCTGAACGGTTCGTTCTAACTGCTGAACCTGCTGTTAGGACCCACGTTGCGACCCCGACGCGCACGAAGGGGTATGGCCCGGAAGTAATGATCAGCGGTGGGTGCCCTGGCGCGTAGGGGCTTGGAACAAGGACTGTGAACGAGTGACTTTTGTATGGAACGCTGTAGACTGCATTCTTGCATGACTGCGTGCGCTGTGATGCCCTCGTCAGGAGTTGCTGACTTCCTTGTCTTGCCTCCTGCCTCAAATGTGCCGTCTGCTAAAGATAAGCAGCAGTAGTTTTCAGAGACATGAAAATAACCACCTTGAATTCCTGGTTGCTGCCCTTTTGTGGTGGACAGTAGAGCGGGGCCTGTACAGGCCTCTAAGGTCACATCTTCACTCCCGGTATGTATGCGTGGGATAGACTCAAGTGACACGTCAAAACGGCGCGTGTCCCGCTCTCAGTTTCCTAATTTGAACCTGCAGGACATGTTTCCGGACCTGTGCTGCTGTTCTAACCGGTCGTATGGGTCCCCTGCGGTTGTCCCTGCAGTGTGCTTACACCGCAACCCCCACCATTGTTGCGAAACGCATCGCCTCACATCGACATCTCCCTTCGCCCGCCCTTGCCCCGAGGTCTTCTCCCAGCTGCGTCAAGCTCCCCTGTAGTGTTCATCCGTATCCCAGCTTGCGCGATCAAAGTCTACAGCGAGCCATGGTAACAATTTTGTTACCGGTATATGCGCCGCGCAGGATCAACACAACGGGAAGGATTTGCACGAAACCTACGTAGTATCATTAAGGAAAACTTAATGCCACAGCTTACCATGGCTCGGGTTCTTCAGTTGTTCTAGGCAGGGTCGCGCACAGAGCAAATGGAGGCGTGCGCAAAGCATGTTCTAGTTGCTATGTTCTCAGTCCACCTCTACTCAACCCGCTGAAGTGCTTCGTATGTGAAGGCGTAACCGTCCGTAACAAAAAGTAGTTGTTTTGTCAACTGCCACGGCACGTACAGCGAACGCCTAAGCAGGATTAGGAGCAAGGAAACTGGATGAAGTGCAAGAAGACAAGTACAATGCTTTTTCCCTTCTGCCTTTGTGCTGGTAATCCGCACTTTTCCATTCCATATACGAAACCCGGACCCCTCCGTGGCTATACGAAAGTCATGTCATGTACGGGGCTGATGTTCTTATTCATATGCCTATGCAGAAATGAGTAAATACTTGCTGCCTGCAAGGTGTCGGCAGTACAATGTGTTTAAGGTGTACAACTAGGATACATACAGACCCCGGAGACAACAACTCACAAAAATGAAGCTCGCTTTCCTAGCATCAACGGTCTTCCTCTTAATAGCAGCGTCATTAGTGTCAGGGGGATTCCAGGTGGCCAGCCAGGACATTAACAATGCGCTCGTGGCGAGATTGGGGTTGAACGATGCTCCGCCTCATATTTTTACAGACAAAAACAGTGATTATAATGAAAGCTTAAAAGCGCTTGTCCAATTAATAAATACGACGACGCCCACGAATGGAATTGTGAGCAGCATTGTCTACGGAGCTCGCACCTTGGCTTACGACGGACAGCTGCCAGACGCAGCTGTTACCGAGAAACTGAAGGCTCTCAGCTCCTTACTGGAATTGCTGCCAGAGAACGATGCAAGCTTGCCGACGATTCGTCGCATTATCGTTGCCAGTCTTGTCGTTCGTCGAGTGCGTCGTGGCCCTTTCGACAATTCAGAACAAATGCAGAACATTGAACGCCTTTTGCTACAGGTGCGGTAAAGGTAGCTGCATGGCTAGCGGCAGTCTACCGGAAACTGAGACATGACATGTAGTAGACGACCATGTGTGTCAGTTGCTGAGTACTTACAATACATCCTTTTGCCCCGCAGCTCTATAAACTACACAAGGCGGCCGCGCACCTTAAGCAAGTGGTTGAGTTTACGCATGTTAGCAAGTCTGGCGGTACCAGCGTTTGCCAGCTGGGGAGGTACAACGGCTGTTCCTCGGAGGGCTTCCAGGCGTTCCACAACTGCTTGATCGATGTCTTTAATGACAAGGTAAGGGACTCGGTTCCAGTTAATTTCGCCTTGTCACGCAGCGCTACAAAGCCTGATGTCTTAAGCAAGCCACGGCAACCTTCTGCCACCACTGCGCCGTTGGATGCCTAACCCAGATCGCACACCTCTGCCATTTTCAACTACCTACCTGCAGTACGGAATTCCAACCTGCTGACACCGCTTCTGAAATTCCCATCCTCCAATATTTATAATCTATTTTCCCAACCCTGCCTCCGCAGCCCCGCTACATTAACGGCTCAGTGCACGTGGCTATGCACGGTCCAACGTCCACGCGATGTGACGAGCCTGATCAGGCCATGGCTCCTCGCATTCCGGAGCTCAGCTGCGAACTGCGCAAGCAGCACCTGCTGGACCGCCGCTACACCATCTACGCCAACGAGTACACCGCGTTTGGCGGGCGGGAGGACCCGCGTCTGGCGCACCCCTGCACCAACATGATGACCGTGCTGCAGGTGGGGGCGGGGGCGGAGGAGGGCGGGGTGGCGGTGGCGGGGGCGGTGGCCTCGTGTGTTGTGCGGTTGCGAGGGGCTTTTCCATTGACTGTGTTGGGACTTGCTTGCATGCGCCTTGCGTGGATGGTGGGCGCTTTTGTTGTTTGCGGTCGTGATGGTTTGTAGTCGTTTGCAGCCCTCCTTCACCCGCCCTCGTCCCTCCCTGCCGTCCTCCAGTTCCGCCATCCCTACACCCGCGTCCTCTCGCACATCAAGCACGTGTGGACCTCCTACCACACCCGCTGCAAGGACCAGCGCGCCATCTTCTTCGCCCAAGGCCACGACACTCCCGTTTGGACGCAGCTCGCACCCGCCCCAACCAACAACTACCTCATACGCTCGCTGCTGGGGGAAGCCGTGTTTAACCTGCCACTTGGCGCCATCACGCGGGAACACCTGGAGATCGCCAAGGCCTCTCTAACCCGGCAGTACGACGTGTTATTCGTACTCGAGGATCGAGATCTAACCGTGAATGCCATGCGTTTTGGTCTTGGCTGGATGTATCACAGTCGGCACGTGAACAAGCGCTTCCCCGACCCCGAGGATGGCTCGCCTACGGACTTGCAGACGCTGCAGTCGTTAAACCAGTTGGATGTTGAGCTTTACCAGCACGGGGTGCTGATGGCTCGGCTGGATGCAGTGGTGTACGACATGGCTAGGGTGTCGTACGCATCTAGTCCGGAGGCTGCACAGGAGATGGCTGCGGCGGCTGCGGCGACGAGGGCGGCGGCCGTAGTGGCGGCGGCGGAGTTGACCGGCGCGGCAGCTGCACAACGGCAGGCTCTTGAGAGGAGCTGGCAGGGGACGGGGGGAGCGGGGGGGCTGTTGGAAGCCAGCAGCAGTAATCCAGGGAGGCAGCAGCAGCAGGGACAGCGGGAGCTGGGGGAGCAGCAGCTCAGTAGTAGTGCTCGGGCGCTAAGGGTGGGGGGGAGCAGCAGCTCCAGAACGACCCATGGGTCATCTTCGCAGTCAGCGAGGAAGGGTTGGGGCAGGATCAAGTCTGCCTCTGAGCGGGACGCAGCTCCGGGAGGGGGATTGTCGGCGTTGGGGGTCAGGGATCAGCAGAGGCAGCAAGTGGCAGCGGCGTTTGGCATAGCAGCAGGCGACAATGTGCTGGTGGCTAGGCAGATGCCGCCGTCAACCATTGCTTGCGGGTGGGTTTCGGCCTCCAGCAATGAGCTCTTAACGGGGTCTACGAAGTAAGAAGCTGCGGGAAAAGGATGATGGGCGCCATTATGGCGTTAGGTTCCAAGCATTTGCTAAGTGTGAAGTGTGAAGTATGAAGACGGTTTGTGGGGGGGGGGTGGCACATATGAACGGTGAGGGCTGAGGGAGGCGGTCGCAGCTGCGGGTTGCCTGCTGCTGTGGCGTACTGTCGACACGTACATACATTGACTATTGGAGTGTGCTACAAGAGAACGAACTTGACTTGAGGTGACCTACAACATCAAACGTGTGTAGGTTGCGATTAACAAAAGCAGGATGCGTATTGCAAACTGGTGTGATCTATCGGTATGAGCCGTTGGTTCCTGTATGCGTTCCGGTTCATACAGGGGTTGCTGCTAATAATGATGGCAGGCATGCGCGTTTAGGCAATTTTGTGTTTGCAAAATTGGCCGCGAATTGGAACGCGGCTACTGTGATTATTGTTAGGAGGTGGATTAAGTGCCTTCCAGCGTATCGGGCTACGTATCCTTATTTGCTGTGCGAGGAGGAAGATTGGAGACTTCCCTTCCATTTCCGCTTATTTGTCCCTAGCCTTAGGTGCCCTTTTAGTGTATATGATTGCATAGTCTGGGCCCGTGTTTCTCGTACTATTTGATATTGTTATTGTTGCATAGAAATGGAAGCAAGGGAGGTGGCTAGGTGTATGTGCGGGTCGCCCCTGTTGCTTGGTACAACGTGAGCTGTGTGTAGCTGGGGCTTGGAAACATAGTGCCTTACGAACTTGCTAGCGCAAGGGTCCTTGGCTACCGGTATCAGTTAGTGACGGTGTAAGCCGTACGGGGGTGATGTTACTATGTCGGAATTTGCGTGCTTATCTTCATTCAGTCAAGCGTGTTGCACGCATTCTGGTGGGTGTGGCCTGGTGTGGCGAAGGACATATTGCTTTGACCTCCCTGTGAGTGTTTAGCACAAGAGGAGATCTGGGTTACCATCCCTTGACAGGGGCTGTATGTTTGAAGGAGGGGCAGCCAGGGGCCCCCTCGGTACGGAGTACTGGGGGACTCGTGTCGAGTGTCAGGAGGGGGGGTGGGAGGGCGGGCACCCGGGTTGCTTCCGTTGAGTATGTTGACCGCACACATGCGGGGCATGCGTGTCGGTTTGTACGGCATGTATGTCGTTTTTGTACGGCATGCATGTGTGAATGAATGAATGAACGACCGGTACAGTGGGCATGCATGCTTGTAACGATAGACGCGCTTTGCTGTCTTGGCAGGGACCTGTAGGCGTACATGCCGGTACATCCACACATGCATGTCATGAGTCACTGCAGCCCTCATCACTCATTGAAACGGATGAGCGGTTAGGAGGTGTGGGTGGTTGGTTGGTCGCATTGGAGACCACCATACCGTATCGGTAGCGGCAGCGTTAGCGTTGGCTGCTGAAAGGTATAAAGCGCACAGAGCTACCGGCTAGCCTCATAATACTGGGCTACAACCATTACTCCCCTAGTACGTACCACTAGGCTACAACCATACAACTAGGCTACCCGGGTACTCTCGCACTACTGCCAAATGAAAAGCCACAAAGCGGTGTACAGGAGGTGTGGGCCAACGCCCCTACATCACCTGTCACGCTTCCCGATACCTTCACCACCTCATACGCGGCGGCAGGGCAAGTATCATATTTAGCAGCAAGCGAAGGAGCAGGCGGGATTGTGCATGCCTGCGCCCCACATCGCATCGTAAAACAGGCTACCGGCTAGGCTGCCCATTCTTACGCATGGCCTTTCTTCGACTCCCCATACATTCCGTGCGCACGTCAGCAGCAGTAGACAACGGTTGAAGGCAATAACACAAGGCACCGTTATTGGTCATTCGGACGCTGCCCTGGTCCGTCACATCCCTTCTGTTTTCCTGCCGTCTGCCGTTCCTTCAACACCACCTTCAGTTCGCTTCCACACAGTAATTACAGTAACCACCTGCCTCAGCAACGGATGCAGAGGAATCAGTAGGCTTTCTCTATTTCCTTCGCCTTTCTCTTTAACCCTCTATCCAGGGGGTGCTAAGAAAAGTAATCATAAACCCATGATGGATTCCTTATATTATGGAAGGCCCTAGACCCACCCACCCACCCATGTGCCGTACGGCTAAGCATGCCGTACGACTGCACCACCCAACCCATACCCGCCTCCAATGCTACACTACCCCCTGTGCCGCCGCCCCCCTCCCTCCCTTACAAGCCCTCTTAAACACCAGCTGCTCCTGCCGCCGCCGCTGTCGCCCGCAGCCCCGCCGGCAGCCACGAGGGAGGTGTGAGCGCCAACAACACGTACACCTCCCCCCCGCTGATGCCGCTGTCTTCTCCCTCCTCCTGTTGCCGCTGATGTCGCTGATGCAATTGCTTTGAATGTTGCTGCGGTTGCCGCTCCTGCGGTTGGCGCTGCTCGGTTAGACCCTGCGGTTGCTGCTGCTGCGGCTCCTGCCGAGTCGCCTGCAGCAGTCGCCAGAGCTCGTAGTTTTCTCGGGCTGTGTGGGGGCCTCCGGGCACGAAGCCGGGTGGGCAGGGGGCAAAGGAAGAAGAAGGAGAAGAGGAGGGGGAGGAGGGAGAGGGAGAGGAGGAAGAAGAGGAGGGGGCTGCGGAAGAGGGCAGCTGTCGCGCTGCCAGTGACCAGGCCTCCGGACCCGGCAGGTGCTGCGGACCTGCGAGGAAGTGGCGGCGGCGGCGGAGAGGCGGCGGGCAGTGGATGGCGGTGGAGAGAGACGGAGAGAGAAGCAAGGTCACCCGGTTGTTGGTCTCCAGCCGCAGCAGTAGTGGTACCGTGTGCGTATGACGGCCGAGGGCCGACCCATGGGTCACACATGCCAGACAGCAGAGCAACTTGATCTTCAGTTTGGTCTTCAAGTTGGTCTTCAAACTCGCCTCCAGGCGAAGCTCAACAGCTACAGCAATGCCCGAGTGACTTGGAACCTGCAGCAGAGCAGCCGTCCACCCACCCACCCACCCCCACCCACCCGCTCTCACCCGCATCTCGTCTGCATGCCGCGTAGCTCGCCTCCCCACACGCCCGCACCTCCCACCGCCCGTCGCTAGCTCGCATCAGCCCGCAAACCTCCCCCTGCTGCTGCTGCTGCTGCTTTTGCTGCTGACGTTTCCGATGCAGGTCTTGCTTTTGGTGGGGCGGCTGGGGACGCCGTGAATGGTTTTGGAACGGCGATTGCGGTTGCGGTTGCGGCGGTGTGTGTCCCGGCGCCCAGCTCCACACGAAAGCCGCCACCAGGGAGGGTGTGATGGTGTCCGGGCAGGGCACGTTGAGGCCGCAGGACGTGGCGGCGGGCAGCAGGCGGGCGTCTAGCTGGGGGCTGGAGGGGGGGAGGAGGGGGGGAGGGGAGGAGGAGGGGGTGAGTCCTGGGTGTGTGACATGCTACGCGTCATGCTACGTGGCAAGCGGCACTGTGGTAGTGGTGACATCCGTTCGCTCCCGAGTGGTTGCGTCCAGGATAGCCACCAGGCCGGTAACATGGCCTGACAGAGGGGCCTACCCGAGCTGACCCTTTTGGTGCTCCGCAGGGATCCCAAGCCTACCCATTCTCCAGCCACCTCTCTCCAGGTAAGTTTCCCGTAACGCGTCTCGCTGACTTATCTGCTTGTATGCCCAATAGCCTTGTTGCCTTAGAATTAGTGGCCGGCGGCGCGGCACATGCCTTACTAGTGTTCATATGCAAGGCGGCTTCTTCCCCAAGTCATCTCGGTTTCTGGTAAGCAATTGGTAAGTCTCTGAGATGCGTGTTTCTAGATTAGTGTCTCCGAATGCGCTCACTGCATGAGTCGGGATTCGGGATTGGGATTGCGTTGTTGCATTTATTTATAATTTCCCCCCATCCCCACATAACCCAAACCCACACGTTATCCCCTCGCAACAAAACCCAACCCACATGTTTTCCCCCCGCTTCATGGAGCAGTTGTAGGGCCCGTAGCTGAGGTGGCAGGTGGGGGAGCGCAGCAGCCGCCCGCGCATGGTGGGCTGGTGCCAGCTTCGAAAGGGGGGGTGGAAGGAGCAGTGGGGGGCGGGTTCGAAGTAGCTGCAGGGAGGGCGAGCGAACGGGGGAGGAAGGCACGGGAGGGACTCGCGAGGCGCCGGGGTGAGGGGTGGTGGATGAGGCAGGTGCTATGTATAAGGCAAGTCAAGGAGGAATGTAGGAGGCGTACATGGGCCTTTAATCCCCTTCCCCAACAAACACCCATCTTCCTTCTCGGTAGCTCTTCCACAACCGGTCAGTTATTTCACTCCTACTATTTTACTTCTACAGCGCATTGCGAGTAACCTCATACCACACACTAGCCACCTGGGCCCCCCCCCCACACACCTAAACAGCGGCTCCCCAAAGTCGCAGGGGGAGTGGTGGTTGAACGCCAGCCAGGACATCTCCTCGCTGTAGTCCGCCCCGCTCATCAGCAGCACCCGCTTGCCGTACTGCCGTACCAACTGCTCGATACTGGGTACGGACCCCTGGGGGGCGGTTGGGAGGGGTTGCAGGCGGTTGTTGGATACCGGTACATATCGTTGCTGCCTCATGGGAGCGGTAGGTAGGTTGCGGGGCAGTGACAGCAGCGGTGGTGTCCCCCGGTTGCCGGTACGCGGTACCTGCACCACCCCTCCGCCACCCCTCCACCACCACCCCACCAGTCAAACCCGCCCCTCACCAGCTCCCTCGTAATGGCCTCCAGCTCCCCGGGAGTGATGAACAGCGGGGCGGGCAGGGCAGCGGTCACCTGCAGCAGGGCACCCAGCAGCCGCAGAAAACCCCCACAAACCCCACCAGCATCCCCTTATTAAGGACTTGTAGGCTCCGCAGACTAAAAACCACGGATAATAAGCACAGACAAAAGCGCCTTCCCTCTCAGAAAGACGCCAAAGTCTCTCTTCATCACTACCCTGCAGTACAACAGGCAACATCCATCGTACCGTGTCTAGCAGCTGCCGTACTTTCCCCCAGGCCTGCAGGTCTAGCTGGTCGTCCAAGTACAGCACAATGAACTCGTCCGAGTGCCGGGGTGTGTCCAATAACCAGTCGGCCACCTCGGCCAGCGCGGAGGAGAAGGAGCTGTGTTGAGGCATGGAGGGCGCGGCACTCGTGCACGTGCACGGAGGAGCGACCCATGGGTCAGAAAATGGACCAATACAGACCGCACTCACCGCACCACCATCCAAAGCGTCAGCATCCCTACTTTCCCAGCCTTTCCTTCTGCCGCCCTGTTCGTTCTGTTGTTTCACAACAAAGGGACTCCATCCGCCTGCCAACGCACCCCTTCACCGCTAACCCGCCCCAACATGTTGCCTCCTTCCAAACTTCCAAGTTGGTCCCTCCCACCCCGGGCCCCTCCCGCCCCCCTCACCGCTGGTCGCGTGTGGGCAGGGAGGACAGGCTGGGGTCGCAGCCCAGCGTCTCCGCGTCCCACTGCACGGGCGGGTGGCCGAACAGCGCTGCTGCGGTGCTCAGCAGCGCCACCAGCGTATTGAGGCGCCGCGAGTGGAAACCGCCGCAGTGCGATATGTGCAGGTCGGACTGCGGTGGCGGAGAGGGGGAGGGTAAAGAGGAAACAACTAACTCACTGAGGGGGAGGGTGGTGAAGTGGTAAGGAGGTGAGGAGGAGAGGAGGGTGAGGAGGTGAGGAGGTGCGGGTGAGGAGGAGGGAGAGGAGGGGCTCAGCAGAGGTGGCTTCATGGAAGTCGGTGGTGGCAGCTACCCGAGCGGCGTAGCTCGCTCCCAGTCTTTACTTCCCCACCTCCCGCCTCCCCTTCCACATTCCACCCGCCCCCCCGCCACCTCCCCCACCTGCACCCAGTGCACATCCAGCTCCAGGAAGCGCACCCCCAGCATCAGCTGGTCGGTCAGCGACAGCAGCTGGTTGTTGGTGGTGAGGCGTTGCGAGCCGGTCTGGGTGGCGGGGAGGTGGGTGAAGCGGGACGTGAAGAGGTGGAGAGGGGGCGGGTGGGGGCAGAGCGGGATGTAGACTAGGACGTAGAAGCGAAGGGGAGGAGCACGCAGCAGCTCCCCGACCCGCCCCGAGCCGCACCTGCTACCGCCACCAGCCCCCGCCAGGGGCCGCCTCCCGCCCGCTGCCACCCGCGCCCCCCCACCTCACTGTGTTACTAGGATAGGGTCTCCGAATGCGCTCACTGCATGAGTCGGGATTCGGGATTGGCACTCCGTTGATGCATTTCTCTATATCCTTCGATGCCCCCCCCCTCACCGCCAGCCCCAGCGCTCGCAGGTAGACCGTGTAGATGTCGTCGTGCGCTCCGTAGCCGTCCGCCAGCGTAATTCCTGAGTTGTGGGAGCCCAGAAGCTGAGAGAGGCACAGGGGCTGCAGCCGGGATAGACGCCACTGGGGGCGGGAGGGGGGAGGGGGCGGGTCGCGGGGGTGCGTGGATGGGAAGAGGCTGCGGCAGCCTCTCATGTAGTGCTGGCAGGGAAAGGTATTCCCTGCAGAACAGCTAAAACCGCGAAACGCCAACAGGCAACTACCAACTACCTCAAGTACGGACCAACCTGGTAGTCCACTGTGAAGCTGAGCCAGGGGTCTATTTGAAGGGTGCCGCGGGCGCACACGCGAGCACACACGTTGCTGCTGTCACAGCTGAGTTGGAGGCAACGGGGGCAGCAGTCGACGGGAAGGAGGGGAAGAGAAGGGAGGGAGGGAATATGGAAGCGGGGAGAGAGAGGGACATGCATTGGACCGGGATGGCCCATCCCAACTTGCGCGTGCTCCAAGCAAACGAGCTAACCAAACCAACCAGCCCACGTACCGCAGGACTTCATCGCATTCAACTCCCTCGGGCACTCCGTCGCGCACAAGAGGCGGCGAAAAGCGGCCGTCTACAACTCGTAAACGCTCTCGTTGAATGAGCTCTGGCGTGACGTTGTTCGCAAGCAGGGACAAAGAGAGCAAATCCTCATCTTCAAACGGTTGATGCAACATCCCTGTTGCGTCAACAAACTCCGCTACGCCTGATGAGCATTGCAGGAGGAGTATTGCAGTTGCAGTGATAATTATTACGCTTAAATTGAAGCGCTGTTCTCTTCTGCGGAGGACGAGGGTTTTCATTTTTTTGGCTTATGTCAGCATCGCCAAAAGCTATGGTGGATTCTAAAAGGGATAAGCAGTCTGGTTTAACACGACTACCTAGTAAGCCGTTTTGCAAAGAGTACTTTAACGGTCCTCAAGTAGGCGAATCGGCGCGGCGGGTCTTGCGTAGGCGCTCTGACTCTTATCGCTCAGGCTCTAACGCGACAAGAACCAAGCTTATATATTCTTCTACTCTTGGTTATGTTCAATTTAACTTGAGCTATGATGCTTGGCGTGCGGCCAGGCCAAGAGTACACTTGGAAACTACGACTGTGCAGGCCTGTTGAAGGGCGTTGGAGCAAGTTCGTTGGTATCCAGTTCCGTTGGTCTTCTGTGCATTTTATTCCTAACTTGTAATGCGAGTAACAAATAGGCCAAGTAGCACGCGGCAATGGCCAACAGTTGAAGCAGCGGCGAAGCAGTGTCCTCATACTGGCCAGCAACGGGCACACGTCAGCTGCTGGTGACGGGGTTGGTCCCCAAGCTAAAAGCATGGTCCCCCAGTGTAATCCTCGCGTCCTAAATCCCTCACTCCTTGGAATCCCCTTGAGCGTTCCGAACCCAAGAGCAGCCAAGCATTCCACATCCCTCATTCCACCTGATTGCATACGCACAGTTACAGTATCGGAAACTGCGGGCACTCTTCACTGCTGGGCAGACCCCAGTCTGTTACCGCTGCAGCTCCTACTGCCTGCCGCACAAACCCCATGCACTGCCGCGAGCCCCTACTTCGAGAGTCCTATGCAAACAAAGCTGGCACCGCCGCCACCACCAGTCAGTGTCTCATTATATATATTTTTTACCACCACCGCCACCACCGCCACCCCTCTCCCCGCATCAGCAGCAATGTATCATTTTGAGTGTCAACTAAAAATGGGGTTTTGGAGCGCATGTACGACAGGGAGCAGAGCAGTCGCCACCAGGCTTGCGAGTGGACGGTGCTAGACGTTTTGACCTTGGTTAAACAGTTTGCCCTCAGCTGGCCTTTCAGGTCTTTGCCGCTGAGTTTCCGTGCGCAGTTAGGAAGGCGCTGACTTTTGCGTAGTTGCAGACAGTTCTTAAGTATGGCTGCAGCTGTAGGTAGGCGAGCCTTTTGTTAGGCTAAATTAGCAGATATTAACCAAGAGCTAGCAGAGCTAGGTTTGACCGAAGCAGACCGAGCTCAGGTCCGCGAGTACAATTGGGCGGTAGAGCAAGCCGAACAAGCGTATCAGGCAGCCATGGCTCCAGTGGGACTTACCAGGCCTAGCCGTGGCAGCGCGGTAGCAGTTAGCACCTGGCAGGAAGCCCATCAGCGGGCCAATTCAAACAGAAACGCTAAACGGAGGCAGGCTCGCGAGACGCACAGGCGCGGTTATGAGTTGCTATCACGTTACCAGTCTTGGGAACAGCTTCGCAATCAGGGGACAGCTCTGCAAGAAGAATTGGCCGCGCTCCCAGGGCCCAGCAACGCAGCGGCCGGAGCAGCGCCGGCTCACATCCACAACGCCGAAGCAGAGGCACCGGAGGAAATTGACAATGGTGAGAACGGGGCGGAGCAACGGCCAGGAGGGTCCAGGGGCCGGCGGGCAACAGCGGCTCGCGTTCGGGCAGACAGGGGACGGGGGGGCACTCGTGCAGTCCGGGAGGCTTTCCAGGCGACCCCCGGCCGTCAGATAAGCCACCGGCACGCCACCACTGCTTCACCTAACGCGCCTGACCCCGAGACCTTGGGCGTAACTGGTCACCTAGATGCTCTTGCTGAAGATTTCCTTGCCACCCAAGCAACGCCACTGCAGCACACCGGCCCTCCCGCCATGCCCGGTACGGGGTCGCCGGCAATCGCAAGGGCAGCGCCGGCGAGGGACGTGGGTGTGGCACCCAGCGCCGTATCCGTCCCACCGACAGCGGTTGTACGGGCTCTCGATCGCCTTGAGAACGCGGGCTTGAGCGATGCAGCTCGCAAAGTACGGCGCCTCGCGAGCCTGGAGCTGGCAAGACGGGAAATCAGGGAGCCTGTATCCGCTGACGAGGCAGCGGAAGTCTGGAGGACGGTGCTAGAGCGGCAGCTGGCGGCTCTGCAGGACGAAGAAGACAGCGAACAGCACCAGCCTCAGCGCCAGCAACGGCAGCAGCAGCAATTGCCGCAAGACCGGCGGCCGGCAGTCGCCACCCTGCAGAACGACCAACGGCACCCTGCCATAGGGAACGCACGCTGGAGTGCCGGCCTGAACCTACAGGGCCTTCCCGGCAGCAGCAGGCTGCAAGCATTTGGGGCAGCGTCAGCAGGCCTGGGAGGCCTAGGGGGACTGGGCCTCACGCTGGGGGGCAGTGGCGGGGACTTAAACAGCAACTCTTCAGTGCTGGGCCTCGGCCACCTACCCCTCGGCTCAGCACCGCCGTCCGCTCTGGGCCCCCTGGCGGCAACCGTTCAGCGTGAAGGGGCCTGGGCAGACGTGTTCGACCGCATCCCAGGCCTCAGCAGCCTGGTCTCGCTGGCGGACGTCAGCTTCGCATCCCGGGACCAGGCGACCTTCACGCACAAGGCAGACAGTCATCTCCGCTCCCTGCAGCATCTCGCGTCCCAGCTGGAAGCGGCCAAACACTGCGCATCCTCTTCGGAGGAGCTCTCGCTGCTCTTGGCCAAGGCCGCGCAGGTGTGGGAGGAGGCTTTTCGTACACAAGAGGTCCTCCGGCAGGTGCAGAATGCAGCCCGTGTCCTGCCCTTCAAGGACGTCATGGACGTATTCAGCAAGGGCTCTCCCCTCACACAGCAGTTCCTAGCCGCCCTGTCGCAATTTACGGACAGCCAGCGCCAGCACCTCTTCGGGAAGTTCGCCTCAGCCGCCGCTCCCGCGGCGGCTTACCCGCCGCCCCCGCCTCTTCCACTCCCGCCGGCCCCGGCACAGCCCCGTGCCCCACGCGACAACGGCTGCTTCTACTGCAAGAGGCCCGGACACAGCTACCGCGGCTGCCGAGAGTTGCGGTCGCTGGAACCTGGGGCCCAAACGGCAGCATTCGCAGAATGCGCCAAGCAGGAGCAGGCAGCCCGCCGGCCGGCTTAGGACGCGGCAGCGTCAGCTGGGGGCGAGGTCGCCCCGGCGCCAACGGCGCCCCCCCTCCATCCAGCCGCCGGCAGTACGGCCGGCGGTGGGGCAGCTGACGCAAATACGGCAGGGATGGAGACACCAGAAGGTAAGCGTGTACGCGACCTACGGCGGACTGGGGCCCTGCGCGGGTGACAAGCAATGTGCTGTTGCGTGTGTCCATGTGGCGCGACCCTGCCCGAGGGGAGAAGGGCCTGCCTGCGTCTACCTGCTGTCTAGTCTGTGGTGTACGCGACCTACGGCGGACTGGGGCCCTGCGCGGGTGACAAGCAATGTGCTGTTGCGTGTGTCCATGTGGCGCGACCCTGCCCGAGGGGAGAAGGGCCTGCCTGCGTCTACCTGCCGTCTAGTCTGTGGTGTACGCGACCTACGGCGGACTGGGGCCCTGCGCGGGTGACAAGCAACGTGCCGTTGCGTGTGTCCTTGTGGCGTTACCCTGCCCGAGGGGAGAAGGGCCTGCCTGCGTCCACCTGCTGTCTAGTCTGTGGTGTACGCGACCTACGGCGGACTGGGGCCCTGCGCGGGTGACAAGCAATGTGCTGTTGCGTGTGTCCATGTGGCGTGACCCTACCCGAGGGGAGAAGGGCCTGCCTGCGTCCACCTGCTGTCTAGTCTGTGGTGTACGCGACCTACGGCGGACTGGGGCCTTGCGCGGGTGACAAGCAATATGCCGTAGCATGCACCGGGGTCGTGTGGCTCTGCCTGAAGGAAGAAGGGCCTGACGGTGTTCGCATGTGGTTCAATCGGTGGTGTACGCGACCTACGGCGAACGGGGGCCCTGCGAGGGTGAACACCCAAAGCGTAACCTTGACCTGTGCCTCATGCAGTTTTGTGGATGCCTGACTCGGCGGCGGAAACGCCGTCGGCCGGCCGCTGGTTCGGCCCAGGGGGCGTGAAGCTTAATACGGCCGCGTGGCAGCGTCACGGCATCGACACGCCTGCGTCCCGTAACGAAGCCAGCTGGACCTTCCACACCACGCCGCCAACCTCGCACCACTTGCGCAACTACCCATCCGTGCGCGAACACAGCGAATGGTACGCCAGCCACATTGACGAGTTACTGCGCCAGGGCCTGGTGGAGGCGTACGACAGCAAGCAGCATGGCCCCCTGCGCAACTTTGCAGCCACTATCAACCCACTGCATGTTGTCAGCAAGGCGGATGGCAACCTGCGCCCGATCATCGACCCTACCGCTTCGGGGGTGAACGACTGCATGACCAAGCTCCCCTGCCCGCTGCCCGACCTCGCCTCAATTTTGGAGCATTTGCCGTTCCAAGGGGCGCTAGGCAAACGGGACCTCGCATCTGGTTTCCACCACATCAAGTGCAGCCCGGAAGCACGCCGGTACATGGCCTTTAGGCATCCCACCACGGAGGCAGTCCTGCGTTGGGTGGTGCTGCCCTTCGGCGCCAGCCAATCGCCCCCAATCTTTGTGGAGTTAACCAACGCCGCGTGTGCCATCTTCCAAGCGGAGTGCGACCGGCGGGGGCTACGGGTCAAGCTCTTCTGCTTCGTCGACGACTACATCATCCTAGGGGTGACCCATGCAGACGTCGTTGGCGCCTTCGCGGTCATGGACGAAATAGGTGGCGAGCTGGGGCTGGAGTGGAAGACCAGCAAGGACCGCGGACGAAACGAGCACCTGCGGCAGCTCGACTTCCTGGGTATGCTGTTCGACACCGAGAAGATGGAGATTGCGCATCTCGCCGGACAAGCGGCAGCGCTACGCGGCGGACGTGCGCGCCCTCCTGGACGCGGCAGCTACCGGACCAGTGCAGCGGCACCTCCTGGAGTCCACCGTCGGCCGCTTAACGTTCATAGCCCGGGCATGCCGCTGGGGTTTCACGTTCATGCAGGGCCTCTACGACAGCCTCTTCTGCCCCACCCGCCCGCCGGCCACTGTCGGCCTGGCGGCGGACGCAGTAGAAGACCTGGCTTTCTGGTGGCAGGTGCTACGGGCGGATTCCTCTGTCTGGGACGGGGTAAAGCGCTCAGCGGGCATCGGTTTGGACCTAGTGAGGGGGGAGTTTATCGGCCAGGATGGGGCCGTCCTCTTCACGGACGCTAGTGGGCGTGGGTTTGGCGCAGTCTGGGGGGAGGCGGAGGGGCAAGGGGCATGGTCAGAGGAGGAGCGTCAGCTGCACATCTCGTGGCTGGAGCTCAAGGCGGTCCTCAGAGCGCTGCAGTCATGGGCCGCCAGCCTTGCCGGGCGCCGGGTGCTGGTGCGTTGTGACAACACCCAAGCCGTAGCAGCCATCAACCACGGCTCCACCCGCATCCCAGAGGGCCGCAGCCTTAGCCGCCAAATTGCAGAGCTTGCGATTAGCTCAGGGTTCGAGGTCCGGGCTGAGCACATTCCCGGCGTGGACAACGGCCAGGCCGACCGCCTCAGCCGCCGCCTTGACAGCGCCCAGGATCAGAACCTGCGGCTGAAGGCCAGCATCTTCAGGGAGCTATGCCGCAAGTTCTCTCTCCGGCCCACCGTCGACTGCTGCTGCGACGCCCATGGCTCCAACCGGCAGCCCGGCTGTGAGGTGTTCTACAGCGCGGGGCGGTCGGTGCTTGGCCAGGAGGCCGAGCTGGCGGGCAAGGCGCTGTGGGCCTTCCCACCCCAGGCCCTGGTGGGGGAGGTGCTAGCGACCCTCGTGGCAGCGGCACGGCGTGACTCGCGGACGCGGGCGGTTGTGGTGGTGCCTTTCTGGCCGGAGCGGGGGTGGTTCCGGGCCTTCGTCCGTAGCCGATCCGCACCATTCCGGGTCGCCCAGGTGCTGCCCAGGGGCGGCCGCCTCTGCGTTTGGCCCTGGGGCGACGAGGCGGGTCCTTCTCCTTACGATATGCTGGTCTTACGCCTGCCCTGACCGAATTCCGATCCGCGTTTGCGCCCCCATGGCGATTGTAGAGGGTGGCGGGAGCTGCGAGGCCTGCGTGCGGCGCACCTCCGTGGGGGACTTGCGCTGTGAGACATGCGACATACGGGCACATCGCCGCTGCCTGGGACTGCCGCCGGGCTCGTACCCCGGCGGCTGGTTCCGCTGCATCCACTGCATCCTGGCGGCGGCGGGTTTTCCGGCAGGGGCTGCGGGCGGTCGGCAGGAGGCACTCGCGGCGAGGCTGGTGGCGCTAGCGGGAAGCGCCGTGTCGGCGGGTTCAGCAGGGACGTACGAATCCCATCGCCGCCGCTACGCGGCCTTCTGCGCTGCTCTGGGCTTACCCATGAGGGCGGCTTTCCCACCTGCGCGGGGCGCGGACCTCAGCCCCGAGCTGGTGAGCCTGTTCATCGCCCATGAGGCCGACCGTGTGGCCCCCTCAACGTTGTCAGGCACCATTAGCGCCCTTGCGGACTGGCAGCGCGCGAAGGGTTTTCCGGCGGAGGCCTCCATCCGCCGGAACCCATTGGTGCAACGCACGCTGAGGCAGGCGTGGCGTGCCCGGGCGCCGGCGGCAGCCGCCACAGCTGGCGGCGATGCAGGGGCCGAGCCGCTGCCGCAACGTACGAAGGAGGCGTTCCCGGTGCCGCTTCTGCGGCTCCTATTGGGCTGGCTGGCAGCGACGGCGGACGGGGCGCCAGCGCGCCGAGCGGAGCTCGAGCAGGATGCGTGTTGGCTGGTGGTGGGTTTCTTTGGGATGCTGCGGAGAAGCGAGCTGGCGGGGCTGCGGCTAGGTGACGTGCATTCGCTGACTGGTGGGGTTCACGTGGTGCGGATAACGAGGAGCAAGACCGATCAGGTTGGGGCAGGGGTGGATGTGCACCTGGGGGCATCGTCTGGCAGCGGAGTACGCATCGGGCGCATTATAGGGCGCCACCTAGAGCGGGCCCGCTCAGGGGGGGCGGAGCCCAGCGCGCCGCTCTTCACGCGGGGCCCCCAGTGGGGACCGGGGTCGGAGGCTTGGCGGAAGGAGGGGTTTACGCGTAGGCTTAGGGCGCTCTTAGGAGAGATGCAGCGCGCCCTGCCACAAATAGCCGGGCGGGTACCAGATTACGCGTCCCACAGCCTGAGAAGGGGGGGAGCCACGGCTGCAGCGGAAGGGGGGGCCTCTGGAGAGCAGATCAAGGCGCACGGGAGGTGGCGGTCGGAGGCGGTGAGCGCGTATATCCTCCCCTCCGCGGCGGCTAAGGCCCGCATTGTGGGGTGCATGTGAGGTGACGAGGCGTGCGGTGGGTGACAGGGTAAGGGGGGTCCTCTCTAGGCGTGCATGCATGCGGAAGCGCGCCTAGAGCCTAATACGCCGGGGCGGGTTTTGGGGGCTAGAGCCCATCCGCGCCCGGCTGTTGGTTTTCCCCCTCTCCTGTTGTTCCCCGGAGAGGGTAGGGTGAGGTATCGGCTAGGTAGCAAACTTGGTTAGTTACAGAGTTGGGTCTCTTAGACGCTGTTCGGAGTCTGGGCCCGCAGGCCAGGTCCCAGGCGGTGTAAGTTGATGAGGGGTGCGACTCCTCTGGCACTGGAGTGTGTGCGACAAAAGTATCATTTTGAGTGTCAACTAAAAATGGGGTTTTGGAGCGCATGTACGACAGGGAGCAGAGCAGTCGCCACCAGGCTTGCGAGTGGACGGTGCTAGACGTTTTGACCTTGGTTAAACAGTTTGCCCTCAGCTGGCCTTTCAGGTCTTTGCCGCTGAGTTTCCGTGCGCAGTTAGGAAGGCGCTGACTTTTGCGTAGTTGCAGACAGTTCTTAAGTATGGCTGCAGCTGTAGGTAGGCGAGCCTTTTGTTTCCCACCCTCCCACCCCTACTCTCTCCGGGGTCCTCTCTAGGCGTGCATGCATGCGGAAGCGCGCCTAGAGCCTAATACGCCGGGGCGGGTTTTGGGGGCTAGAGCCCATCCGCGCCCGGCTGTTGGTTTTCCCCCTCTCCTGTTGTTCCCCGGAGAGGGTAGGGTGAGGTATCGGCTAGGTAGCAAACTTGGTTAGTTACAGAGTTGGGTCTCTTAGACGCTGTTCGGAGTCTGGGCCCGCAGGCCAGGTCCCAGGCGGTGTAAGTTGATGAGGGGTGCGACTCCTCTGGCACTGGAGTGTGTGCGACAAAATGCATTGTCAAGAGGCCCCTCAGCAGCAGCAGCTCGGCCCCACCCCGCCAGTCGTGTGTCACAGGCTGGCTAGTCGTGTCGCGGGTCGCAGGTCGCAGGTCGCGGGTCGCAGGTCGCAGGTCGCAGGTCGCGGGTCGCAGGTCGCAGGTCGCAGGTCGCAGGTCGCAGGTCGCGGGTCGCAGGGCAGCACCCTTCAGTAGTCGTCCGCTGTTGTGGGTCACTCGAGTCAATTAGTTGTTGTGGATCACCCACGTCCAGTTTCGGTCTTACAGCGATACCAGGTGGGGCGGTCAGGTGCAAGCGAGCCATGTCAGGGGTCAGGGTTCATGCCAGCAAGGCACCAACCGCACAGGATGACCACCCTTTTCGCTCGCTCCCACCCCAACCCCAAGCAGCAGCCCGCCCCCCACAAACCCACATGCATTCATTCGTTTACCTCAGGTGCCTCAGGTGTAGCCTGCAATACCCGCGCGACTCGATTGTGCAACCCCACCCCACCCCACCACCGCCACCTTCTCTGTCCCCTCTACCCCCATCGTCAGCGTCTGTTTGCTTTTAACCTCCTTTCCTAGCGCCGCTACCGCTTCCGCCCCGTCTCCAACACCCTGCCCGCCGCCCGCACATTGCCGCTCACAAAGTTCCTCCCCGCCGGCCGACCCTGACTCAAACGCGTCTCCACAAATTCCGGCAACCGGTTATCCACACTGGGCGCGAACTGCGACGGCCGAGGCGGCACATACGCCGGCATGCGCCCTCGCAGCTCATAACTGTAGTGCATGTCCGAGGTTTGAACGTACAACCGTCCCTTAACCACCTTACCGAACTCACGGCACGTGTACGACACGGTGAGTGCGGGTTCGGGCTCGGGTTCCCCGGGTTTGGGCGGCGGCGGGAGCATGCCCTTGCTGGGCGTGACGTTGAAGACCATGGGCGTGTCGGAGGGGAAGGAGGCGGTGAAGGGCTGCGGCTCGGGTCCGGAGGAGTAGAGGCGCAGGGGCAGGTGGGAGGTGGCGCCCACGGAGGCCTCGATGGTGAGGGTGCCGTCCAGGTCGGGCTCGGTGGCCTGCGGGGGGTAAGAGGGGGGTCAAAGACCATATCAAACCATAGGAGACCACAAGTTAGGGCAAAACAATGGGGGTAAGAGGGGGGGGGGGTAAGAGGGGATTACATAAACCATGAGGGAACACTGACCTTGACCATAGGAAGACCCGTGGGCGGGAAGGGAGGAGGGAGGGAAGGGTTGGGTGATGATAAAACACAGGCACGTTGGTAACGATGGTAGCAACTCGTGGGAGAGGAAAGTGGGTGACCCCTTTTGCAACTACTTGCCGTATCGTCAGCTCCCACTGCGCCCCCCCAAAACCAAACGCTCCCCTCTCCCACACACACAAACCCCACCTGCAGCTGCATCTCGAACCTCCATCTGCCGCCGGTGCTCTTGTTGATGACCAGCTCCAGGGAGGTGGGTGGCAGCATGCGGTGCGGCGCGAAACACACTCGGTAGCGCAGGGGCGCGTCGGGGCGGGGCAGGCGCACGGGCGGCGGGGAGGCGGGCTCCACGATGAGGGACTGCTCCAGGAATGACCTGAGGAGTCGGGCGGGGGGAAGAAGAATACCCGGTGCGTTGAAGGGGGGGAAGGGGGAAAGGGGGAGGATGGGGAGGAGGGGTTGAAGGATTGTGGCAAGTAGGGTGGCCCAAGAGAAGGGCTAGCTCCCCCCCTTCCATGCGTGTCTGTCTCTTTCCACTTCGCAGCCCCTCCCGTCCCTATGTGCCACATGCCCTGGTCCCACCCACCCACCCACCCCCTCCACCTCCACCCATCTGTGATCGGTCGTCATACAGGTCGTTAGTTTCCTCCCCTCTCCCCAACCCCCAACCACCCGCACCTGTGTTCCGGCGGCAGCACCACCTCGTGGCTGAACTCGTCCTCCGGCCCCACCTTGGCCAGCCCGCCCAGCACCACCTCCATCACCTCCTCGATGCGAGAACGGGCCTTGCACTTGTACCTGCGTAGGGCGCCATCGCGTCATGCCGGTATTCCCACACGCAGCTCCTATCCCCCGCCCATTTCCCCCCCCCTCTCCCTACCTCCTCTTTGGGACTCAAATGCTTCACTATTCGCCTATTCCCCCCTCCGCCTCCCCCCCTCCCACTCCCACTCCCCTCCCTCCCCCTCCCGCGCCCTCACCTGAACACAATGCCGCTCAGACTCGCCTCCGTCAGCCCCCGCACCGGGTAGGTCCACACCAGCGTGTTGAGGCTGTAGCTGCTGCCCTCCACCGCCACACACACCTCCGCACCGCTCGTTTTCAACGACGCAGGCGTGAAGCGCAGCGGCACATGCAACGTCCCAAACGGCTGAACCGTCAGCTCCTGCAACGTCCCCAACACGCTGCTACCGCTACGGTGTGGCCCTGCCGTACCCGTACTGCTACCCGCGGTGCCGGGGGGTGTCATCGTGCTCATGCTGCTGCTGCCGCCCCCCATGCCGCCCCCCATGCCACGTTGCTGGTGTTCTGGCGGGGTGGTGGCTGGCGACCCCAGCAGGCTGCCCTTGCTGGCGCCCGCGACCATGCTGGCTCGGCTGGCGCTTCGGCTGCTGAGCACGCCGCCGCCCAGGCCGGCTAGGTTGAGGGCGTGCTGGGAGGCGCCGCTGCCTGCGAAGGGCCCGATGCGGAGTAGCTCGAAGACGCCGGGGGGTTCCTCGGTGTTGAGCTGTACGGAGACGGAGGCGGGCTCGGGGAAGGGGTTGCGCCAGGTGATGACGGTTTGGCCCTGAGGAGGGGGAGGGGGAGGGAAGGAGGGGGAGAGGGAGGGGGAGAGGGAGGGGGAGGGAGGGAGGGTTAGACCCAGGTTAACGACAATGGGTACGGGCAATACGGAATGCATTACAGCTTTAGACAGGCTGGCAAGCATCAAAGGCAAATTGGCGAAGCGCGCATGCCAAGGCGTGCTGGGCTCTCTCCCGCCCTTCTCCCCTCCCTCCCCTCCCTCCCCTCCCCCCTCCCACCTGCGAGCCCAGTGTGGTGGACAGGGTGGTGGGCTCCATGATGGTGGGCAACTCGCCACGACCGCTGACCTGGGGGGGAAGGGGGAGGGGGGGAAAGGGAGGACGGAAATGATGCAAGGCGTGAGTGGAGCAGTGGAGAGAATGGGAGAGCGGGAGCGGAAAGAGGCGGGGAGAAAACCCCATGCGTGCACAAACCCCCACACGACCTGTCAATCCCCCCCCGCCGCCCCCCTGCCGCCCTGTTCCCCTAGTCCATGGTTGCCCGTCCACCACCCCACCCACCCCTCCACCCCGCCTACTCACCCTGAACTCCCAGCACCCCACCACGTCCCCGTCCACCACCACGCTCGCCTCCTCCTCGTGGTCCAGAGTGGAAGGGGTGTACTCCACTGTCAGCTCCGCCCGCCCGTACGGGGGCAGGGAGGACTGCGGGGGGGGGCAGGTGTGTGTGGGTAAGGCGGGATGGGCCGGGTCCAATGTAGCACCCCCATGGTGAACCCTAATGTCACATACAGCTCTTCACTTTCTTACTTCCCCCACCCGCTCCACCTCCCTTGTGGCACCCTGCCACTTCTTACTCCCATTGTCATGCCCCAACCTGTGGTCTCCTATGGTTCGGTATGCGGTCTTTGAAACCCCTCCCCCCCTCCCCTCCTCACCATTGCGGGTGCCACGGCGAAGTGCCGCGGGTTGCTGCTGCTAGCTGCCAGCAGCACCGGCAGCCCCAGCGGGTTGTCAATCCGCAGCACCTCCACCCGGCTGCGACCCAGCTCCGCGGACAGGGGGCCCACGGGGGTGGGGGGCGCGGGGTCGGCAGCCATGTTGACCACGTACCTGGATAGCAGGGGGGGAGGGGGGGGGGAAGAAGAATGAGTGAGGGGGAGTGAGGGAGGGAGTTGCCTCGAAGGGTTAGGTAAGGCAGCCCCAGAAACCACCCGAGGGTTTTTCGTCCTGAACCGCCCACCCAATAGCAAAAGTCACACCGATTTGCCTTGGCGCATTGTGAGAAAGCAAACCGGCGCAAGCAACAAAAAAGCAGAACGAAACGCAGAGACGGTGCGAGGGAACATCTCTCCAGTCTCCTGACCACCCCAAACCCCACAATCGTACCCACATCCCCACCCCACCACGCATAACCCCCCCCCCCCACCCCTCCCGCCTACCTGAACTCCCCCACATCATCGTTCACCAGCACCACACTCCCCGTCCCACTCCCCGGCACCAGCGGCGCGTAGTAAAACTCAAAGCTGACGGGTTCCTGGGTGCTCGGAAGAGCAAACGTCGCGGGGCCGCACAACGCCACGTCGCTGTAGCGCACCGCCAGGAGCATGTCCTTGCGCAGCGGGTTGGCGATGGGTACGGAAACCGCTACGGCAGTTCGTACGGTTGCCCGTACGTCGATGGTGCCGACCTCGGGGGGCTCGGAGGCGCGCACCTCCAGGGTATACCTGAGGAGGTGAGGGGGGGAGGAGGGGGGATTAAAGATAAGTGCAGCAGCAACGGAGTCCCCATCCCAAATCCGGTGGTGGCGGTGGTGGCTGGGATTGTGGTGATGTGAGGTGGGATTCTCACTGTGCCACCGCCACCGCGTGATGGGTTCCTCACACATGGCTGGCGCGTTGGCTTTGACGTGATTCTTACATGGTTCTCACACGGGTGGGTTTCCTCTCTTTCCCCCCCCTACCACTCATCTTTTACCCTATCCAGTCCCTCACACCCTCACACTTCCTCCCGGCCTCCCCCCCCCACGCCCCCCACGCCTATCGTACAGTGGGTTAGTTGTTTCCTCTTTACCCCCCCCTCCAGCCTCACCACACGTACTGCCCATCCGCGGTGGTGAATGTGATGATGCCGTTGTAGGTGCCGCTGCGCTGCGGACAGGCGGTGATCTTGTACTGCGCAGCCATGCCGGGGGGCAGCTTGAGCGCGGGGGCGCCGACCATGAAGTCCAGGTCGCACAGGACCTGGGGGAGGAGGGGGGGAAAGGGGGGGGGAGGGAGGGGGAGGGGGGGAGAAATGACCTTGCGACGGGCTGTAAATGGTTGGGGGTGGGCAGGAGGGGAAGGAAGAGGGCTGGCACAAAGACATTCAGGCTGCAGCCCCCCGCCGTAACCATACTCCAGGACCTCTACCCAATCCCTCACACGCCACAGGCCCCCCATGCGGCCGGTGTTTCTTCGCGGACTCCCTCAATGCGGACGCCCCTCCCCCCCGCCCCCACTACCTTGTACCCCTCCCCCCCGGGAGGGGTACAAGGTCGGGATTCGGGATTGGGACTGTGTTGTTGCACTTATTTATAATCCCCCCCCCAACCCCCCCACCTTGTACTCGGTGGCCGAGCCCACTATGTTGGGCACATTGAACTGCTTGGAGGCGGGCTTGCGGGCCTAAAGGGGGGGGAGGTGGGGAGGGTAAGGGGGCGGCAGGAGGGCAGGAGCAACAACACACCGATCAGAGCGAGCCAGGTAGGCGAGTGATGTCGCAAGGGGGAGCTGCTGCACGTGAGAGGGCGTGAGTAGTGTTACGGTAACCGCCCTCCAACTGCAATACCACCCCACACCGCCACTGTCGTTTACAACATGCTATTTCTCCTTACCCCCCATCCCCATACCCCATCCCTCGTCAGTTTCCTTACTTTTACCCCTCCCCCCCCCCCGCCCCCCCACCTGGCACTCTATGACGATCTGTCCCTCCGCAGTTGGCTCCGCCGCCCGCCCCACCAGCGTGTAGCAGTTGCGCTCCCCGGTGGCGCTGATGGACAGCTCCAGCTGGCCCTTCACGTCGCCTGGGGATGGAGGGGGTTTTAGGGGGGGAGAGGGAGGAGTGGATGAGGGGTTTGGTGGTGGGAGTAATGCGGCTGGGGATGTTTGCAACCCGGTGGTAGTATTGTTGCATGAGTAGAGGCAGCACCCCGATCTCCCTTGTCCCTCCTCCTCTTCCTCCTGCTGCTGCCCCCGCACTCCCACATCACACCCCACCTCCCCCCTACCCGGCATGAGCGGCCTGAACTGCAGCGGGTAGGCCACCGTCGCCCCCGCCGGCACCAGCACCTCCCTCGGGCCCGACCAGGGGGGCCCGCTGGTGGTGGCGGACACCGTCATCTGGGTGTCACCCGTGTTCACCAGCGGGATGTCCTGGGGGGGGGAGGGGTGTAAGTGCATGCAATCGTGCCGCCCCACCTCGGGCCGGGTCCAATGTAGCATCCCATGTTGAAGCCCCCTCGTCATACAGCTGACGTGAGTTTCCTCTTTTTAGTACCCCCCCCTCCCCGGCTTTTTGTAACAGCTGCCCTCGTAAGCAGCATGTGTCATACCGTCCTATCGTCCATGCCAGGCGACCAGGCTGTTCATTCATACACCCCTACCTGCGTGATCGCCTGCCGTGCACACGTGCTGAACTCCAACACGAAGCTCTGCGTCATGGTCTGTGCGGTGAGCTCCAGGTCCACCACCCGCACGTCCAACACGCTGGTCAGCATGATGCGGCTGGGGTAGATGCCGGTGCCGATGGGGTTCAGGTGCAACCGCAGCGTGTTGGGCTCAGGGGGAGGAAGCGAGCCGGGGTTGCGCTGCCGCTGCGAGGGGGGGCCAGACACACTCACTGCGCCGCCACCGCCGCCGCCGGAGGCGGCGGGGGCGGCAGCAGCGGCGGAGCCGCTGCCGGCGGCTCCGCCGCCGGCGGCGCCTCCGGCGCCGCCGCCGCCTCCGGCGGCAGCAGCAGCAGCAGCAGCGCCTGTCGGCGCCCCCGCTCCTCCTGCGGATGTCCCCGTCCCCCCCAGGTTCGCCGCCCCTGCCGCCCCTCCCTGCCCCCCCGGGCCCCCCGGCCCCCCCGTCTCCAGTGCTGCCAGCAGGGGCAGTGTGGGTCGCGCGGAGAGGGTGAGGTGCGAGGGGGCGGTCATGAGGCTGTTGGTCTGGGTCACACTGTACACCACCTCGGCTGCAGCGGCAGGAGGGGAGGGGGGAAGGGGCAGGGGAGGGGGGGAGGTGAAGGTGAAGGGGCAGCGGCAGCGGCAGGAAGGTCAGGAACGGAGGATAGCAGGCACATGTCAAGTCGGGAAGCGGCGTGTGGCTAACTACCCTAGGCAACACCCGCACCCCCTCCAAACCCACCAACACCCCCATGTAGTGAAGCCTTCATGTCAACCAGCTCTTCAGGTTCTTCCTCTTTATCACACACACCCCCCGTCCCCCCCTCCCCTCCCGGCCCCCGCCACTCACCCCCCTTGAACGGGTCCTGCTTTAGCAGCGCCAGTTGCTCCTTGTCCTTGGCCAGCGGGTGCTTCTCCTGGAAGGCGCGCTTGGCCGCCTCCAGTGCGGAGTTCTGGAAGGGCAGCACCAGGTCGTACAGCTGCGCGGGGGCCTCAAGCGGGACGGCACCCTGGGGGGAGGAGGGGGCGAGAGGGTAGGCAAGAAAGAAGAGACAAGGTGGAAAGCGGTTGTGCAATGTGAATCAGCGCTTTCACGCATCACATTGCATGAACACATGGGCACCCTCCTCAATCGTGCGTGTCAAGAGCAGTGTGTTTGCGACGACACAAACAACCTCTCCTTCCCACGCTCCACAACCCAGCAACTCCCTCCTAATGCTTCACGCCCATGTGTTTTACCCCTCCCTTCTCCCCCTCCCCCCGCCCTCCCCCCCCGCCCCCACCTTGACCTCCATGATGGGCGCCGGCAGTCCCGGCTCCCCCACCAGTTCGTAGCAGAACTCGCCCTGCTCCTTGTCCCTGAACAGCACCGTGCAGTAGGCGGTGCTCATGGAGAAGGGCAGGAAGAAGCCCTTGATGCGCTCGCTGGCGTTCTGCTTCAGACGCAGCCGGTTGCGGTCCAGCCCGAAGGCGTCGGGCCACACGCGCGTGCCGGAGAGCTTGAAGGAGAGGGGGTCGTCGAATTGGGCCTCTGAGGGGGGTCGGGGAAGGGGTTAACAATCATATCAAAATACAAATGAGGACAAGACAAACGGAAAGGATTAACCGGAGAGAGTGGGTGAGGAGGACGTGCAGGGGAAAAGTGGGCTTCATCGCACACACATGTACACCAGCCCCTTTGCGATCGATAAACAACCCCGCAAACATCCCCACCCCACCCCATCCCCCCTACACCCCTTTGGCCCCCCTAAACCCCTGTGTCCCCCACGTACCTCCAAACCCCGTGCTCTTCCGTGACCTCCGCATCATACTCGCCCCCCTGCCGCCCGCCCCCCCGCGTGCCCCCTGCCGCCCCGCCCCGCCCTTGCCGCCCGCCCCCGCCTCCTCCTCCTTCTTGGGCAGCGGCTCAGCGGGCTCGTGCAGGATGGTGATGGTGAAATCGCCGTCTGGGGGAAGGGGGAAGAGGGGTTGGAGGGTGTGGGGGAAGGGTGGGGGTGAAGGGGTGGGAGTAGGGAGTGGGGAGGGGGGTTAAGGAGGTAATCCCCACCTCCCACATCCCAATTCAAACTCACCCCTCCCACTACCCCTTTCCCCTCCCCCGCCGCTCGAGGTCCCTTGCCATGCGGTTAGCTGGTTACTTCCTCCCTCTTTGCCATACGGGCCTCCTCCTTCATTTCCCCTTCCCCTTCCCAACCCTCCCCTCCCAACCCCTCGTCATACAGCCCATTACTTTCCTTCCTTACTCCCCTCCCCTCCCGTTTTTACCCCTCCCCGACCCCCCCCCCTCACCCGCCGGGAAGGGATTGCTGACGGTGAACTCGAACTGTTGCATGTCGTACAGCGGCCCCTCCGTGCGCACCCGCTTCAGGGGCGCGCGTGTGTTTACCCGGCATTGCAGCAGGAACACGAGGGTGGCTGCGTGCACCCCGCCCTCGCGCTTGCTCATGAGTACCAGACGGGAGGTCTGGGGGGGGGAGATGGGGGGGTTAGAGGAGAACAGACCAAACCATAGGAAACCACAAGGGGGGGCGGACGGGGGGTTGGGGAAGGGTGTTAGGAGGGGATGCATATTTGGATACCCGATGGCTATACATATAAACCTATCATCCAGCCAGATGCGGAACTTCCAACCTCCATCACATTAATCCCCCTCGGCCCCTCGCCCCCCCTCCCCCATGCCCCCCCTCCCCAGTTAGTTGTTTCCTCCCCCCCCCCGCGCCCCACTAACCCACCTGCGACAGTGTGTTTGTGGGCGTGCAGCGGATCATGAGCTTGGCGGTGCTCTTGGGCTCGATGCGCACGGAGGAGGACTCGATGGAGAAGTCCCGGTGCCCCTCCAGACGAGCGGAGTAGCTGATGGCCTTCTTGCCGGGGTTGGTTAGCTCCAGCTCCTTGCACTGGGGGGACGGGAGGGGGGGTGGGGGTGTGGGTTTGGGTTTGGGGGGGAAATTTTATAATAAGTATCCCAACTAGAGTCCCAATCCCATATCCCGACTCATGCCTTTGGGGGGAGGAGGATACAGCTTACTAGCCGTGTGATAAGTGGGGTCAAAGACCACATACCGGACCATAGGAAACCACGGGTAGGGGGGGTTGTACGTTTAAACACTATGCTGCTCCCTCCCCCCCCCTCCCCCTCCTGCATGAGTCGGGATATGGGGTTGGGACTCGTTGTTTCACTTGTATAATACGTTTGTGCACTATGCTCCCTCCCTCCCTCCCACCCCCCCCACCTGCGTCTCCCCCAGCTTGCATGCGAACTCGATGCTGGCCTTGGGCACGAACTGCGGCAGCGTGTGGTGCAGGTACAGCACCAGCACCATCATGTCCTGGCTGTTGGGGGCCACAACGTCGTCAACGGTCACCTCGTACGGCAGACCCAGATCCTGTACGGCAGTGGTGGTGGCAAAAGGGGAAGAAGGGGGGGCGCAGTACGGCAGTGGTGGTGAAGAGGGAAGAAGGAAGGGGGCAGTACGGCAGTGGTGGTGGAGGGGAAGAAGGAAGGGGGGGGTGGTCACAGACCACATACCAAACCATAGGAAACCACAGGTTAGGACAAAGCAGTGGGGTGGCGGTACGGCAGCAATGTTAGTCCCCTGCGTCAGCCCCCCTACCATCCCCATCCCCAGCCCCCCTCACCGCGGAATCGGTAGGGAATGCTCACCACTTTGTTTTCTTGCACCCTACTGTTTCCTAACAATTGTTTTGCCCCAACTTGTGGATTCCCTATGGTTCGGGATACTCTTTGACCCCCCCCTCACCGCCATGATCCTCAGCACCATCTGCCCCTCCCCACCCCCCTCACCGCCATGATCCGGAGCACCATCTCCGCGTTCTCCCGCTTGTCCTGCTCGTCCCGGCAGTCCAGCCGCAGCAGCTTCTTCTTCTTCTCAAGACCCGGCCAGTAGCCGGACAACAGCGCGAACAACACGCTGGCGTCGGACAGGTCTGGGGTGGGGGGGATTGGGTGGTTGGGGGGAGGGGGGGGTGAGGGGGGACAGGGGGACAGTATTCTAGTGTTGAGGACCTACTGGTAACGCACACAACCCCAACCCCACCTCTCACTCCTCCTTTCTTTTCTCCACCCCACCCACCCACACATACAGCTCGTCAGTATCCTCTTTTTACCCCACTCACACTTCTCACTCCTCCCTTCATTTCCTCCCTTGGCCAAGTACCCATGTGCCTACCCCACCCCAGTTATGGAGCTCTATTAGGGTTTGTACTTTGTGTGCTGCTACTAACCCAACAAGTTTGATATTGCGCAACCCTAAAATCCAGCCTAATGCGGAATCTTCATCCCTAATTACCCCCCCCCCCAACCCGCGGATCCGAAGCGCCTCACCGCTATCAAAGTTGGTAACCCTCTGGAACTTGGGTCCGTACTCGCGGGTGCAGTGCGCGCTCATCCAGGCCAGCAGCGCGCTCTCCGCCACGCTGTAGTAGTTGGAGCCGATGATGGAGGAGTCGGGGGGCAGCTGCAGGCCCTCGTTGCCTGGGGGGGGGAGGAGGGGGAGGGGGAGGGGAGGGAGAAGGGGGAGGAGGGGAGCAGGGGGTTGTAGAGGAGGACCGTAATTACGCTTCCCATACCATACTGGTCTTGCTCTATTCACCCTTCCCTCCGCTCCCATGTCCTCAACCCATCCCCTCAATCCATGTCCATCCTCCTCCTCTTCCCGCTCCCTCTACACCACGCATTCCCTCAGGCTGTCGTATATGTCGTATACCTCTGTCCCCTCCCATGTCCCTTTTCCCATACCCCCCCCCTCCCCCCAACCCCCAGTCCCCCCCTCACCCGGCATGCCCCGCAGGCTCTTGAGCGTCACCCGCCCCAGCACGAACACCTTGAACACCTGCAGCACCAGCGCGTTCCAAGCCTGGCTGCTCACCACGTCGAAGTTGCACTCCACCTCCGCCCACATGTCCAGCGCCTCCAGCTGGTCGCTGTGGTCGGGGGCGGCACTGCTGCGCTCGTTCATGACGCTGGGGGGGAGGTGAGGGGGGGAGGGGGGGGGATTGGAGTGGGGGAGGGGGGCAACGAACTGTAAGAAACCACAGGTTAGGGTAAAGCAATGGGGATAGGAGGCGGCAGGGTGCCACAATACAGCGTGGGGGGTTGGGGGGAGGGGGGGGGGCGCGAGGAGGAGAGGGATGGGGAGGAGAGGGCTAAGAAAGAAAAAGACCGAGTGCATTGGAAAGGTGCCACGTCACCAGCCTCAGCCCCAAGACTGGAGCAAGGGGCCCCAAAGGGTAAGAGCACCCTCACTCCCCACTCCGGTTCAGTACCCGCTTTCCATGTTAATCCAGCTCCCTCGGGGCCTTCCCTCCCCCTCTCTTAGACCCCATAACAGCCCCCTGATACACCCCCATCAGGGCTTGTCATATCACTACCACTACCACTAACACACCACACATTGGATTTTCTCCCTCCCCCTTACCCCCCTACCCCGCTCTCACCGGCAGAAGTCGTCATACTCCAGCAGCATCTCCGGCTTCACCTGGTTCAACAGGCAGCCGTGGCTCTTCAGGAACACCAGTACGGCATCGTACTGCTGCAGCAGCTGCCGTACGGCCTCCTTGCGGTTGTTGGAGATCTTGAAAATCTGGGTGGGTAGGGGGGGAGTGGGGTGGAGGTGAGGAGGCGGTGAGGAGGAATTGAAAGGGGGGATCTCCTGGGGGAAAGTTGAGAGGCAGGAAGGCATGAGCGCGGGGAGATGCTACCCCCACCTCCACCTCTTTTCCTTCCACTCTCCTTGCCGTCTCTCCCCACTACCTTTCAATTCCCGTCCCCGGTACCCTCCAATAAACCCCCCCTTCAGTTCACCAGCAGTTACCGGTAGTCGGCGTTGTTTGCCATTCTCACTCAATACATTGGGTATTCTTCTTCCCCCCCTTCCCCCCTCGGGATATGGGATTGGGACTCGTTGTTTCACTAATTTAATAATCCCCCCTCCCCCCCTCTCCTATGGTTTGGTATGGTCTTTGTCCCCCCCTCTCCCCCTCCCCCTCCCCTCCTACCTTCCCCGGCACCGCCTTGCCGCTCAGCAGCTCCACGATCTCCACCAGCAGCTTCCCCCGGCTGCTCATCATCTGCGCACCCAGGTCATCGAAGGGGCCGCGGGTGGTGGTGGCGTTAAGGTAGGCCGCCACCCCATTGCAGGGCGCCTGCGGACCCAGGCACAGGGGCGGGGGCGGGAGCGCGTAGTGCGCCTCCTCCAGGAAGACGGGCATGCCGGGCTCGTGGCTGAACACCAGGTGGGCCTTGTTGATCTGGGGGGGGAGGGAGGGAGGGAGAGAGGAGGGGAGGTGGGGGAGGGGATGGAGGTTAGTAGGGATGCACTGGCTGGGCTTGGGTGGAAGGGGGGGGTTCATCCAACTGCGCCCCGCGACAACAAGAGGAGGGGATTCTTGAACTCCCTACCCCCCACGCATCTCCCCCCCACCGTGGTGACACCACTCCATCTTTACACCACCCCTCCGCCCCCTCCTCCCTCTGACATGCTACCCTCCGCCCCCAACCCCCTCTGACATGCTACCATGAGCCGGCTATGCCATGCCGCAACACATGGTGAAACACCCTCCATGACACACCGGTACGGGTAGTCCGTTTCCTTCTCTTTACCCCCCGCCCCTCCCTCCTCGGCGCCCGTGGCGTTTTGGTGGAGATTCACCTTCCGACAATTCAGTACGTTCCTACTCGCGGCCCGTCTACTCTTCACACATAGGGTCTTCTTGCTCTTTTCCCCCCGCCCCCCACCTCCATGAACGCATGGTGCGTCAGCAGCGAGTTGTCTGTTGTGCCCGTCACCGGCATGGAGAAGCGCTTTCCGTCCTCGTCCATGAAGTCGATGTTGGCGGTGAAGGACATGGGCTTGGGGCACATGAAGGAAACTACCACGGGCAGCCGGTCCTTGGCCAGGCCTGGGAGGGGGGGGGGAGGGGAGGGGAGGGGAGGGGGAGGAGTTAAAGTGGGGTCATGAGACAGGGTTTTAATAACGTCGAGGCCCTTCCCCACCCCTTCTGCAGCATCCCAATGTGCTGCTAACCCGTTCCCTCCTTGACCCGCCCCATAGCCCTTCTTCCCTACCCCCCCCCCCCCAAAACACGCCCCTCCCCCACCTATGATTGTCCCCTCCGGAAACTCCACCTCCAGCGGCAGGTGTCCCTCGTCCGCGGGCAGCTTGTGCTTCAGCTCCAGGTTGTCGTAGCCGTTGTTGAGCACGTAGAAGGTGGCAGTGGAGCGAAGACCCAGTGGCACGGGCGGCAGCAGGCACTCGCGCATGTCGAAGGTGAGCCTGGGGGAGAAGGGGTGGGGGGAAGGACATTGGGTGTTGCAGCTGCGCATATTTCCTCCAGAACACCTCGCATCACTCAACCAGCTGGTTCAACCCAACCCAACCCCCTCTCCCCCCCACTTACCGTTGTTTCGGTTCGACTGATTCGGGTAGGGTGGGATGGACCGGCTACCATGTTTGCACCCCATGTTAAAGCCTACATGTCATACAGATGGCTAGTTGCCTCGCAAGTTTTCCTTGTTTCCCCCTCCCCCCCTCACCTGGGGTACTGCCCCACCCCCTGCACCTCGATGTGCAGGTAGGGCTCCTCCAGCTCCCCGTCCAGGTACACGGGGATGAGCGCCTCGTAGGTGCGCGAGTCGCGGGGACAGAACCGCACCTGCACCCCCACCATCTCAAGACCGCCAACCTGCGCGGGTGGGGGGGGGCAGGCGGGCAGCACATGCCATGGTACGGGAGCGAGGTCATACCGAGGTTATAGGCGACTCGCAGCAGCCAGGGTTTTGTTGACACACATACCTGCATACACGCAAACACGGTCAAAGTACAGCCTCTGGATACAGCTCGTCAGTTTCCACCCCCCATTGGGCATTCTCCTTTCCCCCTCCCCCCTCCCCCTCCCCCCTCCGCACTGTTTTTCCATCAGGGTTTGTCAGCTAGTTTGCCACTTTCACACCACACATTGGAAAATGTCCCCCCCTCCACCCCCCCCCACCTGCAGTGGTGCCCCCGGCGGCAGGTCCAGTGAGAAGATGCCCTTCACGGGGCAGCCGGCGGCGTGCGGGGCGGGCAGCGGCTCGCCGAAGGACACCGTCATGGGGGTGTCCTCTGGGGGGGGAGGGGGGGAGGGGGGGGTTTACAGAGGTGCATCTCTTCCTACATCTCTTCCTAACCACATGTCATCCACATGTCCGCTCATCCCCCCCACCCGTGTGGGGCTCACCACCTCGTGTTGTGTTGCTCCCACTCACCCTCACCCTCACCCTGGGCACAGTGACGCAAACACTGGTTATAGGCTGGTTATAGACTTTACCTCATCAATCATCACCTCGTGCCGCCCCAAACCTCAAGCACTGCCCCTCCTCCCACACCCAAACTGCTTCATCATACCCCAATTGCTTTGCTCTCCAACCTGTGGTTCTGGTGTGCTCTTTGAGTCCCCCCTCCCCCCCTTCATTCACTCACCCTGGTTGGTTACGTACACGTCAATGGCGTACGGCGCCTTTATCTGGTTGGATCGGATGACCACCTTGGTCCCGAAGTCCACCAGCGTCTTGGACAGGATGATGCGCGGCATCACACCCGTGCCGCTGGCGACCTATGGAGGGGGGGAGGGGGGGGGGAGGAGGGGGAAAAGGGGGGGGGGGGAGTGGGGGGTCAAAGACCATACCGAACCATAGGAAACCACAGGTTAGGGCAAAGCAGAGGGGATAGGAGGCGGCAGGGTGCCACAATACACAGTGTTGGGGTAGGGGAGGGGAGAAGACCAAACCATAGGGAACCACGAATTAGGACAAAGACTGTGGTGGAAAGAGGGTGCAGGGTGGGAAAGGGGGGGATTACATGCAAGGTGGGGGGAGTAAGTAAGACCGAGAGTTCCCACCTTCCTCAGCGGTGGCACCGAGTAGCCCCGCTCCCCCCCTCCTCCCACCTTGCCTACCTATCCCTTACTCCCCCTCCTCCCTCCTCCACTCCTCCCTCCTCCACCCACCTTCCTCAGCGGTGGCACCGAGTACCCCCCCGCCGTCACCAGCTGCAACGCCAGCTCCACATCCCGCACTCGCTGCTCGGAGGGGCGGAAGTTGAGCAGCAGCGGCAGCTCCCGAGCCGGGTTGATGGTGATGCGGTACTTGTAACCCTCGGAGGCGGCTGGGGGGGAGGGGGGGGAGGCACGGGAGGCAAGGGGTGTAAAAGAAAGGGGGAGTAAAAGGCCATATACCACATCATAGGAGACTACATGGAGAAGTCTACATGTCATACAGCTCGTCCGTTGCCTCCTGCGCTTCCTCACTTATTAAACCCCCCAGCCCCCTCACCCGCCATCCTGAACCCCAGCGACGACGACTGCCGCCTGCTGCCCTGCCTGCTGCCCCGCGCACTCCCGAACCGACTGCCCAGCAACGGGCCCCCCGTCGCGCCAATCGCCTCCAGCGGACAGCTCTCGTAGTCCTCGGGAGACCAGGCGTCCTTGGGGCAGAGCAGCTGGAAGTCGGGGTGTGCTGCCAGGTCGAGCATGAGGGTTGCCGGCACGGGGGAGGTGTTGCGCAGGGTGAGCGGCAAGCGGCTGGAGCTGCCCACGAAGACCGAGCCGAAGCTGAACTCGTCCTGTGGAGGCGGGGGGAGGGTAATGAAGGGAAGGGGAGGGAGGGAATGGGGTAGCGTTTTCCATACGTGGCAGCATTCCTACATCCCTACCACCATCGCCGCTCCCTTCGTTTTTCGTCAGGGGCTTCCAACACGGGCTTTGTCACTATCCCCCTTATGCCCTGCTCCTGACCCTCATCCGGGGCATGCCTTCTTCCTCCCCACCTGCCCCCTCCTCGCCCCTTTCCCTCTGCCTTGTGAATCCCTGCTTTTCTCTCTCTTGTTTTTATCTGGCCTTAAATTGGTGTAAAATCGGTCGCCTGCCCCCTTGCCCCCCACCTGCTCGATCTCAACGCTGGGTACCACCGCCTCCGCCCGGAAGGGGATGCGCACGGTGCTGCCCCCGCGCATCTCCAGCACCAGCACACTCGCCAGCACCCCCGGCTGCGAGGCGGTGAAGAGCACCTCGATGTCCAGCGTCTCGTCCGCAGAGATGCGGCCGCCGGGGGGGCGAATGGAGAGCTGCAAGGGGGGGGGGAGGGGATTAGGTAAACTGAGCTGCGGAAACACTGACCCTGACCGTAGGTTACCAGAGGATGATGGCGCGACCCAGATGTCAAAGTATTGTAATCAGCGTCGCAAGCAAGCAGCTACGTAGGAGTGTAATAGTCATTAAGTAAGAGTAGTAATGAATGTCTGTAGTGTACGGTAAGTATATAAGCGGCTGGCCGTATCGTAAAGTGGGGAAGCAGGGAAGAGGTGAGCGCTGGTATGGCGGGGAAGCATGCTTCCCATCGATTGGCGCTTAGCCCCTACACCACCACAATCAGGGCGCACACCCCCCTGCTCCCCCCCACCTGTTCATTGGGGTGGAAGCGGAATGCCGTGTCCCGGCTACCGTGGTTCTTGATCTGTAGCACCGCGCACTGCGGGATGCCCACGGGCGCCACCGCCGCCACCAGCTCCCGCTCGCGGGGGCGCACGTTGCCCTCCGGCAGGTCGCCCGTCATCAGGATGCGCTTGGGGGCCTCGCCTGGGGGGTGGGGGGAGTTGCGGTGGGGGGAAGGTTGAAAAGAGGCGTGAAAAGAAGATATGACCGGTACCCAATGTGTTGAATGAGGCGGGCAAACAAGCCGACGAACTCCTGGTGGGGGAACCCAGGTAGTGGAGCCGAACTTGCCACTCGGGGGAGTGGGGGGGAGGTAGGGTTTAGAGAGTGAGGGAAACGAAATGTTACACCATTCATGATACCGCGAGTCAGAGCAAGGCAGAGGGGATTGGGGGGCGGCGTGGGGGCGCGTGAGGGTGGGATGGGGCAGAGAGGACGTCAGCATGGAGGTGCCCGCCCGACCTCCTCCCTGCCGTGAATGTCTTCCCTTCCCCCTCCCCCCCCCCCCCCCCCCCTCCCCCCCTCGCCCCCGGCGCGGCGCATGTCTTCCTAGTGTTACCACGCAAGGCGGCTTCTCCCTCAAGTCGTCTCGGTTTACGGTAAGCAACGCTTCGGTAAGTAATTTGAGATGCGTGTCTTTAGAATCGTGTCTCCGAATGCACTCACTGCATGAGTCGGGATATGGGATTGGGACTTAGTTGTTTGCATTTCTTATATAATTTTTCCCCCCTCCCCCCCTCACCTCCCACCATCTTGACCACCAGGTGCCCCTCCTGCTTGGGCGGCCCCAGCATGTCGGGCGCCCAACGCACCGCCACCTCCACAGAGGACTGGCTGCGGATCACACCGCCGCCGCCAGCGGATACCTGGAGGAGGGGAGGAGGGAGGCAGGGAGGCGGGAGGGAGGGTAAAAGGAAGGCAACTAACGAGGGAGGGGGACAAGAGGGAGGACAACAATCATGGAGAAGGAAGGAGAGAGAGAAGAGGAAGTACGTGTGTTTGCTTGGTCGCGTGCATTTCGGCGCTGAGATAAGAGATGGGTCGGAAGAGGTAGAGGAACAGAGAGATCGCAGCACGCGCCGCACCCAGCCGACGGCGCTCCCCACGCCTCACCAGGAACGCCGGGTTGGTGGACTCCACACTGAAGTTAACAGGGAACTTGTGCGGGTTATCCAGGATGAGCACCTTCTCCACCGCCTCATCCCAGTTGTCCAGGCTGAGTTGGAAGTGCAGGTCGTCCGCTGAGAAGTCCAGGTTGACGGGCACGATGTCCGCGGAGAGCGGGAAGGAGAGCACGTGGTTGCCGTTCACGCAGTACTCCACCTTCTCGTTGACGCTGCGGATTTCGGTGGCCTGGGGGGGGAGGGGAGGGGGAGGGGGGAGATGGTGGGAAGGCGAGGGAGGAGAGGAGGGGTAAGTACTTATGGGGTAGTGGATGAATTGTTTCGCATGCGGGGTGATGAGGTAGGAGAGGGGGGTCTCTCGCCTGACCAGCATCCCTCTCCCCGCCAAAACTGCACCTTCAAGCCCTCCTCCGTTAAGCTTTCCTCGAGCCAAACACGCCTTGTGTTGCGCGCATACCGCCCAACCCACCATGCACCCATCAACCCACAATCCCTCCCCCCTCCCCCCTCCCCCCCCACCTGCAGCACCAGCGGGAAGGCCGCCCTGGCCCCCGGCGGCACCACCTGGCTGATGGCGGGGCTGTCCCGCAGCATCTCCAGCGGCTTCAGGTCCAGCACCACGTTGATGTGCCCCTCCAGCGTGTTGTGCAGCACCAGGTGCCGCGTGTTGGTGCTGCCCATGGACACCTTGCCAAAGTCAACAAGGCGGGGGCCCACCACCAGGCGGGAGAGCTCCTCGCGGGTCAGCTCGCGGGAACACTGGAGGTGGGGGGCGGGAGGTGGGGGCGGGAGGTGGGGGGGTTAAGTATTCCCCATTTGGCTGATTGATGGGATTGTTCAGTCATACTCTTAGGGGGGAAGGTGGGTTCCCTCCTCCCCCGCCCTCCTTTCCTCCCCGTCCCCATCACCCACACCAATCCGCTCCTCCCCTGCACCCTCTCCCCACCCCCCCCATCACCCACATCAATCCGCTCCTCCCCTCCTCCCTCCTCTCCCCTCCCCCCATCACCCACATCAATCCGCTCCTCCCTCTCCCCTCCCCCTCCCCCCCATCACCCACATCAATCCGCTCCTCCCCTCCTCCCTCCCCTCCCCTCCCCCCATCACCCACATCAATCCGCTCCTGCTCCGTCACGGGTCGCGGCTTCCACTGGTGCGCCCCCTCCAGGTCCGCCGCCCCCAGCTGCCGCAGGGTGCGGGGGGCCGCCTCCCGACTGCCGTCCACCCGCCACAGGGGGTCCACGGAGCGGGGCAGGCGCGGCTCGGGGGGCGCCAGGCCGCTGCGGGTGTCCAGGCCCAGGTTCACATCGTCCTCCGCGACCTGGGGGGGAGGGTGGGGGGAAGAGGAGGGTGGGGAATAAGGAAACTGACGGAGGAACAAACGAGCTGGAGGGGGGGGGAGGGGCAGGGGATAAGGAAACTGACGAGCTGTATGACGAGGCTACGATGGAGGAGGGGGGATGCGGGTGTGAGGAGGAGGATGCAGCAAGCAGCGACGAAAAGGGGAGTTTGGCGTTGCAGGGTAAGGAGCACCCACCCGCATGTATCCCCCACGCATGCTTCACTTAGCAGCCGCAGCGGGCAACACGTCAGTTACACGGTATTATACACCGGTAGTTGGCAGTTTGCTCCAACCTACCCTCCCATTCTTCCGCTGGTGCTCCCGCGCCAGCCGCCGCTCCCTCATGGCTGCCGTGTACTTGTCCCGGTGCGCCGCCACCGCTGCCGCATCTGCCCGACACAGCGTCTGCTTGCCGCTCACGTCGGGGTAGCTGTCCGCCAGCTCGGGCTTGGCCCAGGGCTGGGTGAGCAGGCGGCTGCTCTTCTGACGGGCCTCCAAGGTGGTCAGCATGGCCTGGGGGGGGGGGGGGTTGCGGGAAGGGTTGTCGGGAAGGGTTGGGAATGGAGAGGGTGAGTCGTCTAGGGGTGTGTTCTGAACACTGGCCACCGCACCATCACGCTCCTTTCTCTTTTCCTTTCTCTCCAATTTGGCCTCATCCTCCCCCGTGTACCCCTTCCACACCGCTATCCCGCACCGCACCGTACCCACACCCCCACCTTACGCCCCACCCCCCACACCCACATCCCCCATTAGCAACCCATGGTGAAGCCTCGTCATACACTTCGTCAGTTTTCTTATTTTCAACCCCCCCAACACCCCCCACCCGCACCTCACCCCCCCACCTGTTCCTCGTCCACAAAGTGCCGCTGCTTCACAAAGTCCGCGGGCAGTTTGTCCGTGCCGCCCACCGGGGCACCCTTCTCGCCCAGCCGCTGGCTGGTGCCGGACAGCTCCAGACTCATCTCCTGGATCAGCTGGCCCGTCTCGCTGAACACCTGCGGGCGGGGCGGGGTGGGGGAAGGGGAAGGAGGATTCCCAATGCGTTGTGTGATAATGGTGAACGAGGTGACAAGCCCTGGGGAGGGAGTCCGAGTGGCTCGAGGCGAACTGGCGACGGAAGCATTGCGGGGGAGGTGGATGGGGGGGTGGGGTGGGGGGATGGGTTAATGTGAGTGGGGTTGCGCGGTTGCCCCCGGCCCACCATGCAGGTGCTGATGCACCCCTCACGACAATCCGGGCAGTAAGCCATGGAGGCTCGCAGCTGCTGCAGCAGCGCCCCTCTGCGCCACACTAACCCAGCGCGGGAGGCAGGAGGCAGCAGGGGCAGGATGGACAGAAGGGGCAGGGACATGGACAGGAGGGGCAGGGACATGGACAGGAGGGGCAGGGACATGGACAGCAGGGGCAGGGACATGGACAGGAGGGGCAGGGACATGGACAGGAGGGGCAGGGACATGGACAGGAGGGGCAGGGACATGGACAGGAGGGGACAGTGGCAGCAGCAGCAGCAGGGAGGGCAGCGCCCCCCCCCAGGCCCCTTCCGCCTGCCCTCACCGCACCTTGAAGGGAATGGTGCCCGCGTGTTTTCCCATCGCCTTGGGCTGGTACCTCACCAGCACCTGCACACTGCCCCCGGGCAGCACGGAGCCGGAGGGAGGGTCCACGGAGAAGTACGGCAGCGACTTGGCGGTCTGGCGGAGGGGGGGAGCATTGGGGGGGGGAGGGGGGGAGTGGAGGGGCGAGGGGCAGGAGGGGTCAGGGGTCGAGTGAGGAGCCGTAGCCTGGAATCCCACTGCGCCTCTAGACTGCTAGGGAAGCGCACCTCCCCGCCTGTCCATGGCCCGCAGCCTCTCATGGCCTTCCAAGGGCTGTCGCTGTCGTTCACTGCATGGCTTGCGCTTCTTCCTTACCCCCGGTCTTCCCATGGTCACGGTCAGTTGACTTCCTGCCCCTGGCCCCCTACCTGAAACTTGGCGCCCATGCTTTACCCCACTCCACCTTCCCTTGGCCCCCCACCTTCCATTGACCCCCTACCTGGAACTTGGCTCCCATGCTGCTGTTGGTGTTGCTGATGGTAAGCAGCCGGTCCGCCCATGCATGCGTCGCCACGTCGCCAAACGCCAGGCTACTGGCCGACAACCTCAACCCGCCAGGCATGCCGCGAGCGCGAATGGGCAGCTTCAGCTTCGTGGGTAACCCCAGCAACTCCACAACCGCAAAGTACTCGTACGTTCGCATGGCCTGATCGCTGGAGGGTGCCAGACATGCAAAACCCTTGGCGGGCGTGGGTTGCGTGGGCGTGTACGACACCATGACGCTAGCCTTAGAGTAGGGGGGGATCACGCCGGAAAGCGGAGTGAGGTGGAAGGGGTTATCGCCCGTGGAACGAGCTTTTTGGCGTTGACGAGCCGTCATGATGACGTCAGCGTAGGGGTCGCCGGGATCTGCATTGGCGGCGGCTTCGTCATCCACTTTGGATCTCATTTCGGTTAGGGTGCCGTACGTGATGATGTATCGAGCCTCCACGGGACCGTTGTTGAAGAGGGTCACCTCGCGCTCCGAGCTCTGGCCGTAGTACAGGCTGCCAAAGTCCAGCTGGGGGGGGGGGTGATGGGAACACGGGGTTGGGTGGGGTGGGAACATGGGGTGGGTAGAATTGAGGGAATGGCATGGGTTCAATCCCCATTGTCTCCTGCCCTTGCGTGCGGTTGTTGGTTTCTCTGACTCCCGCCCTGTCCCGCCACTGCTGTGCCGAGCCGCACCTCCTCCCTCAACCTCAGACTCAACTCATCCCAGCCCTTCGTGCCGATCTCATCCCCACCATATCCTCTTCATCTCCATCCCCTGCCTCGCACCCCCTCCCTCCCTCCCTCCCTCACCTCCGTCATTTGCATCCCCATTCAACACATTGGGAACTCTCTTCTTTCCCCTCCGGGCCCCCCCTCACCTCCGTCAGTATCGCCCCCGCCGAGTCGATCAGGTCAAACGACTGCCTCAGCACAGTGCCGCTAAGTAGCACCTTCTTGGCCTCCCCGCCCGCACCCCCCAGCAGCACCAGCAGCTCCCCCACCAGGCTGCCCGGCTCGCCAACCGTCACACTGAGGGTCACGTCCAGGGGCACACCGCCCGGCTCCAACATGCCGGCGGCGGGGGTGACGGTCCAGGGCATAACCCTGAGATGGTTGAGCGGTCGGGGAGGTTACAGTTACGGTTGCGTGCGCGTGTACAGTGCGTTAAGGAAACTGGCCGCGAGGCGGAACGTACAGTGTACAGTGTGTCCGTACGAGCCAGGGGGGCCAGGGACACGCTGAGGAAGGGTGGGAGGAGAGGAGGGAAGGAGGGAGGTGGGGAAAGGAGTTCGGTTTAGCGTGGCTAGCGAACCATGCCCCTAGTAGCCAGCCCTTCTTCAACACTCCAGCCGCCGACCTCCAAGCCCAACTGTCTCCTTCTCAGCCTTCTCATCAACCGTCCCTTCAGCCGCCCTTCCTCCTTCCCCAACCCACCACGATGCCCGAACCCCCAGCCCCACCTGTCCCAGTCTATTTTGAAGGCGGTTGGCGCCGCCCCCTCATTCACCAACTGGAAGCGCTTGGAAGCCTTGCTGTCGCTGGGCAGCAGACCCAGGTTGAGGTCGCCCACGATACGCACGTCGGCACGGGGCGCGGAGGCCTTGACCTGCAGGGGTGGGTAGATGTAAGGAAAACTGACGAGCTGGATGACGAGGCGGGGGAGAGGGGTGCGGAAGGGGCCCCGTAGCGTGCGCAATGAGACGAGGAAGGGAGATGAGGGACATGAGGCGGTAAACATGGGGCGGCAAACATGCACGCATGTCAGGCCCCTCTCAACGGCCCACCCCCTCCCTTCCTGCGCCCGCCGGCTTGCCTGCAGCTCGTAGCTCCCGTTCTCCGTTTGAATCACGATTTTGTCCTGCACGTGCTGCCGGTCCGGCTCCAGCTTGTCCCCATCGAATAAGACCTTTGAAGAGGGGCAGGAGGGCGGGCGGGCGGTGGGGTGGTGTGATGGTTACGGGTGGTAGTGATGGTTCCGGAGCAGAAGGGGTGGTTTCGGGGAAGGATTGGAGCAGAAGGGCATGTTCGGAGGAAGGGTGCTTGGTTAGAGGCATGGCATTCTGAGCTCTTTGGCCGACCAAGTGGCTGGTATGGAGCCGTCCATCCCAATGGCCATGGATGGTTTACAGGGTCGGTCAGGTCTTTGGAAGACCCAGTTGTTTGTGGGGGGCATGCCACCAAGACCGGTCCCGTCGTGTGTGCTGATCCCCTCTGCATTGATGCGCTGTGGTCCTTCGGCAGGAAGCCGTACCCATTGCCCTTACCTCGAAGCGAGTCTCCAGCCCACCCGCCAAGCTCTGGGGCTTAAAGAACTCCCGCAATGCAAAGTACTTGGTCTTCGGGGGCCTGACCTTAACGGTGCGAGTCCTCGCATCGAGGTTCTGTGGTGACATAGAACCACCAGCGCAACCATTCCGCGTGCCATGTGTCACTTAGCAAGGTCTTCGACTCAAACATGTATCTTAATAAGCATGTTGTATGGAAATGTCACTGCAATTACCTTGACTGTCACCCAAGCGCTCAGAACATTCCCCGACTGAACGTTCTGAAACTCGAGCACCGCAGGTGTGACCTGCAGCTGAGCCATAGTGTCTTACGTCTAGAACTCTTGCCTTAAAGCGGCTTTTGGTAACTATCTGTAATCATCCTGTATTCCTCGAAGGGCGTATAGAAATTCCAGTCATAGTATTGACCGGCAATTAAGAATATATATATAAGCGTTTCTTATGCATACCATCGCGTAAGAAACATTCAACAAAGCACACAGAAGAGGATAGTCGCAGCGTTTGTACGGAAGCGGTTTGGGCTCTCGGCTCTGGGCGTTCGTCATTGGCTCGCAGCGTAATTTTGCGTATATATAATAACACTCCGTACAGGCAACATATGTTGCAGCGCATCAAGCTTGTCTCGCGGCAACCTGTTAGGTGCAGCCTCAGACATATCTCTAGGCCTCGATTGCGCGTGGAGGCGCTTGCACGTGCAGCCATGAAGCCATCTCCCTGTAGGAATCTGCACTGGGTGTTCAAGGTGGGCCGTGCCTTGCTCGCCTTGCGCTTAGGTGTTGCATTTGTGGTTCCAGGACTAGCAGCGATAGCGGACCAGGAGCATGCTGTATCAACCTAGGTTGTCTCTTAACTACGCGTGTCTAGTTAAAGCTGGTAGCATGGCTGACCACGACTTTTGCTGGTCGTCACCATGATTCAATTGCCTTTCAGGTTGGTGACCGCACCGCCACAACCCGCTTCCTCCAAGAAGTGCTGCTTATGGAGCCCCTACGTCACGAGGAAGTAAGATATATGATAAACAGCTACTAGAGCCCTAACAGCTCTCCTTCGCCTCCAATCCTCACTCCTCTTCATTACATGCCTACCCGTGGCCTTACCGTCGCTCCTCTACCGTGCGACCCAATCCGTACCCTCACCCATGCCGTACATCCAAAACCTGTGTCCTCACGTCTCGTTTACCCGCCCCTTCACCTACCACCCTCCCCCCGTACGACAGTTCACGGAGGGTTGCGCGGCGGCTTGCAACGGCCCCTACGATGGCATGTGGTCCAAGACCATGATCGGGTAGGAACGTAGGAACGTGGGAGGGCATGGAGGGTAGGGAGCAACTAACTGACCCTGTCCTAAGGCATCATCATGGAGGGCATGGGTGGGGCGGCGGCTGGGCGCCGTCTAGGGCGCCATTAGGACTGATTTGGGTCGATGGGAAGGGCCGGTCCTGGAAGCATGGGTTACATCTTACATGAGTTATCTTGGGTTGCATGCTCCAAAGGTTGGGACGGCCCATGCCGGTGCCGTGAGGAATGGGGCAGGGCGGCATGGTGGGGCTGGTTGATGGACATACCCGCTTCCTCCGCCCCCTCTTCGCCCTCTTGTGTCGTACGGCAGATACGGCCCCGAGGACGACCACTTCGTACTGGAGCTCACGTACAATTACGGTACGGCACGGCAACCATGTGTACGGCACGCGTGTCCCATTACTCCACCGCTTTTTGTTCTTCAACTACAGCACCTCACGTGCTAGTGACATGCTGTGTAACATAGGACACGGACATGCGACCCACATGTGCGTCCTCCTCTCCCTTAGGCCCTTACTTCCCGCGTGAATGCCGTGCGTTGATGCCGTACAACAACCCTGATGCCGTACAACAACCCTGATGCCGTACAACAACCCTGATGCCGTACAACCACCTGACGCCGTATAACCGCCATACCGTACAGGTGTCAAGTCGTACCAGCTGGGTAACGACTACGCGGGGATCGCCATTGCCAGCCAGCGAGTGTACGACAATCTGGTGGCCAAGGTGGGGGCGTGTGGGGGTGGGGTGGGAGTGTGTATGGGGGTGGGTGGGTTGGGGCTGTGTATGGGTGGGGAGGGCTGCTGCTGCGGGCAGCCCTGTCCCCAGCAGCCCTGAAGCCGTACGAGGCTAGCTTCCCTCCGTTGCCCCACTGTTTTTCCCGGCTCGTTCCCTTCCTCTTCCCTTTTCTCACCATTCTCACCAACCTGCTCGTACACCGCCCTCCTCCACCGCATCAGGGCCTGGGAACTCCGGTGCCGGCAGAAGGCGCCGCCACTGCTGGCACTGCTGCTGCCACTGCCACTGCTGCCCCGCCGCTGCGGGTGACCTCGCCCGACGGCTACCCCTTCCTGGTGCTTCCCGGGGGCCAGGAGGGGCGGGAGGGGCAGCAGCAGCAGCAGGGAGGGGGGTGCCCGGTGCAGGAGCTGCGGCTGCATGTGACGGACCTGGAGACCTCACTGGGTGGGTGGCTGTGGGGGCTGGAAGCTTGGGTATAGGAGCGAGGAAAACCAGGCTTGCCCCGCTCCTCCTCCCTTGGGGCCCTGGGTAGGCCTCAGCCGCAAGTGCCGCACCCACACAACCCGCAACCTCAAGCCACGGCTCCGACCCGGCCCCACCGCTTTGCCCCCTCCCCTTTCCTTTCGTACTCCCCGCCCCTTCTTCCCTCCCTCACTGCATGAGTCGGGATATGGGATTGGGACTCGTTGTTTCACTTATTTAATTTTTTCCCCTCGCAGCCTTCTGGTCGGGCTTCCTGGGCTTCTCAGCTCGGCGGGAAGGGCCCGAGGAGAGGCCGGAGGGCGACACCGCTCCTGCTCCTGCTCCTGCCGCTGTGTTGAGTTGCGCGCCGGGTCAGTGCGCGTTGCGGCTGGTGCAGCTGCCGGCGGGGCAGCGGCTGGAGCGGGGAACCGCGTGAGTGGGGAGGGAGGCAGGGAGAGTTGGGGGAGAGGATTAAGGAGGAGGAGACCGAGTAGGCAACGACAGGGGCAACCCGTGGTGCAAGCCCGGAATGGGAGGGGCAATGCCTCTACTTACCGGCAAGCATCCTAGCCTTCTGAGGACAGCTGGACAGCTGGACTGCCTCTCATCACGACATTAGAGAGGGTGTGATGCCCGAATGCCGGTACGTGCCTGACGCCCCTTCACTTGCCCTTGCCCCCAACCCATTATCCGCCATTCGCACTGTTCCATCTCCCTTTTTCGACAGCCGTTATACATATGGTTATAGAACCGCCATTCGCTCTCCCATGCAGCTACGGCCGGGTCGCCTTCGCCTGCCCCGGCGAGCAGCTGCAACCCCTGGAGGCAGCCGTACGGGCCGCGGGTTATGTCGTACATACACCGTACGTTTCCCTCGACACCCCCGGCAAAGCTACCGTACAAGTGGTGATCTTGCAGGATCCAGACGGGCACGAGATCTGCTTTGTTGGGGAGGCCGGGTTTCGAGATCTGTCACGTCGCGATCCGGAGGCGTCTAGATTGCTTGAAGAGGCGGTGCAGAGGGATGATAGCGCAGAGTGGTTTCGGAGGCGGGCGGAGAGGGAGGCGAGGAGGGACGCGGAGCGGGAGAGGGGTGAGGTGGGGAAAGAGGAAGCGGAGAAGGTGGCGGCTGTGTAGAGGGGTCGTCCTTTTGACTGAGAAGAAGCGTTGTGGAGGCGTTGCGCTTGTTGTCGGGGCTTACGTGGCTCATTTGGGTCATTTGTCACGTCGCGATCCGGAGGCGTCTAGATTGCTTGAAGAGGCGGTGCAGAGGGATGATAGCGCAGAGTGGTTTCGGAGGCGGGCGGAGAGGGAGGCGAGGAGGGACGCGGAGCGGGAGAGGGGTGAGGTGGGGAAAGAGGAAGCGGAGAAGGTGGCGGCTGTGTAGAGGGGTCGTCCTTTTGACTGAGAAGAAGCGTTGTGGAGGCGTTGCGCTTGTTGTCGGGGCTTACGTGGCTCATTTGGGTCATTTCGCAGCCAACAGTGCTGCCATGACACTAGTGCGGTTGACCGTTGACTGTTGACGGTTGACAGTTGGTAGGTATACCGGTAGTGCTGGTTGGTTGTTGTTGCGGTAGGCCGGTTGCAGCAATGATGACGTGACGGGGTTGTGGTCAGGAGAGTGATAGAAGACAGAGAGTTTTGCGCTCTTCTTGCAAGGGAGCGGTGTGTGTTGCAAGAGAGATAAGCGAGGTGGGAAGGGAGAGCGAATGAGGGAGGGAGTAGCACAAGGGGCTCCGCGCTTCGTCACAGGCGGAGGCGGAGGTAGCACGGGCTAGACCAGCGCAGGTTGAAGTAGGCGCGGCGCAGGAGGCGGCGGAGGAAGCGGAGGAAGCATAGGAGGTTGCGGGGGCGGTGAAGGCGGCCGCATCTCCCACGTCATGCATCATCAGCAACAGCGGCAAGGGTTGCGGAGAGGGATTAGATAAACTGAGCCGCGGAAACACTGACCCTGACCGTAGGTTACCGGAAATGGCTTGATGGTGTTCCAGACGTCGAAGGATTGTAACCGGCTGCGTAAGGCGGCGGAGAGGATACAGCCGCGCCGTGTCCAGAAGTCACACACTGGGCAGCTGCCACCTCCCGTGGTGGCATCGGAGGTGCTGCTACGAATGCGCCGTGCAGGTCTACAAGTGTTTGCATCCGTGTTCAAGCCACGACCCACGGGTCACTTGCTGCCCGGGGCGCGCAGCTGGGAGGATGAGGTTCTGCCGCTGGTGCTGGCTGTGGCGGCGGCAGCAGCAGGAACGGATACACCGTCGTGATTGACCCAAGCAGCAGTGGCACCACCTGCAGCATGAATGAGCAGGGTAGTAGCAGTCAGAATGCAGCAGTCGCTGAGGGGGAGGAGCAGGTCCAGGCTGGGGAGGCAGCGGAGGAGGTTGGGGTAGCGGTAGGGGCTGCCTGCCCGGGTATAGACGGGTTGTTCACGGATTCGCCAGCGGAGTTGCAGGAGCTGTTGCATCGCAGGAGAGAGTGCAGGCTGAAGGTTTCCCGCAATTGCTGCCAGGAGAGGTGCTCGCAGAGGAGGCGGCCTTTGCTGAGCGGTTCAACGGGGCATCAGGGCCGTGGAGGGTGCCAGAGGGGGAAAAGTAGCCGGCCGTGCAAGCCATACATGGGATTAAGGCCCGCAGCAACGCCTGGAAGATTAACCATGGGGAACGGCTTTAAGGCGTGATGAAATTATTTTGGTAGCTTCTGGTAATCATTGGCTGTGGCCGCTTCTGGTAATCATTGGCTGTGGCCGCTGGGCTTCTGGTAATCATTGGCTGTGGCGGGTGTCAGGTCGGCGGGTGCCAGGTCGGCGGGTGCTAGGTCGGCGGGTGCTAGGTCGGCGGGTGCTAGGTCGGCGGGTGCTAGGTCGGCGGGTGCCAGGTCGGCGGGTGCCAGGTCGGCGGGTGCCAGGTCGGCGGGTGCTAGGCCGGCGGGTGCTAGGTCGGCGGGTGCTTGGTCGGCGGGTGCTAGGTCGGCGGGTGCCAGGTCGGCGGGTGCCAGGTCGGCAGGTGCTAGGTCGGCGGGTGCTTGGTCGGTGGGTGCCAGGTCGGCGGGTGCCAGGTCGGCAGGTGCTAGGTCGGCGGGTGCTAGGTCGGCGGCGAGTGCTATGTTGGCGGGTGCCATGTCGGCGGGTGCTAGGTCGGCGGGTGCCAGGTCGGCGGCGAGTGCTATGTTGGCGGGTGCCAGGTCGGCGGGTGCTAGGTCGGCGGGTGCTAGGTCGGCGGGTGCTAGGTCGGCGGGTGTCAGGTCGGCGGGTGCCAGGTCGGCGGGTGTCAGGTCGGCGGGTGCCAGGTCGGCGGATGCTAGGTCGGCGGGTGCTAGGTCGGCGGGTGCTAGGTCGGCGGGTGCTAGGTCGGCGGGTGCTAGGTCGGCGGGTGCTAGGTCGGCGGGTGCTAGGTCGGCGGGTGCTAGATCGGCGGGTGCCAGGTCGGCGGGTGCCAGGTCGGCAGGTGCTAGGTCGGCGGGTGCTTGGTCGGTGGGTGCCAGGTCGGCGGGTGCCAGGTCGGCAGGTGCTAGGTCGGCGGGTGCTAGGTCGGCGGCGAGTGCTATGTTGGCGGGTGCCATGTCGGCGGGTGCTAGGTCGGCGGGTGCCATGTCGGCGGCGAGTGCTATGTTGGCGGGTGCCAGGTCGGCGGGTGCTAGGTCGGCGGGTGCTAGGTCGGCGGGTGCTAGGTCGGCGGGTGTCAGGTCGGCGGGTGCCAGGTCGGCGGGTGTCAGGTCGGCGGGTGCCAGGTCGGCGGATGCTAGGTCGGCGGGTGCTAGGTCGGCGGGTGCTAGGTCGGCGGGTGCTAGGTCGGCGGGTGCTAGGTCGGCGGGTGCTAGGTCGGCGGGTGCTAGATCGGCGGGTGCCAGGTCGGCGGGTGCTAGGCCGGCGGGTGCTAGGTCGGCGGGTGCTTGGTCGGCGGGTGCTAGGTCGGCGGGTGCCAGGTCGGCGGGTGCCAGGTCGGCAGGTGCTAGGTCGGCAGGTGCTAGGTCGGCGGGTGCTAGGTCGGCGGCGAGTGCTATGTTGGCGGGTGCCAGGTCGGCGGGTACTTGGTCGGCGGGTGCTAGGTCGGCGGGTGCCAGGTCGGCGGGTGCTAGGTCGGCGGGTGCTAGGTCGGCGGGTGCCAGGTCGGCGGGTGCCAGGTCGGCAGGTGCTAGGTCGGCGGGTGCTAGGTCGGTGGGTGCCAGGTCGGCGGGTGCCAGGTCGGCGGGTGCTAGGTCGGCGGGTGCCAGGTCGGCGGGTGCTAGGCCGGCGGGTGCTAGGTCGGCGGGTGCTTGGTCGGCGGGTGCTAGGTCGGCGGGTGCTAGGTCGGCGGGTGCCAGGTCGGCGGGTGGTAGGTCGGCGGGTGCTAGGTCGGCGGCGAGTGCTATGTTGGCGGGTGCTAGGTCGGCGGGTGCTAGGTCGGCGGGTGCTAGGTCGGCGGGTGGTAGGTCGGCGGGTGCTAGGTCGGCGGGTGCTAGGTCGGCGAGTGCTAGGTCGGCGGGTGCTTGGTCGGCGGGTGCTAGGTCGGCGGGTGCTAGGTCGGCGGGTGCTAGGTCGGCGGGTGCTAGGTCGGCGGGTGTCAGGTCGGCAGGTGCTAGGTCGGCGGGTGCTAGGTCGGCGGGTGCTAGGTCGGCGGGTGCTAGGTCGGCGGGTGCTAGGTCTGTGGGTGCTAGGTCGGCGGGTGCTAGGTCGGCGGATGCCAGGTCGGCGGGTGCTAGGTCGGCGGGTGTCAGGTCGGCGGGTGCCAGGTCGGCGGGTGCTGGGTCGGCGGGTGCTAGGTCGGCGGGTGCTAGGTCGGCGGGTGCTTGGTCGGCGGGTGCTAGGTCGGCGGATGCAAGGTCGGCGGGTGCTAGGTCGGTGGGTGCCAGGTCTGTGCATGCTAGGTCGGTAGGTGCCAGGTCGGCGAAGCTAGGTCGGCGGGTGCTAGGTCGGCGGGTGCTAGGTCGGCGGGTGCTTGGTCGGCGGGTGCTAGGTCGGCGGGTGCCAGGTCGGCGGGTGCCAGGTCGGCGGGTGCTAGGTCGGCGGGTGCTAGGTCGGCGGGTGCTTGGTCGGCGGGTGCTAGGTCGGCGGGTGCTAGGTCGGCGGGTGCTAGGTCGGCGGGTGCTAGGTCGGCGGGTGCTTGGTCGGCGGGTGCTAGGTCGGCGGGTGCTAGGTCGGCGGGTGCTAGGTCGGCGGGTGCTAGGTCGGCGGGTGCTTGGTCGGCGGGTGCTAGGTCGGCGGGTGCCAGGTCGGCGGGTGCCAGGTCGGCAGGTGCTAGGTCGGCGGGTGCTAGGTCGGTGGGTGCCAGGTCGGCGGGTGTCAGGTCGGCGGGTGCCAGGTCGGCAGGTGCTAGGTCGGCGGGTGCGAGGTCGGCGGCGAGTGCTATGTTGGCGGGTGCCAGGTCGGCGGGTGCTAGGTCGGCGGGTGCTAGGTCGGCGGGTGCTAGGTCGGCGGGTGCTAGGTCGGCGGGTGCTAGGTCGGCGGGTGCTAGGTCGGCGGGTGCTAGGTCGGCGGGTGCTAGGTCGGCGGGTGCTAGGTCGGCGGGTGCTAGGTCGGCGGGTGCTAGGTCGGCGGGTGCCAGGTCGGCGGGTGCTAGGCCGGCGGGTGCTAGGTCGGCGGGTGCTTGGTCGGCGGGTGCTAGGTCGGCGGGTGCCAGGTCGGCGGGTGCCAGGTCGGCAGGTGCTAGGTCGGCGGGTGCTAGGTCGGCGGCGAGTGCTATGTTGGCGGGTGCTAGGTCGGCGGGTGCTAGGTCGGCGGGTGCTAGGTCGGCGGGTGCCAGGTCGGCGGGTGCCAGGTCGGCAGGTGCTAGGTCGGCGGGTGCTAGGTCGGCGGGTGCTAGGTCGGCGGGTGTCAGGTCGGCGGGTGCCAGGTCGGCGGGTGTCAGGTCGGCGGGTGCCAGGTCGGCGGGTGCTGGGTCGGCGGGTGCTAGGTCGGCGGGTGCTAGGTCGGCGGGTGGTAGGTCGGCGGGTGCCAGGTCGGCGGGTGCTAGGCCATAGGTCGGCGGGTGCTAGGTCGGCGGGTGCTAGGTCGGTGGGTGCCAGGTCGGCGGGTGCTAGGTCGGCGGGTGCTAGGTCGGCGGGTGCTAGGTCGGCGGGTGCTAGGTCTGTGGGTGCTAGGTCGGCGGGTGCTAGGTCGGCGGATGCCAGGTCGGCGGGTGCTAGGTCGGCGGGTGCTAGGTCGGCGGGTGCAAGGTCGGCGGGTGCTAGGTCGGTGGGTGCCAGGTCTGTGGGTGCTAGGTCGGTAGGTGCCAGGTCGGCGAAGCTAGGTCGGCGGGTGCTAGGTCGGCGGGTGCTAGGTCGGCGGGTGCTAGGTCGGTGGGTGCCAGGTCTGTGGGTGCTAGGTCGGTAGGTGCCAGGTCGGCGAAGCTAGGTCGGCGGGTGCTAGGTCGGCGGGTGCTAGGTCGGCGGGTGCTTGGTCGGTGGGTGCCAGGTCGGTGGGTGCTAGGTCGGTGGGTGCTAGGTCGGCGGGTGCTTGGTCGGTGGGTGCCAGGTCGGCGGATGCTTGGTCGGAGGGTGCTAGGTCGGAGGGTGCCAGGTCAGCGGGTTCCAGGTCGGCAGGTGCTAGGTCGGCGGGTGCTAGGTCGGCGGCGAGTGCTAGGTCGGCGGTTGCTAGGACGGCGGGTGCTAGGTCGGCGGGTGCTGGGTCGGCGGGTGTCAGGTCGGCGGGTGCTTGGTCGGTGGGTGCCAGGTCGGTGGGTGCCAGGTCGGCGGCTGCTAGGTCGGCGGGTGCTAGGTCGGCGGGTGCTACGTCGGCGGGTGCTAGGTCGGCGGGTGCTAGGTCGGCGGGTGCTAGGTCGGCGGGTGCTAGGTCGGCGGGTGCTAGGTCGGCGGGTGCTAGGTCGGCGGGTGCGAGGTCGGCGGCGAGTGCTATGTTGGCGGGTGCCAGGTCGGCGGGTGCTAGGTCGGCGGGTGCTAGGTCGGCGGGTGCTAGGTCGGCGGGTGTCAGGTCGGCGGGTGCCAGGTCGGCGGGTGTCAGGTCGGCGGGTGCCAGGTCGGCGGGTGCTAGGTCGGCGGGTGCTAGGTCGGCGGGTGCTAGGTCGGCGGGTGCTAGGTCGGCGGGTGCTAGGTCGGCGGGTGCCAGGTCGGCAGGTGCTAGG